CCTACCTAAATAGGGCCCTAAGATAGAAAGTAATCAGGGGTTATAGGTAGGGCCCTGACGTGCATACAGCATTGATCCTAGCGAGAGTGAGTTTCCTCCAATAGCGAAAGACATAGCACCTGGCCGAGGGCATTGGATCGAACCATCGCGTTCGCGTTCCGGCATGACCTATACTACCTACATACAGTAATCATGCACAGTGATCAATATCGACTACGTTGGATTGCCTTCCTGTCATGGTGAAATGGTACACCCGCACACTCCAAGCCTGCACGAAATCGGACTAGCGTCACCAGAAATCATTTCCATAGGCTGAACAGTAGAGGTTACGATACGACATACATGGACATGGTCCTGACCTGAACAATATCCTGTAAGGCGAAGTAAGGGTCAAAAATAGTCGAAAAAGCCTTGCGCGTCACAGCACATCTTACGCAGGTAAATCTACACATGTAACTCATGTCACATCTCATGGCTCGGGAGCCGCACCGGCACTTGCAGGCGATGCATCCAAATTTATTTCAAGTAGAAACATCCCAGGAAGACATTGAGAAATTGTATCTTGTCTTACTTTTCGGTGCATAGATCCGCTTTCAGTTCAATTGATCATGGGATCCCTAGTCGACGTCTTAATTGTCGGAGGCGGTGTTGCCGGCCTCAGTGCGGCATCGACTATTGTTCGGCAAGACCACTCGGTCCTGGTACTCGATTCACAGCAATACCGGAATGGAGGGAGTAAACACATGCATACGGTTCCGACATGGGATCATCGTAACCCTGCCGACTGGCGGGCTGCCGCGAAGAATGACTTCGAACGTTATGGCACCGTGAGTATTGAGCAAGAGGAGGCTGTGAAGGCAGAACAGCTGGAAGACGAACTGTTCAAGGTTACCGCTGCTAGTGGAAAACACTGGAAAGCGAAGAAACTGATTTTAGCAACTGGTGTCGAAGACGTCTTACCGGATATTCCTGGATACTCGGAATGTTGGATTTCCGGCATGTAAGGAGAGCATCTACATGATGTCACTTGCAGCGACCAGTCTGACAACCTGCAGATTTCACTGTCTCTACTGCCACGGCTGGGAAGAAAAGGGTGTGAGTTCTTCAGGTGGTCTCGCCATTGGAGAAAGTGCCTCTGTTCCGGTATCTCTGCACATAGCCCGCCAGGCCTTGCGCTTTTCAAAGAAAGTAACCATCTATACCGACGGTAATACGCAGTTGACCGACGATCTTGAAAGCGCGCTGAAAACTAGCGCTGCACCGATGGAAATCGATGCACGTAAGATCACTAGGGTCGAAAAGTCTCCCACAAGAGCTGAGGTCACGCTATACTTCAAAGATGGAGTATCCAAAACAGAGGGATTCCTCTTTGGGAAGCCGCCTACTAAGCTAAGGGGTGACCTGCACACGCAACTTGGGCTTGCAATGACACCCAAAGGGACGATAGTGGTAAATCCACCATTCAATCAGACAAGCATGAAGGGCATTTTTGCGGCAGGGGATTGCGCATCGCCAATGCAAACGGTGACAACGGCACAAGCCTCTGGCACAAATGCAGGTGCAGGTGCTCCGCTTCAGCTCCAGGCTGAGATGTGGGAGCAGACGCCTATCTTTTGATCTGCAACGGAAGTCAAAAGCATCCCCGGTAGATAGACATGTGGCCGTTGAAATCGTCTTATTCGGCCACTAAACTGCGATTAATCGCTCTGGCTGTACGGAATGATATAATGATCAGCAATTCATCATGTATACATGCTTTCATTGGTTGTATCAACACGATGGGTACATTTTAAATGCGAAGCTCAGCTTCTTGGTCGGAACCCGAAAGTGCGTGCGTACAACGTTCCCTCTGTGCGACTTAGGATTGATCGCCGCCCTGCAGACACTTACTTGCACAAGCAGGAAGTTCCCTTCCATAATCTACTGGTCTCGCTTCATTCGCCTTGCCGGCCGCCGGCTGCTTACGTAGTTCCGAATAGGGAAGGATGAAACAGCTATCAACAACCATCTATTCCATTGATTCCACGCCCATCTGTGAATTATCTCAGTTCAAGATCCACATGATGTTTCCTTTAGAGAGTCGACTGAGTAGTCTTATTTGGTTCTCTCTGAGCGCCTTTCTCCTCTCCTTACTACTCATAAACTCACCGGAAGGTCGACTTCCCTTGATTTTAGTTGACCATCCAGACAACATCACAGATGTGTTGATATTAGGCGGGAGCCATGCAGGCCTATCCGGAGCTCTTACCCTCGCACGGCACCAACATGATATCATTGTGTTTGATGATTCGAAGCCACGGAATTGGTGGAACACGCCAATGCATGTGTTGCCAACATGGGAACACCGATCGCCAAGCGACTTACGAAGAACAAGTCGAAGAGAACTGCAGTCTACCGGGCTGGTAACATTCGTAGAGGAAAAGATAGTTAAGGTAGAGAAGGAACACGATTCTTTGTTCCATGCGACAGGCTCAAGCGGCAAGAAGTGGTCTGGAAAGAAGTTACTCGTGGCTATTGGAAACGAATTCGACTATCCTGATATCCCTGGGTACAAAGACAATTTTCCTGACAAAATGTAAGGCATTAATATTCATTTGTGCGACCGAGAGCTCACAACTTTTAGACTTCATTGTTTATTTACGAGAGGCTTTGAATTTCGAGGTAGCGCTTCTGCTGGAGTCATCGCGGCAGACCTTGCAAGCTCACCGCCGCATGCCGCCATCCTTGTTGAAGATGCTAGCAAGTTCGCCGAGAACGTGACTCTCTACACAAATGGAGATCATGAACTTGCAAAGGCTATATCGACTATTTTGGTACAGAAAGGCGAGTCTCATATTTCCATCGATCCGCGAAAGATTATCAGGCTCGCAAAAAACACAACAAGCAATGGTATTACGCTGTCATTCAGCGATGGCAATGACCGTACCGAGAGTTTTCTTGTCCATCAGCCAGCTACTAAGATGGCCGAAGGCATTGTGGGTGAGCTAGGTCTAGAGACGAACGCTCGAGGGGATATTGTTACGAAGATGCCGTTCTACCAGACCAATGTCCCCGGGGTTTTCGCAGCAGGAGATTCAGCCAATCCTTTTAAGAACATACCAAGTGCAATTTTTCAAGGAGCAAACGCAGGCGCTGGAATTGCAAGAGAACTTCCCAGGCGATTTACAAGACATTCAACAAATAGACTCCAAAGTGGTGGCTTAACTACCTGGTTCACCAATTGGATTCGTGCTTAGTCGTACCTACGTAATCGGTCGCATGAAGATGGATATACGGTGCGGGCGGAGATATTTCAGAGACAGCTACAGAACGTCATGTTTGTTTCTATCAAGAAGCAATAGAAACTGAAATAAATATTTACCGCTTGTTGAGTATGGCATCTGCTGAAAAGATGTCTTGATCAGAAAGTAGCTCAGATCGGGTACCGGTGAACATGTCATCCCGGACCCCGCCTAATAGAAACTTAAAAAGCAGCCACTTTACCTCTCCTTCGTGAGGGCATTGTTATAACTCTGTTACCCTATGTATCATGGCCTCTGTCCAAGCTTGCATGTCATTTCTGGAACCTTGGCCGTCCACAGCCGAGAAAGAATCGCCTTACGTTCGCGGAATTGTAGAGGAGCAGTATCCCTCCACTAATTTCAAGAACGAAGATCAAACAGTGCAATTTACCGATGCAAGATTGATAAAAGAGCTATTCACACTTGACAACAATGGATTCGCGTGGACGAACAGTTCTGCCCTCCCCGATCAAGTGCTTGACGTGATCAGGTCCAAGGAAAAAGAACGGGTCATGGGCAAATACTATCCATTGGTGGAGAAGCTATTGAAAGACACATTGGGAGCGACGCATGTAATCATTTTCGATCATACGTACCGAAAACGAGACCCTAGTTTGGATCTTAAAGCAAATCCGAATGAGAGAGAACAGCCAGCTACAGTAGTCAGTTCAACCATCACTGTTCTTACTCTCAATACATGCTAAGACGATATAGGCCCACTGCGATCAGTACGGTTGAAATACCTGCCATGCGGAAGAATAAACTAACATCGTCGAGATCTGCTCTTGGTGCTAGTCGACGCGTGGAACGCCATGCGGGCGATGATGCTGAACGACTTCTCAAGGGAAGATGTCAATTGATCAAGTAAGGCTTACGAGTTCCTCTATATGATTCGTCTAATATTCTCCAGTGTCTGGAGACCCATCAGCGGAGTTGTGGAAGATTGGCCGCTTGCGATGATGGATTTTCGGTCAATGAAGCCATCCGAAGTCCATCCAACAAATATTTTTAGACAGGCACATGATTTCATTGGACAGACTGTTGGAATCAATTATTCGCCCGAGCAAAAGTGGTACTATCTTGAGAAGCAAACTCCAGAGGAGGTGACATTGATCAAGATCTGGGACAATAAAGACGATGTTGCAAATAGTAAGTTTTACTCACGATTCTGAAGAAAGCGCTAAGACTAGAGATCAGTGTGCGCACATTCTGCTTTTCAACATCCGGACCATGAAAGAGCAATTATACCTCGTGAAAGCATAGAAGTGAGGTGCTTGGTCTTTTATGAGAACTCATAGGTACAAGCGCTATATTTTGGCTGTTGATCTCTGTTAAAAAATAGTCTTCATGCAGTTCTCATATGTTGTTTCGAAAATAGAGCGAAGTAGCCTTTGAGAGGCAGCTAGTAAGGCGGTTCAGGTTGCATGTAAGATAGCAAATATATCACGAGGTTTCTATATCTTTCTACAATTTATGTGTAGTTATCCTTTTCCAATAAACATCGCCGGAACATCTATACACCAGATGGTTCGGCCAGGACGTGGGTAGCAACCTAGGCTTTCACTGGTTGACTACTAATAATAGTCTAACGTACTGAAAACAAGTTGCATACGAACAGACCCAACGATATGATCATCAGTCCAGAACCAAGGAAAAATACTTCCCCGCCCGCCGTTTTGTAGCTTTGCCACCCTCCAAGAACGACAGGTCCCAACACATCTCCCATCGTCTCCATCATGGCTAGTGCCGCTAGAACTTCCGCTCTTCGAGACCCAATATGTCCAGAAATGCCGTGCGCTTTGACGAATGACGGTGTGGGTAGTCCCAATGCCAACAGGGCAGCTGCGACATACACTTGCCAGGCTTCAGATGAGGAACCAAGGGCGACTAGTGACAAAGCTTGACATCCGAATGAAAGAACCGCAAGAGTACTATTTTCCAGTTTCGTTTCTGCACTCTGTGAACTTTCCCGGGATAACATCTGATAAATCTTTGGCATAACATACACGCTCATGAAGATGTATAGCGCGCCAATTGAGTGCACTAGGCTGATTAGGAAGCCGTTCTCTCTACTAGTAAATCCGAACTCAATGGATGTATGAATCAGTAGGGCGCTGAAGATGTATGATTGGACCACGTTATACAAGAGTAGACTGAGGCCACAAAAGAGGGTTGAATGGTTCCTAGCCAAGGCTTGCAATGGAAGAATGAAAATCTTCAATGTTGCGTGCGAAGTTTGTTCAACTTCTGGACCTTCCTCGTCCGGGCGGGGATTCTCCGAGTCATCTATGGTGACCACTTTCGGATGCACTATGAGTTGCAAGTATGCAGCTGCAAGTGCGAAAAGCGTAATTGCGGCGACAAAACTGATCGAAGAGTTTGTGAACCATCCGGCAACGAATGGTGATGTCGATATTCCGACCATGTACAAGGCTAGTGAGTAGCCGATAAACGATGATGCTTTCTCTGCTCTTGGATGTTGTGTATACGCAGTATTGAGCGCAAAGTGCAATATGTTGTCGGATGCGAGACCGTCAAACAATTTACTGGACAGTGCTACGTATATGTTTTGTAGATTTTCTTTCCTCTGTTAGCTTAAGCATAATTCAAACTGTAACATTTTACTGACTTCCCACAAATAGCATCATAGGACTCATAGAGCGAATGGTAATCCAGAAGGTTAGTCCGAGTTTTAGTTTTGTTTTCGTGATTCTTTGGAGGGGACCCAACGAGGCTATTCCAAGGATGTTCGATATCGCCGTCGCAACCGCTACATAACCGGCAAATCTATTCGTTTCTTGTCCTTTACAATGGGTTGCATCCTTGCAAAGGAGCGTCGCGTATGTGTAGTAAGCGGTTGCAGAAGTTGAAGATAGGGCTAATGCAGAGAGAAGAGCGAGCGGAAGTACCAGTACTGGAGGCAGATAGGTTGTTCTGCTGATAGATCCGCTTCCAGCTTCATTCTGATCTGTGTTCTCTCCATTATCCAGTAGATTTGTTTGCTCTGAAGGTGGGCCAACCATATTGTTTTTTTTTTGAGAAGATACGTTGAACGATGCACTTTTCTAGTTTGCGCTGATGTAGATGTCGTGGGGGGCAAAATCACAGTACATCCGGTAGCCGAGCGGAACTCTTTTCTTCGATCCGTCTTATTATATGAACGGTGAACATCGCGACAATGATAAAACATCACGAAGAGGAGAACCAAAATGGCCGATATTATTCTTCAAAAACTCATAGTGGACTTGAAGTCTGCACTCCAAGGGTTGCGATCCGATATCACTTTGCAGAAAGCCCTCCACAACGAAAATGCATTGCCAGACAAAGCCCTTTCGGGTCTTTCATCAGAAGCGCTAGACCTTCTCTCTGAGGCGAGGCTCGAGCTTGAGCCCAGCCAAATGGTCCTTGCGGATCACTTCATGGGTAGAGTACCTTGTTTACTCGGTCGAATGTCTTGCTAAGGTTGTCAGGGTATATGAGCACGAAAGCTCTCTGTGCTGCAGTTGATCTGAACCTTCCGGATATCATGCGCGCTGGACCTGTGTTATTCGATAATCTTTGCGAAGCAGCCAATGCTCGACCCGATCGATTGCGTCAAATAATGCGCACCCTGGTCAACAACGGCGTATTCTCATATGACCCCACGAAAGACCTATATCAGAACAATAGGGCGTCTCAATTGTTACTATCTGACCATTGGACACAATGGCGCAATTGGGTAGACCTTTACGGCAACGAGTTCTACGATATGTCGCGCGGCATCCCGCTTTCTTGTAGAAAGGACGCTGTACGTGCGCCAGCGCAAATTAACTTCGATACAGATAAAAACATGTTTGTGTACTTCACGGAACAAGGCTGGATGCCTAAATTCTTCAAAACTTTGAGTGGAGGTGCGATTGCGATGGCGCCAGGGATACTCCAGGACTACCCGTGGGACGAAGTATCCGATGGGACAATTCTTGATCTGGGTGGCGGGAGTGGCGGGCTGATTGCATTGCTACTTCGTGGGCTTCCAACATTAAAAGGCGGCGTCTTCGATCTTGCTAAAGGTATCGAGCAAGCAAGAATAAACTTCCATGGCGAGGCCGGAGAGTACAAAGATGTTGGCTCGCGCGTGCCAGAGGAGAATCTCATTATCGGAGATTTCTTGAAAGAGGTGCCGAGCTTCGAAATATACACCATGAAGTGGTGTCTGCACGACTGGGATGATGAAAATGCGACTACAATACTGCAGAACATACGGCGCGCAATTCGCAAAACCCCTCTCAGTCGGCTCGTAATCCTAGAATCTATTCTCCAAGACGGTCATACAGGGAGGATGTCTCGCTATGGAGATCTGAACATGATGGTCGCTGTCGGTGGCCGGGAAAGGGATCGGAGTGATTGGGAGCGCCTAGCAGGCTCGAGTGGTTGGAGGCTGAACAGAATCTTTGTGCTTAGGAATGCGTGGCCTTCAGCCATCGAGTTCGTCCCTGACTGGGACTGGACGCAGGGTCTCTCATGCACGTAAGAATTGCATTAAATTTTCTGACATTATTTCCGATAATGTTCTCCTTCGTAGATTTCATGCATGCGGTGGAGGTCACATGTTGCAACCGTCAATCGACAACAGGAAGAAACGCAAATCAAGAAGTGAAAATGACTGGAGCGCGTCATGATTTTTCTGCAATCCCAGAGTAAACAGTCCCCATCCTTCGAATCGCTTCTTGTAACACTTCTGGTTCTACAGCAAAAAGCACTCGAGCCCAGCCCTTCTCGGCGTCCGGCCCATGGTATGCTTTCCCTGCACTTACCAACACGCCAGCGGCCTTAAGCTTGCTGATCATCTCCGCTTCTTCTTCCCAGGTCTTTGCGTCTATCAGACGTGCAAACACATACAAACCTGCGTTTGCTGGGAAGTATTGAATATCATACTGTTTGAAAAAACCGGTAAGCGTTTTGTATGCTATGCTCAGTCTCTCGGCATTATCCTTCATCAGCGAAGGCAGCTGCGGTGACGACAGTAGTTTGATGGTACATATAGCCGATAGTGAAGAAGTTTGGGTGTTCGCTGCCAATGCAAGGCCCACGGCCATCCCAGGGTTTGCTTGAGTTACGGTGACGCCCTGCGTTCGATTAGCTCATGCTTGGGAGTCGGATATTATTGCGTTCACCATTCGAAAACCACTTTGACCGAAGTCTTTACTCATGCTCCAAACTACATGGACACGTGACGGGTCAACTCCAATACTGTCAAGATTGATCGATAATGCGGACACGAATTGATGATTCTCAGTAATTTCCGGGTTTGGGAATATGGAGAGAGCATAGATTTCGTCCGAGATAAAGTGGAGATCATGTTTCTCGCAAAATCGTAAACACGCCTCAAGGACACTTTTTGGGTAGCAAACTGCGAGAGGATTATGTGGATTTGTGATTATGAGTGCTTTGATTGGGATGGTCGCATTTTCGTAAGCCTGTTCGAGCGCGCCAATAAGTTTGTCGCTGAAGTTGTCATCGAAGGATGGCAAGGACACCAACACCGGCGTGACAGAGGAGCGAACCCGAAATCCGAAATCAAAACCATCTGCATTATCTCTCGGTCAGAGGAGCTGTACCTGTGATGGTGACAACTTTTCACTTACTCCAATAAGGTCCGGGTGTCAGTATCCCTTCACCAGGATCGCAGATGTTGTAAAGAAGCGTATCTACACAAGCCATAGCCCCCGGTGCCGTGGCAAGATGGGAAGGTTCGACGGGTGTATATGGCGCGAAGTAGTCATTGAAAAATTTGGCATATGCTTCTAATAGCTCCGGATCGCCTGAGAAGCCTTTTGGGTACGAAAAGTGCTGGGGTATAAATCAGTTCCACGAACGCTTGTACTCATCATGCTCCATTCAATATGGCTAACCTTGGGAAGTAGGTCTTGCGCGATAGCATCTTTACAGATATCAATCAGCTCTGGGCGTAACAGCCAATTCTCTGCAGTTGAAAGATCGATGTTGGTGTTCACTTTCTTTGATCTCTCAGCAACAACATCCTTGATCTTGGGCAGAATCCCCTCAACGGTTGCCCATCCACGTTTGGATAATTTTGGCTGCACGTCAGGTTTGTCCGACATTTCGGTATTACACTGGCCTGGAATGAAAAATATAATCTGTGTTGCCACAGGCGCTAGGTGCCGATAAATGTAGTTGTTGCTGTTATCGGATTCGTAGACTGCCTATATCAGCCGGCTCCCGATCGGAAGGCATTGTAAGCGCCGCGATTTCATAGGCCGGTCAATTAAACATAATCAAGATTATAAGCTTCGCGCGTTTTCAACTCCTGACTTTCAGCGGCTCGAACGAAAATGAAGCTGGAAACAAGCATATTGGTTTACGCTTACCCACTTTCTCTGTACGTCGTTCGGCTTTTGTGTCCACTCGCCTTTCGCCGGCAGACCGACCATGTCGCGAAGGAGAAAGCGCGAAGGTTCAATACGATAATTTGGTACCTTCAGTGCGTACTATCTTTATTAATGGTAAATTTCCTGATTGCAATAGACATGCACGATGATGGTATCTAATGTAGTTGAAGCTCATGACCGTTGGTTTCGCTGTTCCAGCATACATATCTGCTATTCGTCATGACAAAGGAATTCTATTAAACGAAGCCTTCCTTGTAAGTCGTAGATCAGAGATTAGGAGAATTTTTGACTTATGTTCTCAATAGATTTCTTACGCCTCTGTTGCGCTCTACTATCTTGCTGGTCTGCTTCCCGATCCAGTTGACGATTTCGCACCCGGAGCTTCCAATTTTTGTGTTTGGATCGTTGGGCTGTCCTTTGAGGGATTATTATGGACTTTTTACGTGAGGACTCTCAACTCCTTCGCTACGCCTCATCTTGTGTTGGGAATCTTCAGGATGGCTATCCTGCTCATGATGATCTCAGCATATGCAACTGCTAGATGGAACCATGTCGTCAGAAAAGTCCATTCACAAGAGACGGATAGGCTCCTTGGTTCGAATGGGAATGACCCAAATGGATACGGGTCAATTGGCGGAAACACCATGCCGGCCACCAAGACTGCACCAGAACGTAAAGCGGGATGGTTGGACTATTTCATTGGCTTCCGGATCTTATTTCCCTACATATGGTAACGTCCATATCTTAGTGTTAGCTATGGATTTTCGCTAACTTCTATGAAGGCCTTCCAACTCTCATAAGCAGCAACTTATATTTTTGGCGAGTTTGATCTTGGTCATTGCTCAAAGATTGATCAATATTTTGGTACCATGGCAACTTGAGATTTTGGTCGCTTCACTTGGACAGGGAAAAATGCCATACAAGAACATCGCTTTGTATGTCACCTGCCGCGCTCTTCAAGGCCAACAAGGAATTCTTGGCTCAGCTCGGGCTATCCTATGGATTCCAGTCAGCCAATCACTTTTCCGGAGACTAACCTGCGCGGCGTTCGAACACATCTTGGGACTTTCGCTCGAGATGCACCTCAGCAAGCGCATCGGCGAAGTAATGAGTGCTCTCAATAAAGGCAGTGCCTTGAACACATTCTTGGATGGGTTTGCGTTTCAATTGTTTCCAATGGTTTTTGATCTAGGCATTGCTGCTATCTACTTCCTCGTACGAGTTGATGCAGTGTATGCATTGATCATTATTGGGGTAATGTGGAGTTACATCTACATGACAATTTACATGGCCCAGTGGCGCGCAGAGGCGCGCAGGGAGATGGCTAAACGAGATCGAGAAATGGACGCCGCAAAGTATGTTGCATCTTTCGGACCACACATGGACAAGAGAAGCTGATTCCACCTCTTAGAATGGATACAATGATGTCCTACGAAACCGTTCACCACAACGTCGCCGTTCCGCTCGAGGTAGAGAGATTTGATACCCATGTTTCTGCCTATCAGAAATCAGAGTTTTTGGTATTATTCTCACTCAACGCCCTGAACATCACTCAGAATATGGTTCTTACCGTGGGCATTCTGCTAGTGGTTCTTATATCATCCTTCCAAATATCACTGGGTGTTCAATCGGTAGCCATGTTTGTCGGTATTCTGGGCTACATGACCCAACTGCAAGCGCCTCTACAATTCTTCGGTAGCTTTTACAATCAGGTCCAGACTAACTTGGTCGAAGCCGAGCGCATGCTTGATTTGGTAAGTAGGAGGGAGCTTATCAATTGTCAAATTTCTACAAGCTAAGGAAATTATCAGTTCAAGCAGAAGCCTACCATAGTTGACTCGAAAGATGCTGCGGACCTCTTGCATTATTCTGGTCACATATCATTTCGTAATGTTTCATTCGCATACGACGCCCGTCAACCAATTCTTCGTAACATTTCATTCACCGTGAAGCCGGGTACTTCTACAGCCATTGTTGGCGAGAGTGGGAGCGGAAAGTCGACCTGCTTGAAGCTGCTTTATCGTTTCTATGATACCAAAGACGGCAGCATCTTACTTGATGGTAAGGATTTACGGACTCTTAAGATCCAAAGTTTTCGGAAATACATCGCCATCGTACCACAGGATACTATTTTATTCAACTCAAGTATCCTGTATAATCTGCTGTATGCAAATCCGAACGCTACCTTGGAAGAGGTACACGAGGCCTGTCGCGCAGCTAGCATTCACGACAAAATTCTTACTTTCCCTGATGGGTACGAGACAAAAGTAGGCGAGCGAGGCCTGCGGCTCTCTGGGGGGGAGAAACAGCGTGTAAGTGTACGATAGTTCATTTGATTTCTCTCTAACATGGCGCAGATTGCGATAGCCCGAGCAATCTTGAAGAATCCGCAAGTCATATTAATGGACGAGGCTACAGCGAGTCTTGATTCCAGTACAGAGCAACAAATTCAAGGCGCCCTGGAGACTGTAACCAAGGGATTGACTACAATAACAATCGCGTAAGTAAAGCATGAAAGTCCTCCACCAGAAGGCTAACTCCATCCAGCCATCGACTATCGACTATCACCGAATCTGACCAGATACTCGTTATGCATCAAGGAGAGATTGACGAGCGAGGTACTCACGAAGAATTACTGTCTTTGGGTGGTAGATACAAGACTATGTGGGAAAAGCAGATGAGCTATGATGCTACTCAAGGTTCCTCGTCTGATAACAGCGACAGCTCAGTTGATTGATAGTTTAGATTCCCCTGTACCGTCGGGTGCTGCCGTCTTATTCACAGGAACTAGAAAGACTCTATAGAAGAAAAGAATCACTGGACGAAGAGAGAATCCCTTATCTACGGCATGTTAAAGAGAACTCTGGCTCTATTTATCTGTTGCATCTATAGGCGATAGTATTGTAATATTTAGATAAGCAAACATATGTTCAAGATTGCAAAGTCTGGCAGTGGCTGCATTTTGAGCGAAATAAGGCGTGGGTCTTTTCGACTTGCGTGACCTTTTCTGATTATTTCCCAACACCACGGAAGGGTCCTGCAGCGCTCTGACCACAGTGCAAGGGCAGGGAAGGTGAGTGAAGATCCATGCAGCATATTGTCAGACTGCCGGCCGTTATGCAGAAAGGTTTCACATCTGAATGGTACAGCGAATAAATGGATGTTATTTGAACCCCGAGGACCCTTAAAAACTGACCAGATGGCTGATCTGATTGGAACAATCGTCCGGTAGCCGATCATTGCCAGTGAAACAAAATCACGATTCTATTGACTCGTGATTAAACTATTACGGTTTGGGATTTATTCACTTAATTTTAATTTAGAGAAGTAAGGTCTACACTGCAGTCGGGTTCCGATGGCGCCTATCTTTGGCGTCTATCATCTTTTGCTATTTCGCTGACTCACATATCGGTATCCGGTAAAACTCAAGTACAATCCACACGACAAGAATCCCACATCGAATTGTGATCAGGCAACTGCAACGATCGTCACTTCAATTATTGATGCCTATGTAACACAACGAACTGAGGTCCCTGATATTCCAACATTTGCGAATGAAGGATTCCAACTCGGCTTCCAAATGACGCGATCACCCACAGCATTACTTGCTCTGCAGGAGATATCTTATGCACTCGATATTCCAATAAACTCAATTGATGTGCAGAAAGACCTCCTGAGTAATGGCGCCAATTCGATAACCCTCGTTCGCCTCCACTATGCACTGAAAACCATTGGCATTCACATGAAACTCGAGACTATGGTTTCTGAAGTCACTATCGAGCAGCTTCTTGGCCACTTGGCGCAGAGAAGTACAACTTCAGTCAGTCCCTGTAATCGATTCTTCAAGCGCAAAGCAGTGGCAAAAGTCGAGTCACCGTCTAAGCGTAACACTGCCGGCGTCAAACCTGAAATTACCAACACGTCAATTCTGAAGTACAATCTTCGATATCCGATGACCGAAATCCAGCTTACACTTCTACAATCGAGTTTGGAAAATCCTGGTTCCAACATCATATCTTACCACGAGACGCACTTACCGAGAGATGTGCCAACACTTCGGGCAGCTTGGGCAAAGGTTTTACAACTTGAACCCTTGCTAAATAGCTCTTATATCCTTGAAGGATCTAAAGCCTATATTGTTGAGCGGAACCATAACTCTATAGACTGGGAGGAAGTCATTGTCGCTGACACCAAGTCCTATAACCGGGAAATCAACAAACAGGACAAAGAAACGCCGATATTTGGACATTGTTTTAGAGTCGTTACTCTTGCACCACACAATGGCAATACTGGAAGGAGTAGAATTATTTGGAGAGTACACCACGGATTGATTGATGGCTACTCACACCTACTCCTACTCTCAAGGCTAGAGAAAGCTTTGCTGGGGGCTGCCCTTGGTCCAACAGCACCGTTCTTCCAGTTTGCAGAAAATCTTCGAAAATTACAAAACGACTCTGCGGCTTCCGGTATGACTTATTGGGCAAAAAGGCATGTTGAACATGACCGGCCGGCATCGCGTTTGTTGCTCCCAACTCCTGCCAAATCTCTAGCGCTTCGGGGAGAGTGCAATATTTTCGAGAGATCCCTTGATCATAGTATTCTCGCGACTTCCTGCAAGAAGATTGGAATAACGTTCCCGACATTATATTATGCAGCCTGGGCCTTGACCATGGCACGGTTTACGGATTCGTCAGATGTACTGTTCGGAACAGTATTCAATGGGCGTTCATTGCCTATTGCGGGAAGCAATTCGGTAATCGGCCCAACCATCAATACACTCCCTGTTCACATCAGGATCGATTCTAGCTTGACTGTTGCTCAGTATCTGCGGGATGTGTTCAGGGACATCTTAGAGCTGAATTCAATGCAGTGGACAATACCCAACCATGGCTTCAGTCGGAACTTTCAAACCGCCTTAAACATACAGAATACGCCACATTTCGTGAGAAGATCTCTTTTACCCATCGAAACACCTTTTAGCACGATTCGTTCGGATGTTCCCCTTCAAGTGGAGATTGTCCGTGGGACCACCGACTTGATACGATTTCATTATCAATTAGAACATTTCAACCAATGCCAGATCGAGACAATCAGCGAGGTCTTCACGTCTGCAATAACGATCGTTCTGAAACCAGACGCAACCGTAGGCTCTTGCCTTACATCTATCGTAGACAGCACACATCGGAATACGTTGAGCTGTTGGGGAAACTGGAACTCTATACATACACGAACTGCTTCTTTCAAGGATGATCTAGTTACTTTATTCCAACGAACTGCCTCCCAGTATCCTTCGGCAATAGCAATACAGAAAGGATCTCAAACGATGAGTTACAAAGAACTCGATCTGAAGTCATCGTCTGTGGCCAGGGCGATATCGGCCAATGTTGAAGTGGGGGATGTGGTATGCGTGCACGCCGATCGTTCATTTAATTGGATCATCGCGATATATGGGGTTCTCAAAGCTGGAGCGATTTATTGCCCGTTAGTCGATACCCTTTCAGCCTCTATACGCGATTCGAATTTCCTTGCTTCAGGTGCTAAGGTTTTTGTTGCCGGAAAAAAAATCGAAACCCGGCACAAGCCAGCCTTTAGTGGGAAGACTATTACAGTCGAAGACATCTTGCTTGGAGAATACGCTGGGGGAATAGTTCAAAAAAATGTATCAGCAGGCCCACACCCTGACCGAGGAGCGTACCTCTGCTTTACATCTGGATCCACTGGAAAACCTAAAGGTGTCTTGTGCCATCATCGAGGGCTTGTTGCCTTCCAACGAGATTTTGACGTCAGGCTACAAGCCCGCCCGGGTTGGAAGATAGCGCAAGTCATGTCTGCAGCTTTCGATGGAAGCATTCACGAAATTTTCTCAACATTTAGTTACGGGGCTACACTTTTGCTCGGGGGCTCAAAGGGCATCAACCACCTGATGGGAGCGGACGCAGCTATCCTCACCCCCTCGGTAGCCAGAGCGTTAGATGTTCAGAGCCTTCCCAGCTTGAAAACGGTTTATTTCGTCGGTGAAGCGGTGACACAAGACCTGTGTGATTCGTGGGCGTCGGAAAAGACGGTGTTCAACATGTACGGCCCGACTGAGGCAACATGCGGCGCGACAATAAAACGGCTTCACCAGAATCATCTCGTCAGCCTCGGAGCTCCAAATCCTTCGACCAGGATCTACGTTTTAGACAGCGCGCAGAGACTGGCACCTCTTGGTGTAATCGGGGAGATCTATCTCGCTGGTGTGCAGGTAGCTTCGGGCTATGTGGCAAACAGGAAAGACACCGAAACTCGTTTCTTGTTTGATTCCGTCAATCCACAGTTTGATGAGAGGATGTACAAAACTGGCGATAAAGCGTACTGGAACGAGGGTGGCGAATTGGTGCTTCTTGGTCGTTCAGACCGACAAGTAAAGCTCCGCGGTTTCCGCATAGATCTAGATGGTCTAGAGGTTCAGTTTCTTGATGCTCAAGAGAAAGGGATGGACGTTTCGCAGGTTGCCATTGTAGTCAATGATGGCGATCTGGTGGCGTATGTCCAGCCTGAGAGCGCAGACGTGAATAAACTTCGACAATCCCTTCGAACACGGCTTGCACACTACGCTATGCCGCGATGGATTGTACCTATAGACTCATTTCCAATGACATCAGCCGGAAAACGGGACTACAAGAAACTCGAAAGCTCCGCGCAATATCTTCGAGTTCAATCAGATATCGACATCATTACTGAGAACGTCACTCTGCTAGAGGATCTTATCATCTCTATCCTAAGAGAGACCTTGATATTGCCAGATGATGTCTTGATTCCTCCAACCTCGAATTTTATTGATCTTGGAGCGAACTCAGTCTCGTTACTATCTTTGTCACACCACATCTCTAAGGCACTTTGCCGAAAGGTGCCATTACAATCAGTCATGCAATCGTCAACTCCACAGGATCTAGCATGGACGCTGTCAATTTCTGAGCTTGATGCCGCAGGCAACGAACCCGAGAGCGATGGCCTTATGTTAGGTGAAGAAAATGTCTCACCGATCGAAGCAGACTGGTGGTACAAATACAAATCTCATCATGACACCTCCGCTTTCAGCGTCAGTTTTGCATGTAAACTAGGTGCAGAGGTTGATGTACCGAGGTTGATGAAAGCGTGGGATAGAGTTCTTTCGCAGCATCGCATACTCCGTTGCAACTACCGCTCGGAGCCTGATGGTAGGATCGTACGAACGTACGCGAACAATCCTCCAAAAACATGTTTTCGAGAACTCTTCGATCTTGACACTGAGATGCATGTCCCCTTCAATTTGGAAAAGGGAAATCTCATTCGGGTCATCTGCTCGCCGAAAACTATGTTGGTGGTCATCAGTCATATCCTATGTGACTTGACAACTTTGGACAATCTGCTTAATCAAGTTGCAAGGATCTATGCTTTCCGCGATCCGCAATATTCGAACATGACTTACTCGCAAACGCGATGGAATAAGAGTATCACGTGTGCTCAGCGAGCATTTTGGACCACATGCTTCGATAATATACGCCCGTTTTCGTTCAGGCAAAACGATATCCCGACAAGAAGTACTTGGGTGGGAGATTCCCATTTAGTTCGGATTCCGAATTTGACTTTCAGCCGTATGAAGAAGTACACGGCAATACAAAAAGCAACAATGCATCAGCTAGCTTTAGCGGCCGTGAGTTTGGCACTACAGCCTGATCAAAGAGATAAGGACATTGTCATCGGCGCCCCATACCTCAACCGGAACCCAGAGAGTGAGATGGGAACTATTGGTCTCTTCCTTCAGCCTTTACCCATACGCATCAAGTACAGCGGCAAAACAACTTCCTCCTCGGATACAAGCTCTTACATTCGAGCCGTGCAGCTGGCAAGCCGCGATGCCGTATCCCATGCTTTGCCGTTTCACCAGCTCCTCTCTATTCTGGATGATAAATTTGACACTCCCAAGAGTCAACTGTTGGACTTCATGGTAACTTTCCACGATGCTGGAGATATGCCCAAGTTAGATGTTCCTGGCGTTGAGCCAATCAACACCTGGACAAGAGGCGCAAAGTTTAAATTGATGGCTGAGTTTACAGCTATGAGAGATGGGAGTCTAATGTTAAGGTTGGAATATAGTACAGAATGTTTCACGAAGGCTGAAGCTGAGATTGTTGGTAATAGAATCGTGGCATCGCTTGAAGGGCTGATCACGAAAGGAACTCTTGAAGAGATAAGGCAATAAGTAGGCGCCGCGAAATCGTAGAAATTATTGAATCAATAGATAAATAATCCTTTCAACATTTTGAGTTCGTCTTCCCGTAATTTCAACAGAAAGTTCTGTCCAAAGTAATTGAATATTTGATCATTGCACACAGAACCGGCATATCCGCGGCCCAGCTGAAGCAATAAGTCTCAATGGATTCAAATCTCCACAATACAAAAGCTGTGGAACCCAGGGCTATTGAAATTTGAAAAAGGACTTGTCCTTACTTCAGCTCTCATTTCACTCTTTCACACCTCAAGGCTACATCCGGACTTGTGATCCAAACACCCTCTTTCTTCTCCCAGTCCTCAACATTTCCGTCAAACCTCAACCTCCAATCTGTCAGTAAGCCTATCAACAGGCTTCTTATTATGATATCCGCCACATATTTCCCCAAGCACTGTCTAGGTCCGAAACCAAACCTCCAGAACGAATACCTCAATTCCGAGGCTTTAGCATCCAAAAAGCGACTAGGTCTGTACTCTTTTCCGTCCGAACCCCAGATCTCATGTTGTACGTTCAACTTGTATGTATCGATAATGAAATTGGTGTGCGCAGGAATCAGGTATTGACCTACGAGTCTCGGCGTAGGAGCTGCTTGTGCCACTGAGAAGGGCGCCAAAGGACGCAAACGCGAAGATTCGAGGATCGAAGCGGAAATCAGCGTTCTGCTATTTTGAAGGTACTTGTGTATTCTCGTTTCATCCGCCGGGTGAGAGGTATTTTCAAAAATTTCGTTGCGAATCTGATCCTGTACATCTTGATGCGTCGCTAGAAACACTAGATTCCATGAAAGCGCGCCGATCGTCACATCTAGGTTGGCGAACAACATCTCATCACACGTTTGCAAAAGCTCTTCTAGCTGTAAGGTTCCCTCTTCTACGGCGGCGAACATATCCACAATAGGCGTATCCTGCTGCGAATGGACGCATGCATCTCTTGCGCGGCGATTGAATGATGCCCACCTGGTCTTGAATTCCCGCAGCTCTCTGGCTGCGCCCCAAGGCAAAAAACGCGTGATTTCAAACCTCGTCATCCCGCCTCTGATCATTCTGCTCCATATTCTTTCTCTCAATTCACCCAATTCTTTCATTTCAGCTTCCATTTCCGTTCCCAGATCTCCGTACAAGAGATTGGCAACAGCCCAGAAAGGTAGGTACTTGAAGTCTTGAACCGGGTCCAGGAGACGAGTCCCCTTAGGCGAAAGAGGACCATTGGTATGAAGATTTTCGAGATGCTTGGCGGTGCATTTGATGATATGAGGGATTTGTTGCGCAGCGGCGCCGTGGGTGAAATGTTGGCTTGTCTGGCTGCGGACTCGCGACCAGTGTGCGCCGCTGATCAGGCCAACACATTGGCCGAGAAGTTCACCCATGAGCCAACCTGAGTTGTTATTGGTAGCTTTTATGTGTTTATCCGAATCGTAGAAAATGGACTTTACGTGCGTGGGATCGGTGATTACACTGGAGATGAGAAGTTAGATGAAAACTGAAGCAGTACCCGACACTAAAGAAGAGAAGCAACTAGTCAAAATCGCAAGTCAAGGAAGAGAAATAATAAATAAATGTACGGAAAGAACAACAAAAATTAGAAGAAGAAAATAATAGCATGAAGATGCTATTCGCATACATTTCGCCCACTGTCCCACTCCAAATCCTATAAATCCTACCAAACTTTTGTCCCCAGGCTTTTCCATTCTCCTCCCCCTCGAGAAATTTCGCGACATCACCCTGTCCGTTGGGCCAAACGTAAGGACATGTCGGAATTGGAGTTTTGTTCACATCGGTGGAACGTATTGGGTATCGAAGTACGAGGTATTTCTTGGAGATTTCAGCCGTTCAGCTCGAGATGAAGAAACGGAGCACTATTGCGCGTCAGGAAAAAACAAAGAGAGAGATTTGAACGAACATTAATTGTCCATGACAGGCAGACAGTGCCATATGTAAAGATTATCCAGCAAACCGAGAAGCCGAAGAACACGGTCTTGAGAGATGTGTACAAAGCAGGGTCCATAGCTCGCTTGAACACACTATAGAGGACTAAAATGAATCTAAAATCTGGAAATTCCGTCGTAAAGAGCCTACGCTTGAGACAAGTAGCCCTCAACCATGGAAACGTGCTTGAGGAAGCAGGCACGTGACGTGATGTGTTCTAGGCCAAAATGGTCAACGCTCGCCGCCCCGGACCCCGAAGTGGTTCGTCGCCAACCGAGACGGCGGATTGTCCTATTCGTCGTGGCCATATTTCGGGCCCCTCTCCAGTATCGTCTTCACGGCTGGTCGGTCAACCATTCTTTTTCCCCAAGCCTCGATCCTGGGCCAATCTTTCACATCAACGCCGAGAAACTTGAACATCCAAGGCATTGCAAAAGGAAAATACGAAATATCTGCAATTGTAGGCCGGTCAGGCAGAGCGATGTAGTCTTGGCCTGGAAGGGAGAGCCTTTGTTCCAATATGTCCCATTGTTTGATAACATTGGCGTGGAGTCTGGATATTAGGTTAAGACAAGGAGCTTTCACTGAACCCTTCAACCCATCAAGAGTATTGTTTCCCAAATAAATATCAGGAGGAACACTCACTTTTCAACCGCCTTCATGGGCGGCTCTGGATTCTGGCGGTTGGGAAATCCTTTCAGAAAATACAACCAATATTTGGCCGTCGCACTACATTTAGTTAGTGGAAAATTCCAACATACATGTACACTTTTGGATGGCACCCATTGCGTACCGTTTTACTTACCCCAAGCCTGCTGTTTGATACGCAGTCCAAGATACGATCTGGCCTTTCTCCCACGCATTCTTACCCTTCCACACCCCATCAACATCAAACTTCTCGGCAATATATTGCAAGCATGCCGTGCTCTCGAACACAATGACTTCCTTCTGCGACTCATCGTCCCAGTCTTTCAATGCTGGAACATAGCGCTCGGGATGAATGGCGTAGTACCACTCATCCGTCGTCTTGATCACTGAGAGAACATGTGGAAATTGAAGCTCTTCGGCCAATATCAAGGGTTTGATGTAATTGATGTAATTTGTCTGGTCGGCTGTGGTTAAATGTGTTAGCACTGAAAATTTCCGCTGCAAAACGTCTCACGAAAGACGGTGTTTACCTTGAATTATATAGAGGATGAGGCGGCCATCGTAGTCAAGATTGCCTTGAACGACTTCCCCGTTAGTCGTCATTATGATTGCACCACGGGTCAAAAACGCGTCTAATCTTGTACGTCTTACAAGTGCCAGTCCAACTGCCATTTAAATTGATTATGCATTACTATTTCCCACTGGAATGGAAGTAGGCGTTTGGCCCGGGAGCCGAGGTGCAACCTTTTCTCAATAAATTATTTCCAGGTATGCACGGGATCATTGCTGTAGTCATGGCTCTGGGAACGGGTTACCGCCCATGATTGGCCATCCTTCCGGCTGCCCCTCCGAGGCGTTGGGACCTTATAAAACGAACTAGGAGTGCGGAGGCAGAAAGAGAGGGATTTTGTCATGATAGGGTGGATGCGCTCGAATAGGAATCATAGCAAGTTATGCTCAAGGTCTCCGAGCTGGCGTTGAGTGAAATTGAAAATGCAGGTGTGCATTGTGAGATCATAGGAACTTATCGCTCAAACACATTTGAGGAGAAGATCGGCCTCTAAGAGCATTCAACCAATTACAGAGCTTCAACTCCACCAATGGGTGGGCGGCCTTCCTTCCAGCTCAACCCGCGATTTATTTCACCATCCTCAGCCTTTTCCCAACAATAATTTCATGAGAGCGCCTTTTGGATGGGATGGATCGACACATTTCGAAAACTAGTCGCAATAATTTCATAGAGCTACACCTATTTGAATCTATGGGGATGTTGTTCCGGAAGAAATCAGTCCTCTGACCAAGCTACGAATATAATCGTATTGTGAAAGTGGTGAAGACTTGTTGTAGCCGTGGGCAGTTTTTGCGTTCCTAAGAGGAAATAAGGGAGTTTTCTCAACGTGTTTGCGCTTTTGTATTTCATTCACGCAATCTAGGTTGAGATCTCTAGGTTCTGTCTAGCTGATCTCATCTATGTGTATGAGCGAAAGAAGTAACGCGCATGGTAAACCGAGTCCCTCCCAAGTGTGTCCAAAACAAGACCATAATGGCACACTACTACCTATTGCTACTGAAAAAATTTCCTAGTTTTTACGATTTCTCAATGAACAACAATGTATTGTATTGAAGCTATGGTACCTGGATATTGAATGAACAATACAAAACATAATTACATTGAAAAGTATAGACAATGTCAACATATACGAAATAAACAATACACGTCGAAATTACTCTACAAATGTGAACAATTCGAGTGTGTAGGTAGTTACTTAAATTCTTTGCTTTACTTCTCTTCCCGCATCCAAACATAAACATTCCTCTACGGTCTTACCAATTGCCCTAGTATAGTTGGACTTCCAGGCTACCCCCATTTACTAAAGTTACACTGTTCTACATTGCTGCATAATCATGGACAGTACAGCTATTGACAAGATTTCACCCTCCTCATGCATTCGAGTAGTACCGTACTCTGCCATTCTGGCCGATACGGAAGAGGCAAGAAACAATGAAGCCTGTGTGGCTTCACGCAATGCTACAAGGTACAATACCTGTATGCACTTGCTTGATGAGATCGAGACGCAAGTGCCAACAACTACAACATTCGAGCACAGGGTCCCTCCGTGGGCGCCTTACCGATATACCATTTGGCAGCCACTCATAGCTCGCAGTCAGCAGATGTCCGAGTCACATATCTTCAAGATTCCCTCTTATCTTTATGAGGATTTGATGAAATGCCACGCGCACTGGATTCGCTACAACGCTCTTGACGAAGAACAAATCACAGAAATTGCCGAGATGTGGGAAAGTTCAAAAGCTAGCTCCGGTATTTGTAAATTGTTCGAGGCGGACAGTATTAAGAGGTGGTTCTTCCGTCTAGACAGGATGAGCACCAAGGACAGCGCCTTCCCCGATCCATCAGTGCAATCGCTACATGATATAATCAAGCGCATTTGCACAAGCCATCGTGGGTGCGATAGCCTAAAGCATGAGTTGGCAACATCAGGAACGATGGAACTGATATTGAACCCATGGGACGAGACTATTCACGCGGAATTTGAGTATCGCTGTTTCGTTCCACCACCTGCTGCTAGAGGAGTCGAAAACGCAACTGCTCAAGATTTCCGCTTGACAGGTATAGCTCAGTATCGCTGGTTTAAGCCGCTTTCCCTCCCTGATGGGATGTCCGTGGAAGAGCTGGCGAACAAGGTGACTGAAGGTGCGAAAGCCGTCCTTGACGACATAGTCACATATGCGACAAAAGAAATCGACCCAGAGGTACTGCAGATGTTAGTCACTTCCGGCTTCGTGTTTGACGTCTTTATACGAGATGGAAAGCGAGTCGAGCTGATCGAGCTGAATCCGTTTGGCGCTGTGAGTCGAAAGGCCCAATGCCGTACCCGGATGTGTGTAGAACCTATGGCAACTGCGCTTTTGAATCCACCCGAGAAAACAGGCTGCATAGGTGGCCGAAACCAGTAACTAATCCAGCTTCCTGGAACGCGATTTCGAATTGTCAGAATGGAATGATTTTGGGCCGCCAACAATGCCTCGCCACTATTGAGAACTGCGCGACCGGGCGGTACATCACGGTCCGAGCCGCTTCCGAGGAGCAACACATCACAGGCAACCCCACGCACAGCACGGAGAGCAGTGCGTACCGCGGAAAATAGTAATGATTGTATGGATTACGGAGTAGCTACAATGATGTAAAACGTGCATCGGCTGCAGCACCTTTCTATCACTTAACATGGCGCATCACACGCCGATATGGATATCAGAGACCCTCAAGCAAACGTTACCTCCCAGCGAACACCTCTTGCACTTGTCGCACCGCTTCTGGAAGACAATGGGTGGTCCATGATTGAGCTCGGTTTAACTGTCAACCGTGGTGGACTCGCCTGCCGCGTAGCTACATGCCGCAGGTTGAACATCACTGCAATCACCATTTACGTAGAGGAGTACGTTTTCCAATGATATATGCTATTAAGTTCCGCTCATCAATAATGATTCTTGCACCGAGACGCCGATTCGCTGCATGTGGCTGAGGCAGACGAAGCCGTGTCACTCTGCAGCATCGATCGACGGACGAATGGGAACCGATTGATCAACATAGATCTAATCATACGGACTGCTTCACGGACACAGGCGGAAGCAATTCCCCCAGGCTACGTTTATCTCAGCGATCGCAGCGACTTCCTCTAGCCGTTTGTGAACATGGGCTGATATTCGTTGGCCCTAGTTCCGAGGCGATGCCAACTTTTGGTGATAAGAGAGCGTCTAAGCCATACCTCCGCGAGCATTTACCAGATCTCCCGCTGATCCCCGGCTTCTATGGCTCCTGCCAACAAAGATCTTTATTTATGCTAAAAACTAGCTCGGACAAGAATGGGACAGGAATAAGGATCGTCCGAGAAGAAAGTCAACTACAGGCTGAACTGGATTAGGAGTAGTTGGAAGCCATGCATAGCTTTGGTGATGCCGGCATCATCCTGGAAAATACATCGACGCTTCCTACGGCACCGAAAGCCGTTGGCATAGACCAAAGCGATGTACGGTTTGGGACAACAGTGCACATTGGGTCAAATGTTTCTATCTATTTTAACTTCATGATCGCGAGGATGGTCGTATGGGCTCCCACCAGAGAACTCGCCTTTGAGAGAATGATCAAAGCATTGGCCAATTCCGTTCGCGCTGGAGTTCGGACAAATGAATTGTTCACGCAAAGCTGCTTGTTACGTCCGTCACTAAGTGACCCCGCTTACACCACTTACTTCATCCCAGACAATCTCGGCGCTTTGCTCGAAAACACGTATACGAGAGACAGAAAGGTATTAATACCATCGAGACTTGTCCCTGATCTTTTCTTACAGCAGCAGAGATGAAGGAGACACGGTCAAGGGACAGAATTCCACAATATTCAGAGTGATTTTCGAAATCAGCGTTTCGATCCGCTGAACCAACAGGTCGGTATTGTCGAGGCTATTGGCAAGGCTTCGACAAGGCAAGGCGACCGAATATCTAACAGCCTGTTTGTTGCATGGCTCTCCGATCTTGCTCATGGCGAGCAAGACTATATATCAGTAATCAACGCAAAGCTTGGGGTTTCAATATACCTGCCCCTCCAACGACTGCCAATGACCCGACCACAGTGCCTCATATTATTACACGTCAATATGCTGCTCTCCGCTAACACATTCATCAGAATAAGAGCATAACTCCAAAGGTAACTTACGATGTCACTCTCGATAAACCAGCCCCCAATACAACTTCGAGTGTGGGCTTGAAATTCTTATCAAAGCCTGTTCGGCAGTTGTATCGATCAATAACCGTAAAATCATCGCTTACATCGTAACACCAAGTAGCGCAAACAAGGCAGAGACAGCTTCCTATGGCATCTCGGACACGATCACCCCGCAGACAGTCCTTGTTCACTTCGCAAGTCTCGGATCTTGGACTACGGATAGAAACTTCAGTCTCTTTCCTTGGGTAGAGAACGTACGTAGGGGCGTTGCATCGAGGGACGGTACAGACTCCGACAAATCAATGGCAGTAACTGCACCGATGCTGAGTAAGGTGCTGAAAATACTGGAACAGGAAGGTGATGATGTCATGTCGGCGATAACGTTATGACAGTAGAGAGTATGAAGATGGAAACAAGTATTCTCTCAGAAGCACCGGGGAAATTCGCTCGCAATCTGAAGGAGGGAAACGCCGTAAATGAGGGTACTGTCTTATGTCGTGTAGTATAGTCATCTGGAGCAATTCCCATCTGTCTAGAGCTTAACCGAGCATTCAGTAATTGTACGGAGTAAAGCCTTTGATATTATTGTGAAACAAAACAAACCGCAATAACATAAAGCACGAGTTGCGCAGCGCATACTGACACTTGAGTCTTGGAAGATGTTGAGGAATACGCAATCGTGTTGCGGCTGAGGATTTCCAAGAATTCGTCCGGGTAAGCTTCTCAAGCATTGTCGTTTTAGTCAAACTTTAGATGGTACAAAAAGTCGAAATTCATGATGGCTGTGGTTGCAGAAGGCCCTTCTTTAGTATCCGCCCATCTACCACGGTACACGTCCCAAACATTTCGGTCCGACTAGCGTACACGTACTCGCACTCGCACTCGCACTCGTTCTAGTCAGATGTCTCAGATAACACCCAAAATACACCCGTTACAGCTGAAGGGACTGCATAGTGTTGCTGTACAGGCAATGCAATGGCTCAGATATATTCATAGCCTGAACTTTATAAGGAAGACGACGGCAGCAAGTTTAATATTTACCACCAGGATTTTAAGAACAATTTCATTCGAACTACCAAAGTTTTTTTTCCAATAATTATTCATTCCTCTTTACGTCATGGCCGTGTTGGATATCCTCAACAAGGGATTTTTCTCTCCTCGATTCATGCTGCCACTTCATCTTGTCCAATTTCTTCTCATAGCTGTTGCAATGGGTCTCTCAGTTCCTCGACTCTTCATGAAGAACCAACCCCGCACCCGTGCTAATACAATTGCTCTTGGAATGGTACGTGACCACGGCATGCAATAACAACAATTGACTTACAACTTTGTAGGGTGCAAAATCACTCATCTTCCTCCTCTACCAGCTTCTTTCGGAATACTCCCGCCCATTCAAGCGCTGGCACAGTTACAAAGCCAATGCCATCATCAACTGTTTGGAAATCGTGTTCTGGGGCGCAGTCGCATTTCTTGTAATGCAAGCCAATCTCAAGCAATGCCATGGCATCTCGTGTTATCTGAGCTGGGGAGTGGTCGGGCTGGCTATCGTTTTAAAGTACGTGGATGTTGTTCGCACTATGTGTGTCTATCTCGATGTCAACTAACGATGAACCAGTATTTCAATGTCTTGGTCCGCAGGTATTGCGATCCGCGAGTTCCGAGAACACAAGAAGCGGCAAGGTCAACCCATTGAAGAAGTTGGGTACGAACGTGACAGCTCGTGCTCGACAATGGCGCTGCGATCATCTCCTAATAAGCGTTGATCACCTCTTACAAGTTCAGCGCATTTGAGAATTTCCATGCCGCTGCTATACAGAGGGGAGGCATGCCGGTTCGCACCTTTTGCCCCAATCCCTTTGACAGCATGTGCTCTTGACAGATCGATTCTCGACTTGTCACATATTCAAGACATGGCCCATTAAGATGCGGCTTTACGTGTCTAACCTCTGTATAAGCTAAATATGGATATATGGTAGATAGAGGTGAACAACAGTTCTCTGGAGACAAGGTTCAGTGGGTTTATTTTCATTTGTTCCAACTTAGGGCGCATAAGATAGAAATTCCTCGTCGGCGTTCTGTAGTGTTATTGCATAGACAATACTTCCCTTCATTTAGCTTCAATGTTTCATAACGCGCTTAAGCAAGGTTGCGATTTTGATAGATGCATTATACACGTACCTTATCCCAGCAACGATCAAATTCTCCCATTGTAGCAAGTGGTCCGTTCAAAAGCAACGAAAAACTTCGTCCAAGGAAATCTTACATGCGCGTTGTGTAATCTGCATGTAATATAGGACTATAGTTCTAGCTCCGTTCAACGTCCATGTAGTAAGTAGGTATATAAAACTGATATTATTATTACAAAAAGATTAGGACATTCATGCCCTGTGTTATATAGCTCGGTAAAACATGTAGTCCATTTGCAACCATATTGTAGCGGACCATCAGGAAGCCTCTGTACTAATGTACAGACTACAATTACGCTTGATATATCTACGAATTAAAGAGGACCTACAATTTGACCGGCCATTTTCGACGGATTCTGTCACCGAACTTGTAGAAGAAGTACGGGACCGGAATGAACGCAAGGCCGATAAAGCCCAAAACACTGTTACCCCAACCAAGTCCCAGGGCATCATACATCGAACCGCCAGCCATCGGCAAAAAGGCCCCGAATAACGATCGAAGAAGAGTGTTGGCCGCAAGGGCTGAGGCCGCAGCCTCAGAACCAAACACATCCACAAGATATGTCTGAGCCGGCATTATGATAAACAGAGATCCAATTCCGATGAGACCAGTCCCCAGAATTGGCACAATCCAATGGGTCTGTTGCTCGGCAGACCAACCATACCAAAAGAATCCAATAGGAAGCACAGGAGTGAGATATGCCATGAAGATGAGTCGGTACTCAGGTTTGTACTTCAAAACAGAGTCAGGTGGCGGCCGGGTTGTGTTGTCGTCTCTTGTGTCTTCGACGTTCTCAACGTCTTCGTTATCATCTACTTGCGAAGTAGACTTATCCTTTAAGGCTTTGGCTTTAAGAATTCTGTCGCTAGTCGATGCAAAGACGACCAAAGCGATCAGAAATCCGATGCCCATTCCCAGATAGGCTAATCCTGAGATACCAGTTCCGAAGCCATACTGTCTGCTGAATACGCGAGGGAAGGTCGTGTAGAGAAGGAAAGTCAGACCAAAAGCGAAAGCAGTGTACACACTGATAAGCAAGACGATCGGCGAGAAAACGAGCAGTTTCAGAGGGCGAATGACCGATTGTGCGAGTAAAGCATTTGCGGAAATGCCACGGTCAAGCCTTGATCGTAATTCGAGGTTGCCAGTCTCTTTCCGGAGTCGGGCTGTCTTTCGATCAAGCAAAATTGCAGCGTACGTTTCGCGCATCCAGATGAACGAAGATCCACAAACAATTCCAGACTAAGAAATTAGATCCCATCTTTCAAGAGTAGGTAGGATCTACTTACAAGTATGAGTATTAACCAAAAGGTCCACCTCCAACCGGCGTTTTGCGCAAGGAAACCACCAGCAACAGGGCCTGCCACAGGTCCTATAATAGGACCTAATGCTAACAACCCCATGACTCCGCCCCGCTCCTCTTGTGGAAAGACATCAGCGATTGTTCCTCCTCCAATGGTCATTGGAGCCGAGCCTGCACATCCCGCAATGAAACGAAATGCTAGGAACATGCTAGAGTCCGTGGCAAGCGCGCAGCCTAAAGTAAATGCCATAAAGATTATGTTGGTCGTCTGATATATCACGAGTCGGCCGTAGAGTTCAGACAAAGGGGCGAGTATCAGAGGCCCGACAGCGAATCCGAGGACATAAATCGACACCGTCAACGATCCTACGATAGATGAAGTCACTCCCAACTCCCTCATGAGAAGAGGTGCACCGGGCGCGAAGACTGTCGAGCCTAGATTGCTGTACTTCATCAGTAAATGCTCATGCAACAGTAATGTATGAGCTTACACAACCAAAGCAATGCTGCTAACAAAAATGGCGTGGAGGTATCTCTTGCGGACCGGCCAATTCAAGGGATTCTGGGGATCGTCTGGACCATCCCAGTCGACAACATTGTCATCGTTTGTAGTGCCGACTGGACCTTTTTCAGCGGATGTAGACATGTCTCGCTCAGATCTTCTATCAAGATCGTACTCGCAGGTCGTGACGTGTAGTCATCCAGAAGGCATTATGGAGCGGAGGAGCGAAAACCATTTATAGGAACTTCGAGAACTCGCCAATCCCCTGCCAATTCAAAAGTACATGCACTGGCCCGTATAGCGTATGTGGTGGGGCGCGGTCTCGGTCTCGGTTCGCACAATGCATTCATACTAGCCTGTTGTCATTTTCGGGTTGGACTGCCGAGAAACATGCGGGGATTGCATTAATTAAATCGACCATCTCCTTTACTTTCATCAGCCTTATACCCTCCTATGCAAGCCAAATCATTATTAGAGTCATCACCGAGTCCGGCCTATCAAAGGACCGAGATTTTAGGGGAAAATCATACGATCCGATTTGGGAACGCCTCAATATGCAAGATTGGAGTATTATGCACATTTACTTTCTAGTAACTACAAGAATTCCTATTGAGGGTCAACTCTTCGGACTTGCAAAAGCTTACACTACAATACAGTATGTATTACTAGCTAAATTTATGACGCGTATAACAATACAATTAGATGGCCTTTCCTTCGTCCGCCCAAATCAACTATCGCTCGCAACGAAGATCCTCCAGCAATCAGGCTGTCGATTATCTCCTTCAGCCTATGCATGCGCGACCTTGAAACCACCAGGCAACAAGTCGGTAAAGATACGATGAGGATCGTACTTGTTTCGGATGTCTTGCAGTTTCCTTAGGTTCTCCTCCCCATAGGTGCTGAAAACCTCTTGCCCCTTGTCTGCATCGTTCAGGTATGTGTACCTCTCCGTTTGATTCGCAGCAATGAGCTTCTCATTCATTTTCGCGTTGACCGCATGTACCCACGCTTCTATCTCTGGGGTATCAGCTTCGGACTCCCAAGTCAATGATTGCTCGATCCAGAATTGCGGATTCTGGGGCATATTTTGGGGTGCGCCCACTGAAGCAGTCGCCCATGATTGTGTGATACAGTTGAATGCAAGTCCGACAAAGAATCCCGGAAGACGATTTGCCAAGCCTGCTTCCTGAAGAGAGGAGAAGAAAGTGTCATGTACTATGGTGGCCGCCTCATACGTTGCCTTGGTGCTGACCACGTGAAATTTCTGGTTTAGTCCATGGGATTGACCGCCGGGCTTGAAAGCAGGACCTAGCGCAGCCCCATATTGGGTTAAAGAAATTCGCCTCATGTTTGATGTATCGTTCAGCGCCTTGAGTGTAGTGCCATTGATGAATTCGGCAAATGGACCGGAGGCGGGAGCCGCAGTTCCATTGTAGAACAGAGTAGTTTGGTACAGAGGTGCTGTGAAATTTGGTCCCCATCGGGCAACTGGGATTACAGCAGCTCCTGTGTCGCCATCTTTATCAATGCTGTTTGTGAAATCCACGATATTCTTGAGCCACGCATCGCGCGTTGCGTTCGACGAGCCGTAATTGGCGTCGGCCATGAGAGGCGTCTCTGCATAGAATGTCTGGAGGTCGAATCGAGTAATAAGCGCGAACGAGTTTCCACCACCTTGAAGAGCCCAATAGAGATCTGCGTATTTTGACTTTGCTGTGACGGTCGCTATAGTTCCGTCCGCTAAGACGGCCTGAATTTTCAGTCAGTTTACAAGACGAGTCGCGAATTCAAGGGCTTCACCTCATAAGCTTTGATCTTTCCTCCAGCAGATCCTTGTCCATGCTTGTAGCTGTACCAGGACATGCCGCCACCAAGCAAGAGGCCTGGCACACCTACCGGGGCCAGTCTGCCTCCAATGACGGTTCGATTTGTCCCTTCCAGATATTGAAAGACGTCGCCCCAGCGAGGACCAGGACCAATGCTCATCGTCTGCTGGTCTGAGCTAAGCTGCAAAGTCTTCAGATTCGAACTAGAGACGAGAACACCGGTAGAATTGATGTTTGCTGCATCCGGAATGGGCATGTGACCCCCACCTCTCATTGCAAATGGGGTCGATGTTCTGGTGAACGTCTTGACGGCGAACGAAAGGTCTTTGGCATTTCGAGGGGCGAAGACGCAGGCTGGTTTGAGCCACGCGGACGCAGTCCACGAAACTTCAGTCTCATTGGTGTATTTCTCATCGCCGGGGAGAAAGGTTATGGACGGATGAGACGATTTCAGGTCGCTACATGCTTGTTCTGGGTTGCAGTCTTTGATTGCTGATGCAATGGCAAGCAGAGAAGAAAAGGCGCAGAGAGAAAGTCGGACCATTTTGGATGAAGGACAGTGATTGTGACAACATTTACTTCTGAAGGGATCTGCAGCTGTTCTTATATGAATTTCGTGTAGAGAAACTTTGGTACTTGTAAGGGTACCCAGGTACTCATGACGATCCCAGAAGGCTAAGTAAGTTCGATATAGCTACACATGCCTGCCATCGATTTGTAGACTCAATACTAGTGTTACAAGAGTATGACCTCAGGAAACGCACGCTCGGAGTCTGTCCAATAGTAAACACCAAGAGTTGGATCGGCAAGGGGAATTTACATCTATAAACGCTAATCCATTATGGGCTAGTGATCCTCGTCATCGCCAATTAGAGCACCGGTCCGCCCGGCTCGCTCTCGCACTCTCGTACTCTCGTACTCCGTACTCTCTCTCGCATTCTCGATTGCGCATTTTCATTTCGTCACAATTGTAGCCAGCTGCTGACCATAGTCAGAGTGCTGGACTAACTGCGAAGGCACGGATCCGGACGAAGAACTTAAGGATACAGATATCAGGATGCTGATGGCTAGCAGAATAATAATTAAGATTAACATTTGAAAATTGTCTGAGCGCATGGTCTATTGCAAACAGAATTGAGGTGTGGGTTCTGCAACTTCTGCTTCTGTTGCGCTTCGCTCTCGCTATTATTCTCGGTCTCGGTCTCGGGTTCGGACTAGGCCTAAAAGATGTGTTGTATCTTTGCCAAGAGCGCAGTAGGTATAAAGTCCTTTGTGTACATATATAGTACTAGTAGTCGATTACAATATCTACAAAACACTCCAGCTAGGGCTATGCCTCCACGTGTTGCAGTCGTCGTTGGCTGCGGTGGCATGGGTCTGGCCATCGCTCGCCGTCTTGGAGTTGGCCGACAACTCTTTCTTGCCGATCATGCAACCGACCTCCTCAATACCGCCCGCGATACCTTGATCGATGAAGGCTATGCTGTCACCGCTACCCTTCTTGACGTGTCCGACTTCACTTCTGTCTGCGCGTTGGCTCAGGCCGCTGCAGCAACGGGGATTGTTGAAGTCGTCGTGCACACCGCAGGCTTATCGCCCACCGCAGCATCTTCTCGCCGAATCTACGAAGTCAATCTTCTTGGCACTGCAAATATTATCGAAGGCTTCCTCCCTGTCGCAACTCTGGGTACGAGTCTCGTGTGTGTCTCCAGCATGGCAGGCTACATGGTGCCGGCTCTTTCACCTGGCCTGGAGCGCCATCTCGCAACAGCTGCGCGCGGTGAGCTTCTAACTCATCAGGAGATATCAGTGGATGCAGATGATCCTTCTGGCCCTGGACAAGCCTATGGGTTGTCCAAACGTGGAAACCTGTTACGGGTCCAAGCTGCTGCTCATGCCTGGGGAAAGCAAGGCGCCAGAGTGAACTCTGTGAGTCCGGGCGTTATATCCACCGGCACTGGGCGTAACGAGATCGCAGCCGCTGCTGGCAAGTTTATCGCCTCGAGCCCGGCCGGGCGAGTTGGCACGCCGCAGGATATCGTGAATGCTGTTAGCTTTCTATCCAGCGCAGAGGCGTCCTTTATCACCGGAACTGATTTACTCGTGGATGGAGGTGTTGTCTCAAGTCTGCGATGGAAAGATGCCAACCAAGTGTAAAGACGTACAGTAAATCAACGCCAAAACAGTGCGGCGCCTTGTTAGAAATTAAAGGGCTCAAAAAGTAGCTCTGGGTCTTTATCGTTGCTTAATACCATCACTTCCGCGAGAGCTGTGCTAATTGCAGCATAGCTACTAAACGTACCTCCAATGTTTTCTCCCCTTCCTCATACACTGATGCCCCCACTCTTGTTTTGCTGCCCACCGCCCTCTGCAGGTATCTCTTGTCCAGTCGATATTGTCATTTGACAAGCGAGGGTAACTCCTAGAACCTACATCAGGCACAGGTTCAGATAGCTACCTTCTGGAAAGAGATTTGCACACAGTCCAATGTAAGAGTAGCGCCAGAACGCTCAACAAAAGGCCCCCAGGCGATGATAGGGTCGCCCCCTCGAAGGTTCCCTGAGCGTATGTCTTTTCAACGCCGAACTTGATCGTGTTGTCACGAGCTGTCGTGAAACCAGTCGTTAGGCCGTCGCTAGGAATGGTCACATTGTACTCTTGCAGTTTGAGTTAGCCGTTCTTATCAACGTAGACTCTTGTCAAGTAAGTATCATTGCAGGATCCATGCAGCTGAGAGCACATACAGCGCAGACTTACCTCGAGTTCCGTTCTGGATGGACAGTGTGTCTTTGCCGTCGGACGCCGTAGCGAACGTTATCGGCGACCAACAGAACGCTGTGTTGAAAGGCGATGGTTTTGTCTTTCAGCTCGTCAACGCTGTTGGCGGCCTTGCTGACCACCAGCTGGAAAGGGGCAGCGAGGACGCTTGAGGCGAGAGCAGAGAAAGCAATGGTAGCCTTCATTGTGTCAAGGCGGCTGCGGCTTGTGGGTCTATTGATATAGTAGAGAATGTCTTGCGAGCCTGACATCCTATGAAGCTCTGCTCTCGAACGCCATATTTGAACCTACTTCCCAGTATTGTGTTCTACTAACGCCTATGCCAGCTAGGAAACTTGAGCATCAATCATGATTCAATCAGTGGCTAAAGGATGGTGATGCGGGACTGCTGTTTCTGTTGGACACAATGCGAAATGGGTAAACTAAACAACTCTGAGTTGGCTATCGCTGATTACGATGTTGCTCACGGACCAGCTTCGGAAAGAGGAAAGAGAAGTCGCCTATGTTGTTTATCAAACCAAACCTTTATTTGGCGCAGAGCGACAAGCGACTTACAGAAGCACTTTTCCTTGATCTCGTTCTGCAGACTTTCGAGAAGAGAGTAGGGGACCACGATCTCGAATTAGAAATTGAAGACTTCGTCCGCAGCGACAAATGGAATAGCCTGGATGATTACGACGCGCTTCAAGCAGGCATCAAATTGCCCAACCGGGTTCTTCAATGCGTGCCTCCTGATGCAACAATAGTACTGGTTCTGGACTGCGTCGACCAATGTCAACGGTCATACGAGATTGAGAGGTTGCGCCTTGGAGTAATTTACGTCCTTGATGCTTAAAAATAATATGAGAAGGTCGTTATGTCCTTTGAAGCACTGGTGCAGATTCTGAAAGATGGATTCAGTGTGTACAATATGTTTGTAGCTTGCTGACCTATTTAGCGTACATTTATCACGCAGAGTTGTAGCAGAAGGGATAATGATCACCCCAGCGCCAAAATATTATATGCTGTCGGGTTTGCAGACCATTTGAAAATCCCCTCTTCACAAACGATGGCTTCAGCTCATTCTCTTCTCAAACACTATATCTCTCAATCCAATTTCCAGACCTCCAAATTGCGATAGCGTGCAACAAGCGGTTGCATCTGACGAAATGCTATCCGGCCTTCTCGGACGACTGGACCAGTATTTGTTTTGGTATCCTCCCAGGAAAAGAGCAACAATCCATTGATAGAGAAGCGCACATCGCGCTTGTCTTTGACAACTTCGACCTTGTAAAAGGCTCCCTTCGCATCAGCAACCGGAGGTAGTGGGTCCGCCCCTTGCGCCACGAGATGAAAGCCAGGAGATTTTCGCAAATTTGCTAGATGGAAAGCGCGCTCCTCCGGCCATCGTCGACGGAAATATGACGCATGAAGAACACGAATATCTCCAGAGTGATATTGGGGATAACTCCCGTTTCGAGGCGCAAGGCCTTTGTCGAAAATGCTACCGCCAGCTACTGATGCTCCGCCGAAGAAAAACATTGCAAGACCGGGTTCCTGGATGGCCGAAAATTCCCAAGTAATGCGGATGCGATCAGGGAAAACTTCAGGTAGCCAGTAGACGAAGTAATCGTCTGCTTTGCCTCTGCCACTAAGTTCAAGGGTGTTGTTGGACACAACTGCGTTTAATGGGCCTTCGGCTACCCAGCTCGCGATGGAACTGCTGTCATTGAATGTATTGCGATAAAGGAGAGTATCAGCTCGGGCAACGGACATCATGAAAGCAGTTTTGATAAGCGTGGAAAGACGCATGATGAAGACCCGAGACTGTCGTGGCGACTATCTCAACAGAGAGAATATTTTTGACTGTATATTTTTGCAAACAATTCGCCAGCGGCACAGCTATGGCAAAACCACACCTTATAGCTTCGCGTTTCGGCCAAATTTCATCGTTGTCTGTGGACTTTCATTGCCCCGAAATCTTTCAAATCGCGCGTCAATGCTCGACGAGCTCATTTCTCACTGCGCGAGCCACGGGTAAAGTACCTACAAGAGTTTAGAAGGAGCGGCATCGCAATGTTGCAATCGCCCGCGAACAATGCATCATCGTAGTAAGTCCAAGCCCAAGAAGATTAACAGCAGTCTCTTGCCGTTCGCTTGCCTCTGAGCTAGGGTCAAATAGGGTAAGGCTCGAAAACCAAGTCCCTCGCACATTTCCACCTATCAATCGATAGTTGGGAGAAATAATAATGCCTTACGAGCATTTCATCATGTGTACTCGACTCAGTTTTCCGATCCTTTTTCTCTGATTCAAGATCACTCATCATCTGCTCAACACTATTGCGGGCGAGCACCTTCTAGGATGGTTGTGCCATGGATTTAGCCCAGGCGGCTTGTGAAAATGAAAAGGAGAGATACACGGGCGTTCACCGTGTACGGCAGCAGAAATCGTGCCCGAATAGAGATAGGCAATATGTCGTCATCCGTTTTGGTATCTCAAACACCGAGAAGCACTGGGATAGCAAGTAATTAATAGTTAGATAGATAAAGATATCTCTAGGTATATGATGCATTTTTTATAGTTTATTTGCTAATACATTTACTTGCTTCTGTAACCAACTACTCCCCTGCTTGTTTCTTTCTAGTATTGTTTGATGACTGGAAAGGATTATAATGTTGTAGCGACATGGCGTATAGTCAGTTTGTTGATAATGGACCTTGATGTTACCTTCTAAGCTTTTGACAATAGAAACCCCCCGTTTTGTAGTTTCTGGAACACCTCGCCAGGGTCGTACTTCTTTGCTATTGTCCGCATCCTTTGTAGATTAGCTGCTCCATACGAAGCAAGTGGATTCTGGTCCCTTGATGCATCGTTTAAGAACAGATATGGTACATGCAGACCTCGTGCCTTGCTCAATTCAACCCATTTCTGTTCAGTAGCAATTGGAACAGCTCGTACAGCATCGTCATCTTCAGCGCGTGTCCAATCAACCAGAGTAGTCCACCCTTTCTTTCATGTAAGCATTTCTCAGACACTAATTTCAGATAAATATCTTACATTGATGTGCTTCTTTTGGGACCCCCATGGGGTTTCCACCTTTCCTAGAACCCTCTCGAGCAAGATTTGGGGGCACAGGTTGAAGAGTGAAGGTCATGTTTGCTCCAGTAGAATTGTGGACTGCATCGGCCTGCTGTCTCCAAAAAGCGTAAACGTCTTTGTAAAGCTGCGCGTCAACTTTAGAGCTTGCAGCCCTGTAATCGTGTCTGTGCAAAAACCATCAGTTCTTTACGTTTGTAATCCTTTCTCGTGTTCGATATCAAAAGCCACTTACCGCAGAGCTCCGGGGGCAGCAACTCCACCTAACAGATCGGTAAGGCTTTGAACAGTACCGTTGGTAGTGAATACGGGCGCAAGTGGCGTCAGACTATTAAATGCATCGAACGACGCAGGTTTGGTCGCTGGTTCGGAGTAGAAGAAACCTAACGTCGTGGACTCAAGCCCAATAATCAAAGCTACTGTTGCCTTTACGTCAGAAGCGCCCGTCTTCTGCCACTTCGCAAAAGCGTCCAAGATTGCGGGTACTTCTGATGTGGCATACTGGCCCACCTGATACCACATATTCTTCACTGGGACGGTGTTTGCCTTATAATTCACTACAATACCTGCCGGCAGGAAGGTAACCGAGTCAGATAAGATCGTAAGCCGGGGTGAAGACAGAGCAACACTAACCATAATTTGGCCCTCCTCCTTTTATCGCCCAGAAGAGATCCGAGTTTTGTTGTACACTAGCCTCAACTATCTTTCCGTCTGCCAGCACAATCTAAGAAAGGTTCTTTAGTAAATTGGTGTCATAGGTAAACACTAAAACTTTAGTAGAACGAGAACGACCTACCTCTACGGACTTGAGATTATCTACTGCCATGCCGAACTGACCCGAGAAGTGAAAGAACCCGCCTGGTAGGCATTAGCCTTGCGCAATGTAGTCGAAAAGGAATTGGAAACTATACCTCCTAGGAACGCGCCGCCAACACCAACGGTTGGGATCCTTGCGCCTAGGACACCTACATTGTAACTGTCCAACTTGGCATAGACAGTTCCCCACCGAGCGCCTGGTCCCAAATCGACTATCTTTGAGTCACTGCTCACAGCGATATGATTTATCTTTCGCAGATCGATGAGCAAACCCTCTCCTTGTAGGATAGAAAATCCCGGATTGGGACTATGACCTCCACTCCGCACCGAGAATCGATGATTAAAAAGATTCACAGTCTTGAGAATTTGAGACACTTGCTCCTTTTTGTCTGGGGATGCGACGCAGCTCGGCGTTAACCATGCGGTTTGTGACCTAGGCACGGCTGGTCAGCGTCTGCAATATGAATATGTTGCAACGGCAGCCGGGAGAAGCATGGACTGGGAGAGGGAATTTTACCAGCTCCTCTGGACAATGTTCTTGTCCACGGGAGGCGGATTCACTGCAGCCTTTCCCAGTACTAATTGAAGCGTCTCGCATGAGGTAGCATCGAGTCGGGACTTATCGTAGGTTTGGTTCTGCAGGTAGGCGTCGAAATTGCTGTCCTTGACCAAGCGATCGCGGACAGCGTCGGATTGGTCTTTTGTCAGATTCAAAGAAGTTACAAAGAAACCTATCGTCTCATTTGAATTAGGAGCTGTAGCTCGTTCCAGGAGGAATGAATCTGCAGCAACAGGACTAGGTTTAAGTGCTAATGCAAAGCAAATCAGCGATAGTAACACCATTATCACAGTTCACCTTCTGGCCTTACACAGTCGTAGAGTGAATGGAACAAGAATGTATGGTTTTCTACAATAGAAATGCGAGCCTCTATCTAGTTATACTTATCTACCGGGATTGACATATGGAAACTGGCAAACAGTCATGCGCACATGGTATTGGCAAAATTTCCGTCATTTAGAACATCAAATCATTCTTCAGATCTAAATAGAAAGAATGTGTTTGTTGGAAGACCCTGCGAAACAAGGATCCGAGATTGACATGTCGATATTATCCACCACTATAAGCCAGCCTCACGGACAGATAAGAGGCACAGCAGCTGACCAATCTGTGACAAAAGGGTCGGGTATATAAGCACATTGAGAGAAAATCTCCTCGCTTACGACATGACAGGAAACAACGATCTCAATCTGATCGCTTTTACAACGAACAATGCCACCTCCACGACCGCGGAAGATTACAGCAGGCGAGCAAGTTGTCTCGGTGTAAGACTGAAATGAATTTCTACACAGCTTCCTTGAAGGTCAAGAAAACAATGCGTGCTAACGTTGCGACCTTTATACAGTTTTGACGGTGCAATAACTTTCCGCAACCTGCCACACCCAACCCGAAACTTCAACCTTGAGGTCACCTTCTCAGATCACCACCCCCACCTTCTACGCCTCCGTGAACATGAACCTCCACCCCACTTCCACTACCTCCAGGTTGAATACTTCCAAGTCATAGAAGGAAGTCTCTACGTCGACGTCGGCCCGAATCGCGTCCTCCTTACTCATAACGATGACGAGCTCCCAGTGCCACCGTGGGTTCGCAACCGGACAATCCCTGGACCCTTATCAAATGACCAACAGGTGACCAAGTTTTTACTTTCCGGTCCAGCTCCGAAGGGGAAGGAATCTCGCATGTTAGATTACATTTTCTACGAGAACTACTATCGTTACATGGATGAGATGGTATCCACGGGACAGGCTATAGATTTCATCCAGATACTCTGCATGTTCGATGCTGGAGGCTCTTGCATTATGTTGCCGTGGTGGGTCCCGTGCGGGATGTTGGTTTCCAGAGCTCTAGGAGTAGTAGTGGGAAGATGGATTGGTGCGATCTTAGGTTATCAGCCGTACTACCGGGAGTGGACTACAGACTGGGACACTGCTGCGCGACGGATGCGCAGCTCACTATGGCAGAGGAGATTTGCCGGGTGATAAAAAGACCACGATTGGCTCGGACTTGTGCCCTGTTTCGAGTTTTCATTTACTATTTTGAGGATTTCCTTGAGTAGCAAATAATGTGGTGCGGCAGTGAGGAAATAGATTGTGGATTTTGTGGGGTAGACTATGGGTTACACGAACTCCGCAGAAAAGCAAGGTTTTGCCACAGGTATCATACAAATGACCTGCGAGTACTAGTATCTGCATCAAGGACTATGATTGGTTACTCCATAGATGCGTAGAGTATCATTAAAACGTCACTTGAAGGGAAAAGTAACACTATGCAGACAAATTTGTGTTTACAAAGCTTCAGGTACTGATGTTGGTACAGTACATACATTTGATGCAACAATGCTGGGCACGGAATTCACTCGTTTCTACAGGCAACTTGATAACCTCAAATGTTCCTAGATCATAGCTGAGGGACACTAAGAAGTGTACATTTGTTCTCATTAGAAGCTTTCGTTCGACTAGCAACCTTTATACACCGGAACGTTAGGCAACGTCTGTACCTTCCTCCCTGCCCATCTCCCTTTCTCCCTCCCTATTCCCGCGACCCTTACACTGTGTCTCCCTACTACCTTCATTCTCCCTCCGAATAGTCGTAAGTTCGAATTCATCATTAAGTGCTGTTTGCGACTCTCCACTGTGCATTCGAATATACGGATCCCTTCGTCCCCCTCTATCTCTACCAACTCCAACACCAACAAATCCCCCAGAGCTATCTTCCAATCTCTGACTCGTTGACCTCAAGCCTGAATAATTGTCCTTAGAGGTGCACTGACTCTTCTGCTGCACAGTCTTGATAAAAGCGCCAACCTTGGACCCAGCTGAGCGAGCAAACCGCTGTAGATATGGTTTGAGTGCTATCAAGGATGAGCCTATCATGGCCGCTGATAATTCCGCTTGTGTTGGGATCCACATTGTATAGCCGTAAGAGTCAAACTGAGGAGGTATGACAAGGGCAAGTTGTTGGTTTGCCCCTTTACTCAATTGTCAGTGGGAAGTTAATTGAACTGGATGAACACGTACATCGTGGGTCTATATACCCCATTCTATTCCACTGAAGACCGAAGACGGCGAGTTTGTACGTTGCAGCTATGCAAGCACTAGTATACATAAGTAACAAGTCTCAATTACAGCAGAAAGAGAAGGATTGCTCGAAACCAAGCATCAGCATGGGAGTTGTTGTAAAAGACTTACCTAGCCCCGAGAGTAAACATAGTAATCGCGCCAAATTTCTTCCCACCGCTCAATTGCAACCTAAGAATCGGAAAGACTGGCAATATCAAAAGGATCAGATCCAACACCAGAGAATAGCTGTAAACCGCAGCATCGTATATCCACTTCAGAATATTGTCCCCACAGTACCGAGCCCTCTCAAAGGGTTTCCAGAATTTGTGAATAGGCTTGCAGAGGAAGCCGGCATAGATGACGAATGTGATGATATAGATAATTGTCAACGCTATGGTGATGCGGATGGCGAAACGCATGGGTTTACTAGCTTTTGAAAAGACACGATCATAAAAAAGAAGAATGGCGATGCGGATCAGGCCACTAGTGAGTGGGTAGAGAAATTGGGAGATTGCGATGCCCTAGGGTTATTTTGTTAGACAAGAGTACTTCATTGAAGATCTATGAAGCGTCTTCTGATAGTGTTACAACACTACCAGCGTAAAAGAATCGTTGTGCTGCATAGTAGAGAGCAGCACGGGCAGTGGATGATGCTAACCTTCAACCACAACTCAAATTCCTGAATGGATACCTCCCACAGTGGTTTTTCAATCCCAGCCCGTGCATTCACATAGGCACCAAGTACCGAATGCGCTATGTATCCGGCCTAAAGAAAGGAGATTAGCCACTGGTTGTGTATGAAGACAAGCAGAAGGGCACGATGATGGCCTTACCAGAGCCGGAATCATGGCCCAGTCGTCATAACCGAACAATCTGGCTCTAAATCGCAATGTAAGTCTTGCGATCGTCGTAAATCCCGCGATAATGAGTAGAACAATGATGAAAATTGTTGTGTCCCATTTTCTGTGCGCGTTATTGATATGAGTTGGCGGTGGGTGAAGCTCGGCCTTTGAGGACATCATTCGATCTGCCTATGAGTGATGGATAAATGGAAGTAAAAGGCAGAAATTAGAGATTCTCAAGTAGAGTGAGCTTTCTACTTCGTTCATGGTATCGATTAGACCTGGCTGATAGGACGACTGCAGACGTGACGTAGAACATGCCTTGACAGACATATCGGTGACAGTGACGCTCCTGCCGCAATGGTGATAGACTTTAACTTTATTTAGAGAGTGATTGGCGACTTTATCGGGAAGGAATGACTCTATGTTCGTCCCTCAAACGAAGCGGCACAGACAGGTTGAACTGATTGAGCAGCCATAAATGTAACCCTGGACAGATACAAAACCCGATCCTTGTTCGCGCGTTGAAAATGTCTCATCAGGCCATCACCTCCCACCAATGAGATTTGCGCTCGTTCATTGTGCCACCGATGGGTAGATTTTCTGACGATATTTCAATGTGGCCGACAGGAGGATTCCGGTAGTATACCACAGATGTAGTTGCCTTTAATGAATGATGGGACAGGTGACTAAAACTCAAGAGATTATATGAAGCGAGGTGACAAAGAGAGAGAAGACCAAATTGCAGAGAAAAGGAAAAAATAAAAGGGCCTTGGGGGGTCGTCGAAGGGCCAGATCTGAACCATCTAAACGATCCTACAACTCTCTTTCATCTTAAACAAAGGATTATTCCAAATGTCTTCTGATACCAAAGCCAACGCCGGCACACTGGCACAGCAATACGGTGGGAACAGCAGGTCGGGATGGGTCGGCCGTCTGCCCATTTCGTGGCTCCCTTATGTGCAGCTGGCTCGCTTGAGTCCTCCCGCGGGCTTGTTTCTCATCTACTTCCCTCACTTGTTCGGTGTGTTGCACGCAGCTATCGTACAGCGCACAGAGATTTCGCAGGTGGTACAGTCGGCATTACTCATGCTGGGTGGGAGTTTCTTTGTCTCCAACTCCATTCACATCTGGAACGATCTCATCGATGCACCTTTGGACGCAAAGGTGGAGCGTACTCGCAACCGACCTATTCCACGTAAAGCCATCTCACCAGAGGCGGCATTTGTGTTTACTGTCACACAAGCAATTGGAGCGGCTGTGTTCTTGCCTCTTATGACAGGGAACACCATGCGCAACATTCTATATGCTGTCCCGAGCATATTGGGCTGGACATACTATCCATGGGCGAAAGTACACACAAACGTGCCACAGCTAGTGTTAGGATTCTGTCTAGCATGGGGTATCCCCATGGGCTCACTGGCCGTCGGGCGAGAGACCATTGGGTTTGGTGAAGGCGGCTTTACGCTGGGGATCGAGCCTGCCACACTGTGTCTCATCCTAGCAAACACTTTGTGGACGATGATCTATGACACGATCTATGCACACCAGGACCTTAAGGACGATATTAAGGCTGGTATAAAGAGCCTGGCAGTTCTGTATCGAGAAAGAACAAAGACACTGTTGTGGCAGTTGCTGTTGCTGATGGTAGGGCTTCTTGCAGCAGTAGGATGGCTGAGTGGAATGGGTCTATTGTTTCAGGCAATAGCAGTCGGCGGCCCCATGGTGTCTCTGGCAGTCATGATCCAGAGAGTGGAGCTTCAACGCACAGAGAGCTGCTGGTGGTGGTTTGGGAATGGGTTCTGGTATGCTGGGGGAGCCATGGCGGTGGGGCTCGGGGCTGAATATTTGCGGATCATGACAACAACAGGCCATTGACCAAGAAACTGCCGTGATTGATGTACGTTGGATGAACAGGAATTGGGAGACTGCCCGTTTGCGTGTGGGAATTGTTCCGTTGCTTGGCCAGAGAGATGCAACCAGTAGTGGGGAAAGCAAAAATGCGTCTTACTCATGTTCTCGTATCACAACATAAAGTTCCTTCAAATATTTGCATCGAAGTGCCTGTATGTTACTTCTTGCTGGATCGGTAGGGTCGTTGTATCATTGATGAATTCAAAAGTAGAGGTACGAAGAAGTACAGGAACTTGAATGGGAGTTACAATAAGGTTGTTGGCAAGGAAGCGCTACTTGCCACGGGCCGCGACCCACTTACGCCCCTCTCGCTACTGCAAGACCTCACAGACAATATAAGGTAGGCTGGCAGGCTGGTAATAGTCATTCAATCTTCCTTGTACCAACATCAATACTTGTTCCACCGCTGCGCCCACTCTTCATCCAACTTCACTCTCATTTGTCTCTATTCCCTTTACCCGGAGGGGGGCCCACAGCCGGGCATGGACTTTGTTGTTCTATGTACATACACATGCAGACATTGCTAATTCCCGAGTGCCTCATGGGCGCAGGGTTCGGGTAGTACGGAATCTTCGGCAAATATCATCCTTTACCTAGGCTATACAAATTCCGTGGCTAACGTCTACTGCTATTGGATGGGACATATGAGGCGGCATATATTGAATGCAGCCCAGCCAAATATAGAGTTGCCTGCAGATTCCCCGCATCGGCGATGGCAAGAGGGAATTCTATCATGTGCTGTAAAGGTCCCTGTAATACCAATGCCAATATCAACATCCAGTCCACCAGTACAAACAGGGCAAGTATTTTCTATGTCCCGTTCTCGTTGTTTAGGAGTAAATAAAGAGAGAGCATTGAGGGAATAGAGAACTTCAAATCTATCAATCAAATGGCCTCACCTTCGCCGCTCCGCACAAAACCAGATAGAAATCATCCTGTAGTCGCGTAAGCTCTGTTTCAAATCTCCTCTCAGCTGTATCTATTCGTCCACCATCTGCAGTGTCACCGAACTCCCAGCAATACACAATGTCCAACATCATGCTTTCATTGACAACCAACTAACTCCCTGGCTCTTGCTCTCCAGCTTCGATGGGGCGATTACCGCCCGCGTTCATCCCGACCCGTCTCACCCAAACCGGGCCTTTAGCTTAGAAGTCCTCTTCCATCTCACCCATAACCACCTTCTAAAACTCGGTTCGCAAAAGCCGCCTCTGCATTTCCATCCCTATCAAGATGAATACATCCAGGTAATCGAAGGCCGCCTCTACGTCGAGATTGATGGCGTCGAAACTCTTCTCACCCCTACCCATGGCGAGGTCACAGTGAAAGCGTGGTCCAATCATAGGTTGTATCCTCCTCCGCCTACCGCCGATGGAGAGAAGTGCAAATTCATCCTATCCGGTGCCGACACTCCACATGCATTTCGTCTTGACAATGTATTCTTCTCGAACTGGTATGGATACCAAAATGATGTTTTTCTCAATGGGAAGAAATATGATCTAATACAACTTCTTTCGGTGAGTGCCTTACATGACTGCGACCCAATTACCAGATGAGAAATCATCGGCGTCAACCGTGTGCACCTGTCTGATTGATCTGCTCTTCACGTCGAATTAACAAGTCTGATCCATTAACATATCATGACTTTTGATCCAGATGTTCGACGCCGGTTCCTCGTATCTTTCTTGGCCTTGGTGGATCCCTTTTGGGCGGTATGGCTCTATGGCATTTAGTATCGTTGTCGGTAGATGGGTCGGGGGTTTGTTGGGATATCAGCCTTTCTATAGGGAGTGGAGTGTTGACTGGGAGTCAGCTTGTGCGCGCATGCGACAGTCGATGTTCCAAAGACGTTTTGCAGTTGATGAGAAAGATAATTGAGCATCTTTCGCTGCACAATCTCTGCAATGTTGCGTTAGGGCGCAGTTCCCTTAGGAACGGAATTGATGTTCACACAAGATGCTTTGAGGCTGATCTTGCCGCCTTCCTTTTCTCATAGGAACTAATGTCATACTTGCTACAAGAAAGTAAACTTCTCGCTGCATAGATTAGCTGACCAATTCGTAGCCTCGGCCTATCTCATAGGCCCCAATGAAACCATCATGTCACACCTTGCCTCGTGGCCGTATCTCGTGCATCTTAGACGACCAGTACAAGCGAAATGAAGTCATTCCATGAAGGAGCTACCTTATGAGTCCGTGGCCGAGGACTCAAAAATCAAACACAAACCAATAAACGCCACAAACAAGCTAGGCTTTGATCCCTTCCCGCTTATTCTCGTACATCAGGTCCATAAATTTACCGAAGTACCTTCCTATTACAAACACTGGGCAAGCAGACTGACAACCAAGCTTTTAAAGAGGCGGTTCCCTTCTACTTACAGTATCATCCAGAGATGCGGAACGAGAGCGCATACTGCATGGCTGTCATGGTACCTCTTGCCGCCAAATCTTCTATATTCCTACTACTTGTCTTGTCAATAACAACACCTTACCTCACAGTCGCTGCCACGATACTGGAGTCAAACACATTGAGGCCAAATATTAAGCAAACATGCGAGACTCTAAAGGCCACTGTGCTCACGTTCCTCCCGTCCTCGTCTAACTACACAGCCCTGGCAACAAAGAACTGGTCTGGAACAGCTTGGAGCAAGCCATCCTGCATTGTGCAGCCGTCAAGTTCCTCTCAGGCGCAGGAGGTTGTATCAGTTCTCTCAAAAGGTGGGGTTTCTTTCGCCGTTCGCTCCGGTGGACACATGCCATCCCCATTGGCGGCAAACACCGATGGTGGCGTTCTGATAGATCTCTCTGGACTCAAGTCTATTCAATACGATGCTAGGAAATCGGAGGCAAAAATTGGTGCAGGACTTAAATGGGGTGAAGTTTACGCCGAGTTGGAACGATCTAAGGTAACAGTTGTTGGCGGCAGAGTTCTGGATGTTGGAGTTGGGGGATTGATCTTGGGGAGTAAGTCACTTTCTTCATAATCTTGAATCTTTGAACAACATGTACAGAGACATCGTTAATTTATTTTGAATGACTAGGTGGTCTGTCTTATCTATCTGACCTCTATGGGCTTGCATGCGACAATGTTGTCAACTTTGAAGTTGTTCTTGCGGGTGGGAAACTCGTCAATGCCAGCGCCAGAGAGAATCAAGATCTATTCTGGGCGCTTAAAGGAGGACTAAATAACTTCGGTACGCGGTCCATCTTATCAAGAACACCCCCCTCTCCTTCTCACTAATTCAATGTCTACAATATGGTAGAATTTGCCCCAAAAACACAATAAGCTAATGTATGTTTTCCGTGGCTTTTTAGGCCTCGTAACCTCGTTTACATTAAAGACCTATTCGATCTACCAAGTCTGGGGAGGAGTTAAGTTGTACAATTACACAGACCTGCCTAAACTCCTCCGTGCAGCGAACGAATATCAGTCAACTCCGACTAAAGACCCGTACGCAAATTTCATGCTCCAAGCCTTCCCAACAAATCAATCAATTGGCGTAGTACTGAACATGGTCTATCTCAGACCTGTTCCGTCACCCGCTGCATTCGCACCATTCTACAATATCCCCACGACGGGGGATTTGACGAGAGTGCAGACGCTCAGGGAGATGATGAGTGGACAGGGCGTACCAGATATACCGAGATGGGATTGGCGAACGACGAGCTTTAAGCCTAGTGAGGGGGTATATGAGAGGATTGAGGGTGTTCTTGCTGAAGCACCCGAGGTGGCTACAATTGCAGGTTTGACCGGAGGTACATTGGCTTTAGGATTGCAGCCTATTTCTACGTTGCTGGTTGATGCAGGAAGAGAGAAAGGAGGAAACGCGTTAGGGTTGGAGAGGATGAATCAGACATGGTGGGTGCTGGACACAGGACATTGGCTCGAGAAAGATGATGAAGTTGCGCATGAGGCGACGAAAAGGCTAATCAACAAGATCAATGATGAGGTAGAAGAGGAGCAAGCTGAGGTGGATTATCTTTTCATGAACGATGCTAGTTGGGATCAGGATGTTATTGCGTCATATGGAGAGAATAATGTGGCAAAGTTGAAGGCTGTAAGAAGGAAGTACGATCCGCAATTCGTCTTCACGAACTTAGTCTTTGGAGGGTTTAAGTTAGGCTAAATCTTACACCATGAGATTTTTTACCTTCTTAAAATAGAATGCAGGTTGCAAGGTTGAAGCTACTTTGTTCTTCAGAGGAAATACGTGTCGCATTTAGCTATGCTGGTGATAGTCTCTTCCATATAAGTCGCATCCGTTCACCTTTTACACTAAGAATGCAGTTTTGGTATCTGTAGCTGTTTACATGATTGAATAAGACTATGAGCAGGGAAATTCGGACTTTTCTGGTGTTCTCTGAAAGATTTTCACTTTCAACTCAACCATATCGGTCCCTTTGCATCCCCCACACTTCACTTCTCCGTCAAGCCTTAGCACAATCTCTTTACTTTCAGACAAGCAGATTTCTCCCATTCCTCCAATTCCTTCCTAAGTGTAACGACGTTTCAACTCAGGCAACAGGTTTTACCTCCTTCTTTGTCCAAGTAAACTTTGGGAAATTATGTCATTTCAGATCCCAGATCAAGGCAAATGTGTAATCCTGCAACAGTGTGTCGATTAGGATGCTTCTGCCGTCCATCGGTAGTTATTGTGGCGACATTTTTCAGGGGGCAGGGGATTGCGGCGTGGTAATCAAGCGGTGAGGGAAAGTTGGAAGTCCTGAAAGGAGTTTCCAAATGAAGCATGTGACGGAGTGAGGCGAGGCGACCTTAGAACATAATCAACGGAAATTATAGTGCCAGGCGAACATTGCTATGCATTACCGATCACTGGGGTACCTATCACTTAACATTACCAATGTACGGGCTAAAGTCGGCGGAGTACAAGAGGACGTTTTCTTCGAGAGGGGTCACTCAAAACCAGATGGTCGGTATTGTGGGGTTGCGAGTAGAGTTTTGATTCAGTATAAGACATGCAGGCGGGGAGTTTGATTAGGGCTCGGCGATGGATATTACGCGGTTGGTCGGGTTTTGCGGTTATATATGGTGGCCCCAAATGCCTGTTGCCTCCAGGTGGTGAATTGAAGTCACAATCTAAACACACGCCTGATATCTTCATTCCTCCTTGGATACTCATCTGCTTATTCGATTATTCCGCCGATTATCGTCAACTATGGCCCCCAATATTGTTGTTGTGACAGGTGCAAATACGGGCCTAGGATACGCAATCGTCAAGGGACTTCTGGAGTCTTCAAAGACATACCACATTTACCTCGGAAGCAGATCTGCTCAGAAGGGAGATGAAGCGGTCAAAAAGGTTTGCGGAGAGGTTCCAGAGTCTAAAAGCACTGTTGAGCTACTTGAAATCGACGTCAGCAGTGATGAGTCCGTAACCAAAGCTGCGGATATAGTAGAGAAGGCCCATGGCCGTCTTGACACACTTGTGAACAATGCTGGTGAGAACCTCTGGGCGAAGGATGAATTTGAATGCTTGAGCTGAACATACTAGGCGTGGGATTTGATTCGCTGTTTACTACGGGTCAGATGTCCTTGCGAGATTCCTTCAACAAAACCTTTGACATTAATGTTGCGAGCGCAAATGTTGTCACTTATACCTTTGCTCCTCTCCTCATCAAATCCTCGGATGCGCGCCTGATCTTTTTGGCTGGCATAGGACAGATAACAATCGCGGCTGAGAATTACTTCCCAACACCACCATTGCCTGCAGGTTGGCCAAAGGAAGTTGGCTTTGAGACAATTGCGTATCGTAGTAGCAAGGTAGCAATGAATCTAGTCATGCTGGACTGGAATCACAAGTTGAAAGAAGACGGAGTGAAGGTGTGGAGTATCAATCCAGGGTTCTGTGCTACTGGGTTGGTCGACGGGAATGCGGAAACAATGAGTGCAATGGGTGCACAGCCAGCCAGCGTGGGAGCACAGAACATCATCTCGGCTATTGAAGGCAACCGAGACTCGGATGTTGGGAAATGTCTTGATACAGATGGTTTGCTACCATGGTAGTGAGCTGTGTACGCTTTGATTCGCGCGTGGCACGATTCACATCATTAATCAATATCTCACCATTGGCTTATTGAATGATGTTAATGCGCCTGTCCTCAGTTGTGCTAGTCTTGGTTGAGCGAAGCAGTACAACAATGGGTCTACCATCTGCAGAGACTCAATGGAATGCAATGAAAGGAATACAAGATGAAAACCTTACTGCGTGTCTGCCCACCTGGCATACTGCAAGATAATAACTACAACATCAGTCGAGGGCAGACGAGATCGCATATGGCTAGTTATCAATGACCGCATAACGAATCAACACATTGCTGCTACTGTTATGTTCTTTTGTAAGACGAATGTGGTAGTGTGAAAGCCTTCAATTTTAATTACGACAAAATTTAAAAGTGAAGCTTGCCTAAGAGAGCCGGAAAGATTCTTTACTGCTATGGTTGAGATCGTTGGTACTCTAAATGAGAAGCTCTGCCGTTCAAAGCTGCGAAGTATCCGACCTCATCCTCCATACAAGAAGTCCAGGAGGTCGTCACGGCACTATAGCAACGAGGTCCATTTAGTGCTTGCGTTGTTATAGGTAGCCTTAATCTGTTGCAATTCCACTTGATGAGCATAGTGATCGCAAACATGACGAGAGTTGGGTCCAATAATAACAGAAGAACGAGGCATCTTTGCTTCGAATCCTTTGAAGCAGTCTCCTTTGATGTCTTTAGGACCTCAGTATAGACAATTACATCACCAACTATTTCACGCTCAAACATTTGAAAATTCGCTCTTCCATCAGGAGTAATCCTAAGAACAGATAGGAAGAATTTATCTAGTCGGCGTGTCTTGTCGCCCACTTTTGAAATGGGGGGAATTTCCATTGCAACGAAATAGCATCCTTAGGATCTAGAAAGCCCATCAAGATTGAAACGTGTGTTCTCTTCCTTTAATGGGACCAAATCCACAACAAACCATTTCACCCAGCTTTCTTTAACACAACTATAGAAGTAATCATGGTTCATCTAGAGCCAACCGAGAATTGGGACCAAATTCATCGACTGGGGGACTCAAATAGCACGTGAGTCTCTACAGGTTATTCAAGCAGAACATTTTACCTGGACAGCTTGCTGTAAATATGTTGCATCGTTTGCGCGAGTGTGTCGGGAACAGCTATACTCACAGTCATGCTAAAAGAAGACTACTAATGTCTATCGCCTGATGTAGCAAGTAGAATTCTACCTAGGTTGTTGAAAGTTTCTGAAGAAAGGTAACTTTTACAAGTCTTGAGTTCAGGCTTGAAAAGTGGTTTTATTAGTTGAATATCAAGATGGCTAGGTTTCGGAAAGGTGCATCACTGGAAATATGTACAACTTTCTCAACTGACAACTAGTAATGAAATAGTTATCTTAAGAAACTATCACAGCAGGTAAGGAGAAAGGCGTCCTGCTAGAAGGTACCCCAGATCATGATCTCCTGATCCCTGCTTGTTGGTAGTCACCAAGGCATGCCTACCTAGCACCGGGGCAGGCGGGGTAGCGAAAAGGGTGGAGTTGCTGCGAGTAGACTAACTTAACACAAGTAACTAGCCAGCTAGCTAGTCAGAACCCCGGCGTGTCCAGGTCAACCCGGCACCCGTCGCCTGATTTCCCCATTATAAGAGCACCTAAGACATTCACCCACCACCCAACCCCCTAAGACAGTTTGCAAAGATTTCCTTCACTTGCCATGGAACGTTCTCTAAAGCGCGCCTGGGAGAACGACATCGGAGAAGGAACGAAAGAGACCAAGAAGCGGTCAACTATTGCCTGTCAAGCGTGAGTTCTATAGTGAAATTGAATTGCGTACATGAAACTTACTTGGTGCTCAAGATGTCGTACAGTAGGTTGCTTGTAGCGCAATTATCTCTAGAATGAGTCTCTGACATTAATTACAACTTAAGGCAAAGGTGAAATGCGATGTCAATCCATACGCGCCTCCTTGTCTACGATGCGTCGCAGCTTCCATTCCATGTTTTTTGCCCGAAAGTCGTCGAGGGCGGGTTAGAGGAAGTAAAAAGTAGGTTCAAAACATAGCTGAACCTTCGATAAAGAGGTTATATCCTGATATTGGTGTAGCCGCAGTACTTTCGAGCAAATCCTGAGCAACGGGCAAGGTACGCAAAGTATGGATGCCCGACGAGATGCGCCGATAGAACGTCAATCTACGGATATCTCTGTGTCAGTCTCTGAACAGGTAATGTGCAATTTAACAGAGAGCACCGAACCCGCCAGTCATAACAATGGTTCTGGAGATCTGGAATCCCAAGAAACAGGAACCATCACTCCTTTGGATCCACACAATCTTATGAAAAGCTTAGATGAAATCTCGTCCAGAAAATCGAAACAGCTTACACGGCGGCTACTCCACCTCTTAGGGGAACAGTTTCCAGTATGCGAAAGCAAAGAAGTGGAAGTTTCTAGTGAGGGACAAGGCAGCTTTCAAGATCTGCTTCCTTCGATCACCAAGATCGCTAAGCAAGGGTGGAATTTAGATGGCGGCTCGGACTCTAGGAGATCAAAACGACCAGCAGTTTTGTCCGTAGCTGATTTGCCGTCCGAAGATGCTCGGTTGCTGGACTTGTGGACTCCAGCTGCCTTGCAAGAAATGGTCAGTGAGACCACGAGATACTTTGAGTACGGGCTACAAGGCTCAAAACGCGATGTCGCTCGAGATCTAGATCCCCTACAAAGGTCCATGATCAGTTTCGATCGGGCTCACGAACTTTTCACTGCGTAAAGTCACTCTGCAACACGTTGCTATATCTACTCACCGTAGACAGATACTTCGACATGGTACACCCTCAGTGGTCTATGCTCAACCCATCTCTCCACACACTACAGTTTGTCCGCAGCCGATCTGCAATGCTGACGACCACTGTATTGGCGTTAGGCTCTATAGCCTTGGCTACATTGCCGGATCATATCGATGAACAAATTGCCGAAGCGAAGAAGCTTTATGCCCACGCAGAGAAACTAAGTCTCGTGGTATACTCAACAGGCGCAAGATCAATCGAAATTGTACAAGCCCAAATTGTAAGGAGTCATTTTTCAACCTTAGTGGATGAGCAAGCGACGACCACTAATAATCTACAGTTACTATCTCGCTTTGGCATGTCTTCGAGAACACGCCTGGACGAGCAGCGATGGCTCCGTTCAGCGATGATACCACGCATGGCAATAGAAATTGGCCTCATACCGCGCTCACGAGACAGACAGCATAATGCCGATAGCGAAGATGCAGAAATGCAGAGGTCGAATGCGCTGCGAACCCGCGCCTTTCTGATCCTGAATGAATATAGGTGAACTGATCAAGACGCATCCATTCAATGGACTTTGCCTGACTGAAACAGATTCTTTTCATTCAATGGAAGTGCGCCAATAGATCTTGATTGTTTCAATCTTAATGGAGAGGAAATTGAAGAGATAACACAGCTTACAGCAGATCATCATTCTGTTAGCCTGCCAGCTCTTTATCAGCTGTATCTTTTCCAGGTATGTTTGGATGTTTTCTTATTATTTTCAGGTTGTCGCTACGTTTTCCAAAGTATAATCAGATGTATAACATTACCCTTCTAGAATGAGCTTCGTAAAAGGGCGGATTCCTATAGTGGACAAAAACAGCTGGACACCTTACATCTCGAGGCCGATCTGGCGTGGATATCATCGTATATACAGCAATGGATCCGGCAATATTGCAGTCAGGACGCTTCTCCAAGGAGTAGGGCGCATTTGATTCATGATGCTCTGAGTTGTCAGTTGCTCTTATCAGCTCGCATTGTTGGAAAATTGTCTGAGTCGGCCAACCTGCCAACACATCAACGACGACTACTCGACACAGCGCTTGCCATATTTCGAAGCGCCCTTGATGATCCCGTTACCATACACATGAATACTCGCGGCAGTATTTTTCCGTTTGCTGGTGCCATTATACTCAGGTTCGGCGAGAGAAGAGACCTGGTCCTTCGCTTAGCCCTTCGTTTGGCGGGGGACCCTACCAGACCTTATGTCCCCAATTTTGTCCGAAATGCCGGTAGTCAATTGCTGGCCATGCTTTGGTAAGATCAGCCAGACTGCGCTGCTTTTAATGTTGCAAGTGACTAAGATGATCAGTGCAAATCAACCTGGATCGAAACCCCAGTCAGACGATCCATCGTTAAATCTGCCCGAGAATCAGCATGAGTACAACGAGGCAGAGTACTGTCCCAATGAACAAGTTGGTAACCATAGGTTGGATGACGCGCGAACACGTACAGCAAACCTGACCAAAAAGTCAGAATCGCAGGATCGTCAGACACAGGCGGAAGAAGACGAGTCGGGACGTAGGCAAGAAAGCCTGTCCAACGAAGCTATTCTCAATTGCCAGATGCAACCCGAAATGCCGGCACAAGTGGTTCATGATATAAACTGGACAACCTCAACATCGTACACACCTGCCAATGTGTCCCTTGCCGCTACAGAAAACGGAAGCAATCTTTTCATTCCCGACTATTCTCTCGATTTTCCGTATACGCCGATCTCGACTGAATATCAAAGACCGATTTTCTCCTCACAAGACCTAAACTCTGACTATGAAATGCTAGTAGCTAGGACTATTCATCCGCACCAGTCTCATCTCCAACAGCTCCCGGACGGTCAGCAAAACCTTGTATCAGAACAAGGATATCAATTTCATTACGGGATGGGAATTTTCTCGCCTGATAGCCAACCTCCGGTCCTGCCTAGAGATCCCGGGGAAATGACAGCAGGAAGAGAGAGCTCTGCCCTCGGTGGACGAACTGAAATCATTTCTCCAGTCAACTCGACATGCACAAGTAGTATGGACAATAGCCAGGGACACATGAATCGCCAAGAGTATCAGAGGACTTTGTTTTCCACTATCGAACAGCTTCTTCAGCTGGCTTCGAGAAGCTAAAGAACTGCATGTAGTATTTATAGCCAAATCCAAGTTTATCAAATGTTTTCATTCGTAACAAACTGATTATCAACTTTTTTTCGTGTACACATCGTCTCTATGTAACTCATTCAGCATCGGCTTACCCGCTTTGAATCTGCGGATGTTCTCCGAGATTATTTCGATTGAGCGACCTGTACGGTTGGGCATGCCAGGCGTAGAGTGTGGGGTGATATAGACGTTAGGCAGGTCCCACAACTGAGACTTTTTGGGCAATGGTTCAACCTCAAACACATCGAGTCCAGCACCAGCGATTTGTCCAGTGGTGAGAGCATGTAACAGAGCTTCTTCGTCGACGATCGGCCCTCTGCCCATATTGATGATTACCGAACTTGGCTTCATTCTCGTGAATTCTTTGGCGCCAAACAGGTGATGAGTTCGGTCTGTCAAACTGCATGCAATCATTATGACGTCGCAGTCAAGGAGCGCTTCAACCGTCGCTCCCTCCTCATCGCTGAGCATAATGTCCACATCGATTGGAGTTTCTCTCTCCATTTTTGGCTTCTTCCTCCGCAGCACCGTGACGTGCATCCCAAAAGCGTGGCCCAGTTTAGCCATCTCCTGAGCAGTATTTCCGTAACCGAGGATACCCAATTTACGTCCCCATAATGCACCACGCAACCTGAAATCTTCTCGACCTTTCTCCCATGCCCGTTCTGTTTGTCTCTCTAACAAGGATCTTGTGTCGTATGCTAGTGCCATAGCAAAGAAGAAACCGTGCTGCGCGAGCACCGGTGCAGACCTGCCTGCGGAACTTGTAACGACAAAACTATTTTCCAGCACTTCCGGGCGTGCAGATTTATTCAGTCCCGCATGATCGCAGTGTATCCATGCAAGACGTGGTGCATCGAGCATGTACGATTCGATATCGCTGGCCAGGATAGCAATATTGGCCGACTTCAGCGCATTTTGGATGCTTGCCTTGTCGTCTGCTTTGCACTGAATGAATTCGGCAGGTTGACAAAGCTCACGTAGGACATCGATTTCAGGTTGCTCCCACGCAACCGTGCTCAGGACCGTGTGAAGTTCGCGGGGTGCCATCATGGGTTGAGCAGTAATCATCGAAAAAGGATTTGGATATTCATGTGACAATATTTTTAAAGCAAATGTTGCCAAAAGGGAAGACACAACCCACATCTCTCAGAAAATCTACTCTAGCACTGACTCAAAGATCATCATTTCTGTCCTGTCGGTCTTTACTGAGCTAGAGCCACCTCGTTGCTCGCATCCGTAGGAGCTGGCAATTAGGTTTCGGCATTCACTCTCTAATCAGCCTCAACATCATCAAGACGCCGGCCCCGGGCAAGTGAATTATGTGACTAACATTGTGTCCTCCGCAAGATTACAAGGTTGGCGTTAGTGCAGTAAAGTGGCACCCAATCAGGATTCGAAATTGAGCCGTCAAGTTGCTAACGGTGCAAGCGATTTAAGCCTGTCGTTGATATGTCCCTCATCCAGCGCATCGACTGCCGTACACGCGTAACAGCGCGTACCGCGGCGTATTCGCTTCAAGGCCGGCTTGCTAGCGTGAGGCCGTGAGGCCCTTGTCATAGCACCACGCGCTACGAGGTAGCATTTGCGGAGAATTCACACACCAATTAGACTAACCAATCTTAAGTTATTCAGTTCATAAAATGTGTTTGTGAACGTCAAGATGAAGAAATGTATTAATACTACGTGCTTTGTTTCCTGAAGCGGGGAACCGTGGCATGTTTCCTTACTCCCCCGCTTCCCCCCGACCCATTGCTTCATCCATGTCTACGGAACGTATGTTACAAAGCAAAATATTCCATCCTCATGGCGTGGGATTGTGTATCATAGTAACGCCCTCGCTGCATCGGCTTGGTACGGGAAGGGTCGTGCCATTTGGGTCCCCGTTTTGACCTCCGTCTTCATTGCCATTTCTAAGCCCGTTCTCCGGTTCATTCGCTGATACGCTTCGTAAATCATCTTTGAATTCATGATGATGGTTTCCATTTGGGAAAATGGCGTCATTTCTGCCCTCTCCATCTTTCATTGATGAGCCCCCGACAAGGTGGTCGTTTTGCATTCCCTCAATGATCACCACTTCAAATAAATCCAGCTCAGGCAGCTGTATAACGCCACCCACAGTTTTCAGTTCCGTGTTTGCTCTCAGAGCTCGTGCTCTAACTTTGCCACCACCAGTAACAGTGATCGATCCTCCAGAAATAGGTAGATGTGTCCCAAAATTGAGTTTTCGTGCGCCAGACATGTTGATCAAGTGGACCACCAGTTTTCCAGCCGTTTGGTTCACTGTGACCTCAACTTGCTCAGCGAGGTTGAAGGAAATTGGTTCTGGCGTCGCGATCTGACTGAATACATCGAGGAAGAAATCGCGAAGACAGGTAAGGCCTGTTTCGCGATATGCTTTTCCCACAGTGAATGGAATGAGAGCACCTTGTCCCGAGCCGTATCTGGCCACGCCACAACCTGGCTGATCGTTCTGTAGGTTCCCATATGCCTTTTCTGGGGGAGCAAATGGTGCCCGAGCGAGGACTCTATAAAACGTCCGAGATTCTGGTTTCCAGTCGAAGTAATAGGCGCATCCATGTATTGGGATAATTGGTCCGACATAGTAATGTATGTTCTTTGTCTTTTGAGGCGGCGCGACGTATGAGGACCACAGAAACTTTCCCTCAGTCACAGCCGCGCGTCGCCGGTGTACAGGTAACGATTCGAGTTGGATGTTCCCAGAAACTCCTTGGCCAGTCGAGCCTGTAGCAATAAGATTGCCTCCCTGTCTCTGAACCCAATCGTCAAAGATCTCAGCTGACCCGTCCCGAAGTTGACCGAGGCTGGGGAGAACGAGATTCTTATATCGATCGAGAGACCCGTTTGCATTGGTCTCTGGAAGATGCTCCATGGCAACGACATCAAAGGGGATTTGCGATTCCTGAAGGGCATTGTAAAGCCCACGGAATTCTGCAAGCGCATTTGCGTATTCCTTTTTCTCCATAAAGGCTCTGTCTGGTCGAACCAACCCCGTCAAGGCGACTGGAGCCATTCCAGTGTAGATGTCACTCCATTTCTTGTGGAATTGCGTGATATCTCGAGCGTGGTCCAGGCATGGGTACGGTATCTTGCCTGGAACCCCCATCATATATGTCGATGGAGTGCCACCTCGGGAGATGCTCTGTAGGAGATATTGTGCAAACTGTGCAGGCTCTTCTCCGGCCATTCGGTAACGCATGTCGATGAAACAGGTGGAGTTGGAAAGGACAGGCACTTTTGGACGGAACGAAATCCATGAGCTTACCCATTCTGAGACGGTGTGATGCCAGAAGTCTCGGCCAATCTCATTATTGGATTCTTGATAGACAATATCTGCTAGCTTTGTTCTAATGATTGCTGCCTCTGGGAGTTTCGCAGCCATAAATGCGCGGATCTTAGAGGTTACGCCATCGATGACCTCTCGGCTGAAGTGAAGCCATAGGCCATAGTTGGCATCTTCAGGGCCATTGGGAAGCTCCAGGCCATCAGAAAAGGCAAACCACCGCGATTGACAGCTATCACAGTGGCATACTCCGTGATAGTGCTTGAAATAGTCCTCTTCGTTCATTGTTGCCCAGTTGAAGAACAGGCCATCAATTTTGTAAAGGGTTGTAATCTCTTCGAGAATTTCATAAATTCGGTGTTGATAGTAATCTCCAGAAGGGCAAACGGATACCAGACTAGCAGTGTGCTCTTGGAAGTGTCCAGTTGGTGACATGTAGCACCATTCGGGATGTTCTGCGGCAACCTCTGGCGAAACCTTGGAAAAGTCCATTCTGGCTAAGAACTTGAGTCCGCGCGCATGTGCAGCCTTGATTGCATCTCCTACTAGATCTCCGCTAGATCTTCTGGCTAAGTTCGAGTTTTGCGATTGGAAGGCAAGACTGGTAGGATATTGTGCTTGAATACCGCCAACTCCGCAAAGCCATGCTGTGGCACCAAACTCTTTGATCCAATCAGCCACCGCGTCGACATCCATGTCCGCATCAATCTCGCGGAGGTTGGTTTGGACGACCCCAAACGACTCAGACCACCATTTGCTGGGTTTCATCGAGACAGTCATTCTGTACCGTGTCAATTGTGTCGGATAATGTAAGTCGACAGGATACAAAGTTACATACGATGAGCAGAATAGGAACGAAAACCGACAATATAAGTAGTGGGCGCGCTGGAATCACTCCAGTCCATCGCTTTCATTTAACGTCTTGCTAGCTGTAGTAACCATTGCATTTCCCTCATGCGCTTCTACATTGCGGAACTTCGGGTTTCCATGGGTAACTCGAATCAGTATCGGGAACAATACAATAGTATCCTCAGAAGTAAGCGAGAAAATGAGCTTGGGAACAAGATCTGCGTGTGTTATGAGAAGCAGTATGCTGTCTATTAGCCGAAGTCCCCGGCGTGAGTTTAGGTTAGCGCCGTTGGCGGCATAGACTGTATGGAAATAATCATTTAGTGTGAAAATCGAGCAATAGTCACGGCAATGTCTGGTCCAATAGGGACCTCATTCTATTATGGGATTATAAGGCAGCATGTAATTCATCAGTACTTCCCACAAAAGCTCAACTCGCAACCTCACCGGAGCCATGACTACAGCAGTGCGCCAACGCCTTCGAGGCAAGACTGTCCTTATCACTGGCGCATCCTCAGGGATTGGCAGAAGCACCGCGAAAGAATTTGCGCGAGCCGCAGGAGGTAACATCAAGTTGGTTCTAGCTGCACGTCGCATTGATGCGTTGGAATCTTTGTCTCAAGAAATCAAGAATGAAGTTGGTGAAGGTGTCGAAGTGCTTACGGTCCAGCTCGATGTGAGCAAGCCTGCAGAAATAGCACGTGTCATTCAGGCTCTGCCAGAGAAATTTGGAGATATTGATGTTCTTGTCAACAATGCGTAAGTCGCGCATTCCTAAGAGTTGGTTGACCGCAACTGTGTCTGACGAGTCTGGACATGAAGTGGCTTAGTTAAGGGTGTTGACAAAGCTCCCGATATCGCGCTAAATGACATGCAAGTCATGTTTTCTACAAATGTTGAAGGTCTGATTAATATGACACAAGCCATATTGCCAATTTTCCTTCAAAGACCAAATGGTGGGTCTGGAGATATCATCAATATCGGCAGCATTGCTGGTCGCGAGCCATACCAAGGGGGAAGCATCTACTGTGCGACCAAGGCAGCTGTCCGCAGTTTCACGGATGCTTTGAGACGCGAGCTTATCGCAACCCGGATCAGGGTGATTGGGATTGACCCGGGTCAGGTTGAAACAGTAAGTCGCTGTGGTTATTGTCCTTGCATTGTGCACTGCATATCATGGCAGTTGGCGATTCTAATGATATAGCAGGAGTTTTCTATAGTGAGATTTCGGGGTGACAAGACCAAAGCGGATGCGGTATACGCGTGAGTAATGGGCGGAGTCTCATATGAATTGCCACAATCTCAATTCTCGCTGATTTGATACAGGGGATGCGAACCCTTGACTCCAGACGATGTGGCGGAAGTCATCGTATTCGCAGCGGGCCGGCGAGAAAACGTCGTACTAGCAGATTCATTGTTATTCCCCAATCATCAAGTATGTGCCATTCCGGCTATACGTTGCACTACGGACGCTGACGATTTTCCAGGCAGCTGCAACGGTCATGCACAGGACATCCTAATTGTCAATTAAAGGCTATGGACTTAACCCGGGCTTTTGATACGAGTTTGGCGAATGTGGACTGATACTGGCATTTTGAACCAAGAAACACGAAAATAGTTAGATTAAAGACAGATTTAAAACATTCAATGCGATTTATTCTGGATTGACGCAAGTACCTATCACGAGTAGCACGCTGTGCAATATATCACGTAGTGGAAGTAGTTCTCTGTCATGGATACATGGTTCTAATCTTGATGAGAAATAGAGAGGTCTACAATTGTATCATTAGTAATACCAAGTCTGAAAGAATCTGTACCTGCCTGAGCCCACGAGGATCTACCTGTTTTTTTAACCAATGCCTTGGTGGGAAGAAATGATGCGACATAATGCGATGTCCATAGGTTGCAACGTTAGAACTTGCAAACTTAAAGACAATGCAGAAAATTATGGTCCTTCTGAGAACTAATGTAGACACGTGTTTCAAATGCTTAATTGCCTGGGTCGCGGTAAGACAAGCAGCTTTTATTTATGGTCTCTCCCATTATCGAAGTGGTCTCATTATTAGTCGCATGAGAGAGGCAAGGAAGTGCCTCCTATGCGTACATGATCTGAAGACAGGAGGAACAGCTATCAAATATCAAATAATTGCAGTTCTAACGTCAAAAGCACTCTGATGACTACAATTAGGCTATAGTGTTACCACCAAATGTTATATGATATTCTGTCACAGCAAGAGGTTGCACTACCCTCACACCCTCTTAGCAGTCTCGATTGTGTAGGCATTACAGTCCACACTAAAGCAAGCCATGAACTTCGGACAAGTCCATCAGCTTTGATCACTTAGGCTTCCACATCATAGGGTTGTCAACCCTGTGCAGATTTAGGCCTTGATTCTCTCTGTTGTAGTCGTCTCTACCACACCCTTATCGTCAATCTCCTCATCGCCCGTTTTATTCTGGTAAATGATCTCCTCGCCCTTTGCCCGATGCGACTCGGCGCCAAAGAGGACATCAATCTCTTCGAGGGGTACGCCCTTAGTTTCGGGCATGAAGCTACCGGAAAATTATTAGTCTGGACTACGGCCAAGGATCGGAAGTAATTCCACTTACAAGAAGACACCTAGAAGCAACAGGGTGTTGATACCGACAAAGAAGAAGAATGTGTAGAAGCCACACTTGTCAAGGAACTCTGGGAAGAACTGATTGAGAACAGTAGAAGCAACCGACTGCGATTGAGCACCGATAGCAACGCCGTGTGCTCTCACATCAGTCGAGAAAATTTCCGACGTATAAACCCACACCGTAGCTCCCCACGATGGCTTGTAGAAGAAGTTGAACAGGAAGAACATTGCTGCTACGGCAATCCCCATTCCGTACGGTCTGGAGCCATCGGGATTTTCGGGAATTTTCAGGCCTAGTATCGCGACCACGAGAAGAGTTGTTCCCATTCCAGCTGCACCAGCCATCAGGATGAACTTTCTTCCTGCACGATCGACAAGTAAAGTGCAGCTGAGAGTGAAAAGGATTGAGAATGTGCTTGACAATGCGTTGATCAGAAAGATAGTGTTATCGTCCTTGAAGACCGACTTATAGATCAGAGTTGTGTATGCGTTGAGAGAAGAACTTCCAGACACCTGCTGGCCGACGTTGATGAAGATAACAATAAGAGTTCGGCGAAGCAGCGAAGGTACTTTGACGAGAGTCAAATCTATAACGTAAACATTAGAAAAGGTTTTGTTCTCTTGCTGCAAGAAACTCACAAGGTGCCCACCACTTATCCCAGTTCTTCGTAGTTGCCTTTTCGTAAGCCACAGCTGTTACAATATCGCTGATTTCCTCATCTACACCGTCGTTGCGAACTCTAGCCATTGCAGCGCGGGCGTCTTCAACACGGTCGTTTTCGACAAGCCATCGAGGCGATTCGGGGACAAAGAACATGGTCGTAATGATGAACAAGGGTAGTGGAATTTGAACAAAAAGCGGAATGCGCCATTGCCAATCGTGGAGAGGATGAGATGATCGTTGCGCTCCGTATGCTGCCCAGTATACCATGAAGGCACCAATGGTGTACCATACTATATTGTTGGTCAGTATATGGGAATGATGTGATTGCTCCAAAGGACCAACTAACACTGCCACATGGATAACATGATTCCTCGAATCTTCGTCGGTGCAATTTCAGCAATGTATGTTGGGCCATTGTTCATACTGATGCCCTTGCCAAGGCCCATGATGACTCGGCCAGCAATGAAACAAGTAACGTTCGGAGCGAAGCTCTGCATGAATACAGAGATCAAAACGCCTGTCGTTCCCAAAGCTATGGGAACACGCCGACCAAACTTCTTTGAGATCGTAGGAGAGATGAAGAGTCCAGAAACAATTGCGCCGACGTGATAAGCTAAAATTTCGTGTCAGTTTCATGTGAGGTGACAGCCATCTTCCTTAATGGGAGGCGGACTGGATGTGGTGATTCACGGCTGCTTGAAATACTTTCAGTACTTACCCGTGTTGATGCCCCCAAGAATAGATGAACTAATTTTCTTCTCGTGAGGCTCCTTGAAATGATTCTGGAATGTCTTGAATCCTTGGATGGAATTGAATGTTGATGCGTCATATCCTGCTAAAGCCTGAAAATGTTCGATTAGCATTATCTTCCTATTTGCACAGGGGCATTGTAGTGGATGCGATCGAAGGCCTTCCTACTCACCATGACCATGGCAGCTGCCGTGGCAGCATACCATGCACGTCGTTCTTGAGGCGTTGTGCTGAACATTTTCCGTTCTCTGATTCTCTCTCGTGGGTTAACTTGCGATCCTAACTGCTACATTGGAAGAGCAAAAGACATGTAGACACTTATATGCATCCACAGTTGGCAAGCTTCGCCCCTGTGTACACTAGGAGTCTCTCCAATTAGGGCCTAGAACTCATGTCCGGCGATAGTCTGTGTACCCCATGGGGATTTGCTAAAATGTGGAGGTGAGCTGAGAACGGACGGAAGAGAATGAGTTTGGTGCGGGTCGATTGTGACAGGCTCCAGTGCACTATTGCCGAAAAGCGCGCGATGGAGATCCAGCAACAATGGGCCACAAAATCAATCAAGCCATAGCCGAGATCCCGGCGTAGTATTGCGGAAGTTGGAGAGAAATCTAGTTGCCGGCATTACCGTGAGGTACGCTTGAAATGTTGATTCCGTCTCTACTTTCGCTTAGCTGAGGTACTATTAACGATAATCTATCGTTTAGCCCCGTACTCGGTTGAACAATGGAGGGATGACCGCCGGAGACGCTACTCACAAAGGTCATCGACTTTAGTTAGTGTCGTGATGCAGTATTGACCCCCGACTTACTGCGGAGGAGGCTCATCGATCATCCCCGCAGTATGCATCCGGTGTTTACTGTGTCATTGATCAACCGGTCTTGCTTGCCTAGGTATGCAATCAATTCTAGTCACGCTTAGCTGTTCCTATGCAACATTTCCATTAAGGGCTCTCATCAATTATGATCTCAAAGCCGAAATAGATTATCTACTTTGAATTATTCCGTGAGATTGTCCGGTGAAGTTATGTATAAGAATGCGCCCGGTGAAGCCAGTCGATAAACGATAATAATCATAATTATCCGCATTCAAGACTTAGACTACGACACTGTCTACGATCCTGCATGTAATTTTGCCTTGATATCTGCCAACCATTCCGCAAGCAATCATGCAACAACTTCAGTGGTCGACTCTACTGCTTACTTGGAGTATTTCCCTTGGATCCGCCCATGCTATCACATTCCAGGTTCCTGGCTCGAGTGGAAATAATGCCGCTACACTGGATTTAAGTCCAGTATCCTTTGGGTGAGATGACCCACTAGAGATGGTATAATATTGGTCAATCCTGATATCTTATTACAAAGATTTCCTTTCGCCACACTCACGGGATACTTCGACGGAATGCCTCTAGCCTCCAAATGTCTTGATACGTTCAGATCTGTATCTGGCGTATGGCCCAGAATTCGCGTAGGAGGGACATCGGAGTAAGCTGCGCTCTTATACGCTTGTTGTTCACTTGAATTGACAGATTTAACACCAATTAGAGACTACGGCACTTTTGACCCTACTCTAAAAGTGCCAAATATCGTCACAGGCACTGCACCAACAGGGCAGAGTCAAACTACCTATGGCCCCCAACTTGTGCAAGTTCTTGCCAACTACAAAGGAACGATTGTTTGGGGTCAGTACTGGTTGTTCTTATTATTGCAAGACCAAAGGATTGATAAAGCCTCTCTAGGTCTTAACAGGGGGTTCAACAACTTGACCAATACTATCGAAGCTGCAAAGGTCGTGGTCAAGACATTGCCTACGCTTTATGCACTCGAACTCGGTAACGAGCCAGTAAGTGTCTCCCAATCATTATTCTTTTAACATTACTAACAAACTAACAGGATGGTATAATTCTCCAATTCATGGGTCGTTAAAGCCGGCCTAGTATGAGATTTGGCTAAGTGAATGAACAGTATTCGCAGCGTTGAACGCTACTATTGCCAATGGAGTAGATTGGAATTTCCAAACAGAAGCTGAGAGCGAATCGAAGTGGCAGGCAGCTGTCGGTCAGGCCCTTGGTCGCGATAATATCGTTCAAGCCTCGAGTTACTACCAAACACCTGCGCGTGGTTGGGGGGCAGCGAATTATTTCAAATTTGCAGATCCTACAGCTGATCGCTACATTAAGGTGTATTCACACCACAACTATCCCCAGACTGCGGTGGGAACCTCTAATGGAGAAGATCCTCCTAATGTCCAAGCTCTGATGAGCCATGTCAACATCACCAAGAATGTCGGGCTTTACGTTGACGACGTGAAAGCTGCTGCAACTCGAGGGTTCGACTATGTGTTTGGAGAAACAAATTCTGGTATGAATTCCATCGGCAGTACATTATACATTGCTAACATTTGCCCACAAGTATCTGGCAATGGAAAACCAGGCCAAGGTGACACTTTTGCGACTGGCATGTGGGTTCTCGACTACGTGCTCCGAGCAGCAAGCATCGGTATCAAACGGGCATACTTCCATCAAGGCACGCCCGGGAAATCTTACTATGTGTGGTTCAACGCAACAGGAATCCAGTCCCCAATCTATGGCGGCTATTTTGCAGCAGAAGCTTTCGCAGGAGCCTCCAAAATTGCAGCTCTCGATGACGGAACTACTAATCAAGCTGGTTATGTGCTATTTTCGAAAACTGGAAAGGCTCAGAAGGTAATTCTAGTTAACTCCGATTACTATGACGGCTCTGGTATTCGTAGCTCGACAAACTTCATTCTCAATGGCCTGACAGGTGGAAATGTACAAGCGCAGAGATTGACAGCAAAGACTTCGCTCTCTAGGCAAGCTTCAGGGGACGCACCTTCCTTTTCTGGGCAATCCTTCAGTGATACGACTTGCAATCTTGTTGGCAAGAAGGTTGTTGAATCAGTAGCAGTAAAGGGAGGAAGTGCAAACTTTACCCTTGCTGCATCAGAAGCTTTGTTGATTCTACTTTAATAGAACTCCATATGTTAGTCATAGGTTTCTTATAGTTGACTAATATGGTTCCGGTTGTCAGTAGCATACTTACATACCATATAAGTGTTTGCTCTTTCCTTCATTGCTAATGTACAACCCTTGTCTCTTACTGAAGCTTTCCATAGAGCCTAACTTTTAACATAGATATCATGTTGGAGTCATTACATAGGCTAAGCTCGAGAGGAATGCATGAGCCAAATTACTGCTTAATCTTATAATGTAAAGGTTATTAATAAGTTATAAGTTTACTTTTTGCTATTAGATTTAGAAAGAAATCAATTATTATTATCTTTTTTTTCTATATTTTATATTATTTGTTGTAATTTTATTGGTCTCTTATATAGTGACTTTCAAACACCGACGGCCTGACCTAGCCTCGTATGCCGAGTACCAACCTACCACCCTACCAAGATAAATTCCTACACTACCAGAAATTCACCCGTCTACCTGTAAGGATAATGGCTTGTCAGTTGTCAGCTCCTGCAAAACGTCCTGAAACACAGCTTAGGTATATTCGTGGTCAAAGTGGTGGCAAGCTTGTAGAGGGAAACTTTCCACTTGAACAAGTCGTAATCGACCGTCAGTTCTCAGCCTAAGACAATTGTCAGACTTCTAATCTGATCAGAGCTACCACCCGGAACCTTAGTAGTCTCTTGCAACCAGTATGGCGCATCTGAATGGACGGTCTTAGCACGAATCGATACCCTATCTACAGACAGCAAACCGAAGGCCTATTTTCTCAAGGGAAGACCTATTACCTGCCCATTTTTCTGGGCTGTGCTAAGACATCACAGTGCGCCGAAAGTGAGCAAGGACGAGCCATGCTAGAGGAGAATTTTACTCTATGTCTGAACTATACAAGCTTTCGCCTGAGCTGATTCCAAAGCCTCATGCATGGGGTCAGTTCAACGCCGCGGACCCGAAGGCGTACTACTATCTCTGCGATTTCCTCGAACTTACGAAAGACGTTCCAGATCCTGTCTCTCTTTGTGAGAAACTAGTCACTTTGCAAAAGCGCAGCGCATCGCCGTCCAACATGTTCGGTTTTCACGTTAAACCACTACGCGGCAATCTACCTTTGGATACAACGTGGAATCCGAGTTGGCAGAGCTTCTTCATTCAGCTCTTCCGTGGATCTCTAGAGCTAGATCAGGCACGGAACAGGCAATGGTCGGAGACAGAACAAAAGCTCATAGAGCAGACAATGACACATGTTGTGCCTCGCGTCCTGGGTCCCTTGGAGACTGGAGGCCGCTTTGTAAAGGCATCACACATCCATGGAGGGACGCAGAGTCAACCCAAAACTCATTGCTGAGACACGCTAATTTTAACAGACCTTTGGAATGGTAATATAGGTACGGATTCGAAGTCTGGGCAGGTCTATATCTTTGATGCGAGTTCATACTACGCACACCACGAGTTAGAAGTCGCAATCTGGCGGTCCCGCCCAGGTACTACTGTTGGATCTGGTGTATATCTCAAGACATACCTTGACCTAATGGGGGTCAGCGAGCCGGTAGACCAGTTCGATGATCGGCACACGTTGTATAGTGCATGCACTGCCTTGCATGCCGCTGCCTGCCATGATATGTCTACTTTCCGCGATGAGTAGGCAATACAGTGACTAGAAACTTTCCTACAGAAGCCGACATGCATAGATGCCTGGAAAAGCTGAAGGGTTTAGTGGAGAAATATGTGCCGCCATCGGTTGACGTCGATTCCACCACGAATCCTCTCTAGGCATAGGCATGTCGCATTCTGATGACACTACCGAGACAAGCATGATCAGGTAAAGGGTAAACAAGGTACAGTACGTAGTATTGTAGCGAGACGAGTAGACAACGTGAAGATGCCAAAGCTGGTGATATCTGCAGTCTCATTTTCCACGTCATTGGCAATGCGCTCCTAATTAGCTTGTTCTGTTGAAGAATTATTTTGTTTTGTGAGGCCTAACACAGCAGGCTCCCAGATGTTGCATTGGGTTCCCCGAGCATTCGAGGAGCTGCACCATGCCCGCGGAATCACCTGTCACCAGTATTAAGCCATCGGGACTGCAGGCTACATCAAGTATGCTTGCCTCTTCGATTGTTTTCAACAATTTCAGTGCTTTGTAGTCAAATAGACACAGATAGCCGTCTTCATACGCTGCAACAAATTTATGATTTTCGGCTTTTATATTAGCAGTTTAACAGCAACTCCCAAGAAGTGCACAAGACTTTCCAATATTACGTTCGAAACGGTGCCGGAGCCAGAGCACATTCATGATCCGAGGGGACAAGAGCATACGCCGAGGCTAGGCTCTCTTGGTTTTCAAGTCGTAGAGCATTATACTAAAGTAAAGGACTGGGCCGACAAGCAAGCTCTCAAAGAATTATGTCTCCCCGAAGTCCACAACCTATTGCTACCCATCTCCAGGATTCAGATGAGATTGTGATATTCAATCGGCGCATACGTGTGAAATCAAATAAGATAATGAGCATGCTAAGCAGCTACTAGACAAGAAAGAACCTTGGAATCAAACGAATGGAACTTGGTAATGGGAGTCAATATGTACTACCAGCCGAGTCTGTACATCTATGCAACACTTTCCGGGAGGCTTGATTTTAGTTCGGCGTCTGATTGACTGATACATAGACCAGTCCCCTGCAACGGTGTTACAATTGGTTCATTTCCACATGGGTGACCGGGCGCCTGAAGTGCTTAAAAGAAGGGTTCGGATAGTGAAGTATATGTACGCACTCCTTTTCCATTGACATTAGTTAGCCGGGCAGTTTCTGGAAGCCCATTTGCTCGTACCCAATCTAGGATGCGCCACTGGCTTTATGCGATGGCACCTACGTGTGGGACACCTACTTGATAGCGGTCAATCATGTCAGATGTAAATATGTTGGCGAGATATTGATGCTTCTATTCAGGCCTGGTTTCAATTGGAATTATCTTAGCAACTAGAATGAGAATGAGAGTTATCTATTCAAGGCTTTTGACTCTTTTGAAGGAGCCAAAGCGAAATGTCGGTTGGCTCCCTAATCGAAAGATAATAGCTGATAACAAACTACTTGATAGATTGCCCACATACATCTTTCGAAAGCCAGGATACTCCAGCTGATTGTCTCCAAGAGAAAGTATCGAGATGAGAGCATTGGTATGTACACATGCTTGAACAACATCCTGTAGTTTGAACAGTAAGAATGCAACACTCGGTTCCCTAGCTACACTGCACGCTCTACTTCCGCTGGGCTACCTTTGTCCAGGATTCGACTGTGTCGCAGAGTCTCACGACTTCTAAACAACTCATAGCCCGCGAGGTTACTAACCTCACGACTAAAAGACCATAAGCCAGTCTTTCCCATCCCAATGCAAAAGATATCCGTAAGATCGTAAACATCCTTCATCGTCAAGTCGTTCCTGGGAGAAGGAAATGCAGCACTGATTCGGGCTCCATCTAACAAAAGGTACATATCGTGTTTCTTGCGGGCCGCAGCTACAGCAGTGAGCTCGCGTTTTGTATATAATGTACCAATACCTGTGGAAGTCGAGATGAAACCCATCTTCGGCTTTGGTTGGTAGCTGCTTTGTCGAAAGCCTTCTAAATCAGTTCCGGAGTCAATTTGCCATCTATGCCACTTTGAGTAATCAATCTTGTGTCATGTTGCTTCTGTAGCGCCACCTTCCTTTCCAACAATGTGACCAGATTCTGCAGCAATGACTGCCTCATGTGGGCGAAGATGGCTTGCTATAGATATGAGATTCGCTCCTGTTACACCAGGTGTGAAATAGACTGGGGCGTCTTCCACGCCAATCATGGTTAAAATTTCGTTTCTTGCATCTTCAGAATATTCGTCGTCGCTGTATCCACTGTACTATGATAGATTGGTGGTTCTGATCATCGCATCGATGATACCAGGATGTGCCCCTCGCTATAGTCTTCATGAACTTTGCTTGGCGGTCATTTTCATGGATTTGTTGGCTCATAGGTGAAGAACAAGCTGTAGTAGGAGTGCTTATGCATGTTGGTGGTGGATGGGAATAGCATACTTCTTCCCAATCGAAAGATTGCTGTAACTGTCCGGGTAGCAAAAGACATATTTGACGCAAGCGGCAAAATTAAGAGAACGAGGATTAGAGATAGTTATAGAAATTTTGGAGTGTCATCTATAACTATGTTATTGAATGTGGTTGGCTGAAAAGACAAACACGCCTTGTAGGGTGGTAGGGTAGGGACCTATGTTATACGTTCAAGGTAAAGAACAACGGGTTCTCTATACCAACTAAGACAAGAATAGACATTGAAGGTGTTGGCTTCGTACAGGGTCCAAAGTATACATTGCATGTTTCGCGAAATCATGTGATACGAATGTTGACTAGGTTGAGGCATGCACAAAAAGGAAATTGCATTCCTACCATCTTTAAATAGCTAGAATTTTGTTTTTATTGCTACGTTGTCGATCCTTTCAGGCCTGTGCCTTTTACGAAATGCATTACACTTCAATCTATACTACCTTCCACCTCTTTGCGACGACGTGGTCCTGCCTTGTAGCTAAAACAAGCAACATCGTCCACACAAAATTCGTTCGTAACATGAACCAATTTGGTTATTCCGTCTGCCGTAGTGTCAAATCGTAGTCACCGTTCAGAATAACTATTCAAAAGAGACCAAGTCCATGAGGCGGAATACAAAGGGACTCTGCTAGACCATGGACCAACCCCGAAATGAACAAAAGATGACTTTCGGATTTCCTTCTCGCTCGATATCTATACTAGAAGAATCTCCAACGGGAGACAGCGAATACAAATCGACCACTCCCCTCAGCGACTTAACATACGCCAATTTAGGACCAGCACCATGCTCTGTAATGGCAAAGCTACGTTCGCGATCCCTACTCGTCAGAGTCCACTCACTCTCCATTCTACCGAAGGTTCAGTCTCGGCGCGTTATTCTCTCCTCTTTCTCATTGTTTATGGCATCACTAACATTTACTAACTAGACCTTTCCCGCTTTTGAAACTTCCTCGCGAAATACGCCGTCGAATCGCCGAGTACGCTTTATATACCGTTGAAGGCCTCGACTGGCAATGGATAGCTGCACAACCATTGAAGAAGTGTGGAACTTTCCGCGACATATCTGTCATCAATGCCCTCCCTTCCGTCTGTAAGCAACTGTACCAAGAAACATCGGATCTTGTCTTCAGCATCAACATCCTCAATTTCGACGCCAGCTGTATCTACGGATACATTCCAGAAATACAACATCCACCTGATCTAAGCACCGCTCTTTACGCTTTTGAGTTCTTCTGGAGTAAATGTCCAGCCAACGTCAGGGGCGGTGTGCAAAGAATCAGGATGTGTACAACTTGGACAGCTAGTCAGGCGTTTGATCTTGCGCTGTGTCATTGGCCGACGGATGTTCGGAATAGCTTAGGGCATACGAGCTTTGCAGTTACAAGGTCGAGGAAGGAGGAGAAGAACTATCGTATTCTTTCTGAGCTGTCGCAATCTCGCTTGCATTTCATGATTGCTCCACTGGACTGGAGGCTCCCAGGAAGAGGGGAGAGGCCCAAATCATGGCGGATGCAGCTGGACAGATTTGTTGCCTTCGCTGAAGGGCTGAAAGAGGATGAGTTGTTGGGTTGGTTTGGAAGTCCAACCCGGAAGTGGAAGATCACGCCTTATCATAGGAACTGTGAAGCAGATTTAGAGTTCATGTGTTCCTACGTAGCGTTTACCCAGTATACAGATCGGGTTAAAGAGTGGTGTTCAGAAGGATTTTGATTCTACCAGGATAGGCAAACACAAACATTGATATCTCGAAGCCAATATGAAACCTAGTCAGATGACACAGTATATATTCTTCTCGATGCGCATCCACTAAAATGATGATGTGCGTTCAACATCTGGTGGAGGGACACCCAAAGGGTAGTTGTAGCGATCTCTTGGGCGCCGATTTGAGTTCCAACGAACGAATCTACTAATAGCTCATCGACACAAACAACAGAGGGAAGTAACAGAAAGGGAAAATAAAGCAATATCTATTTTTCTACCCACCCACATAATATCCACACATGTTATTGCAGACAAGCTAAAAGGAATTTTAACCATGCAGTTCCAATTCCCAACAACGGCTTAAGAGAGTCTATCTCGTACACTATCATTCGCATCATCGCCTGCGCCAACCAACATTCTATCAATGTCATGATCAAAATCAATCAAGACTTCATCGCTGTACATGAGCTTCCACTCTTCTTCAGGTGCGACCTCCAGTGAAAGCACCTCTGCACGACAGTCATCAATCCAATGCACCGGGATGTAGCGCCATGTCCTTGGACTAGGCGCATCGCGGTTCTGATTCTGGAGGCAAAAGTGGGCCTGCATTTATTTTCGTAAGTATTGATGTCGTACGTTGTCTAGTTGACTGGACCTACCATGTGTTTCGGCTGCAATTCTACCTTGGCCGCGCTCACGCCGGTGACATACCACTCCCCAATGCTATTTCCTATCATTGTTCCGGCACCCCATCTTGATAGAAAAATATCAAGGTTCATGACAATAAGGATTACCACGAAGACATACATGACAGCACCGAGAACATCATGAACAGACCAGACAGAACTATCATCGTCTGGAGGGAAGCACGGTTCGCCCCAGAATCCGAGATCATTTTCCTCGTCGTGGAGAAGAAGAGGCCTGCATTCGTCATCTAAGGACAGTTGTGTGTCGCATGATTTATTGATGGTGTGGTATGAAGGTGGTGGTTTTGTGTTTGGTTGACGTGCGTCGCGGAGGAAGGCGAGGATGGAGAATCGAGGCGTTGGCTCTAAGGCCTTACATCTTCTGGCTCTACGGCTTCGTGGCATCGATGCAACTCAGAGTATATGGCCAACAATTTGGATGCAATGATTGTCGCAATGAGTTGATTCCTGGGGAAACCAGTGGACGTTCAGATTGTTGTGTAAAGACAATTATGTCTTGCTCTACCCAGTCCGTGTAAGATCCATACTTTTGGTAGAGACATACTGCCTGGCTTTATTGCAATAGATTGGGTGCTGATTGAAGGTGGATATTTCGTTCTCATCATAACGAAAACGGGTGTGCCCTAGTCGAGGTGACGATTGCGGAGAGTAATTTTGCATGCGTTTTCGTGGAGCTGGAGGGTTGCTTGGCAGCGGATGTCTGGAATGAAGCATGTTGCACAAAGAATTTGGCATGACAATTTGGCAAGGGATGAGTGTCCCAGCACGTTTCGACGCACCGGACTGGATGACATTGTGTCGGTTTAGCCCTCTCTATCATCGAGAGCGTTGACACTTGGGCTGATATCTCACATTGACGGTGCAAGAAGAAACGTTAAACACTCATACGGCTAATTCAACACGCGCAATATCTTTGTGGCAAATGTTTTGCATGGGGGAATTCGGACTACAGTAGATTGTGATGTAATGGCTGTGCCGTCATAGAACACTGGGTTGGAGCATTACTCAGACAGAATGCAAGACCAACAACAAATATTGATGCGTTCAATGTGGCAGCTATGTTCCCTTTGCCAGCCTATTACTATATTCAATCATGGTGCTGTTTCCTTCCCATATAAGCTCGCCACTTGGGATTCAGCAAATAGATGGGTATTCCCAAAAGGAAGATCGCAGCAAACACGCCAAGAAGCTGAAGGAAGTCAGTTTTAAAGTAAACATTTCCGTGACTCGCGAGAACTTACAATCATATAAGCGCGCAGATAATCGAATTGCATTACCATAGGCGTAATACCATAGGAAGCGCCGAACGAGACCACATTCTTTAGCCCCGTTACCAACACGAGTGCAGGGCCAGGATTTTCTGGCATTGCTTCCGACGCAAAATGTGTTGTAGTCATCAAGACAACAATAAAGCCAAACTCGAACAGTGCCCAACCTAAGATCCCGTTAGTAATAGTTTCATCAACTCGAAGGTGACTCACCCATGATGATTCCCCAAACTGAAATCGTTTCTGGCCACTTTGCCGCAGCGCCGTAGATAATAATACCAATCATGCTGACAATCGCAGGGAAGATCAAAATAAGCAAGGTATCCTCTGGAATATGAATGCCACCTCTTCGCTTGGCGATGAGGATATTAAGTTTATCCCCAAACCATCCAGCATATACCATCGCGGCTATAGAGGCAGGGAAGATAGGGACGTTGATGAGACCAACAGAACTTTGCGACCATCCGTAATCGTGAGTGAGAATGGTCCCATAGTTCAATGACATGGCAATGCCGACTCCAAGACTAATGGAAGCAGCCAAGATGGCCCAGATGACTGCTGGTGATGTGCAACATTGAACCATCTTCCACAGAGAGCCCATTCCAACTTGAAGAGCATTTGGTGCCATGCTAGTATACGGTTTGAGCTGCTTGATGAAACCATCCCGCTCTCTGACCGCCGTGGCCTCGTTGTGGGCATGTACCGTACCGAATCGGCTTCTCGCTTCGGCATCTGTCAAGACCAATGTCACGCCAAACTCATCTGTGTAGACGACAAGACCATTCAGCGACATTGGACTTCTTTGATACCGGGTTTCAGGTAACAAAAAGAATGCCACCACTGTACCTGCACCAGCAAGAATCGTGATGACCCAGTAGAACCATTGCCAGCTAGTCGCAGCTACGAGATAGCTGATGGAGATGGTAAAAACAGCATTGATGAGGTTCTGAGTTCCCCAGTACCATGCGAACCACTTGCCACGCTCATCGACGAAACTGACGTCCGTTATGATCAGAGGTAACACAGATTCGGTAGCACCGGTTGCAACCCCGATCAATACTCGGCATGCCATATGTTGATCGAAGCTTGTACTTTTGGCTGCACCAATACTGGATCCGATGAGCAGAAGGCAACAACCAAGGAATACTGGGCGACGGCCAAACATCATTGCGAGGGGCAGAATTACAAATGCTCCTAGTGGAAAGTTAGTGGGAGGTTGCCAACATTCGATACTTATGATGCTTACCACAGGCCATCGTCACACTGGGATATGTAGATAGACCGACGACATCAGTTACGCTCTTTCCCGGGTACATCTCCAAGAAGACAGGAATGATGGGTCCGATACCGCCGACCAAGACCAAACTGAAGATACTGAACCAACAACAGGAAACCAGTATACCCAGTTTGCGCCATTTATTGAAGTTGAGCGGATCATTGGGGTCATCTGATGGAATCGGGATGCGTCGAATATTTCCTTCGCCGTCGACAAGGTTCACATCTCCAGCGCGACCGGATCCATTTGCAGATTGCTTCGCCACTTCGATCTGCTCAGAGCAGACTTCCGCATCCTTAGCATCTTCCATAGTGCAACCAGAGCAGAGACAATCGGGGCAGAGATGGGATTCCCCAGATGAAGGAGATGGAGAAGTGCAACTACAGGTCTTGTAACAATACTTATGAATGATTCGTGTTTGAGGTTTCTGGGATCTCGGGTCGGTGTCTGCGGGGACAAAACTAGACCCTCTACTCCAGTGGTAGTATAAACGAGAAGCTTGTACCACTGAAGGTAAGCTACTCGCGTGTTTTCATCATCATTGCCGCTGGACGAAGGCGTGGAAGGAAGGGATTTTGCTGAGGGCGTCTGTTAGCTAGTCTAGCGTCACGTAATTAGAGGTTCTTGGTTGGTCATCTCCACAACCTCGTAATGTGGAGGACCCTCTACTCCTTTCTGGACCTGGCTACTTGCTTCCCCCATCTCTTTTCTCCGCACTCCGCATTCTAGGAACCTGATCATTAGTTTCAAATACGATATTAATCTGGTATGGACAGATACGACTACAGAAGAGCTGTCTGAGTAGTCGATTCTTTTGCTTATTCGTGTCTGATGAAGGTTAATAAGTACCTACACGCATTAAGTTCTCCCATTCATGAGTCCAACAGAAGAGCAAATGAATGGAGCCGTGTCCGGTAGGTAGATCGAGAAAGTAACAGTCCCAGTGAGCATCATGCCTGCGGGTATTGTCCGGGAGTCGTTGAATTAACTATTTGAATTCCGAGAACAATCACTGGAGCACCCATCAGTCTACGACGTAGTAGGTAGTAACTCCTACTCACCTACCGACATTCACGCGAAATGGACATCTCAATGTTCATTGATCCAGGTCACAGCTGGAAGTATAATTTGTGGGGTGGTGGCAAAAGGGATTCGGCTCGGGTGGGGTGGGGGCATAATCTGTAGAACGTCCCAGATTGCGTCGGAAGTCGGAACGGATGGACACCTGCACATCTATGGCGTTGTGCCAGCACTAATTTATGTGTACTTATTCACGTTCAAGGTGTTATCTTCTCGACTTCTTCAAAATAGCATCCCCCTTGTTTATTCATATCTAAGGGTCCAAGGTGTGAATCGCAACCAAGACCAATTCAAGTCATTTTATTCTCGACCATTGAAATCTTCGTAAACATGATTTCCACGAAGATTGAGCAGAACAATACCCTTAAGCTCGAGGGAACTACACAGGATCTTGAGTACTGGCAGGAAGATGTTGCTCGAGATGGATTCGCCGTCATCAAAGGCGCAATTCCCAAGGAGCGCATCGAGGGTTATGCAAATGACATGATGAGCTGGTTGGAAGGCTTGTAAGTATAATCTTACTCTCTTTTCATTCTCAAAGTTATGTTGTACTGATTGTCTTGATCAGCAACCTCGGCTTCGACCGCAACGACCCATCCACTGTCCACAAGTCTAAGCTCCCTCATATTACGGAGAAGGGCATGTGTCTGAATTACGCCGTCACACATGAAGACTTTGTGTGGAAAGTCCGGACAGAGCCGGGCATTCTGAGCGCTTTTCACAAGATTTACAACGACAAAAAACTCATTGTCTCATTTGATGCAGTGAACTTCGGTTTCCCAAACAGGACTGATATTCCACCAAATGACCCTTGGCCTCATCAAGACCAAGATCCTAAGAAGCCCGGCTTCCGAGTCATGCAGGGACTGGTCAACGTATTCCCTAACGGTCCGAAGGACGGCGGCCTGATCGTTTGCAAGGGAGCTCATCTTCTGAGCGAACAGTTTCACAAGGAGATGGCTTGGGAAGAACCGATCCCGGCCTGGAATCCAGAATGGTACGGCTTTACCGACAAGGGCATGCAGTGGTTAGCCGACAAGGGCTGTGAATGGGTCAAGGTGTGCGCAGAGCCAGGTGATCTTCTCATCTGGGATAGCCGAACACCCCATTACAACCTCTCTCCTGAAGGAGAGACCCCACGTTTCGTTATATACACTTGCTACATGCCTGTATCTGGTGCCACACAGGAAGAACTAGTGCGCAAGAAGAAAGCTTTTGAGGATTGGAACGGAACAACGCATTGGCCCAACTGCCAGGTGGTTGGTAATAACAACGCGAAGAGGGATGGAGTTGACGATCCTCATAACCGATTTGAACCGGTTAAGAAGCCGGTTTTGGATGAAGAAGGTTTCAAGTTGACCGGCATTCCATATATTAAGGCTTCTGCTTAGCTTTTCGTCCCACTATTACATGATCGAGTAATCCAGAAATTGATATCATCCTTAGTCTGTAAATTAAATTGAAGCTCTTCTCATTGACATCTTGAGTTCTTACATGTACGGTTTTATGATGGGTTACGTTTGGATAAGCGGAAGAATCTTCCTTAGGTTTATTGAAATAGAAGACGATAGTAACAGGTGTGTGGATCTTTCCTTGGTCTCAATACATACGCCCATCAACACTTGCAGCTCTAGCTTTAAGAACATTGTTTGACTTTGGGTCCATTTTTTATTGTTGTATCTACTTAAATGTTTCCTAGATCCTTCAATAGCTTACACAGTGCCCTCACCAGTGGTGGACGGTTTTCTGAGTCAATACCGGGGTGAAGTATCTCCAAGGTTTTCACTCCCATCAACATGACGTGCTCAGGACACCGGACGTCGAACAGTTGCTGCGTTGTCGCTGCTGAATTTTGGGAGTCGCTGGTGGACCACTGTTCCTCCCTTTGGCAATGATCTTGGTGAGTTGGGAGATTCAGAAATGGGGTTCCGGCTCCCCCCTCAACGAAAGCATCGTAGACTTGTTGGTTACTCCTGCGCGAGGCATTGATTACGATCATAGTACAGTCATTGCTTGATTGGTCACCTTCCCGTGGGACATTGTCCGAAGGTATCGTTTCCGAAAGCTCCAAGTCTCGTGAGATCATACTGTAAGTCCACAGTACAATAACAGAGTGATAAATCATCAGCGTTTCCGATCCTCTGGTTTGGTAGGGCGTAATAGCTTGAGCGCATCGCAACACTTGTCCGGCATATAGCACTGCTTTCCGCGCCTGCTTCGTCCGCGCCCAGTCTTTAAGATGCGTGGCGGCTTGGTTTGCAGCTTCCTCCCCGAACTTTCCGGCAAAGCGCGTCACTGAGTCCATGTTGACGTGTAGATACATCTGTAGGAATTGATAAAGAACGCACGATATGGGCGACGAGTTTTGAAGCGAGACATTAGTGTTTTCAAGGAGACGCCCGCTGAAGCACATTAGTGTATTAATTTCAATATATATGGATAAATATATATGGATACTCACAGTCTTTGCTGTCGTGATTGGAGCCATAACTGAGAGGATGCATCGCCATCTTCATCTAGAATGATACCCTGTTGTAGATATTCCCAAATTTGCGCCCCGAGGCCGTTAAGGTAAGCTGACCGGGCAACTTGTAAATCGATACTAGGTGGTATGCGTCGGAGCGTTGTTTCTTGTTTCAATAGGCATCGTAATGATATAAATTCATTGCTTTGGCCTAGACTGAGAAAACGCTCTCTCCAAATTTCGGCAGTTGGTGCGAGCCACAAGTCGCGTGCAGAGGGGAGTGGAAGCAGCATCTCTGAATAGGACATCAGTGGGCTGCGATGCTTTACTAGCGCTACATTGACGTCGTGCTCGAATAGATGATATACAAGCCTTTTGAAGATCATTGTTAGCTAGTTCTGTAATACACGTGCCCCGCCGAGGACGACTACTCACCGTTTGAAGGACTCCTGCTCAACCCATGAACGCCACTTGCGTTGAAGTTCGCCCACACTATCATCCATGCTCGGCACTATCTGGGTGTACGTGACTCTGTCGAATTTACCGGCGCGTCGTAGTCCCTGAATGGTCAGTACGAATTAATAATGACCGTTTGAAGATTGCCCGTACCGTTACGAGTGGAAGAAGGTTGCTCTCAGCGATCTCCATTTTCCTTCGGAACCCACAAAACACACCAATATCCAGCCAGATCATGAAGGCTTGTAAATATTGTAGATCACGTATCACGCTATTGTCGAGTTCGACCTGTAAAATGTCAGTGCTTGAGATGGACTGTATATCTGTAATATGTCTTACAAGTTTGTTCAATGCCACCCTAACAATTTCTTGAAATACCAAACCAGTCCGACTGACGGAGGGTATTCCAAAGCAGACACAGCCCGCAGCCACCAATGCCGTCAGGTATTCTGGCCTAGCTGTGCTGCTATCAAATGAAAACGGATGTATCCAAGCATCAGTCTCTATGCGCTTTGCAATCCCGACATTTATTAATTTGTCCAGGCAATCGGCCGAGGGAAAGGAGAGGACCGAAACCTGGTTCTGGGCAGTCCTAGATATAAGCTGAAAGATTCGATCACGCGCTTGAAGAGAGAGGCGGTCTGGTATACTGATAGTAGGAGAGCAAGGTTGGTGTGGCGAAGACGCAATGTCAACATTCCGTGAATCGATCGTGATGGCATTCTCACTGAATGCATGCTGGTTCTGATCAGGAACCCAAAACCTAACACACTGTCAAACGAGTACGTAGATATGCTTTCAGTTCAGATTATTTACCAAGGTGATCTCTTGAAAATGGCATGTCGCTTTTTCGCATCCCCTTGACCACGAAAAGGATTAGAGACGCCATTGGAAAGATTTGCTGGGACTGACGACTCTGGGCTCGTATCTTGCTGCTCGCTGCTGATTTGGTCGATTGGGAAGGCGAAGTCATTGTTAAACAGATCAACTTCGCCCAGCCAATTCATTTCGGGCATCCACATGGTCAGGTCAGGAAGCTGTATCGGCTCTACCCCGATGAAATCTTGCTGGTACCCCGTCACCGGCTGGATGATATTTGGCGCATCCTGGGACCGATCATGACCGTGACTGTAAAGGTCCAGCAATGCTTGTGCATCAGGATAGCTTGCTGCCGTAGACGTTGGTGACTGGCCAGGTGTCGCGGCCTGTGGAACTAGATGTTGCTGCTCTGGTATTTCTGGAGTCGCTGGCCGCTCTGCTGCTCGAGAGGAAGCAGTGTTTGTTTGCTTCGGTGGCATTTCGCTACATGGGAGGCCTCTTTTCTTGCATCGAGTGCACGGTTTAGAGTTGTCGCATTTTACTTTCGAGAGCACGCATGCATCACAAGCCTTTGTTGCCCTTTTGATGGTCCTTTTGGATGCACTATAGCCATCTTGTGCATGCGTTGTTCGATGGCGTAGCAACAAATCCCTGCGATTGAACGCAGCGGGGCAATCTTCACATCGAAAAGATCTTTCATCTCGATCTATGCACAATTAGAAAGGATTGGTACTCGTCGTTGAATTATCAGCCCACATACGCGAGTCGAGATGTCGGTTCAGGTGGTCGACACGGTCGAACGTTCGGCTACAAACTTGACATTGCAGGCCTGTCGGATCGCCCACACGACGCTGCAAGGTTCTCTGACGTTTCCTGGGTCTATGTTCCGTAGACTGGCGTGGGGAAAGGTCGAGCTCAGGCTCAGCATCTGACATGGGGACATGATCTGACATGTTTCGGAAGTTCGTCTTTGGGATTCGGAAGTAGTGGGAGCGAAAGGAAAAAAAACATGGGGTACATGTATGGGGGCAATACACGGGGACTGGGGGGTGCAACCTAGGTGTTGACGGGATGTGGGGGAGGATTCGTCTTCCCTTCAGTGCGGGGAAATCGTGTCAATCATACCGGCCAATAACGAGACTTGGATATCATCATCCTATCCATTCAACTCCCTAAAGTTGAAACCAAGACAAATGCGAATATTTGTGTTTTTTATTATCTAATTAACTGCTAGAGTTTCGTCTCCTAGCATTTCGATTCAATCAGGCTGGAGATACCAAGTTCTGCGTCTTTTTCCACTCCTTTGCCCCTCGATAAAAACAGTTGTAATCCATGAACTCGTCCGGCTTCCTATGTGAATATTCTGTTAGAAAAGAATGACCGTCAGCAAGAGAAGATCCGACGACTTACATTCTTATTTCATTACTGCCTTTTGCCGTCGGCGGTTTGGCTGCCTCCCGACTGTACTTCTGTATCAAGCTGGCTCGCTCGAATCGACAACGGAAAACATCCTGAAGGATTGTAGCAATCTCACCCAAATCTGGTATATGCTGGATGTCGTGGAAGAATGCACCAAGCGCCTCTGCGTCTTCGATCGTCTGGCTTGCACCCTGTCCCTGCGTTGGTAACATTGCATGAGCTGCATCGCCGATCAGAATAACTCGTCCTCGGGTCCATGTCTCAAGAGGATCCAGGTCGCGTAATTGCCAGAGACCAATATTATCTCCCAACTTCAGCACGCTCTTTGTCCACTCGGGGAAGGCATCGAATGTTTCCAACATCTTTGCCCTGTCGCCTTTGGTCACCCATGATTGTGCTGCATCCGGGTCTTCGTTCATCTTCTCGTCGGGTACCAATCCAACCAGACTGTACAATTCTCCCCCCCTAGCTGGGCCCATAATGAGCCGACATTCATGTGCCATGACCATTGATGTGAATGGAGAACGAGGATCTATATTTCGGCAGAATTCGGGAGCGTTTTCTTCTAATTCTTTAGTAGAAATCATCAAGCGGTATGCGGAGGAACCGGTTGGTATCGCTTTTGCCTGTCTTCCAAGCACTGTTGGTCGGATCACGCTGTGAATTCCATCTGCGCCGATAATGACATCTGCCTCTAGTTTCGCTCCGTCTTCCAGTGTCACTATGCCCAGCTCCGGTTCGCACGCTACTACCCGGCTAGAGGTTCGCACCGTGCATGGCTTCCCCTTCAGATCTAAGCTGGTAGCTGCCCGTTTGAGATACTCATGAAGGTCTTGTCTGTGCCAGACAACTCTGTCAGCGCCGTATTCGGTCTTCTGCGATAATTTGACCTCGTTGACAAGTTTCCCCTCCACGTTGTATATACGAAATCCCTGGTCCACCGTCCCCTGCGAATCCTTGAGCAGGTTCTTTAGACCCCAAGTCTCTTGCAATATCCTTGTCGCATTTGGCTGGAGCGATAAGGTGGCACCAATCTCAGTATTGAGTCTCGATTGTTCTAGGATCGTGATGTCGCGACCTGGTGCTCTCAGAGCGATGGCCGCCGCCATACCTGCGATACCGCCGCCCACAATGATGATCCGGAACGGCGTTGACGACATAGTGTGAAGTTTGAGGATTCGAAAGAGTAAGTAGTACCAAGGAGAGTGACAGTGTCGACTTGACTATGAATGCGGGCATGGCAGCGTATTAGTACAAGAGCGATTCCGTTCACCTTGTGGTGAGATTTGGCTCGGATCAATAGATTGATCAAGGTAATGGGCCAACGTACTTTCGTAGACCAATCGACCAATCGGTTGTGAGCTAAATATGAGTATAACACACAAAAAGTGTCAATTCTTTTAGGTCACTAATATTTCCTACGAGTACTAAGTGACAAGGTAGGGGAGGTCCCGATTGTCTGAACATGAACCATTAGGGACGGCTGACTTCGGATGGGGTGGGCGGTCGGATTGCGGAAAATGTGGGGGTGGGTCCTTCCATCACTGCTCACCAATAAGTCAGGCAGACCACGAGGACAGAGTGAACGGGGAACAGCACATGAGAAGTAACCATCAGACTAGCTTCATTTCGTGCGCCGAGGTAATAATGTTTTCTTTTCTCTTTTAGATTTTCACTTGAGAGCAGTCACCTTTGGAATGGAGCAGATGGCGGCTTTAATTCCTTGTCTATTCTTTCGCTATGGTTGAATGTCCATCGACTACCTTGCAAATGCAGAAATATGCCAAACTAATGCCGGAAACCAAATGTATGCTCTAGTAAAGCTGGCACCATGGTTTTCTTGTCGATCGAGGTGCCGTCGGAAAGTGGGTTTGAACCCCTAGTAGAACGATGGAACTGTCAGTAGGGCTGTCATGACTTCAACTGCTCCTCAATCTCCGCTACCACTGCTTTGATTCTTGGCTCCCTGACTTTGTCGGCTGCATGCGATACTGCTGTTGAGAGCTGGAACACCTCCCGACCTGCTTCGCAGTACTCTGCACCTAACGATAGAAGAGTGCCTGTCGCTACCAGTGCACGATAAACGGCTTCGGAATCTGTAGCAGAGTTCAGGATCTTGGACAGATCATCCAACAGGGTGAGGGCTCGATCAGCATTGTGTTCTGACGAAAGCAATACTGAAAAGTTTATGTAAAGCGTGGCTACAGCTATAATTAAATTTCGACTGTTTGACGTGATGAAAGGCGCGACCAGCTTTTGGATTTTGTCGAATTCCTTCGAGGCAACTGCACGACCTACGTCTGTCTTGAAGAGATTGCCTAACGAGCGAATCGCCATCATTGTATTATTGAGCACCGAAGTATTGGAGAAGACTCCCGATTCAGATAGAAGATCGAGTATCGATAGCTGTGATGTCAAATACGTGACTGGATTACTAAAGGCGAAAAGAAGACGAAGTAGATCAAGCGCAGGGAGCCGTTTGTCTTGCGGCCATTCCGTTGCAGCTTTCACGATCAGGTCGATGCCGGCTGACTGAATGTCCTTCTCCTTGCCTTTTTCTAATGCCGTGACCGTACCGGCAAGCTGTTCAATATCTGCCGGGTTGAAAGAGACGTCCTTTTGGCCATCATCGACAAGCTTTTGATTGAATTCCTGGAGTTTCTTGAAAATCATCTTGTGATTTGCTGTCAAGATATCGAGATACTGCTTCTGTGGAATAACCTTGGGTTTCGGTGCAGGAGGTTGTGGCGGAGTAACTTGTGCAGCATCTCCAGGGCGGTAGCGCGATTCCGTTCCCCAAGGATCGCCCCCTTGACTATTCGATTGCCCCAATGTTGCACCTTGTGTGTTCTGGACAATAAAATTTGTCACCTGGTCGAGGTAGGTGATAGGCAACTTATTGGTCTCGCAAAATTTCCTCGCAACTTCGTACGGATTTTGGGAGAGGTTATAGGGAAGTTTGAGGGGTGGCTTTCCGTCCTCGATATCAACGTCGAAGACAAAGTCGTATTCTTTGCCGTCGTGAGAGATTTTGCGTCCGCTACTGCCGGCACTGTCGACAACAGTACCTATATGCACCCATTGATTCGCAGCCGACGACCATTGATATGCCGACACATTGCCATTGGCTTCGTTGATCATCACCGTTTGTCCCTCCTTTGTCCCTGACTTCGAGGTCAAAAATTCAGGACCTGGCAATTTCTCTTTATTGATGTTGCCTACTGCCTGCTGGGGTATAGATGATGCTCCAACATCATTCGCAAATTGCTCGATCGCAGCAGCCTCCGCAAAACGCTCTTCCGAGCGCGTGAAAAGACGCACGATGTTGTCGCTAGCTCCTGTGGCTATGTCTCCATTCTCGGGGCAGACTGCCACTGTCCACACGGAGATAGCGGGGTGCGTAATTGTCTGAATGCACTGCTGATTATTCCATATTCGCACGGTCCTGTCCTCGCCAGCGCTGACCAGTTGACCGTTCGGAAGCACGGCGAGCGAGTATATGAAGTTGTCGTGACCTTGAAGCTGAGCGACTTGTCGGCCATCCAATGTCCATAATCTGATCAGAGCATCATTTCCAGCAGATGCAAAGTGCGCTCCTGATGAGTGGCCGGCTGGAAGTCTACACAAGGCTCGAACGACGTCACCGGTTTGAAGCTCTCGGATGAGTGTACCAGTCGGCTTGAATAGACGAATCTTCTGATCGGCACAACCTTGCGCGATTGTTAGTTAGGCAGGAATGCAGTCTAGGGTAGATGAAATACCCGTGATTATGGTGTCCTCGTCGTATGCCAAAACTGCCCACACCGAAGCTGTATGGCCCTCGAGCACAGTCGAACTGTCCCATTTGCCCACCGGCCAAACACGGGCTGACGCATCCCAGCTGCCGCTGACAATAACTTTACCATCGGTGCTAGTATCCAAAGCGCAGACATTTGATCCATGACCGATCAAGAGCGCATCTGCATTATCATCGATTGCTTTGCTAGGTTGGCGCACATCTATGAGTTGGTCCTTCCCTCCAGACACGATCAGGCCTTCTGGATAGCTCGGTGACGGTGGAACGATTGTTAGGGAATTGACGAACTCCTTTCCATGAGTCTTGATTGTGTTATCGAACGAAGGGGGTGATGAGGATTGCAATTTCCAGAGGCGGACGGTGAAATCGCGAGAAGCAGAGACGACGGTGGTGGGGTGGGGGAAAATTACGCTTCGTACCTATAAACAAAGAGTACGTTAGTAGTTGAATCTTCCCAAGCAGTGATAATTAACCTCAACATTTACAAACTCACATCATCTTCATGACCACGAAGAGTGGCTGAGAGCTTAAAGTCACCCATTGTAGTAGTTGTGAGCCGGATGCGATAGTTGGCGGGGAAGCTCGAAGCCAAGTCGTTGGAGGGGAGGTAGCCTTAGTTGGGAATTTCAATATCCCGCCGCAGACCTAGCCCTCTCTAAGAATCCCGAGGTGGGTGAAGTACGGAATCGATAAAGTGGCCGGTCTGATAGCGATGTTGGTACAAATAGGAGGATGATGCTCGAAAGGTGCTCAATGATGGTTACAAACATGGGACCTCCCTCCCGGTACGTCAGGCGGGTGGGGCCTCAGTCGGCTGGTGGGTTTCCCCGGCCACCGAAACTCTGGCCCATCGTTCCTCCTCTTCACGTACTCTGTACTCCTGTTCTTCTTTATCTCCATCTTGGTCCTCCTCATCTTCCTATTTGCCTTCACGTATCTGATAGAAGTAATGCGCTCGGCTGTGGTTCTGGCAATGGATTTGGTCGAAGAAATAGGATATCTGATTGACTGTGGCCAAATGCTAACATTCGAAACCCTTTCGTTGAACATTGGCAATGGAGGACCTTTGAATCAGAGTATCAAAGCATACAGCACGCACCATTGATGGCCTTCGCCCGGCGCTACATATCAGTAGATTACAACCCATTTTTGAGGTCTGATCGCTATTGAGAAGTCTTTCATCATTCACCACAAGCAGATGGCTCATCTTATCAGGACTCAGCCATGGAAGAATCGCCGGTTAACCGTTGTGGCCAAAGCCACAGTCGTGCGTTTGAGGATCATCGAAGACATTGCCATCTTTCACAGATACTGTAAATGAAAGTCTTATCTGTTACAGGCGAGGCTGAGCATTTTAGTAGGACAGAGGTTTCCCGTGACATCCGAACCAGCCTCGGGAACTTACAGCCTCTCCTCTGCCTGCTGATGGAGCTACAATCTCATAAGAATTGCTTCGACCACTCATAGTAGCCTGTAAACCTTTTCGTAAATGCCTTGGCCAAGAATGTTCCGAGTGCACTCTGTATAATCGAACATTGAGCATCGCGTTAGGCCACCCCCCATGTGTGAGACAACCCCCGGCAGGGTATGGATCCGACTGCGCCCTGCTTCCTTCTTCTATCCAGAGGGATTTCCAACCAATCAGCGTGGCAGATGCGTCTAACATGACTGAGAGATCAACCCCCGAATTCAGCGTCAAGTTGCAAATACCCTGTCAATTCAGGTTGATCCAACACTGTAGCATGCCAATACATGATTGCCTGAACAATGTGCGGAGGGGTTCGTTTGAGCCACCGAACGAAGGAAACGCCCCGATACATGGAAGTATAAGACGCACGCGGAGCCCAGTTTCAACCGTATTCGAAGCCTCAACGACTCCAACACAACCATTTCAAATGCCCAAACTAGACTCCCAGGCACGTTGATGTTCCACGATGCGAGTTCTCGCCATATCCATTTTCGCTGCTATCGCCACAACTACATTTGCTCTTCCCACCACCCCAAAACTTTCAGTCAGTACAGACCATCATTTTCCATCCTGTAGAGGTTGTGTTTAGAAGGAAGGACTAATTCCTGTCACAGCGCAAGGACGTTTCTTCCCAATATCACGTCTCCGACCTCCAAGACGGAATCGAGAATCGACAACCCTGCTCTTTGATCCCTTGCACAAGCCATGACCTGTGCAGACAGCAGGGCTGCCACCTGTGCGACATTCACTCTGGCATTGGGATGCTTAAAACATGTGCGTGAGAGAAACGATGTCGGGTGGCTTGACATCGACATGTTGGAGGAGTCGAGCATGATGAGTGAGATATATGTTGTTGGATGCGAATCGAACGTAGAAGGCCCAAATACAGCGCTTAATCTATCTCATTTGAACGTGGTATCTTCTCAAGGTGACGATGCGATTCGTGACATGAAAACGGCGTCGTTTGAAACTCCCTCTGTTTCATCTCTCGCGTGTGGACTCCAATCTCACATCAGCTACGAGCGAAGATTTGTAGAATCGCATCGACTTCATCTCATATTCAGGGCAGGAAGACGATGCTTATATATCAAGAAGCCCAGGCACGCATTTCTATCTTGAGCCAACGAGTGTGAGTACTTGTAAAGGTAACAAGTGGAGTGCGACTAAATATCTTACTTTGGCCAGCTTTTGTCTGTGATACAGGTTAGTCACTCTGGCTGTATCATTTATGTTTCCGTATGCACAGGTCCTCAGGACAACTCCATCCTGATGCGAGAAAACCAACCATGGCAGAGAAGCCGGTATGCAGTTGGCTCCAGGCACGCCAGGCTACCCTCCGATGGCAGGGCTGAGAACCGCGTACTTGGGGGATGCATGTGTGCGACTATTGTGCGCCCCATGTCTTCATTCGGAGATTTCAAATGATATCGATATTCTCCGCAGAAATAATCGCTTCCTAGCTCTCCCGCACAGCAGGATTATGGATAACAATAATAAATCGATTGCAGCCAAGGGCCAGTCCAGAAGCGCCACTCGGCACGTGACGCTGACTGACACCCGAACTGGGAAAGCCACGATATTGGGCGAAAGGTCTTAGCGAGGTGTATGAGGCTTGATGCCAGAGCCGAGATCAAGTTCGAAATCGATTGCTGGGGTAGCTACCGTAGGGCCGCAGGAGCGTTATTCGCAGCTGAGCTTTCATGGCTTTTCGCTAGATGGAAAGATCCAGATTCGCAGTGCTTTCCTCGATGATGGGCGAAGCGCGCTACCGTCTTCTGCCATGTGGACGCCGGGGGAGGCGACAGCAGCCACAAAGGGTCTATTGGACGAGAGTCTGGGTAGGAGGTGAGCTGTGCGAAGTGTCTGGTCGTTCGCTAAAACTCTAGAAGCGCATAGGGCATGTCCGTCCATGGAAGATGGAATGGGCTTGTGTCTGGCTATTGTGAATGGCCTGGGCCAGCACCCGACTAGCTCTCCTGGGCTGAAAAGGGTGGGAAGGCCAGCCCTTGCAAGGAAGCCCACAGAGAGGAAGAGGGAGGGATGGGAAAGGAAGAAGCTGATGGCGGCCGCGTGATTTCTTCTAGATCTTGGGCCCATTTACTATGCGAATGCGCATCAATCGCAACGTTCTCCTACTGGACGTTATGAAGAAGCATAGCGTTTACTGTGCAGCGAATCGAACATGAAGGGTACAAGGACGCAGAATACAAAAGATCGCCTGCGCATCCTCCCAAATCTGGGGGGATAGAACATTTTCGCTCACCTGTCGCTTCTATCCGTACTTTTGGCATCTGTCGATCATCCGTTTCAGATCCACCAGGGCTGTTTTTGTCAGTCTGACTGGATACTGTCGTTGCTCTGCTTACCCGTGCAGTCGTCATTCTTCAGTAAGACGCCTACGAAGCACACCCGGACTGTCGGTGACATTCACCATCATACCACGGCTCCGAAGCCTTGTGTGGTACCAAAACTGCCCCCCACCATTGCACAATCGGACCCCTACGACGTAAGGGCTCGGCTGTCTTACCTTGGATTGGGACCACATCGACCCTACCTTCCCTAGCATTTGTTGAAGTGTTGGTTCGGAGACCCTGATCTTCTCCTAATCATCCAAGTCGGACTGCTAGCCTTACGCGTCGCTGAGAATAACTACTTCGACTTTCCTCCACTGATTCAAAATTTATTGTCAATCTCAGAACCTCTCCCCAGTCGAACGATTCGAACTCAAAACCAGCATACTCTACTTCTCTCCTTCCCAAGTGCGACATCGCCCTCTAGAAGTTCTACGATGGACTCGCCAAACGTTGAACTAATGTCTGCTCTATCATCGTATGTCATTTCGCTAGCTGTCTCTCGCACAAAAAGAACCTATATGCTAAGTCGCATCCCTAGACTATACGAAACGGGGAAATACTCAGATCTAACTCTTGTTTGTGGCATGAAAAGTTATTCGGTGCATCGCGCCCTCGTCTGTTCACGGTCCGAGTTCTTCGAAGGCGCCTGCCGCAATCCTTTCCGCGAGTCGGAATCTGGAATTATCGACCTGACGGAGGATGATCCTGAAGCTGTTGAGCATATGGTTAACTGTAAGGACACGGTCCACTCCCGTGGTGAAATGTGAAGCAATGACAGCTAACTCCATGGGGTCAGACTTCTACCACCTCGACTACCTGAAGAAGCCACTCTCCCACAAATCGTCGCAACAGTCTCCTACACGAAAGTCACCCATGTCGGCACAGCGAGCTCACTACGGAGGATCGAAGAAGTTGGATTTGACACTATTAGAGGACCCACTGTTGGCGATCATGGCAGCTAATACAGTGGGGGCAGCCCCTCCGTCTCCCCCAGACGAAGCGCAACACATCCAGTTTCCTTCGGGGACCAGGAGCAGTAGCATCAATAACACGACTTCCACAAAATTGCCTGATACCCCGATGGAAGAGCCGTTCGATCAGAATCCTTTCGATGGGAATGCCGATCAGCCCGAGGAAAGTGTTGAGAAGGCAAATTTGCTGCTGCATGCGCGGGTGTATGCATTAGGTGAAAAGTAAGTCATCAACAAAAATCTTTGGTCATGTCCCTCATCCAACTCCCTTCTCCTTTTCTCATTGTCTCCTGTTTTTCCTCCGTTTGCACCTTACTTCGCGATTCCCATCATCGGTTTGAACAACGCGCGTCCGAGAGTCTCATGACCACGCGGCCCGATGGCATGGTTGAGTGAGAACCAGATGGACGGTCGTGGTTGATGGTTGATGGTTGATGGTTGATGGTTCCTGTTTGATTGTTGGTTCCCTATTGGGCTATCGGCGACGTCGGCGATCACGGCACATCGGTGTTGCACAAACGCCGATTCCCCGCGATCCGCGTCACTGTCTATTCATCCATCCATTCACCATCATCCACCATCGACGACCATCATCCATCATCCATACAAATCCCCCTAATTCTAGTCCCTTTGACTCCCCTTTCTCGAATCAGCGCTTTGTATTCCCATCGCTATCTCTAATTTCTTTATTCCCTTCTTTCTTTCTTTTCCCTTACACCGTCATTTCGTACAAGGGCGTCGCACGACGCCGCGTCACCCGCCGTTTGTTTTATATCTCTCCTTCCACCTTTGGTTTGTCGTACAGCCGCCGCAATGCTTGTTCTCGAAGTGATATGCTCCAATGAAGCCTCTTAGACTAACACACAATCCCCATAGATACGGTATCCCAGGGCTAAAGTCACTCGCACGTAACAAATTTGCGGCCCAGATCGATCTTCATCTCCAGAGTCCCGAATTTCCAGAGGCTTGCCAAGAGGCCTATGAGTCCACTGTCGATTCTGACCGAGGCCTGCGCGATGTCATCATCCAGGCCTTCCGTGCTCACCCCGATCTCCCTCTTCGCCGAGATGTCGAGCTCATCGTACGTGATACGCCGTCACTTGCCTTTGAACTCTTCAGAATGGCGAGCGGCCTCCCCGTTCATTCATGAAACTTTGATGATCTCTTTGGAACCTTCGCTTCTTACCATACATTTTTTCTTACCCACGGCTGTGCCTTTTGTTGGACGACGTTTGCCCCAATTCCAAAATTCTTGTCCATATTGTTATCATTATGAGGCATCATGTTCTTCTCCCTTTTTCGAAAGATACCGACGATCGCACGAGCATTTCATTCTCATCGCTGGCTCCATCGCTCTTACCATCCACGGCGTTACACGGCGTCCTTGATCTCTGTTTTTAAAATGGTACGCATCATGCTACCACTTGGCAACTGTAGGATTTATCAAATGGGGAAATTTCTGCCAATATTGCTTTTTCAATTCATGCAAGACTTAGATACCACATTGAATACTAGTATTTCCCAATCACACCACCTCATACATACACAATTCCGTACTGGCGATATACTTTCCTTATCATAGGACGCGTTCTTTCTCACGACCGAGCATCATCTTCGGGTAATACTTCAGATCAGCGTCATTACAAGTGCTTTCCTGGGCACAGCCTAGGGAGTACCTACGCTTCTATGAATAAACTGCAGACCAGCACTCGATGCTCTAACCACTATGGCATGCAGGAACCTGAACTGGGGTCATGACATGTGTGCAGGTCGCCCACGGTTCTGAGGAGAGTTGCGCGTCCACGCATGATCTAATCAGCCCTACGTGGCGCAGCCACCACAAGACAATGGTACTACTTTCAGCAGTTTGGTTACTACTGAGTTACTACTGAGAATCTAGAATATGACGTCCATGCGAAATCCAGAGCAAGCAGAGAGCAAAGGAACTGGCCTACTGAACACTCTCTCGACAAGAGGTTGGCTAAACTTACATCGATCAATCATGTTGTTCTCTATGGGCTCTAGGGCGGCGCATGTCTCTATCTATTCGTACTCTTTCTCCGGGTATCATTTCTTTGAGAGAATGCGCACGTGGATAGTGCGGGGAAATCCACCCAGTCACCTACAAGAGTACGAGTACAATCGATGTACGAAACCGATTTTATCGATAACATAGGGCTCAAACTTGAGGGTTTCGAGGCGTAGCGCGACCGCCCAGTCAAGTGGTCGTGCTTGGCTAAACCAGTTTTCACTAATGGTGGTATCACTCCTTCTTTGTCTTCACTCTGTAGCGGACTTCTCCTAAGTGGCTATGCTACCATGAATCTCCTGGATAGTGATCTGGGGTTGATTGTGTTTCAGGAGCAGAAACACGCGGCGTTTCCTTTTTTGGAATCAAGACACAAGAGAGACTAGACACATGATATCATGCTTCTGGGAGGACAGGCTACGTATCCGTTGGGTTGCGTCACCTGGTTCGAGAACCATTACAATCAGGCGAAACCCATATGCATACCATGATGGTCATACTTTTCGAGAGGTACGCATCATGTCGTAAGCCCCGTTCCGATATAGAGTATGAGTAGAACGAGCAGAGCGTACAGGCAACACGATGCGCGTGGGAAACCAGCATGCACCAATATCGGTCGCTGGGTGAGTTGGCCGAGCGATTATGATTCAAGAGGCCATTCAAATGATACTTGAGAAATGTATTGGGTACATAGGGAGTACTTTGTTTCAGTTCTCGTCAATATATGAAGCAGCAGTCCGCACAATCGAGGTGCATACTCCTCGTACCGCCCTTGGAATGTGGCCCCTCTTTACCATGATGATGTTAAACGAGACCTAGGCCCCCCAGATCACAGTCATTGTTGATGTCGAGTCGTAGTATGAACTGGGGTTCATCACAACCGCTTCCCAGCATGATGGTTGGTGATAAGTTGTTGTATGATCACGAATATTTCGATTAAGCACATGGATACGAGAAATAAGCACCATACGTACGAAAGTAATGGACTTTTCGCATGCCAAACGCATACAAGCAATTTCAAGCTCATTCGGTTAAGACGGGGGAGTTCAGATGCTATACCTACAAGGGTAATTACCATCCCAATCAGGAATAGCTCCATTCCCGGACTTTTCTAACATCCGACCAGTCATTCGTCGGAGCCGAAAGGGAATCGTCACTGGATGCCGGACGCGCCCTTAGGACTCGACGATCCCGACCTCAGTTGCTCACTTGCGCCCTTACTCGTATTCAATGCCCTTCATCTCTCGCGGACCCGAGATGCTCAATATAGCCCATGCAATTCTCAACAGTCCCAATCCTTCGGACACGAGCAATCTTTCAGGCACCTTTTATTTAAGTTTGCCTTTGCCATGTTTCTTTTCCGCCTCACCATTCATAGGCCACATTTCCCATAATCAATCACGGCTTGAGCTCCCTACACCTCAATCGTTCCACATAGGCAAAAGATAATCTGCCATCCAATCAATACTACGATCTATCGCGTCCTCAATCGCAACTTCAACTCGCCATGGCAGTTGAAGAGAAATCACCGCCGGTCAGAGCTTCGCAGGAGGGGTCGAGGCCACCATCTTTAGCAAAAGAGGCGATTGTCCAGGCTGCCAAACCAGAAGAACACCAATACCCATCCATGGCCAAAACATGGATCATCATGATCTCACTGTATATCGCAATGTTCCTCATTGCTCTGGTAAGTTCCCTGCCCATGCCAATGTTCGTAAAGGCCCAACATTCTAATACTCTGTGTCGTTTAGGATAAAACCATTCTCGCTACAGCGGTTCCGAGAATAACTGACGAGTTCCATTCGCTCAAGGACATAAGCTGGTATGTGTCGGCGTATATGCTCACCCTCTGCGCTTTCCAACTCATTTGGGGTCGCATCTACACCCTCTTCCCTGTGAAGATGGTATTCATTGGCACGATCCTCGTCTTTGAAGTTGGCTCGGTGGTGTGCGGTGCCGCTTCGTCATCTACTGTTTTCATTGTTGGAAGAGCTATTGCTGGCTTGGGTGGCGCAGGCATGATGAATGGGGCCATTGTCGTTCTTATGAGTGCAGTCCCTCTCGAGAAGCGTCCCATCTTCCAGGGCCTCATCGGCGCAGTCTTCGGAATCGCAAGCGTCGTCGGGCCCTTGCTTGGAGGTGTCTTCACCGAAAAGGTTACCTGGCGATGGTGCTTTTACATCAATCTGCCCTGTGGCGCCGTAGCGATCGCCATTCTCATCTTCTTCCTCCACCTCCCTCCCAAACCCAACCCGACCACGCCAGCGGCCCCGAAGACGCTCATCGAGAATATCAAGCAGTTCGACCCCATTGGCTCCATCCTCTTTCTCCCTTCAATCATCTGCCTCCTACTTGCACTTCAATGGGGTGGCACTAAATATAACTGGTCTAATTGGCGCATCATCCTCCTCCTTACCCTCTTCGCTATCCTTTTCATCCTTTTCCTGGTGGTTCAAATCCTCAACCCGCAACACGCCACCATCCCGACCCGCATTCTCGTCAACCGCACCATCGCGTGTGCTTTCTTCTTTACATTCATCTCTATGGCCTCTATGCAGGTCATGGTGTACTACATTCCAATCTTCTTCCAAGCCCTCAAGGGCTTTTCGCCCATCTCTTCTGGCCTCGCAACCCTAGCTATCATTCTCCCTCTCGTCATTGGAACCATCCTCGCAGGCGGGCTTGTCCAACGCCTAGGCTACCCGGCTCCTTTCATGATCATCTCCTGCATCATCTGGACCACCGGCGCCGGTCTCGTAACCACGTGGCCAATCGACGTCAAATCTTCCATGTGGATCGGATATCAGTTCCTCATCGGTTTCGGCATCGGTCTCGGAATGCAGCAGCCCAACCTCATCGCACAGATCGTGCTCAAAGACAGGAGAGACGCGACCATGGGTGTCAGTCTGATGATGTTCGGCCAGAATCTCGGCGGCGCCGTCTTCATCGCCGTCGCTCAGAGCGTCTTCACCGACTCGCTTGCCGGGAAATTGTCCGCCATCCCTGGGTTGAACCTCACGAGGCAGGACGTCGTCAGCATGGGGGCGACTCACATCAGAGATGTGGTACCGAAGGACCTATTGCCGACTGTGTTGATCGCGTACAGGGCGGCCATCAGGAACGCATTCTATGTGGGGGTGAGTCTTGCGGCTATCAGCATCTTAGGTGCTTTAGGTGTCGAGTGGGTTAGCGTGAAGAAACCCAAATCTGACGCTGAACCTGCTGCGAAAGAGGGAGGGAAGGAAGAGAGAAAATTGGGTGAAGAGGAAAAGGAGACTGTTTGATTGGAGATAATTTATTTTGTGCATGCATAGCTCTAGGTGGATAGTTCTCACATTGTTTTCATTTTGTACATACATGGCCTTATGGGTTGCCAACGGCGTACATGGATACCCCTCTCAGTTTTACTTTTCTCCGAAAGGGGTCATGAAGCCCGCATGTCATCGTTTAATCATATTACAAAAATAGAGATAATCATGCATTTCAAGTTTAATTCATTGTAGTATATACTGGAATTATGCATATTAGGACCTAATTCGATGACGAAAATTAGGAAGAACGAATTAAAATTTTCTTTGATGGCCATCGTGGAACTAAGATTCGGGAGAAGTTTAGATAGGAAGTCAGAAAACCCAAAAAAGTTCAACATGAAGGAAACACTATTCGGGCTTTTTAAGGAACTGGAAATATAGTGATTTGAAATATCAGATTTGCTTAATTAATACAATCTACAGAGTAGGAAGCATGGACACAATCTGTTACCGCAACAGGGCGATACATATGGCCTTTGCGCTTTCAGGCCCTGATCTATCGCAAAGGAAATGACTGCATCTGAAATGATCCATTGTTCATATGGCTACTTATGGTTGTGCCGTGCATCGCCAGCTTCGAAAGACAAATCTACCCTACACGGTACCGATGACTACCAGGCTTTGAATGCCCACTTTGCCGAATCCCTTCTTGTGCAACATCTCACGACCACGATGGATCGGAAACTCTGCTACGACCAACACGCTCACATCCTCAGTGCGAACCCCAGCTTTCACGAGTAGTTGCAACACCGCGTATAGAGTCATTCCCGACGCAAGTACGTCGTCGACCACGACCACCTTTGAGCCCGCCGGGATCGTATCGCTCGACATCCCGATCTCTGTCCGTGGAACACCGCTTTCAGCGACTAGCGACGAGATATGTGAGGATGGCTTCATGACGGTCACCGTTGGCGGTGGCAGTTTGCTCGCCTCGCGAACCGGTACCATAGGCACGCCGGCTTTCACAGCCAACGTTGGCGCGAAGATGAAGCCGCCCGTTTCACAGGACACGATTGCACCGACCTTTGACCAGTCATCAGAGAAGTGGCTGTGCAGTAGCTCCGTACAGAGCTCCAGTCCACCCGGCTGCTGGGCGATGCCGAGCACGTGGCAGAAGTCGACTTCGGGGCGTGGAAATCCAGGAAAGTGGTGAATCATACGAGAAAGCTGTTGGATTCCATCGCACAGGTGTGGGAGTAGGCGATGTTCTGCGAATTCTTGAATATGTGCGTCACCATCGCTGTTGTCTTCGAACACAAACGTAGGTCGATGGTCTGAGGCTGCCAGGTTCGATTCAGGAGCACTTGCTCCGTTGCTCTCTTGATGAGGGTCGGTTGTGCTCCCGCGGTCGCGTCGCACTTGACAATCAGCTGTGATATGAATCTCAACAACCTTGATTGATGGGACGTGGTGGGCGTATGACGCAACGGGTGCAGCATCCCTCATCCCGGTAATGAATAAGACATCCTGGTCTGAAGCATTGGCGACAAGTGACAAGAAATGCTGCACTGGTAGATTGGGCTGCTTTATAACCTGCTCCTTGAAGAAGAATGTCAAGGCTGGACGATGGTTCTCTTTGTACTGTCGATCGTAGAGTAGAAGATCGAGATCAGCGCCAGTGGCCGCCGCATATTCTATCTTAGTGGCGTCGCTGATACTGGAAACTTTCGTCTTGAAGCCGCGGTGAAGAAATATTGGGCAACACACTTTGGCGAAGTGGTCTTTTCCGGCACAACTTGCGCCCGTGATGATGAATATGCACTTCAGCATCTTTAGTGGTGTTGAGATGTCTGTGGAAATCGGACAGCTGTATCTGAGGATGTTATAAGGGTCCACTTGGTGTTTGATGTTTGCCAGTTTCGCACGGTTTGCCCCAAATGCGTGCGGTGCCAGTGATGCATCGCGGGGATCTGGCCCAAGATCTGCCCCGTAAACTCCCACACATGCTCCCATCGTTACTTCACCGTGCTTGTTCGTCAAGGATATCAACTCTTTGGCAGCGTCGTAAACCCATTGAACTGCAGCATTTGCAAACTTGCTGCCATCCTGATCGCGACGCCAGACGCCGGTGAGAACGGAAGCATAGTCCCAATCCCGACATCCAAAGGCTGTTCCATCCGCCGGAATATCTCGCACTGCGCCGCCACCTTGGAGCAGATGGATGTAGCAAAGTGGTGTCGGTGCCCGCCTCATGATAGCTTCTAGGCAGTCGGCAACATTGTTTCTGCCCAAGCCTTTCAAGAACACGCATCGTTTGAACGACGATGTCTTTCCTCCACCATGCCCACCATGCATCGTAGATATGTATAACTCAGTATCGAAAAGGCCAATACCGTCAACACCTTTTACTTTATCATCGAGATTCCAGGTATCCTGACGAAATTGAGTCGGTATGTGTAGATTCGGCTGATGGAGTGACCCAGGTGGGTAGCATTGATACAAACTCGCACAAATTTGCAGTTGTCCATCGTCGTGGTATAGAAATGCATCTACAGACAAGTTGCCTGGAACCGCTACGTCGACTGACTTCTCAACCTCGCTCAGCCTCAGCCGTGTCTTCTCGTTGTTGCTTAGTGACGAGGACCAGTGTCGGATTTCGAAGGTTAATGCTTCGTGGGCACGGAAAACCACGTTGAGCACAATACCGACGTTTGAACCAGCGCCTCTGATGGCCCATAACAAATCGAGATCATTCTTTGGACGATGCGCATTGGGTGGACGATATTCCCTCGGCACACAACCGACGTATAGAAGCTCTCCCGAACCAACATTGACCATAACGGCACCTATGATAGAATCGCACGCAAGGCCATGAAGTCTTGCCTGGTGCCCAATACCACCTTGTAGCCACAGTCCAGCGCCTACGCTTGGTCGAGCACCCAGAGGCAAAGCAAGTCCAGCTTCTGTCGCTACGCGAACGATGCCTCCCGTATTGCATCCGGCGTCCACAATAATCAGGGCACCGTGCGTCGCGTTCCTTCCAATATGTACCTTATCGAAAGAACTCATGTCAAGGCACACGACATTTGATAAGACACAGTGGTCGCTGTGGCCTCCACCGAGGACCGTCAATCCGAATCCATACTTTTTGGCCCATTTTACGCATCGTTGAATTTGTGCAATCTCTGTGGGTCCAAATGTGCAAGCGGGATGTTGACGTCGCGCTTCCCGGTTCTTGATCACCCGCGCGTCTTCTCTGATTGGGACTTCGGCGATGAGCTCTGGTAACGTGGTTGAATGTTGGTTAAAGACTATCATTGAGTCCGGCGCACTAAATGTGAGAAGTCCTGGGTGATCTTCATGACGGCTGCCTAGGGCGCGACATACTGAAAGTCGTTTGGTAGTGAGTTCATCGTCTGGCATTTTGTTGAACCGGCAATTTGCTTCACTCTGCACATCGAAGCCTGTCACATATGTGGTAAAGCATCGCAGTGTTTTATCGTCATCCGCCACGCGCAAGACTGCATCTGGGAAAGAAGCCATGTGGTGGGCCACCAAGCCATCGAAATTTAAAACACCATCGCGATGAAAAACAACCACTATTCCCCCTTGCGGTCCTGTGATAAGCAAATCCAGAGCTCGCTCAATATATCTTCTCTTTGGTGTCAAGCCGTATAAGCTGTGGCAGAAGGCCACTATGTCGTACTTTTGTTTGATCGTCTCAGTGTCTTCTACACTTGAATTGGTAACTTCATTCTCCGGATCGAATGGTGACTGTCGGATGCAAGGTGGGCTTTTCAAAGCAGGAAGAGTTGGATCCGCTTCTGTGCCGGCGTTGATCCATTCTGTCAAGCTTGCAGAAAACAGCTTGTTTGGTTCGTATGCATCGTACTTCCTGATCGCCCTTCTCAAATAGATGGGAACATCGGCGAAAACAGTTCTCGGACCAGGTCCAACTTCAAGCACCGAGATATCCGAACGTGACTTCAGAAGATAATCAAGTTGTCGATTAAGCTGGGGTATAATGAAATCCCGGTAGATGAGGGACCCGGATTCATTCTTTATAATTTCAAGACCAGCCTTGTGGTCGGCATCTGACAATCTGCCGTCTCTGGAAGATGCGAATGTCGGGGCAATCTGCCTAAGAGCGCGCTTCAGCGTATCGAGAGTAGCCATGACCGCTGCGTCTCATGTAAATCTCTCGATATATCAACGAGAGTTCTTAAACAAGATCCAAGCGTTGGGAGAGGTTGGAGAATGCCGCGCGATGAGCAGGTCAGGGTCAGAGGGACTGTTTGCCTAGAGGGTATTTATGTATGCTGCAGCGCTAGCCATATTCAGAAATGCGGTGCAACCTACAACGGACATGTACATCCACGAGAGTTGGTGGATCACATTCATTCTGACGAATTGGATGCCTTATATCGCTTGCTGCGATAGGCCGTTTGTTCTCCAATGAGCCAACCGTCTATTGTGTGCTCAACGGTTGCCATTGAAGGCGTACAATTCACGCCTATATTTCATCTTGGATTGCACTGGCAATAATACACTTTAGTAGTCAGCACTCTGCGTCCAGAATTAATCCTAATCATATAAAAATTCTACCTGACAATAAAATGAGCTAATGGGCGTACAAATAGGGAACATACTTGGCTAAGAGAACTATGTCAAACACCCTGGAGGGATTGATTGAACAGCTCACTCAGGATAGCACCCAGAAACGTGTCAAAATTGCTCTTCAAATCCGAGTTTTCCGCTGGCTACTCCCAATTAACTGTTTTCAGTGTCTCGAGGTTGTTGGGTGATCATTAAGAGCAAAGGTGTTTGCCATCAGAAATGTGTGTATTTATTGCGATTTACCAGGAAAGTTCAAAAATTGTTAATGAAGGAAGAAGAAGAATACAAAATTCTCAGCGCAATCGCATCCGCATCTGACCATAGGTCTCTGCCCATCTGCAGAATTCAGAGCATCTTGACCCTCCTCACCATATTATCCCGATTTTCTGTGCTCTCCCCAACTTCCACACACTTGCCCTGAACACAGCCACAGCTATCGACATTCTGTCCCCAAGGCACCACATCCACGTCTTGTACAACACAAGTGCCGACGTCGCCAGCAAATCTGGCACACTTGGAGTTCATCCTGCTCGCTTCGAAGTTTGGAGGCAAGAACCCCGTGTTCATTTCCGAGTCGACGTTCGCGCAGATCTTGGACGAGGCGGGTGGTGAACCGCCACAGCAGGCTGTGGACTTCGCGATGTAACCGCACGACGAAGACGTCTGACAGGCGTAGTCGATTACTGCTGGTTCAAAGTCGGCTGGGCGTCTATGTTCGCATAAGCTGAATGTAGCAAAGATGAAGGGTTTGGTAACAGTAAAAACAGGGCAAGGCGTGTGATTGGGCGGACTTACGCGACAGGGCTCGCGAAGGCGCTGGCGATGAGGGAAAGGCCAACAATGAAACAGACCATTGTAGAAAGTTTGAAACGTAATTTTTTCCAGTGGTTTTCTTTTTCGAATTCTTAGAATCTAGAGATGAAGTCGCCCCGATGTTATTTTTTCACATCTGTGGTCGCACACCATACCTTTATGGTTCTACACATTGAGCCAAGGCAGGATTAGAGAGCCACGCCACCAAGGATGGGACACAGCACCACGAAATCTGTCGATTTGTGTGAAAGCACACCATGACTTGAAGTGTCGCGGGATCTCTAATACGTGTTCGATGAGTTGCATTTAAGTCACGACACCTTTGCTTTTAAGCCTATAAGAGCCGTAGTGTATTAAATTCAACTAGGAATGTTATGGGGAGGACCATTGTATCATTTGGACCCAAGGATTTGCGCCGTTTCTTCACACTTGTATTATGGATGGCTTCAGGACAAGTTGCAGATATTGTGCAAATGATTACAGAAACCTCTCGCCACCACCACAGCATCTGGATGAATATGGAGTACGCGCGACTACTTCCATCGCTAATGAAAAAAAATCATTTCCAGAGAATGTTGATGGAAGAACAAAAGTGACTTGCCTGACAATCTATCTCGCGTTCTCATTACTACTGAATTCACTTTGATGCAAGTCGAAGATGCTCACTGAGGGACGAAGTATTCCACTCCAATATCCAATGTATCTGCCATAGTCTACACTCGGAGTGGCCATGTGCTTTACTTTTTGAGCAGATGAGACCGCCACCTCTCGGTAGGAGCCAGTATAGTGAAGAAAGGTAGGAACTCATTTTTCCAGGCTGTCTGTGTACGCTCAGATGCTTCAGGGCACGACCTTAGGCCGAATAATACCGTCTCTTTTTGATATTTGACGCAAGATTATATATGTAGACGTTATAGCCAGCAAGAACGGAACAAACACATTTCGTTTTCAATTGCCCGACGTAGACACCGGAATAGTGTTGGAAATGGCTGAAAATTTAAGCGTGTTCAAGTACTCTGTAGTTCTAGAAGGAAAGCTGACGTTACAGCAGTTTGTCACTCTTGCGGATCATCAGGAGGAATTGCAGCTCCTACGAGGGCTATATAGTATCACGCTGATATAGCAGCACAGTCAGGGCTATGAAGCTGCTCCACGTGCGTCAGTATAGCGAATGAAGGGGTGGTTATGGACAATACATCGAAGAAAACATGGGTTACTATGCTGATCTCTGTAGGCACCGATCGATGGATCGAAATTGAGCATGTACGGTTCTCACAATTGTTCTCACATAAAATACAGAGCCTTGATACATCCCAAGGTCAACCAGGTTTTCATGCTCCCTGATTTTTCTTATGGGTTCCAATCGCACCGGTCGTTGGGTGCTGTCTTCAATTTGGTCCGTATCTGGCCGCTTCCAATTTTGGCAGCACGGTAGATAGTCGTCAGGATTCCTTGCATGAGGTGGATGTTATACATGATTTCATAATTTACAGATGCGATCCGTTAGGTGGCGTTGCCGTCCCAATCTCGTCATGGCGTTACCTCGAAGGCTTCTCTTGATTTGATTGACTGTCCGGATCTTCGTGTCCTGATGTTTCCTGGACTCCCTTATATGGTCGACCCGCGTACAGCATGTATCCTTTCTCTTCGATTGTTCCAACTTTTTCGTCCACCTCTGCTCGTCCTTTGCCAAACGCGCCAGTCTCGAGCTGCCCGTGAACCGCAACTGGTCGGTTACCGCGGAATCGTTTGCGCATATCAATCATGCCCTTCTTGCACTCTGCATATCCTTTTTGCAACTGCTGGCACTGCGTCGGGAGTGTGTACTTGAGGGGTGGCCGGAGGCAGTCGCCTGGAGAATTTCGCTCAACCTTTGCGCTAATCAGCGAGATGTTGCGTACGCATAGTTAGATGGCAGCCATACCATTATGCAGTCTGAGTTCTGGAGACAGAATGCCAATGCAGCGCCTACAAAGGTATTAGGTGTTAGGTATGTTTTGTGATCGACTGACACACTCGTAGGGCGATAATAGTTGTCATACAAACAATAGTGGAGGGGAACTTACGGATGTCCTGACATGACTGAGGCATTATGAGAAAGCCGGCGGATTGGGAAGACGGTATGGATAGATCAGGAGTGCATCGATTGCTGAAATTATCGGCGTCAGTTCGATGTTTACAATCAACTTCGCCTCTAGTAGTCGTGCAATTGTAAATGATGATATAAAATTAACAAAAGATCGTAAGACAGGCAACTGATTCGGTAGGTGGCCTGGTCGCGTCGGGAGTCCGCAATGCCAAGTCCTGTCGTGGTCTGTGCGTTGGGCCATGTGCGAATCACATGTCAGACAGGGGTCGCTGTGAACGTCATCCCTACACCCCTTGACGTGGACGTAGGACGTTGGACCGCCGTTGGACGTTTCTGTACAATGCAACATTCCCACCGCCTGCCCGAGGCTGCTTTCGCTCTCAACATTTCCGTGGGGATGAACACCGCCTAAATGTCCAGCCTTCAGCACTCATTCTATCTTCACAAGATCTCCGAGTAGCCTTCATCCTCGCTCCAGGAAGTCGCTCACGCGACGCTGTCCAATCTTTCATGCCATAACGCTTCCAAGAACCGACTCGGCAATCCTCACAAGATGGGGCTTCATATACCGTTCCTTTCACGTCTACATCTTCGCGAGTACCTCGCCCTTATACTCTCCCTTCTCCTCGTCATCCTCGAGTCCTTCATTTCTATAATCACCCTTGCTCTCCCAACCCCGATAATCAACTTCCTTTACCGTGTAACTCGCCGTCTTTTCAACCACCTATCATCACCCACATCTCGACGCAATCGCCAAAAGAAGAAAGGAGTGTGGTCAAGTATTGCCAATGCTTCGGATTTTACTGAGCTTTGCGAGCTATATGGATACTATGCGGAGGAACACATTGTGCAGACAGGAGACGGGTACCTCCTCGGCTTGCACCGTTTGGGATGGAAGAGAGGCGAAGAGGATGTCCGGGTAAATGCTGGATCGAACAAAGGTGGTGTCAAAAAGAAAGTTGTTTATATGCATCATGGTTTGATGATGAACAGTGAGGTGTGGGTTTGTCTGACGGAGCGAGAGAGGTGTCTTCCTTTTGAACTCGTAGAACGTGGCTACGACGTTTGGGTAAGCGTTGCACATGTACCTGCATCATGTCGCACGATGCTAATGCACGACAGCTTGGCAACAACAGAGGCAACAAGTACTCTAAGAAATGCGTCCATACCGCCCCTACGTCGAACGAGTTCTGGAATTTCAGCATGGATCAGTTCGCATTCCACGATATCCCAGATTCGATTGCATATATCCTGAGTACCACCAACCAGCCGTCGCTATCGTATATTGGATTTTCGCAGGGCACGGCCCAAGCATTCGCGACACTCTCAATCCATCCTACATTGAATGACAAAGTTGATGTCTTCATAGCCCTGGCCCCTGCGATGTCTCCCAAAGGGCTCACCTCTGGAATCGTTGATGGATTTGTGAAAGCTTCACCCGATGTGCTATTCCTAGCTTTTGGGCGACGAGCTATACTCGGCTCAGCGACCATGTGGCAGTCGATACTATACCCGCCAATTTTTGTTCGCTTGATTGACACTTCCCTTAAGTTCCTGTTCGGCTGGACTGGTAGCAACATCACGCCCTACCAGAAGCTTGCTTCGTACCCGCACTTGTATTCTTTCACCTCAACCAAGAGCGTTGTCCATTGGTTTCAAATCATCCGGAATGGCACATTTCAGATGTACGATGACGAGGCTCCTAACCCAATCACTTCGAACCGTGCGAAGTACTACAAGGTCGCAAAATTCCCTACTAAGAATATAAAGACTCCAATTGTCCTAGTCTACGGTGGCTCTGACAGCTTAGTTGATATCAACGTCATGCTAAAAGAGTTACCTCGTCATACAATTGCGAAGGAGATACCCCACTATGAGCACTTGGACTTCCTTTGGGCATCAACGGTCAATCAACTCGTCTTCCCTCATGTGTTTGAAGCACTAGAGGAGTATGCAGGCACAGATGGGTTTGGAACCGGCATTCGAAAGGAGAAACGTTTCCGCTCCCCTGGCCGCTATAGAGGCTTGCTTCCGGAGTCCGGTGCGCTACCGGGCCCAGAGGGGGATGACGACGAAGACGAAAGCTCCTCAAGCCCAGTTGCTCTACGTACGTCAAGAAAGGTTAGCCAGAACACTCGCAAGATTTCGTTCTCCGAACAAGTGGAGGGTTTAGGGCCGCTCCCTCAAACTCCAACTGCACAGAGAGCAAGAATGCCATACCCTGCAGCAAGCTACGCCTCTGCCGCTGCGAACGATCAACACTCGCCATCGCAGACCACTACAACCTTCCCCCCAGCAGCAGCTACGGTCCCCACACACTCATTGGGCGATTCTCCAATGGGATCTTTAGATGCATCACAGATCACAACCCGCTCATCGACCTCAAGACCCGAAGGCTGGTGGAGTTCTGATGAAGTTGCTGGAACGGGCCACAGTGACGCGAACACTCCCTCGGGTCGAAAAAGCCCTGGTCGCGCAAGTGTTGACAGTCAGAAAAGCACCAAATCCAGCATCTTCAATAAACAGGGAATAAGTCTGGGTGTTGGCAAGGCTGTGAGTGGCATTGTGGGCGGCTTGGGACATGGCGAGGCTAGCGGAAGTACCAATGATGATGGTGATGATGATGAGAAGAAAAAGAAAAAGAAAGGCCGGCCCAGGGCGAATGGCAACGCAGTGTCCATTGGATCAAGTTAGCATCGCTGGTAGTTATACGTTGGCCTACAGAATGTAAATATATGCACGAGAAATTAAATACGCCACAAGATGATCATGGAGATTAGCGAACCTTACAAATACACTTTCTATTTGATATAGTGAAGTAGATAACCTGCCCTATCTCTGCATGCCCTCTTCGTTGCGTCCTTTCTAACTCTAATTGTGTATCGAACGTTTCTACGCTCGAAGAAGTATTAATCCATGTTCGTCAAGAAATCATTGATATATTCACTCAAGTTGTTTCGCACTCTGCATAAGAGTTGAGTCGTTTCGCACTCCTACATAAGAATTGAATGTATGTCAGCACTAAGTTCTCGTATTTTTACATGCCAACCAACACCTAGATTGCTAGGGACGACGACTAGCGGCCGAGAGAAAAATAACATCCACTTACCATCTTACTTTTGCTTGAGGTGAACCACGGCTTCCTTGAAGTCTAGTCCATACTTCGAATTCAAGGCGAATGGTGCTCCCAACTCGATGCGAGGAGTTTCAGATATGGCGACCGCCAAAGTGCAGGTCCCCTTGATCTTCAAGATGTAATCTTCTTTGGAAATGCGGATAACTTGTCTCCTACCAGAATCGTCGTTGAACGCGAATTCGAACGAGTCCAGATCATTCGTGGTGCTTTCACAGTCAACTTCATAGAGATGTCCTTCGGAGAGCTCCGGTTTGGGCTGAAAGTGACTTTGGAACTCTTGTGCAAATTCTCTTGGCAAATACAAGTGGGAAGAGCCTAGACATGGTGGTAAGTTAGTGATGAGTGATCACCATGAAAGGCGAAGAAGGCGTACCAAGATCAAAAGTTACTTTAGTATCTTTCGAGTATGTGTAGTCGGGTTTATTAGCGACTCCGAGCTTTATGTCTACAAGATCGATGCTGAGTGTAGAGCCCGCTATGCGCCGTTCAGCGGGAATAATATGCCATGTGTTTGGCTGGTCTCTATTTCGGAGAGGATCTCCAATATGGAGATATCCCGTGCCGCCTCGGTTGATATCTACAGCGTAGAACAGACCGTCGTATCCTGCTTCTTTGCATGCCTCCACCAGAAATGCGGTTTTGGGGGTCGGGGGCACGTCTGGCCTATAGCCTTGCTTGAGTCTGAGCCCAATGACCCCGGAGAGGACTCCACCAGTATCGAACCGTAAACTCGTGGCAAACCCTAATTTCATGTCTTTCACGGTCATGCCTCCAACCTCTAAATCCACCAATCCTACATGGCGATTAGAGACGGCACGGCAATGCAATCAGCAACGTTCATGGTGACATACCTAAGTGGCCCCTTACCCACTCATCCGAGGCATATTCAAATCGAAACTCTTCAGAAAGCGGTTTATATGCGTCCCTGAAGGACGCTGTCGTTGCCAGCGACTTAACGCCCGGAGGCATTAGTAGGCGGGCACCCGAGCGTAGAATCCAGGTATGGGAAGACCCATCGTCAATCTGCAACTTCATCGGACGCTTCTTGCCACCTAATTTCGCATTTACAGCCCAATAGCCGATATCGCGAGTCTTGGTGATCCTGAAACTCAGACTACCTGCTCTTTTTTCTATATGTTGGAAGTCAACGGAAGGAGGAGGGCTGTCTTGAGCGGGGATATTCAGTGAAGATGCAATACCTGCTGATAGAACGATGAAACGAAGTAACAGATACATCGCAAAGGTTGGATCTTGAAAAACAGTGCGGAGAATGGAGATAGAGCAAGGCGTATACTAAGTACGATTGGCGCTCCGGTCCCATTTATTGAGGCGACCTCAGGTCTACATGGATTTCGCAACAGGTACCTATTGTACACACATTGCTAGACTATGATGGATTGCGACACAGTGGTTTGAATTGATGATGCTTGTTGCCACTTCACGCCGTAAAGTCGACCTGTTCACGCCGCGTAGTTGACATATTTGATTGATGATGGGAATCGCGGAATCCTACTTCGTGGGGCGAGAATGCATGTTGTGAGTTGGACGTACATGAAGGATTTGGGTCGCCCGGCCATCTTGTGAGACAACAATCGACAGGGGACAAAGTCACACTTGGACATCAAGGCAAAGTCTCTCAATCATTACTTGTACCATTCATCGCGACACATCGTCAAATTGGCGATCCTCACTACCATTGAGAGGACAACAAAGTGACAACACTATGCTACTGTCGCCAGAATCAACACGTTGTACTGTGTTTGTACCATAGTCCTTGCTACGTTCGACATCAAGGCTGCGATATATCTAGGTAGCTAGGATGCTCAATCATTGTTGAATTAACTATCAATAACATTTTCCCTAACACTGCTGCAAACATATTTCCCAGACGCCATCATGCGAAGCACCGAGTTCCTGAACCTCGCCCTCTCTCTCAACGCCTTAATTGGCATTTCTTACGCAACCGGCTGGAAAGTGGCCCACTGCGAGGGTAAAGAAGCAATCAACTTCAACACCAAAAGCCTCTTCACCGTCTACCTGGACGGTCCGAAGGCGACCCAGAAGATGTGCGACGACTTTGAGAAAGGTACGGATTCAGCCACCAAAGGAAACAGCTCTATTTTCCAATGATTTCTCTCCCGCTAACTTTGAAAAATCGTAGAGGTCGGCAAGCAGACTGGCAAGGACGTGACTGGGTCGCCGTGCCTGTTCAATTCCGACGGAATCGAAGCTGGATTCGACCTGAGCATTTACGACTCGGATGGGTAAGCCTACAATCCAGGCAGGGCGCCATCCGATGTGTGTGTACTGACGAAATGTGTCTCGGATTTTTAGCGTCGAGAAAGCGATTGAGAAGATCTTCAAAATATCAAACCCGAAATGCAAAGCCATTTGGACCATCAAAGAATCACCCAGCCCAGTGCGCGCGGAGCCTGAGGCTGTCCCTCAAAATTTGAAGGATGAGGAGTGCCAAATTTGCCAACTCCCTCTCGGGGACAAACAAGAAGGAGAAGCGCACCCGGACAAGCTCGGGAAGCTGAAGTGCAATCACGACAAATTCCACCATCACTGCATACACAAATGGCTGGATGACAAGACGCACAAGTGTCCGATCTGTCGGACAGAGGGAATCTTCACCAACATCAAGAAAAAGGACTTTGAGACGGAATTCAAGTACTACTACCCGAACAAGAAGATGCAGAAGTAGTCGAGTCGAAAGGTGGAACAGAATTGCATATCTACATTAGTACGGACGTAGAGAGTTGCATGTCAAACATTGGCATAACCCTGCAGTCAACAAATCAAGAATGTGTACTCCTGAAAAATTCATCTACTGTCCTCATATTGATATCCGGTCAATGTTACTGACATTCTCGACGACATCACCCACTTAAACTATGTCCACTGGCTTGGAGGACGGAGCCACGCCCCCAAATCTTGCTGGATACTTGGAACCGCACATGCCCCAGCCAACTCTGATGATACCACACATTGATAGTGACGCGTGTCAGGCCCGAATGCCATGCAGGTATCGGGTCAGAACATAGTGTTCACACGGGCAGAACGTAGCATTGATGCCCTCCTCGCCCCGTTTCGTTTTTCCATGTCACATATCCACGAAGTTCGAGGCGCCACTCATCACGCCCCACGCGGTCCCCACTATATTGCATGGTAACGCGCTCTGTGACCCGACTCGTAGCCCCCAAACGCGAATATCGCTTCCCGTCAAGCCTTTGGAATCAACGGCTTACAATCTCACCATCATGAGGGAATTGGAAGGAGGGCATTTTGGTGTCACGGTGAGCGTAAGCTTGCTTTTTGTCATCTTTGAATTGCATTGTTCTTCAATTGTGTTTGCGCGCTAGTATTGCGGTCCGAGGGGTTCGGAACATGGTCTGGAGAGGCTCAACCTTGCCGATTGGTTGATGGCCACAGGTACGAGACGTCAATGGAATATGCAGTCAAGACGTTTGAATGATGTGGTCTGGTTGTGACTTGTCCCCTGGTAAACGGGTGGTGAGGTTGATTATCAACGTCCGGGGTGTTTTCCACGGATGTCCAGGGCGATTGCCGATTGCCGTACACAGTATAATTTAGGCATAGAAGTCTTTTGTTCCTCCGTCCGGCGTGTTCCGTTGACCGTTCTTCTTCTGTGGGGTAGATAGGTAGGTAAATAGGTGGCTGTGTGGCTGGAGATGTGTTGGTAGATCGATCTGATCTCATTCCACCCTATGGACATCCAAGAATTGCATCGTCCTTCTGCATCGCTTTTTCCGCCACGCGTGCTGCTGCTGACGATTGTTCTAGCTCATCTCATCCATACGTTTCCAATTTCAAATAACTGTATTCCCCGTCGAATTAACCCCTGGAATTCCGCACGTGCATTGCTGTGCACCCAATAACGTGGATGCGTGGCTACATTAGGCCTACTACCTACTTAAACCAAGTATCCAACACCGCAGAGTAACATGCAAAAGCCTAGTCAAACGGTCAGCCAAGCCATGCCCAAAAGGAACTCATGAAACCCAGACCAACGTCCATAGCCAGTGTACACCAAAGACTGACGAAACAAACAAACGACAGGAGTAATAATGATAGGAATAATACGTCAGTGCTCTCTTTGATCTTCAAAAGCTCCATACACACACAGCTATGCTGCTATGTGTGTGGTAGGCTACTTCGGCGACCATTTTGTGTTTTTGCACCCCATCGCCCACCTCACCCGCCTGAACCTCCTGCCAATTACCAAACCCGCCAGCGACGATCGAAAAACAACTGGTTATCTCTCTGACTCACCTAAATGGTGGCAGTAGGAGAAAACCAAGAATTTGTTTCGGATTGTGGATGGGATTGGCTCTGGGCGGGGCGGAAGGAGACGGGCAAGGAGGAGATGGGAGTGTTTTGGTTTTGGTCGAGGGCTTTTCTTCTTCATACGTATTTCTTTTTTTTTTTCGATTCGTTGAGGTCTGAGGAGATGGATGTAGATACGTACTTGTTTCACTTGGAAAGGAAGGGACGTTGATTCGAATGAAGATTTTCAAGATTTGTTCTTTTGTTGCTATGTTTCTGTTGATGAGAGGAAGGAGGAAGGTATTTGCGCCGATAGTATGCTCCAAATGCTGAATGATGATTGCTTTTCCTTGTCGATCCAAAGATGCCAGTCGACCAATTGACCGCCCAAAGATAATCTTGAACAAAACCGAGGTCTATGGAAGAGGAACGCCGCGTATTGATGGTTGGTGATGAGTGGTATGTGCATCCAGTCAATGAAGATCCAACCCGTATTACTCCTCAAAACCATGTGCACTTTTATTTTTATTTTTTTTCCGTTTCGTGTGTTTGATTGTTGTTATTGTGATGCCTTTACGTTATTTGTGCTTCTTGGAAGACTGCGCCACAAGCTTCTTTTTGATGTGCTTGGGAATCTTCTCTTTCCTCTTCTCGCGGTTCTCTTCCTTGATGGCCTTCTTGTGGTCTCTCTTCGCGTCCTTGTCCATGTTCTTCTTGCCTCTCGAGGGTCCCTTTTCGAAGATGCTTTGGTCGACCTCGCTCGAGTCGCTCGCGTTGGAAGCAGAATCAGCGGCACCAACCTCATCGCCACCATCGACCTGGTCGTCATCATTCTTGACGACCTTATCGGCCAAGAGACTCTGGTACACGAGGCCTTTGCCTTCACCCTTCTTGACGAGCTCGGCGTCGCGCTCAATATCGTAGACCTGGTCCAAAGTCTGAGGGATGTATTCATTGCGGAAAACGACATCGTCCTCCTGTTCCTTTTGCTTCTCATCCGTCGACATCGACTGTCTCTGCGCGAGCATAGTCGACACGGCAGATTCGAGGGCGGCCATGCCGGTGTTCCCGGGCTCGCTGATCCAGCTGAAGACCTTCCGCTCGGTGAGGACGTCGACGCCGCGGGTCCGGAAGAACGCAGACACGTTCTTGACGTCCATGCGCAGGAACTCGAGACTCCGCGGGTGGTCGTGCTCCACGGACTGCGAGACGTCGATGAGGTAGAGCTTGCTGTCGTGGTAGAGGATATTGTACTCGCTCAGATCGGCGTGGACGAGATGGCACACCTGGTACATGATCTTCATGTATGCGAGGAGTTGGACGTACAGCGAGGTCCATTTTGCGTCCTCCTCCTCGTCCGTCAACCCTTCGAACTTGACATCGCCCAGTCGCGGCGCCGGCCAGCCCTTCTTGTCGCCCAAGAAACCCATGACGAGAACGTGTAGACGGAGGTACAGTGGCTCCGGGCATGGGATTCCAGAGTTGTATATGCGGCGCAGATTCCTCATCTCCTTCTCCGCCCAAACCTTAACCATGGCACGGTTGTTCGACTTGTTGTAGCCGGATCGGAAGCGGAACTCGCCCGTGACGTACTTATCTCTGTCCTTGAAGACGAGGATGGAAGTCTTGTACACCTTGATGGCGCGGTGCAGCGGCGGCGCATCCTCGACCTCGGTCATGGCGTGGTACACGTTCGCCTCCTTGCCCGTGGACAAGACGCCGTGGATCTCCGACACGATGTTCCGGTTGATTAATTGGAGGAGGATCATGCGCGTCCTGGGATCCAACACCTGCTCGCTCGTCGCCCGGTCGCTCTTGTCCTTGTCCCTCGCGCCGCCGCCCATCGTGCCGCCGCCGCCACCGCCCATCCACCTGTCTTCCACCTTTATCTTGCCGACGTGTTTCGACAGCGACGCGATTTGGTCGTCTATCGAGGCCTGGGTGTTCGCGCTGGGCTTCTGGGGGTTCGCCTTGGGCTTCTCGGACGCCGGTATCGAGGGGTCGTCGAGTTTCTTCTGGCGGTTGTACGCTTTGGTGTAGTCGTTTGGGTTTGCGGCGACGAGCTCCGGGGCGAGGTCGTCATCTTCGGAGTCCTCGAATAGGTCGTCGAGGTCGTCATCGTCGTTCTCTTCCATTTGCACTTCGGGCTTCTGCTCTTCGCTGGGGACTTGGACGGGTTGTTGTGGTTCCTCCGAGGACTCTGGATGGGACTGTGGTGGTGCCGGGTCGGCGGCGACCACTGGTTCTGAAGACATGATGTGCGGTACGCTTGCAGATTTTTCTATAATACGAAGATAGGAATTCAGCCAGTAGTTCCTTTGTTGTGAGTTTGTAGGCTGAGGTTAAGACGAAGGCCGTATGAGGAGATATGTGTTGGTGTATGTATGTACTCTGGCGGGGTAAAATCGACACACAAAATTTCGGAATTTCTTCCATTACACGTCAGAGTTTAGGGTGGCAGAAAATAATGAGCTAGCCGGGCGGTGAGCTGGGTGGTGAGCACCATGGTTACTCATGACTACATCAGAGAACAAAACAATAATACCACACCAATCAGATAGTAATATGCCCAGGCCAACGAACGCTTGACTGAATGCTCTAGCAAGATTGTGTGCTCGAAATCCATGTGGCATGGATCAAACGAGAAGTTGTTCGTGCTATCAGTATAGATTAGGTACCCAGGTACCTACGATATAGTGGCTATCAAGTAAGATACCGTTCACTACCTACATATATGTAATGCTAAACCTACAAAACGCTTGCGCGTTACCCAATCCCAAAACCTCTAGTAATCAACCAAAACGCCTGGCAAGGAGATTCATCCGTAAAAGTGCAAATATACATCACATCCTCCTCTTCACCCGTGTCAACGCCCGTTCAACAACATTCCTGCCCAGTTGGGGTATACTCTGTACCGTCCGGTGCGGCTCTTCTCCATCCATATGTTCGTGGCCTTCTTCCTCCTCTCCCTCTGGTTCGATACTGACGGCACGAACCTCATACCTGCGCGGTGGATCTCGTAGACCAGGCCAGATGTCCAATGGGAGAAAGTCCCCTTGCGTCAATGTGAATTGCTCTCTCGATCGCTCGTCTTCGGAATGGAGCTTATCCAATTCCTTCTGGGCCTCTTCTGCTTTGCGTTTGGCCTTCTCGTGCCTTCGTCTTCGTGAGGCGATTTCGACCAACAACTCTGCATAGGCAAGGTCGAATCTTTCGTAGAACTCTCTCTGGTTCTCCCATTCCTCGATTCCACTCAGTAGGGTGGGCCGTGTATCCTCCAGCCACGCAGCGTGGAACGAGCGGGAGGTTGTGATGTGATCCTTCACCTCGACGGCCACACGCGAGATCATCTGGAGAATGGTATTCAGCGCCGACCCCTCGCTTCTAAGATGGGTGACGTGGTTCTCAATCTGCGAGAGGAGGAAGGTCATCTCGGAACCTCTGTCGCGAATCTCCGAGACGACGTCCTCGACTTCTCTTGCATCGCGCGCCATCACGCTGAGCATTTCATGGCGTTCTTCCTCCGTCATGGGTTCGGGCGGTGGCACGGAGAAGTCGTCGCCAGATGGAATCGGCGCATCACCCGTCGCCTGTGTCGCGGCTGCCGAGCCGCCCTCGGTGTGTCGCAAAGCGGTCACGCAAAGGTCATAGTGGCGGACGAGCGACTGGAAGGCCTGTGCCGCCTCTTTGGCATGTGCTTCCAGATCGTGATACAGAGTTGGTATGGGGCTGGGGTTCGAGGCTGTGGCGGGCGAGTTGGGGACGTTGTCTATGGAAGAGTGGAGGTTCTCCATCGCGGTGTCGTAGGAGTCATTGCTGTCGCCGAGGGTCGATCGGGCCTCGTTGTAGCGATCTATGCATGCACGGAGGGAATCTTTGAGATTAGTCACGGTAGCGTTGTCTATGAAGTCGAGGAGGTGTTTCTGGGGGGTGCCGGCGGGTTGGAGGACGGATTCTATGGGGGTATCACGGAGCACAGCGAGTGTAGAGTTCAGGCCGGCGAAGGAGGTGTCTAGATCATGAAGGAGTTGCTATTCATATAGATTAGCATAGGGCTCAAGTCGGAGGTGAGATGGGGGGTTATGCTGCAGCCTCGCTCACCTTGAATTCTGTCTGCACCTCAGCCTCGACGAGGTCTATACCTCGCCGAACGGCCTCGAGTGCATCTACCTGCTCATCGACGATGTTCCTGATGGACAGGTTCTTCGCTGCGAGGATGGCGTTCTCCTCTAGGAGCTCGCGTGCGGTTGTGACGATGTCATTGGCGCGCCATAGAATGGTCTGGGAGTTCAGGGAACGCTTGGAGGCTACGAAGTGGGTGACGAGGTCTTCGAGGGTCTGCGGGCGATCATGATAGACGGATGGGGAGCCTCGACTGCTGGTGGACGAAGCTGGAGATTGTGGTGATGCCATCAGGCTAGGATGGGGAGAGAGATAGACACGAGTAGGAGGTGGGAGATGGGAGAGAGGAGAGCTTGTGATAGGACCGGAAGGGCAGATGGAGCATCACCGGATGCCGCAGCGGCTTGATTGGGAAGTTGGAACGAGTCGCGGATGGATAATATCACTCTCTAGTACCGTAACTAGCATGGTGAACTACATAAGACTTGTAGTAATAGTAGTTAGGTGGATGAATGAGGGAGGTAGCAATCACAAACAATAACTTGACGTGACTATCAAAGATTCAGGTTCAGGCTACCATGAGACGAGACGAGACGAGACAAGCAAACCATAGCTATCATACACTAGCCAATCTTGTCCTAGCATCAACATCTACTAATCTTTGTTAAGTCTAGTGCAAACCAGCTTCATTTCACGCTTAGCTTAGTCTAGCTAGTCTAGCTTGAGAGACACGTGAGAGGAGAGGGAGATCGTGTCGTGACCTCCAGCCAATCGGCTTCGTGCAGTCGAAAACACCGGGTCACGTGTCATTGCCAACCCTTTCATCTCAAAGGAATTCGTCACTCGAGACGGGGAACAATGGCCAATTCATTCACTAGATTACCGGATGGAGTACCTACGAATACGTAACGTCAAGAGTTACTATGAAGTTAGGTAGATAGTCAGTCTTCCTAGGCTACGAGTAGGTACTTACACTTACCTACCTAACCTTAGGTACCTGAAGCAAGAATGGCAGTAGAGAATGAATTTTCGAGAAGTTTACGAATGAAATACTCCGTGGCTAATGACGAATAGGTACCTGTACAGTAAGTACATGTACCTAGATGGGTACGTAAAATGCCAAGTAGCGCAGGTACTGCGGTACTCACTCACCCGTATCTGAAGAGATTAGTAAAAAGTTTGATCGCCTCCACTCCACTCCATAGTATTCTATGTAATAATGTGTGTGTAGTATGTACCTAGTTATTGATGATGCAATTGTCCATTGTGGACCCCGTACGAGGAGAAAGAGAAGAGTTTTCCGTCTTCCCTTCTCTTCTCTTCTAGGTACGAGTATTACTTTTTTTCTTTTTCTTGCTCTGGATTTTCTTTCCCGCGCGGGTGACGATGGTGTGATTAACAAATCGGAAAGGGTCTGGGTGGCCCTGCAGAGTCATAGTCGCAGCCGTAGTCATAGTCAAAGTCGTGGTCATGTAGCGTTTCGCTAACTGGTTGTTATTGTGTGGAGAAGCCTGACATTTTATGAATTCTCCGATGACAATTGGAAATGCTACATAATTGTGTACTCAGTAATACTGTGCAGTGCGCATAGGGCAGGGTGGTAGATTATGGAAGATTCAGGAACAGGTCGAATTGCATTGCATTGCATGGCATCGCATCGTTCTAGATCGAACTGTGGAATGTCAGAGGGATATACTCCGTAGATGATTAGTTCGTGTAATAATGTTGATATGGTAATTAATGATTAACTGTTACTGTGCACGGAGACTGGAGTATGTACAAGTACGAGTAGAACCGAAAGAGGCGAATGAAGATGCAAAATGTCTTGGCTATGGCGTGCGATTTCGTCTTTCTGGCAGGCGAGACAAGCCGCCCCTCCTTCGCTCCTTCCCCCCCGGACATTCACTCACAGTAGCTAACTAGGGCAAGTACCCACGTACCTAAACTATTATTGCGCCATCCAACCTCACCTCACCTCTCCCGGCCTCAACCACCACCACCTACCACCACCTATCGCAAAAACAAACATCACCAACGTCCCACGACTCACGAGCCTCATCCCATCTCTCTCTCACATCCGCCCGGCACGCCCCCCACACTACACCGATCCAATACCCGGTCGCCACTACGGAGTACCTATCAAAAAACCAGTCCCGCCCACCTTTCACTACCTCGTACTCACACACTTGAACATACAAACGCTTCGTATCGTCGCCATATCTCAACATCCTCGCTCTTTCGCTCTTTATACTACTACACACTCCGTACTACGTACACGCTTCACCTTGGAATACGAGCAGTTCCATACCCGTCCATACCTCTTTATCTTGCTCATCATTACCCCGGAACTACCATCCCCCTGGTGCCACCTCAGATCGCATCACAGCACGCCATCCGCTACTCAGATCTCGACAACTCCCCCTCCGCCCTCTCCCCTCACCTTCACCGACTCGATCCCATTCTACGTTCCTAGACGAGTCGCCTCCTATTTCTCATCATCATCATCCTCCTCCTCCTCTCACCGCGCGTCTCATGTGTAATCCGCAGCAGGGACCTTCATAGGGACCCTTGCGTCCGTCCGATATCCCATCATCCCCGATCCCTCCTCTCTCGATCCTCCGCCTCCGCCTAGATATCCTGGGTACCATTCGGGCCATCCATTTGCTCTTCGTCGCCTAAAATGGCGTCAAATACCACACGTACCATCGAAACTGTCGCAACCGATCACTCTCACTTCTCAACAACCGTGCCTTCCAGTACCACCCAGTCCAAGAGAAGGCGCTTGTCCTGGCGTACCCAGCTTCCCCGTCCTTCCGACGACATGGCAACTACTACTACTTCTACTTCTACCGCTACCGCTACTTCTTCTACCCCTTCTAACTCCACAATACCTACCTCCGATCCCCACACCGCTCTGTTGCATGGCCATGACCACGAAGGCCTCATAGAGCGCGCAAGACATCAGAACGACTTTGAAAATGACCACACAACTGATCAGAAAGACGACGCCTTTCTGAAAGCAACCGCCTCCAAGAATCTCGAGAAAATGATCACCCCCTACCTTACTCACCATATCCCCCAGCAGTACCATCCCCTCGGAGGTGACTCGCATACCCATCACACCCAATCGCCCTCCAGTCCATCCAGCGGTGGAAACACAAAGTACTGCTACCGCCACAGGCCTGACCTGCTGTGCAGAAGGCAGGCCGACGAGCCGTCCATGGAGCAGTTGCAACAGGTATGTCTTGAAGACGATCAATAGTCCCTGCTGCCTTTACTAATCAAAAACTATAGGAGCTCGGGAGAGAATCCCAAGAAGACCAGCAGAGCATCGCCAATGTCTGGTCCATCTTCTCCGCTGCTCCCTCGAAACACCGCAACCTCATGCTCCAGGGCATTCTCGCACAGTGTTGCTTCCCTCAACTGTCCTTCATCTCCTCGTCCGTTCGCAACCTCATCAAGATCGACTTCCTTGCCGCCTTGCCCACCGAACTCGCTTTCCAAATCCTCTGCCATCTCGACACCACATCGTTATGCAAGGCCGCGCAAGTGAGTCGGAAATGGAGGCAGCTTGCCGACGACGACGTTGTATGGCACAAGATGTGCGAGCAACACATCGACCGCAAGTGTACAAAGTGCGGCTGGGGTCTGCCACTGCTCGATCAGCGAAGGCTAAGGACCGAGAAGAGACGGATACAATTGCGCGCATCAGGACGAGGATTGAACGAATGGTCGCCTGACCTCACACCCCTGCCAGAGTCCTCCGATCACCCACCTTCCCTCCCCCGCGAGGGATCAGATCTTTCCGATGAGACCTGTGGCTCTAAGCGCCCTGCCTCGGACATCTCGAGTTCCCCCGAAATATCTTCCAAGCGCCTGCGCACCGACAGTGGTAACGAGAATGAATTGACTTACTTCGACCAACCCAAGACACGGCCGTGGAAGGACGTATATAAGGATCGGTTCAAGGTCGGTACTAACTGGAAGTATGGACGCTACTCAACCACGGTCCTGAAAGGTCACACTAACGGTGTGATGTGTCTGCAATTCGACGATCGAATCTTGATGACCGGATCTTACGATGCTACGGTTAGGATTTGGGACCTGGAGACTGGATTGGAACTTCGAACGCTCACCGGACACACACAGGGCATTCGATGTCTTCAATTCGACGACTCTCGTCTCATCACGGGCAGCTTGGACAACACCATCAAGGTCTGGAATTGGAGGACCGGCGAGTGCATCAAAACCCTTCGTGCCCACTCTCGCGGCGTGATCGGCATCCACATGGCAGACAAGCTTCTTGCGTCTGGATCCTCCGACTGCAGCATCGTCGTTCATGACTTCAGCACCTATCAAAAGTTCTCCCTCCGCGGACACTCGGACTGGGTCAACTCTGTCAAGATCGACCTTCCATCTCGCACGCTGTTCTCCGGCTCCGATGACTGCACGGTCAAGCTTTGGGATCTCGACACACATACATGCATAAGGACCTTTGAGGGGCACGTTGGTCAGATCCAACAGGTACTACCTCTTCCTGCCGACTTCGAGCTTGACGAGGCCGACTTTGGCCCACACACTCACAATGATGCGTCGGATGCAACGTCGTCTGCGTCTGAGGCGGGAGACGCCGAGCACGACATCGTCCCGGATGCTCCCACCGAGCAGGTCTTCCCCAATGATCCCAGTCGGCCCGCCCCACCATCCTACATGCTTACGGGTTCACTAGACGGCACCATCCGTTTGTGGCACGTTCCATCAGGCAGGTGCATTCACCGCTTCTTTGGCCACGTCGAAGGAGTATGGACGGTTGCTGCCGATACGCTACGTCTCGTCTCTGGTGCGGAGGACAAGACGATCAAGATTTGGGACACACGCACCGGCAAGTGCGAGCGCACGCTGACTGGCCACACTGGCCCAGTCAACTGTGTTGGCTTGAGCGACTCGAGGCTGATCAGCGGAAGTATGGATGGCACTGTACGAGTCCACTGTTTCGTTTCCAACCGAGAGAAGGACGAGTGTTCGTCCAAGTAGATTAGCGGATTGTCTCATCGGCGTGACCTATCACGTCACATGTTCAACAATGTCAACCCTTCTTGGGATTATTTCTGTCGTACAGGATAGCTGGCATGGTATACCATCTATGTTGTCGTCCTATTACTGCTACATTAGCGAGGCGTATTGTACTTATATACTGGGTTCGCTGTTGGCTGCAAAATTCTGTAGGGCTCAGCCAGCGGCCGGGGTACGGGGCGTCTACTGTCACACATTTTTCAATAGGAGTTTGGAGGCCAGGAACGGAGATCCATGGATCCGAGAAAAGGGTTTTCAGTTATCTGACCAAGTGTATTCGCTTGACGGTGTGCTTCTTACCGTAACACACACTTTCCGAATGAAATGTAATAATTCTTTCACACATCCTTTGCCCCTCACCTTCACCTTCAATGTGTTCATCGTTCTATGCATTACGAACCCTACTGTGGTGAATGGAGTGGAGTGGAGTGTCTCTTTTGTGATACCCTTTCTCTCCCCTCCACCTCAGCCACACTCTCGATACCTTCTTTCATGAGAGTGGTGGCACCCTAGCTTCATATTCTATGTCGCCCGGCCAGCCAGTCAAATAGTCTTTCAATCAGACGCAGCAGTTACACGGCGTGCATGCATGCAGCCGTTCTGAATGGCAATGAGTCCCCCACTTGCACAGAGATCTCGAGAGGGTGGGGAGGGGAGAGAATATAAATTTCAACAACCTTATTGAATACATGTCGACCCCTCGTTTCTTTTTGTGAAAATAGGTGTTACACAGTTGTCGTTTTAAAGTTAGATTGGTACTTTTGCCTACGTGAGGAAGTGGAAGAGGGGATGGTGGGGGGAAATGATGATGGGAGAGATTACGGTAGGTGAGGGTTGAGCGAGGTAAGGTAGTGTTGAAGAGTTTTTGTTTTGTATATGTTGGTTTGACTTGGGTGAGTTATGATGTACTCTTGAGAAGATAGAGGGAGGGAAGAGTTAGGGGTCGGGGCGGAGAGAGAGAGAAGAGGAGAGGGCAGGACAAGACAGGGTAAGGAGGTAGTGAGAGTTTAGTGACTTGACATCCCCGGGAAAAACGAGGAAGTAGGAAGAAAACAAAGCAAGCAGCGGTAGAAAACAAAAGAATGAGAAGAGAGCTATGGTGTTTCGAGTTAAATATCCTTTGTCGTGTAAGTTAGCGTTTACACATCCAACCACCCTTCCTTTTCGTTTGTAGAACAAATGACTGATTAGTTGTTTGTGCATTGTAGATTTGTTGTTGCGGAAGGGAGGACAAGTCGAAGTCAAGCCCGTTCCCATCGAATGTCAAAACTAATTAGACTTGACTTGAAAGTTGGAAGAAAAAGGTTGAGTGGACACACTCAGGTGTTACTGTTATGGAGTGTCCCTGATGTATGTATGTATGTATCGTATGCCATCTGTGTACACTTTTCTGGTTCACCATTGGCATAAGCCAGAGGGTTTCTATTTTTTGATGATGTTGATTTGAACAGAATATAGAGATTGATCTAGTCTCTCGAGGTGATGACAATGCGAGTTCATGGTTCACCATGCTATATAAGATGGAGATATAGGGGATGTGTAATAACATCACCAGCATTTCCATATGGTGCCCTCAACTTTGAAAAACGTCTGGAAGCGTACCTCAGACAACACGGAAGACATTCGTCTCTACGAAGTGCCACCTGACCCTGTGTCGAAGGTGAGAAATCCGGAAAACATTTGCTACGGCATGACGCTAAGGCCAACAAGCGGGCGGCATCTGTCTTGGTGATATGTGACCAATCTATACATGCACCCAGTTTACCTGGATACTGCTGGTCAACCTCGGACTTCTTTGCGTGAGGCCACCACCCGCTCTTGACTTGGAATAGGTTTACCGTTTCCGGCCACTCAGTCGAGCACAAACCTCTCCTACACTCGATAAGGCCAGTCGTACGGAGCACAATTTGGGTAAGCCAACCCGGAGATACGAGGGCGTAGTTATCTTTCTCTTGCACCCGATAGAAATATGTTAAATCTTTGCCTGTACTGGAGTCGATGACTTCGGCGGAGATTTTTATGTCCCGTGCAACTCCAGCTGATGCGTCCTGCAAAGGATTGCTGGATGGCTTGTCAACCACCTCATCGGTCCTATGCTCAGGCACGCCCAATGGTTCTGGCCGGCTCGCGCGAACAATAGTCAAATCACGGATCCCGCACATTGTTTCACCCAAGTCCGAGACAGTTTCGTAATGTGTAGCAATGTTTGCCTGACCTCGTCCGACTTTTGCAATATGACCAGGAATGACATGGATATGTCGCAGTTGTTCAGCTCGTGGAGAGGCAGACACGAGACCTTCAAGGAAAACGCAAATGCCATAAACGCCAATTGCTGTCTGTGTCTTTTGAGGCCGTGCAGCAGGATCTTCCATCAGGGAGAAATCGACCGAAATATCGTTCGCGTGGCCATAGCCAGTGAATAGATAGGCGATCTTTCTAAGCATGGTCTTGATGCCTTTAGCTCCATTGATTCCATTGTGGAATAAGAATGAAGAAATCTGGTGGAACGCATTGGTTGGATAATTTGCTCCCCCATTACGATATTTCGCAAAAGCCCAGAGACCCATGCTAGTCGGCCGAAGCTTAATATCGCTGTCGAACTTGACAGCGCCGAGTAGTGAAGCCAGGTCGATGATTGAACTGGAAATATCCACCAGGCACGTCGGATGACTGTCTCCTCTCCGAGAGCTAGAGCAGTGCGCGCAGTTCTTCCTAAAGCTCTTCATACAAGCTTCAAGCTGGGCCAATGCATCACTAGTTGATCTAGTAAAAGCCTCCTCCATGTGCGTCCTCAGTCCCGGGGAATGCAGCTCAGGAAAGAACTCCTCGATAGTGTCGATGAAACCTCGTCCGTAGCAGCCGTCGGCAAAATTTACGAACCGCGTGCGTTTGACATCACCGATATCACTTTCACCATTGGCCAGTGCCAGATGGACCCGCGCAACACTGCCAAAGTACAATCCAACATGCGATTCCAGGTCTCAGAAAAGGTCAAAGTCTCCCCCCCCAAGTGAATCTGAGGCATTCCTCCCATGGAATGCGACGTCGTAAGCGCGAGTTGCTAGGCGACTCGCTCAGAATCAAGTCCCTGATTTCTCCAACCTCATATGTCGACTCAACAAGGACGAGGCTGGTACTCGTCCTAGGGGAATTATGCCCATACTTAACGTATACCTGCGCCGAATGTGACTCGACAACACTGCCGCCAGCGAATGAATTGAACAAGGTCTCACCCTCTGATCCTTCGACATGTATGTCTAGATCAAAGAGCCAATACGCTATCGCTGCAATGAATGAGCAGCCCTGGCTTCCAGTGATGACGATACTTTTCCTCGTGCCCGTGGTGATCTCAAACAGCGCACACAGTGCCCTAGCAAGGTCCTCGGGCTCAGAACAACGTACATGTCCTCTTGACGTGGGGCCCAGGACTTTTTGAACGATTTCCGGAAAAGGCGATGTAGATAGTGACCCACTACACACTTTGACAAGGTCCATGAATTGTTGCTGAGACGGCTCAAAATCCTCGCTGATATGATACTCCTTCCAGAGTGCAGAGAGAATCCTGGCTGTGGCGATAGGCGAATGAACTTCGTCCAGGCACGCGCAAAGCGCTATCATCTTGAGACCACCAATGGTTTCCGACATAATTCGAAAGAGACTCCGGTGACCGAATCCGAAATAAAGAACATCAGAGAATGAACTTCGAACGCCAAGGCGCGAAATGGTTTCTTCAAGCCTTTCGATACCCTTTTTTGACAGCTTGAACTTGGTAGCAAGCTGTGCTACGGCGGCATAGGTTCCCGGCTGCGCTCCGGCTCCCTGGATCCTGGCCAGGAACTCGATGGAGTATTGGGGTACGGAGACTGCAAAGTTGACCCAGTCGATTTGTCCCTGTTGAGCGAAGACTTCGTTCTGTGGTGGCATGGTGAGCTGTAACAGCGGATTGCTTTGCTACTTCTTCGATGGATATTTTGTGATGAATGAGAGAAGTGGGGTCAAGGCTGAGGATATACATCTCAACCAAGGCGGCTGTGGTGATGAGCTGGCCAGTCATGCCCGACCACAAGGCGCACAGAGAGGCGTTCCTTGCTCAACTGCACAAGGCTGCATGCAATCCGGCCAGTAGTCGAAAGATCAACAACATGGGGAAGGTTCAGCGTGCCAAAGCGCCGATGGCAATTCGATGGTCATAACTATACAAAGCAAAGGTTGATTGTCAGCTAGGCGTTTGTGGAGGAGGAACGATTAAAGATTTCGATTAGACGTTGGTGCTATAGCAACTGCTCAGCTTTGATATCCCCTCCTACCCGTTTGGGTTGATTGTAAGGTCACATGACGAATGAGAATACGGCTGCTGCAAGATGACGGGGTATTTTATACGTCAACCTTCTCGTACATTAGAGAGTATCCCCGACCGTCATGGAAGCCTCTCGATCGACAGGATTGTGTCCCTAGAACTTTGAATTCATTCAAACAATAGGAGGAGTTGGCGCAGGAACACACCCGTATCCCCCAAAAAATGATGAGTGTACGCAACATGCAACAATAGGAGAGCCTGGGAAAGAGGACAGGAGACAAAGTGTTAAGATAATGATATGATTTTCAATCGAGATTCGATGTTTTTCATTCCTTTTTTTTATGCTATCAGTCGTAACTTGCTAAGTGGAAACAATGTCGCTCACATGTCGCTCAGTTTTGCTGTGAAATCAAATGAATGAAGATGAAAAGCTAAGAGGCTTTCAAGAAACCATACAGCAAGATGCTCAACGTCCAGTCGTCGACATGGGCACCGAAGAAACGCCACATACCCGCTAATCTCATACCAATGCTCCGATTCTACTGTTAACCTTCGATCCTTGCTGTCATTGAAACGCTACTCGGGCTTCCGTCCGTACACGAAGAAGAACCTTAGGTAGAGATGAAGACTACGATCCCGGACTTCGTTGATTACCTTGGCGGTGATGATCTTGCATTCCTCCTCGCTCCACCCGAGCACCTTTCCGATGAAGCCGAAGGTGTATGGCTCGATACCCATGGCCATATGCTCACGCTGGTAGCGGCCGATTTCCTTCTGTTTTGGGTCCTTAGCCCAGGGTCCTATGGGTACCTATGTTTCGACGAATGTTAGCGAGATACGTTCACATCAAGAAGAGCAAAGTAAACAGCGATGTGAAAGTGGATGAAACATACCTTGACCATCTTCTCATGCAGGTCCACGAAGCCGGCAGCGGCCATCTTCTCCTTCAGGCCACTGGCGACGCGGATCTCTTTACTAAATTTTGCCGCGGCCTCATTAACGAGTTCTTGCCACTGCCTCATGTTGGGTGCGCGGTCAATGGTGTCATCGTCACTCAGCACCCACGCCTCCGGCTCCTGGAACTCCAACCAACCGCCAGGTTGGATGTTATCATAGCACTGCCTGATCAACTTGTCCCAGTCATTTATGCCGCCAGACAGGCCACGGATGTGGATGAAGTCAAAGCGCTCGGAGGAGGAGTAGACCCAGTCGGACTCAGCATCATCAATGTAGAATTTGGCATTGGGAGGAACCCAGGTGGGCTGGATTGGGGAGAGGTCGGTGCCCAGAATCTCGGAGCCAGGGTTTTCGTCTGCGAAGTCGATGGCCCATATTCCTGTACCTGTGCCAATATCGAGGACTCGAGACGGAGGGGGGTCGATCGGGGCGTCGTAGAGCTTCCCGCCGAGCATTAGGAGGAAGATGTGGTGGAGTAGGTCGAGGCGGTCCTGCTCTTCATCGTCATTGGGGAGGAGGTATGCGCCGGAGCGATAGCCATGGTACCGACGTCCATTTGTGTACTCGTAATTCAGGATGGAGGAGGCGAGGGAGGTGCTGGCGGTGGAGTGGCCTTCGAAGGCTGAGTCGGTGTCTGAGTCGGTCGGGGTTGCGGTGTCGGGGACGAGCTGGAGGGGGTCGTCGAAGCCGTCATCCTGGTTCGTATCTGGTACTGGGTCTTGCGGAGGTTGAGATTGGGGTTGCGGCTGTGAGTCTGCCTGTGATTGAGTCTGTGGTTGTGATTGTTGCTGTTGTGGTGGTGATGATGATGATTGGGCTTGCGCTTGTGGAGGGTTGGATGAGAGGGGAGCGAGTCCCGTGTCGCCTGGACCGCCCGACGCCGACATTGCGATTTTGGCGCACTTTCAACACAACGCCGTGGATAGTGTTGCAGTGATATTGTTTGTTTGGCCGTTCAATTCGTCTCTATGTGCGTATGAAAGAGTACTGGCAGGAGTGCGGGCGAGAGAGACGTAGGTAGGTACTTGGGGGAGAGGTAGACGGATCGGTGGGTAGGACCGTAGGGGCACTTGTATAATACGAGAGATTATGGGGAAGGTTCAAGACAGACAGAACGATGAAGGAAGAGTGGGGTTTGGGGAGGTGGTTAATATGAATGGTTATTACTGTGCGGCACAGTAAGTAAGTAGCGTTCAGCAGTGTGTGCGCGTACTGCGTAGAGAGTAGAGAAAGGATAGAGGCGAGAGCGAAGGACGAGAGAAAGACCGAGAAGCAATGAAATTACAAGTACTCGGTAAGTGTATACTGTATAGGTAACAAGTCTACCAGGAAGCGGTGGATGTGGAGAGGAGAGGAAAGGGATCAGTCCACAATTATTGTAGCAGATGAATCAATTCGCTCGCTCTTCCTCCCTTCCCTTGTCTGGTTCTGGTTGTCTTGTCTCGTCTTGTCCTGTCTTGTCTTGTCCGGTCCGTTCCCTACATGGAGCGATTAATTACTGCACACTTGCATGGACATAGCTACGTTTACGGTTCTGTATGTGTAGGCATGGAGGTCTATACAAGTAACATACGCCTATGAACATGGAAGACCTGTAGAGCATCAGAAACATGATCCATCCTATACTATCTCGTACTACAGCAGTACTACTAGACGACCTGTTCAATGGTATTATTAGTACTTACCACTTGTACTACTACACAATACGTACTACTTCTACGGAGCACATCTCGTCAATATGATAGGTAGCACATATGCCTACGGCCTACAGTCAACGGCCTCCACCAGTAGTCTACAAACATACGATCGAATAGTTACAGACTTACCGTGTGACAAGACAAGAGTACGAAGACCACGCGCACTGGCTGGCGGAGAACAGCTCGTGCTAACAGCGTGGCATTCGGCCCGTCGCACCAACTCTTCTCTTCTCGCATCCAACTCCGTCCAGTAGCCGCAATCCATTTCTCTTTTAACCAATATTTCCTCGAACTAATACATAACTAATTATCCCTCGGTTGATCAGCAGCATTGCCAGCATCCCACCCTAGGCTGTACTGGGTGTGGAGGTACGTACCTGAGTGGGAATGGTCGCCGTAGTCGCCGTCTTCCCGCATCTTTACGCCATTCACCCTTCCTCGACCATGGCCCACCCAAGCAGTGATCCCGCCCACCTGCGGCTGGCTCTAACGAATGGAATGATGTGAACGGTTGAAACGAATCCCTTTTCGACCGTTTTCTCCATTGTTTTACCATCGTATTGATCCCCAACGATCCTCCTGCTTCCATCTACATCCGACACAAATCAATACCCGTGGCCGCGCGGAAACGGGTCACCTCACTTGGAACTGCCAGTAATGTTGTAGTGATTATTGTACAAGTACTTGTACATACTCGCGAGGGCGCTCATCAGATCTGCGATAGTTTTGTGATTCAAGCCTGGCATATACTAGACACGCAGAGTAAATACACACTGTATGTGTATGCAGCAGAAGAAGTTGCATGATGCCTCTTTTCTGCATCCAGTAACCAAGTCCCCGAAGAAAGACAGTTCCAGTCCACCGTGTGACTCGTTCTGTGTAACTACTCGTAGTACTAGAGTAACTGCGGAGCATCTACTCCGTACTAATGATGCTTTTAGCATCTGTTGAGTTGTATTTCCCAAGTGACATAGATGAAGCACCAGAGCGGTCTATTCTCTAGTTATCTCTACTACTTGGCCATCTTCGTCCATGGTCTACCCACGGACAAGGGTCATTGTCAAGACTCTTCTCAGGCGTACCCTAAGGACATGAGTTCGCTTGCACGCATCCGCGATACATCGTCTACATCGCTAATGTCGTTTGTCCAAATGCCATATTGTTTGCTTTCCCCTAGTTATCAGCATCACCACATTGAATCCCTGATCTGACGCGCCTGTTTCCCCCAACCTGCTGTCTCTCAATCCCTCAAACGGACCATGTCTCTCTGTCTATCTCAGCCGCCCCAGATAACTACTGTCTATGCACTCCGTATAAGCCGAGAGATGCAGACGACTTTGACCTGCAGTTTGTGGCAAGCCATTATCCCACCACTCCACCAGTACTCGTGAACCTTCTCCCTGCATTCGCATGGATCCTCCCGAACCCCCTTCGCTACCCCCGTCCCCCATTTCCCCCATCCCCCCCTTCCGGTCACATAAGACTCAGAGACACCTGCAATCGCTCGCGCGGATTGGATTGTGAGAGCTACTCCCATTCCGCATCACGAGCGCTGTCAGACTTCTACCATGGACCCGGGAACCCCTTCACCTCGAATAGATGCCTCGCCGCTGTCGCTGCTACTGTCGCTGTCGCCCACTGCTATTGTAGCGATTGCCTTCGTCCTCTACAACCTCGGCTTAATTTTCCATCGTCTGTTCCTCCATCCGCTCGCGAAGTTCCCTGGCCCAAAACTCGCTGCCGTTACATCCTTGTACGAGGCATACTACGAAATCCTCCTCAAGGGACAGTATTCGCGTAAAATCAGCCAACTTCACGATAAATACGGTATGTATTCTCTTCATCCGGCGATTATGCAATCGTCCTTCGCGGTGCCTCCTCACCCACGACTGCGGTACGACAAAAGGTGACATATGCTGTGGCTTACTGACACCCTGTGTTAGGACCAATCATTCGTGTGACCCCAAACGAGATTCACATCAGAGATAGTCGCTTCTTCGAGACATTCTACACCAAGACCCAACATCCAAACAAAGATGGCTGGGACAACCGCTTCGGGAGCGAGCATTCGGTCCTCACTACCGTGAACGGAGCTTTTCACAAGCGTAGGCGCGCCGCCTTGAATCCCATGTACGTATTTCTCTGTTCCATTCGATCTTCTCTATGATTACACATATGCTGGCCATATCAAAGTGCATCCCGATCATGATTTTTTCCCCAACGTCTGTCCCTTTTCAATGAACGGGCGTTGTAGTCTTCAATCATGTTTCTCGTGGTTGTTTGTACTATAGATCTACCTTGTCATCTAACTTTCGTTCTCCTCTTCTTTCTCTGTTTTCCTGTTCTCATCTAGCCTTCTGTTCTATTTTTCTACTTTCAATTATTCTTATTTTACAGCCTTGTTCTGCTTCAACAATTATTCTTCGAGCCCATTCTAATGCCTCTCCAGGTTCTCGCGGCGCTCCATTCTCAACTTCATCCACATCCTCGAACGGCATATCGACACCTTTGCCACCCGCATCAATGAATTCGAAGCCCGCAAGGAACCACTCAACCTCAGCCATGCTTTCCCTGCCCTGACCGGCGACATCATCATGGACTATTTCTTCGGCTTCAACTACGCCCAACTCAAGAACCCGGAATTCGAATCCTTTCACGAGGCATTCTCCAAGATCGGTGCGACCGGCCACCTCGCGACCCAATTCCCTGCCATCCTCCCCCTCATGAACGCCATCCCAGACTCCATCACCGAATGGCTCCAACCCGCCGCAAAGCCCCTCCTGAAGTTCAAGCGCGACCAATGGGACGTTGTGGGCCGGACCCTCAAAGGCGAAAACGTCAAGACCAACGACGCAAAGAAGACCATCTTTCAGGAGATCCTGACCAGCAGGCTTCCCGACGAAGACAAGTCGCATCGCCGACTGGCGGATGAAGCGCAGATCGTCGTGGGCGGCGGCGTCGAGACCACAGCATTCACCCTTTCCATCGCATCCTTCCACATCATCAACACCCCGCGCATCTACGAGCGCCTGCACGCCGACCTCGTCGCCGCGTTCCCCAATCGCGCCGCGCCCCTCGATCTCGTCAAATTGGAATCGCTCCCCTATCTCAAGGCCTGCATCATGGAGGCGGCGCGCATGTCGTACGGCCTCTCCGCGCGCAACCCGCGAACCCACGACAAACCCTTCACGTACGGCGGGTATGTCATCCCAGCCGGGACGTCGGTCGGCATGACGATCTCCGAGGTCTCGCATGACGAGAGCATCTTCCCGGACTCGAGGGCATACATCCCGGAGAGGTGGCTCGACGAACCTAAGACGAGGGATGGTGTTCCGTTGGACAAGTTCATGGTCAGCTTTGGGCGGGGGACCAGGAGCTGTTTGGGTATCAAGTACGTATTATCTCTCTTATTCCTTTTTTGATATTCTTTTCGTCCTGAGACAGATCTATATGCTAACGATCGTTTGTCAGTCTTGCCTGGACAGAACTATATCTCACGCTGGGGATGATGTTCCGTCGCTACACGTTCGAGCTTTTCGAGGCGGACGTGACTGACGTGGAAATGGGTCACGACTTCTTCATTCCGGTGGTTCGGACAGACTCGAAGGGTGTCAGGGTGTTCGTGACTTCTACCACAAACTAGACTCCGATACTGTTAAATCAAACGGACGGATGTGGTCTTGATATGTGGTTTCAAGATGTCTAGTAGAAGGTAATGGTAGGACGACTGGGATGTACATAGGGCTTTGCTTGTCAATGACGTCGATATACCCGATTTCCCTTTTGACGTTCCTCATATCTCTACCTCAACTTGAGTTCATTGATGATCATGAAACAAATGTCTTTGGTAACTGCGATGCAATAAGAACAATCCACCATAAAAAACTTCAACTTGGAATCAGCAAATTGAGTATTGCTATGATCTCATCATCGTGATCCGTATAAAAGTATGTATAAAAAAAGGTTGAAAAGTAAATATAAACAAATTGATACAACTCCAAACACCAAGTCGAAAGGCCAACCAAGAACGTACACTTCAACCCCCTCCATGAAAACTCCCATCCCCCATTAAACCCTCCTGCTACCCAGTGCACCCTGTCCCGCCCGAACAACATCCTCATACCTCGGCGGCGGCACCCCATCCTGATCCGCATCACTCCTCGTGCTATCAAAACTCCCCCTCCTCTCCCCGTCCCACCTCACCTCCTCACTCTTCCTCGGCACTCCTCTCTCAGAAACACCCCTCTCTTGTGTTGCCAACGAGGATGACGCATCTCCTCCAGCAGCGGCTGCAGCAGCGGCGGCGACCTTCTTCTTCTCCTTCTTCTCCCTCAACTTCTCGACGCCGAGGCCGATTCCCGCGATGAGGAGGGACGCCATGCCGCCCTTTCTCCTGCGCCGGCACGGAGCGTAGCACGAGCCGTAGGGCTGATCTTGAACAGCGAAGAGAGAGTTTGGTTGGAGCTGGAGCTGGCGGGATTGGGGTTGGGGTTGGGGTTGTGCGACTGCGTAGACGAGTTGGTGGATGGGACCTTCGGATCGGCGGGCGAGGCGTTGCTCGCGGCGTTGTTGGCGGCGGGTGGTGCCGCAGCAGGAGATGGGTTGTTGGTAGGCGGCGTTGCAGCGTCTGTGGCACATTGTCGGTGTTTTGGTAATGGGGTGTCTTGTGTGGTTTGGGTGGTGTTGGAGTTTGGATGTGGAGGTGTGAATGGATGGCTCGTGTGCGATTCTTGTTTGAAAGGAGACAGGAGGAGAAGGGTGGATATGTTTGATATTGATGTGCTTTGTGGGATATGATACAGTTTTAGGAATGTCGAATGGATGAGCCCGATCGATGTATATCGAGATCGGATGCTGGATGCTTGTTCTGAATGCAAAGACAACGAGGGAATCATGTCTTACCTTTATATCTAGATTTCGAAACCTCTTAACCGACATGCATCGTCATCCGCTAATCTTCGGTGCGCGCGAAGTAAACTATCAAACTGCACGAAAAAGAGTATCAAAGCGCAAATGAGGTGTTTGTCGCATCGTGTTCCCCCAGAGGATTAGACTGGAGGGGACGTTATAAGTCAATGACGACACTTGATTCGCCCAAACCCGGACTGACGTACGCCACAGATAGCTAGGAGGAAGACTACGATGACGGTAACGGTGCAAGTTAAACTGCAGTGCCACGACTGTCGCATCCGACTCAAACCAGAAATGACCTAGTCCACCAGTACGGTGAGTCTTTTCACATTGGGACCTCCCCAGTTCGGTGGCTGAGTTCACCCGAGTGAGGAAGATGGAGATCGTATGGGGGATGGTGGAGGCAGAAGCCTGTGATGCGATTGGTCGGCGCGATTATGTCCTAATCTGGAAACTGTTTCATTAGCGCGATGAATGGACTGGAGGGATCCGACAAGCCGAGTGACGCGAGTTGAATCTTGACTAAGTAGGATAATGTCTTTTCATCTTGTTTCCATCTCCCTTTCGCTACTTGTGTCAACCTAGACATCATGTGCTCAGCTTCAAGCCTTCATCTGCGGCATACATAGACTTGGAAGTAGAGAGTCGCCTCATCTCTATGATATTAACTACTTAATCCGTTCGCGCTCGTTCTAAACACGAAAAGATCTGTATGTACAAGAAGGGATATTTGGCTGTAATCAAGGAAAAGAATGTAAATGATAGTCACAATATAGGGCATTACTATAATTTCGCTTCCATGATGGCAAACCTCCGCCGATGGCAATTTTACAAGTTCACATCCTCACACTGGCCCTCTAGACACAAACTGACCACCTCGAACTTCGCCTTGTTCCTCTCCAACTGATCTGTTCCCCACTTCAGATAACAGTTTCCACCTCGAGTCCCTACCGCCGCAATCGCCTCACTCTGATTCACCCACGCGGGGATAAAACTTCCACCGACACATCTCTTCATACCATCCCCCTCCTTCAGGTTTCCATTGTAACTCGAGCAGGAATCGATGCAATCAGATGGTGTCGGTGCAAACGTGTAAAATAGATCATTACCACCCCACGCCGCATTGCACAGCATGAAGTACGAAGTCGATGCCCAGGTACTGCGGAACTTCTCGTTGTTGCTGCCAGGACACTTCATGTCGGGAATCTTCAACTCCAGGATTGGCTCTGTGGTCCCGTTCTTACAGGTGTTCTCCGTTGGTATCGCGGTAGGTGTCGATGATGGTGTCACTACTGGGCTGGCCTCACACTTCGTTGCGTTGTTGCTCTCCGAAGAGTTTGCACGGGTATTCATGAGAGCGATTTCGTCCTTGTACTTGTTGCCCTCGATGGTTTTGCCCACAAATCCTCCAATCACCCCAGAGATCAACGCGATCAGCAATCCCACCACGAGGATCAGCGGCCACCGCCAGCGCTGCATGAACTTCTTCCCACTGCTTCGCGTGTCGGGCTCGAGGTCGCTGTGCTTCCGTTCATGGCCCAGCGCACCTCCCGCGCTGCTTCCACCCCGACTGTGAACCCCGTAATCGTAGTTGCCGTTGTACCCGCCATGTGCGTTATAAGGATCACTGGCTAGGTATTGATGCTTCTGGTCCTGCTGGGAGAAATCGACAGCCTCCGGGAAATTGTGTAGAGGGCCCTCTGGATTAATGGGTTCCGGGTAGTTTTCTGATGCTTGCTTCAACGGTGTGACCTGTGTTCTTTGTTAACCATCGAGAGCACGCATGTAGTATTTTACGTCGACGTAACAGCACGTGGTGTGTACGATGGACCTGACCAGACGATCAAAGCGACCGCAAGATGGGCACAAAGATGGCAGAGGAGAAAATAATGGCAAAACATACCGAAACCCCAACCATCTCCTGTCCCGCCATGGCGCTTCCTTAATCCAATTCCGCCGTGATCGTCGCGACAAGAAAACGCAGGAAACCCAAACAGACGTAAGTGACCAGAAATATGCTTCCTAGAGGCCGATGTTACACTCAATGTAACGAGTGACGATGATTCCGAGGGAAGGGAAGACAAAGGGAACGACCAGAGTCCGACGAGGCACAGCAGGTGCAGGCGCAAGATGCAAAAAGGAACCGTAGGGATGGAATCTCTATGTAATCTGCAGAACCCCTTCAAGGTTTCAGAGTGCTCCGTCTCTCTTCTGTCTCTCGCGCATGGAAAGCCTGGCCCCGTAGCTATGTATTGCTGACAGGGCGTTCGTTTGCCCCCGGTCCGTCTTTCTATTTGATTAAGAAGATCCATTTGCCGCCCTTGGGGGTGAAGCATCTGGGCTGGACTGGCCATTAGACTCGCTCGCAGGGTATCTCTCCCCCGGTCCAACCTGCATCGCGCGAGAGATGCCATGGCCTTGAGTACATAATGAGTTGAGTGTGAGCGAGACTGCAGGCAGTGAAATTAGTAAAGCCTGCACTATATTGTATTTTGGTATAATTGCCATGCTCTAACTCCCAAAAGATGCGACTAAGTGACAACTTCCATCCTCTCTGGTACTGGTGTAGTAAAGACTGTCCAGGTAGGCGCAGATATTGCAGGGGCGCATGGCTCTGCATCAGGGGCACGGCCGTCTCCAACGGGACGGGGCGTAATCTAGTGGGTTTGAGGACCAACATATGGCCCGATAGATGGACACTTTGTTAATGGTCGACATGGTACATACATATCGACGAGGCAGTTTAACAAGTACTTGTACTTGTAGTGCGTAGCGAATACCCGTTTGCAACGCACGGTGCGTTACGAGGCATTGAGCCTCGAAAACCGCAGGCCTGAGCCCCATCGTATCTCCCATCGCATCACGACTCACGACTCACGGGACGGGAGAACTCGACCGTGTAGGTAGATGGGGAAAAGAGACAGGACTTTTTCAATGGTTCACCTATATACACAGTACGCGTTGCCCATACTTTCATTGTCACTGCTTACGAAGGGCGTACTGCTTCGCTGTATCATCTTCTTGGACATGCCAATCACCGGCACAATGCAATATAACTACTGCGACTTAAGCTACGCCCCACCCCATGCCCAACCCCGACGATTATCACCAACATTAGCCATGTCTCAGCCCTGCTCAGACCATTACAATCCAGCGATAGCTCGAGCCACGGCGCTTCTACGAACGGCACGTTTCGCTGTCGGCTCGTCGGGCGCTGCCCAAGCGAGCCCGTGATTGACTTCGAACTATTAGTGATTTACCCTGTATGTAGGACTCGACTTTGCCATACTGGGTTGGATTTGCTGACATTTTCGACTTAATGAGGTGATGTTTGAGATCGTCTCTAGTTAGGTTCGTGGCGAGGGCTCATTGGCAATTGAGGGAAGAAAAAGCCAGGCGAAATTCCACGCCATACCCATGGCAGCCGTTGGGGGCCGCCTTTAGTTCCCAGTCTAGAGCGCCAACTGGTCCAACTCTGGAGATAGAAATCTTGCTGTGAGGAGAGGAGCAACTGTTCCTCCGATCGCATGGAGTCAAGGATTCGGTGTGATATATAGTTGTAGCTACGCCGTAGCACGTGGGTTGAATTTTCCCGGTCGCTCCATTACCATGGTTTGTCAACATGCGGTAGCACCTTAAATGTGACAGAAGCTTCCGTAGAAGTGCATTCTCGCCCCTCGTGGTGAATTAGCTTTCTTTACAGATGTCCGCTCTATGATTTGCTCATATCCCCACAAGGTGCAAAAAGTAGGCTTTCATCCAGCAAGGTAATACTAGGTGTCATTCATTGGTACTTAGACACTCGTACACTCGTTGCAACGAACGGCGTGATAAGTGACAAGCATACAATATAAGGCTGCAGGCCATCTTGGACGAACGGATATAACGTTGCGCACGAAGATATATCGACTTGTCATCCGCAATTTCCGAAGCAAAGTGAATCACGATAATTTTCAGCTTATACTGTTGGCCCGTACACTCACTGGAGACTACTTAACAACCTTTTACTCTCCCTCGAACCCCCTTTCAAGGGCTCTCGGTTTCTCGGTTAAGGGAAGATCGCATCGATCACCCGAACAGGGAAGCGGAGCAGGACGATCTTCGAATCATCAGCTACAAGAGCTGAGTGCTTGACGCAGCTTGTCGAAAGTCATTTCTTCAACACGTCGCCAATTTCATTTGCGCTTTCTCGTACGTGAAATGCAGTCTTCTTTGTATACTACCACGACTACCTCCCTTGGGAGTCAGACTCAGCACTATCAAGCATAGGTACTCAAGTGGACCAATCAGACTTAGTGCTTAGTGGATATGGTGCATCGAGCGAATCAATGCATCACATTTTATTTCCCTCGGAATGCTGCGGTACCGCTTTTCTGTACTACGTATATTTATGCTGATGATATGTTCCCATTTGAAGTGTTGTACCTACAAGTTGGTTTACCTCCTATGTTACCTGCTTTACAGCGTGAAACCTGTCGGATCTTCCACCCACGCCACCTCATCCCTTTCCAACAGAGAATATCACGCCAGATCGCAACCAACACAATGAGTAACCGAGCTGCATTCTTAGAGATCGCGAAGGGTAAATTCATCATTAATGATGTAGACATAGAACAACCTGGAGAGGGTGAAGTTCTCGTCAAAGTACGAATGATTCTGATCGTCTCGTCAATCGGTGATTGATGCATTCTAGGTTCATGCATCAGCTATCCAACCAGCAGACGCGAAGGTAGCTAAGCTTGCCATTTTGCCAATGGAGTATCCTACTGTTCTTGGGAGCCCTGTGGCTGGTATTGTCGAAGCTCTGGGCCCCGGTGTTACCAAGATCAAGGTCGGAGAGAGGATCGTGTGTGGAACTAAGATATTTGTCGCGAAGAAATCCAAGTATGGTGGCCATCAGCGCTTTTCTATCGTTGATGAATCAGAAGTTGTAGAGGTAGGACGACTCCCAGAACGTTTGAATCATTCAGCCAAATTTATGTTTTATCTGTAAATAGATTGGCGAAACGGATTTTGCGAAAGCAACAACGCTGGGATCATACACACCACCAGGTGCCCTATTCGGCAGCACGACACTGAATCTACACCGTCCCACAATTCCGGAATCCCCACTTCCAGTAACTGAGCAAGGCAAGAAAATCCTCATCTGGGGTGGCTCTTCCGCGATGGGCTCACTGTCCATATCGTACGCAAAGCAAGCCGGTTACACAGTCATTAGTACTTCCTCTCCTCACAACTTCTCACTTTTGAAGTCTCTTGGTGCAGACCATATATTCGACCACAGTGACCCGCAGACCGTGGACCAGATTCGGAGCCTGTTCCCCATTGATTACTGGTTCGACACCATCTCTCTTCCTTCGACGCTCGCTACTATTGTCAAGATTCTTGCGCCAGAGGGTGGGCCTGTAACCAAAGCCAACATCTTGTTGTTACTCCCACCTTCTATGCCGGGGATGCCAAGACTCCCAGATGGCATCACGGCACAGATGCACCGTTTCTCGACGCATGCGCCGGAGAATAAAGATTGGGCTGAGTGGTTGCTGTCTCGAGGAGGATTCCTTGAGCGCGGAATCAAGGAAGGGATTATCAGAGGCGTACCACCTGAAGTAATTGGCGGACTCGAGAGTGTTGAAGAGGGTATCGAGAAGGTGAACACTGGAGTCAGCGGTGTGAAAATCGTGATCGACCCTTGGGCATAGTGATAAGGATGAAATAGACTTATGAGCTTAATTCCACATGTATATTTGGTGGCATAGTGCAGAATCAAAAGGACTACTGGAGCAAGGACAGATCATCCCAGTTACCTTCGTCCTGGTCTCAAGCATATCTCGGGTGAAGCCATGCATGCAGCGATCAATCTGCTAGGGATACTTCATGGATCTCTTCAAATTTTTTTTTTTGTAATCAAGTACTCAAGAAACTTGAAAAATGCCGACATTTTGACACCTGAAAAGAGTTTTGATTCTTATCGATTTTTAATCATTTTGTTAATATTTTCTTAACCGATACTATCCTTGGTGTCCACGTCTACGACGCAGCATCTGTATTGTCTAGTTCGAACTTGAAAGTCAGAACCAAAACGCGAGTTAAGATCGACCTCGGTATCAATCGCGAGTTCATAAGCAGGTAATAGTGAGCCCTTCTATTTAGCAATTCTGATATCCGGGGAAGCGTGGGGAGCGTGGCAGGAGAATGCGGGGCACGTTTGTGGGGCAAATCGACTTCTCTCGTCCTATCAAGTTCTATCATCAGCCTGACAAGCATTCTCTACTCTTGTGTAACTAGCCCGATTCCTGCTGGGACGTTTCGGCATTTATGATTTGCTGCTATGAGTATGGTTTGGGGATTTCGAGTGTGCATCTCGGGGTCCTTTCGCATCCGACGACCGATCCACCTCAGGCAATATAAAACATCCTCAGTAGAGGAGAATGTATGTAACGAATAAGTAAAAGCCAGTTCTTTTTGATTATATTACATTATCATCACAAGATAAAAACACAGCCAAACAGACAATATGCCTGCCGCAATTCAGTCTGGTTCGAATGGCTCCTCTGGCTTATCACAAGAGGGCATTCCAACATCATGCCCATCGTGCCCAACCCCTTTGAAGTACTCTGGATCTCTGGACAACTATTCATACTTCGAGATCACACCTATCATAGGACGCGAGTACCCGAATCTGAAAATAACCGACATCCTACATGCCGAGAATGCGGAACAACAGATCCGAGATCTCGCTGTTATCATTTCTGAACGCGGAGTTGTCTTTTTCCGCGACCAGGACGATTTGAACATCACAGACCAGAAGCACTTCTGCGATCTTCTAGGTAAATATAGTGGAAGACCAGAAGAAAATGGACTTCATGTCCATCCTATCTACCGAGATCCCGGTAATCTGACTCTCCCCGATGGAAGCACCGATGAAAACATGTACGTATTACAACGTTATTTCATATCTTCTCTAATGGAAACCAGTTATGTTATCAACGCAGAAGCACAGAAGAAAATATACAAGACTATGAATAAACGTCCTGGCACCACTGGAGAGCCCCGCGATCTGAGTCGCGAGTGGCACAGCGACTCAACTTTTGAGAACGCGCCGGCAGACTTCAGCTTCTTGAAGATGGAAGAAACTCCACCACACGGCGGCGATACTTTGTGGTGTTCCGGCTACGAGATCTACGATCGCATGTCTCCATCTTTCCGCTCTTGGTTGGAGACACTCACAGCTACGTGCGCTCAGCCGGTCTTTAAATCTGCGGCTGAAGCAGGTGGATATGAAGTCATGTCGCCACGAGGTTCTCCCTTAAACGTGGGCGACGATTTTGCGCCTCATCACCCGTGCGTCAGAACCTGCAGAATCACAGGGTGGAAAGCTATCTTTGCCGGTGTTGGCTTGCACGTCACCAAGATTGACGGCGTGTATACGTACGAGGATCAGATCATCCGAGACTATGTTATGAGGTTGATCACAAGAAATCATGACTGCATTGCGCGCATGAAGTGGACGAAGAACGCTGCCGCAATCTGGAATAATTCGTGTGTTTGGCATGCTGCTACAGTAAGTTTAACCTCTTGAGGTCGAGTTTCAACAGATGACTGATTGTAAATAGCCCGACACCAATCTTGTTGAGGGAAATAGGACTGGTGTCAGAGCCTCAAGTATTGGTGAGGTGCCATATTTGGATCCAAGTTCCAAGTCACGGCGCGAGGCCCTGGGACTTCCGCTTGTTTGAAAGAACCGTTTTGGCTACTTCCTAGGTTTTGAGAGTCATCCAGTCGCTGAGAGAGACTTGTGGGGTAACGTCATTTTTGACCTTGCCATCGTCCTATAGGGTTGAATTCAGACCTGAATAATATCCGATATCTTGACACGTGAGCCTTCACTGCATCTTGAACAACAGTCTTTACTCTTCTTGAAGTATTTGATGTCTGATTTGACTTTGCAGAGATCATTTTGGAGCAAGATCGGTGAAAGGAATCCCCAGATCTATTTCTGGCACCAACGAGCAAGCTAGGCCCCATTTCAGAAAATCTTGGTGACAAATGGTGAAATATGGGGAAATGGACTTGTAAATTGAGTATAAAGCGCCGAGCGGGAGAAATCAGAGCTGCCGGCTAAACAGTGACCTTTATTGGGTAGTTCCGCTTCAACCATAGATTGAAACTACTCAATCCGGCCAAAATGTATCTAAATACCACGTGCCTGGTCATACTGAAATTCGATTCAAGCCGGCACATGGTCGTTATGTGGCTCGGCATTTTATACACTCTCCGGCCAGCCGGAAATGGACGATGGTATAATGCGCTGGCTTGCCTCGACGCTTCTGCAGACAGGTTGATTCACCTTGGTTTTCGTTCTTCTTACCTTTCAAGTTTCCAGTACACAGAACTCGTCATGCAGCTGTTTGCTTCTATGCTGCTTTTAGCAGCCACAGCCCAGGCTCACTGTGAGTACATCCGCAACTCTGAGCGATGACAAGTGTTCTAAAGCAAGGTAGACCGGTTCTCGAAGCTTGTTATCGGTGGACAGCAAGAGGCCAAAGAATGGACCTCGATCCGACAAACTAAGAACTACCAAGGGAACCAAGGTGTCACCGACGTCAACAGTGCGGACATGCGCTGCTTTCAGAATAGGCCAGGAACAGGAACAGCAACTGTGGCTGCCGGAGATACTCTCGGTTTCGTCGCATTGTCGCAAATCTCGCACTTTGGACCTGTTCAGTTCTACATGGCCAAGGTTCCAGAGAGCGCAGACATTAATACGTGGGAGGCTGCTGGTAATGTTTGGTTTAAGGTCGCGAAGATTGATGCTCGACCTGGTGCTGGCGGTGCTCTTACATCAGGCGAAGACACATGGCCAGCGTATAGTAAGTTGACTGTTCTGGGAAACCCTACAGTAACTGACAGAGACTTTCCAGAGAAGACGTCCGTTGATTTCGTAATCCCCAAGAATGTACCCAGCGGAAAGTACCTTGTCCGGGTTGAAAGCATTGCGCTTCACCAAGCTTCCAATCCTGGAGGTGCACAAATCTATCTCTCCTGCGCTCAAGTCCAAGTTACGGGTGGAGGTAGCGGCTCTCCAGGACCTTTGGTGGCTTTCCCGGGCGCGTACAAGTCCAGTGATCCGGGTTTGATCTGGTCATACTATCCTGTGAAGACCAGCTACACTGCTCCTGGTCCTGCTGTCTGGCAGGGCTAATGCATAGGTCAGCTTTCGTAGATTCAAACTTGCAGAGGGACCGTGCCGGTACTGTGCCAGAATAGAGGATGATTGTCTCGGGGAAATTTCTCTTCTAAACGCAAACTTCGTCATTGCATGTTCGGCGTGCATTTTGTCGGCCAGATACTTAGGAATAAAGAAACTCAACTGAACAGCTTAACTTAGCTCATTGGCTATGTCCACACACTTCATCAAAGCCTTCGCGTCTTTGTTGTATTTCATTTCTCTTGCTTTCTTTGCACGAGATACAGTTATATGATATTCCGATCAAAAAGGTTACTGAGGGGGAAAGCCCAGAACGCCCATGGCAAATACCCGTGCGTTATGCATGAATATGCAATCGTGATTTCCTTTAAGCAGATTTCCACAACTAAGGTGTTCAGTGCTCTTCGAGTGTTTTGGTCATAGCGAAGGCACTATCCAATCGCTTTGATGCTTCTCATATCTAGGGCTCAGAATGATGACCACCGCCATCCTTGTAGAAGAGATTTTCTTCTTTCTTGCTAGGCCTTTGAGAAGAAATAGTGATTAGTGCTTCTGTATGACTATCAGTGACTTGAAGGACCGAATGATAAAATGGGATCTCAATATCGGGGCGAGTCAAATACTAGAAGAATCAAGGCTTACTGAAACCTTCCGATTGGCCAACGCATTGCGATATGTTCAAGGGAACAACTTTGAGACCATAAGCAGGTGGTCTTCAATAAAAGGCGCAGACATTCCTATTATTCAGTCTTATATAGCTCATGCAGCAATCGAGAGTGCGGTGTTGCTATGCGGTGGGGACAAATGATGATTGCATCGCCGGAGGCCACGCACAGCTTGAAGTCAACCATTGACGTCAAAATCACCCTGGATCATATACTCTGTTTGCACACACCATATAGATATCAGGGCTAACGTAGGATGTGACAGTAAAGATTACCACTTGCTTCTGTGACAAACGGGGCAGCTTGGCACAGTCGTCTACATTGAAGGCGAGACCTTTCTCACCGATCTAGCGCTAGGCGTTTGAGCAACGCGCTCACGACGCTCTTCGTATCCGTGATCGCTTACGCTGGCCATGGCCGAGCTTGCGGCAATTATTGGAGGGGCATTTCTTACCCCTCTACGTGACGTATATAACACGAACTCGCGTGGATGTTTGGTCTAGGAGTTTTATTTTTTTGTTGCCAATGTGCATGTACAGCCACAGTTGCTCCTGGGATTCAATTGGGAACAACCCATGGACTTTGTGACAAGAGTGGCCAACAGCATATGCAAGGCGCAAAACAAATGGTTCGACGATGCTAGGTAGGTACAATTCGTAGGTAGATGTTTGAGCAACGATGTTTCAAACCCCACCCGCACGTTTACGACGTGAGATCACCCCCAACATCGCGCAATGGTAACATAGACCCCGCGCTGAGCAATTTCTCGCCCAGAACCCGCACTGCCACGTCAGCGGAAGGGCTAGGCTCGGATCGCAAGTGACAAAGAACAGTAAGGAAGCATAATTGGGGTCGAAAGCGTTACGCTGCGCCTCATACGGTAGGCGGTAGGATATAATATGGGATCCTGACTTGGCATTTATGGGTCAGGGTCATAGTGCATGGCGACCAAGCGTACAATGATCCGGTCCACCATGCTTGGCTGTACTACCAAGTGAGATCACTTATTACCTATAAAGCGCTGTAAGGGTACATTATGAATATGGTAGCCATTGTCCTGGGTCATGTTTGATCCGCGTTCCGTATGGCAAATCAGATCGGCTGTAAGTGGTCCTACAGGATTCGCCTGTGAGATTTCAGTCGTGGAGGACGAACCCGTACCTTTCATTCGACACCAATCCAATTTTCCTCATGTACAATGCTCTGAGACTGTCGTAGATCCCGCATGTCCTCTCTGCAGCAGTCTAGAGACATACGTGCATTAGCCTTGCCGAATTCCCGTTTGAAGACCCTTAAACATGAGTCTCGTCTGACTTCAGCTGGACATGGGCTATGCCATTGCAGATGCCGTGCTGCCAACAGCCTGGAGAATATACCAAGAACTAAGGACCAAGTGCTGTGGGATAGTGGGGTGAATTCGAAGGTGCCACATGTGGCACATGGAAATTGCGGTGCTTGGGTGAAGGCAGCGACGAACGCTGGCGGCTGCTCGTGACAAACGCTCCTACCAGAGAGTATATATATTGATATCACCCATCGTGCGTTCCTCTCTTCTTCATTCAACAAACTTTTCACTCTCCAAACAATCACATTCTCAAAACCTTTTCCCTACCAAACCAGTTCTACACCAAAATGCCTGACTTCCACGCATCCGCACAAGATATTGAGCTTGATGGCTCTGTCCTAAAGGCCCACCTCTTCGATGTCGACGGAGAAAGCCACGAGGTCGAGATTGAGCTCAATGATATTCTCGGAAACGAGAACGGAAGCTTTTTGTGGGGCGGAGGCGGTAAGTTATCTGAAATGCATGCTGAAGAACTTACTTCGTCTTCAGCTTGAGATTTGAAGCTCATGCTTTGGCTGAGGAGCTCTTCCAAAAGCAACAGCTTCTGTTTCATGTGAAAGTCACAGAATCATAGAGTGGGCGCTAATAACAATATTGAAGGCTTCAACGATACCGCCGAAGACGTGCACCTCTCATTCGAAGGTGACGACAACTGGCCCATTCTTCGTGCCCGGCTCCAGAACGAGGATGGAGATTTCGTCGACGCCGATGTCAATCTCGCCGAGCGAATTGGAAACAACAACGGAGAGTTCACATTCGAGTAGAGACACGGAAGGCTCATGCGTAGGCTTCTTGAATGGACTCTAGCGCTGGATAAGGACATGACACATCCCAAGGAATAAAATTGTGCACACAAACTTGCTCTAACAGTTTTTTGATACCTGATATGATGTCGTCTCTGTGTACTTTGTCGTGATTCTTACCGATCACCATTGAAAGCATCGCTTGAGTGCTGACCCTAGTCTGATTCTGCATTGATTGTCCCATTTGCTTTTCCCAATTACGTCGCCGACTTCGGTACCTCACATTAGCAAAGCAAAACATTGTCGACTTGACTCCGGCCTTTCGAAGACCTTGCTATGTATTCTGGAATCTAGCGGTCCATTCATTTGTGGTTCGAGCAAGGTGGACACTTGTACCGAGGCTCCAACGATGCCGTCTTTATCAAGCACTCGATCCTGTAATATTCAATGGTGTCCGGAAACTAAGAAAGCCGGGAGTTAGGGGAGATCCATGTAATACTGTAAATCGTAGAATCACTCAATTGAACAATAATCCTCTTGATACCAACATTTTGGTGCCGACACTGCGTACGATATGAAGAATATTTGCAAAGCCCCCACACTCAGCCAAAACGCATCTCCGGATCCTTCTTAAGGCGGCGATTGGTGCTTTCTAGACCGAGAGGCGAGTATAGGCACTGCTGTTGGAAATGGAGCGGCCTTTGTTTTCACATCACACCCTCTTCAGACATCCGCATCATTGAATTCGTATCAAGACAATATTTTCATTGCTGGGCAGCCACCAAATGTCGCTGAAGCGTACGTCTGTAAAGCTTTCACATACAACGTGCTCTGTCAAAATAACATTGCCGCCGTCTATCACCATGGATTCTTCAGATGATTATACGGGAATTGTAACAACCCAGAAGCTTCGATATCCATTCATTCCAAAGGCTGTCCGAGAGCGACGCTCCTTTGGTGGTGTGAAGTTTTGTCATACTGAGGCGGGGATCAAACAACATGCAGAAGGCTTATTTCAACAATCATTGTAAATTATTGTTGGCGAGTACCTAGCTAGCGAAGCAGCAGGAGTCACGAACATGCAGCCATCAAGCTCTAAACCCGACTTTTGATGCGTGCCAACAGCAACAAGATATATCCATATTGATGGCATTACAGTCACCGTGGTCTCGAGAGTTTTTCGGAAGAAGCTGCACAAGACCCTACTTATAATGAGGTCGACGAAGAATGCGTGGAAGTTGCTAAGATCCTGAGCACCGCAGCGCCAATTTGTAGTTATCGATGTTAAAAGGTTTATTAAGAGGGGGCATTTGCTCTGTTGGTACGAACATGAAATTGGGATGTTTATTGGGAGGGGCTGTAAACGGTGGACTGTTGCGGAGTTTCTAGAACATGACTGGTCCGGGCAGACCCGGCAAGGAGGAACAAGCAAGTTTGACCGTGTCCTTCATTAGTTATGGCAATTGGCAGCGTTACCTAGCTAAAATGGATGCCTATGTGCCTCTAGCAAAAAAGAATGATGATATGATGTAGGTTGCCTTCTGGCATGAGAATTCATTGGAATGCAATTGTATTTATTACTATTAATTTATCCTATATTATTTTCAAAGAAAATCACTTTTTCATGCTGGTCGCTTTCTAAAAACTAAAGGACAATCATCCTGACGAGAAACGTTAGCTTGGAAGCAATAGGTGACATGGGGACGAAGAACTTACCATGGGGAAAAGTGTCGCAAAAACGCGGATCTCCTCGGATTTGTCGGTGGCATGATGCTCCCAATCGAGCTCCAATGCTGCCTTGCCAATCATACCTGCCATGGAAAGCGGCACGTATCTTCTGGCCAGACAATCGTGAGCACCCGCGCCGAAGACGAGCCAATTCCTGGTTTGCGATTCAGCATCGCCGGTGATCCAGCGGTCAGGATCAAACACATTTGGTTGAGGATATGCGACTGGGTCGTGCAGGGCCGGGTAGCAGGATGGGATAATCATCGAGCCTTTAGGGACGGTGTAGTTCGGAGAGACCGGGAAGTTCTTCGTCGCGAGGTATGGGACGAATATGACGGGCGGTCTATGGCGGAGGATTTCCTTGATAACAGCGTTGGTGTATGTGAGTGATTCCAGCATAGGGAGATCAAAAGGCTTGAACCGGTCGCCGCCGCGTGCAGCCAAGTTCTCCGCGCGGAGTCGGTCGAGTACATCGGGTCGCTGTGCAAGAATCTGGAACAACCAAGTAGTGGCACTGCTGGAGGCATCCTGTGACGCGAAAAGGAACGTGAAGAGTGTTTCTCCTATTTCTTCGTTGGTGAACTCGCGGATCATATTCGAAGGCCGCTCTGCAGGCTCTCCCGCAGCGATCTTCTCCCGGTACCGTTGTGACTCCATCATGTGAAGAACCCAATGGTCCACGATGCAGGTAGGTTCGGCACCAGTGGCCATGTTTGCCTTACAAGCCCCTGCGCATCTGGCAAATTCAGCATGCACGGCATCTGCAATTCGCTTGCCCAGCCACGTCTTGGTGTATGGAATGTACATTGATAATGGAACATTGACAAGCTCAAGTGCGGCGGTGGCAAGATAGAAGTCATCAGCGATCTTCTTTACGGCTTCTTGAGAAATGTAGTCTCCGAAGAAAGTGCGACATGAGAGCGCACAGTTGATCTCGCGGAACATAGCCATGAATGTCGTCGGCCGTCCTTTATTGGCTGCGCTCAATTGAACGAACTTTTCATAGTACTCGTCCAATACCTTCTCCTGCACCGGCAGATAGGTTGCCAGAGCTCGGTTCGTAAACAATGGCGTCAGGCCTCTTCGATACTCGGCGTGAGCTCTTCCTTGCAAGAAAACCCACGACTTGTGGCCCAGGATATCTCTGGCGATGGGGACGAGGCATGGCTCTGCATAGTTTGGCGACTTGAACACTTTGTGAGCTACATCTCGATCCGATGCGAGAACCACGAATCTGAGCTGTCGTCAGTACTACATCTGGTGTTGTACATTCATTCACAATGGCATCATACTTGTGGAATACTGATACACAACTAAGGGGACCGCTCGCCCACTGTGCGAGATATGCGTCGAACTTGGGATGAATCGCTTGGAGAAAAGGTCCAACGAATGGTATCTTGAATGTTGGACCTGCGATAGATCCTTTTCTTTTCAGATACATTACTTTGGTCCAAAGTTAGTTCTGGCTATCCAACGTTATGTTTTCGTCCTTACCTTGATCATACACAATCATTCCCAGGAGAATGGTAATGGCCCACTGCCATACCGACCATCCTGCAAAAACCCGCTGAAGAGCACTATCCGACAACGAGATGTTGGCATGCCAGGGAGAGGACTGTCCAGCAGGCAGGCTGGTGCTGTTCAGAACCTCTGCAGACATCTTGTACTAACAAATGAAAGGATCTTGACGCTTGCGGGTGATCTAGCTAAAGAACCAGATCCTTTCTTATATTCTACCAACTTCTAAAAAATGGCCACGCCCCACATGGAGGGGGAAAGGGACCAAAGGTAACCCTATCTCGCATTTTCCCCTGAACTTGAACAGAAAATGTTGATACTTGCTACCTTTCAGAGCGTCGTATTGGTCTTACGAGGTCGTACCATTCATCGGGAGCACTTCAGGACTACTTGAATTGGTTTAGACTCCGCCGCTTTGGAATTTCCATGGGTGGATGTCGATAAGGCTGTTGGGCTGGCCATCGAGAAAGCAGGGGTCAAGGATTGCGACACCAGTACCTATGTACACCGGCCTTTACCACGTCCGTGCAGAAGAAGAATACGTGCAATCGTATGATGGTACTAAAACGTAGTAGTCAATCACGAGAATTCATCTGGCAAATTTGATAAGTGTTTGATATCTTCGAGAGCAGTGTACTTGGGCGCCGTGAATGGAACCCTCAGAGACGGTACAACGAGTACCTATGTACTCGTACATATGGACAAACATATGCCGCGAAGCAGCGCCAGAGGAAATGGCTCGTAGGAACATTGTATCTGTATTCACTTAACAACAGTGTATGAAACACGCCATTCTCGGTAATTCGGTTGCTTTCTAATCGTCGTGAAAGGGGTTTTAATTCTGACTTCTCTTAATTTTAGTCCTGCGGCGACTAAGCCTATTCAGGAATCACGGCATCCACATCCTAAGTTCCATGACTCCATGCGATGCTCTTTCAATCATTCGTTCGTCCGTTCATCTGCTGGATATCTTACGACCCCAGTGCCCTCATCCAGTGCTGTCGTCCCAGTTGCACTTCGATTTATTAATTGTTATTGATGCGTCCAAGTCTCCGCCGGTCCTGCGCTGCATGCGCAAAGTCAAAGCACAGTTGCGACCTACGCACACCGCGGTGCTCACGTTGCAATAAGCGCAAGATCGAATGCGTATACGCAAATCAACCACTGACAGCGTCGCTACCATCTCCGAGCAGAGAAGCCCAGTCTGGATTGGTCACGCGATATCCGGGTAGCCATGGCCTTGTCGCCGGCCACAGTTTCGGGTCTTTAGATCCATTCGAATCTTATCCTCAAACGAAACTCTCGCGAGCACACGTCCAACGGCTCATCCACAGTTGTAGGTCACGTTACTCGTAGATCTCAATCAAGAGTGCGAGCTTAATTCTCCTTTCAGTTCTCCATAAGATTGCATTCCAATATTATCCACTGGATCTGGATGCAAATTCGAATCCGTTTCTTGTCTCCTGGTGGCCACTCGCTTTGGGTGATCCGGCGCTGTTCCATGTCTCTTTGCAGACAGCATGTCTTGACGAGGAGCGAAGTGCCCAGAAGGGCTTCGAAAGTTCGGAGATACTCATGGCGGACTCCGTCGTGCTACTTCGACACAAAATTGAGGATGCCGCTCTAGCCATACAGGATGGGACAATTAATACCGTGATTACACTGGCAACAATCGAGGTAGGTTGTCCATTTTTCCTCAATCATGTAAGCTAACGGTTGACTCTTGCAACAATCAGTTTGGCAAGGGGAATATCGATGTAAGCCAAATGCACATCAGCGGGGTAAAACGGCTTGTCGACCTAAGAGGTGGTATCAATGCGATCAGGCAAACTAGCCCACTTACTGCGAGAATGGTTAGTTGGTAAGTAGTCGAATCGCTGAGGTTGCACGCGAAATGTTGCTCACAGCCGTCCCAAGGGTTTCGATGCTCATCATGGGAAAACCCCAATTTCCAGTACAGACCGATGATGGAATCGGCAGTGGCATCCCCCCGATCCCTGAATGGCATTCAGAGATGCCAGATATGCAGTGGCATGAGACCGGCTTTGGAGATATCGAGATCGACCTCGATGTCGCTATTGTTCTCGTGCGCTTGCGGGGCATCTGTCTGCAAACCCGAGTAGCGCCATTGCCGACAGCACGACTTCACGACCTCACATGCTATGTGATACACCGTCTTTTACTTTCCGATCCGGAAGATAAACATGATCAGTTTTCTCCAGCGACTCAGGCCGTTCGTTATGCGATCATACTCTACATGCTCGTCACTCATGGACCAACATATTATCCGCACGATGGAATGCTGCACATGATTCTATCAAAATTTAGGGCATCGCTTGAAGGATTTAAGGAGACAAGTCGCAATCATGGCGCCCTAGATGTATGGCTGATTGCTGTCGGCATGGTGGTCGCTTCCAACACACCCCATTACCAGTGGTTTGCCACTGAAGCACAAGCGATTGCAATGTCTCTCCAGCTCGTCCAATGGCATGATATTCTTCAACATATGCACAGCATGATTTGGATTGATACGCCGCATGGTGAGGCTATCTTTCGGCCACACTGGCTTGCTTTTCTACCGCGACCCGAGGGAGTGCCACCCTTTGATAATACCTGGACCCCAGCATTTCACGACACGGACAAGAAACCATGAAAAACGAGACCTGGCTATTCAAACATTGTGTCAGCATCTACGGACAATGCAATCAGTAGTTCTAGGTTTTGAATTCGCCAAACAGAGTAATATCACTACACTGCATACGACAAGAAGATCGCTGGCAGGATCTTTGTTGGTTCGATGTCGTACACATACGACCAAATTCGCATCATTTGGAATCGAAGTGCTTCAAGACATCACTACTGCGACCTCGAAAGCTCTACCAAATGCCAATTGAGGATGGAGAGTAGGCTTTCACCACCACAACATACGGAGAGTTTCAGCAACAAAAGACCACCAAACAGAACGACTAGAATCTGGGATTGGGACAACCTGCGATGTTGTATAAGATCATGTCTTCTTGGCGCGACCCCGTCCACTAGAATTGTCATGTAACGCCACTCAACTGCAAGTCATCGTCTTTATTTTCGAAGATTTGGCTAATCGCTCTATTTATACATACCGCACTTGAAGGCTTACTTCATTGCATGGTTTGCTCCCTCAGTTATTGGGCAATGCCACGCTACGAGACCATTATCAAGTAGAGATACACACAAGAGTCTAGATTAAACAGCGGGCGCTTCTTCCTCGACGTCGAATCATCATTGATGAACGCCCAGACTACAGATGACTTCTTTGAGAAAGTACATGCCCAAATGCCTCATCTAGTATGGCTAAACCCTCCTCAATCTCATCTCCTGTTACTGTCACTGGGGGCGCTAATCTGAAAACACCTCCCATTCCGGGGAGATTGACAATATTGCATGAGAGTCCCATTTCCATAGCCCTATCAGAAACAGCTTGTCCCAGTTCAGACCCTGGCGCTTTCGTCTTCGCATCCGATATGATTTCTATACCTTGGAGCAGGCCCCGCCCTCGAACATCACCGATACACCAGTACTTCTGCTGAAGTTTCAATAGGCCTTTTCGCAATTGAGCGCCTCGCTCCGCTGCACGTTGGCAGATATTGTCTCGTTCCACGATTTCAAGGACTTTGTTTCCGACGGCTGCAGTCAGGGGATCATTGAGATGTGTAGTGAGCCAGAGGAATCCAGCTTCTTTGCAGCCTCTCTCAATCTCCGCGGTAGTAGTCACTGAGCCCAATGGAAGTCCACAGCCTAGTGTTTTGGAAAGTGCGAGAATGTCAGGAACAATCCCGTCTCGCTCGAAAGCGAACATTTGTCCAGTCCTACCAACGCCAGTCTGTGCCTCATCCATGATGAGCAGCATACCACGCTTTTTGCATTCTTCCGACATGCGCTGTAGATAACCCTCTGGTGGCTCAAGGATGCCGCCAGTCGACAGAATTGGCTCCATGATGAACGCTGCGAGAGAACCGACACTTTGTCTATCGATCATAGACCAGCCGAATTCCATTTCGGTCTCCCAGTCGTAGCTTCCGTCCGCTTTCCGGAATGGTGACCGAAAAGCATAGGGCGCGGGGAATGCCAATTGGCCAGGCACAGACGGTCCGCCGTTTTTGCGACCCGCCGAGTACGTTGCGGATCCAGCTCCCTGGGTCAGTCCGTGATAGCTGGCCGCGAAAGCGACGATCTCAAACTTGCCGGTGTAGCATTTGGCCATTTTGATCGCCGCCTCTGTCGTTTCAGATCCGGTACTGAGGAAGAAGGATTTTTCCAGCGGTGCTGGAGCGATACGGGCTAGTCGCTCTGCGAGGTCGATGACGGGGTTGGTGATCATGTTGCTGATGAGATGGTCGAGCTCAGCGCTGTACTTGTGCACGGTCTCAACGATCTCTGGATGGGAGTGGCCGAGAAGGGAACTCATTTGGCCAGAAGTGAAATCGAGAATTTGTCTACCTGAGCTGTCGTGGAGGCGGGTTCCATTTGCTTTGGTGATAATTACGGGAGAGAATGGAACACCGGTGTTCATTAGGAACCGGTTGGCCTTGGACCAAAACGCAGTCGGTTCTTGCGACATCTTGTCAAGCTCAACACCGTGAAGGATTTGTACGATAAAAAGAGATATGATGAAAATTTACTACTATCCAATGTTATGGGCAATGTACTAGATTTTATATCCAAAGACGCGGGTTCTGAGAAGTCGATATCATATCTGAATGACCAATTGGACACATGACAGTAATCTACAACCATGCAAGCGTGCCCTGTTCCGCGACGGAAAATTCAATTGAAATCCATGCTGGAAAGATGCACATGCAGTTTGCCCGAGGACTTTGAGGGGCGTCAAGAGTTTCCCGCGGTGTGTTCGCGATGTACTTAAATAAGGAATGGATCTCTGGCTTATGATTGGTGGACAACTAAAGTTTTCCGCGGCAAACTCTGTGAACAACCGGACTCGTTCGGGAATGTTGGCCAATCTTTTGAGGAGCATCAAGTGGCTATCAGCTTATCTCTATTCCACAATGAGAAGTCGGATGACCATCTGATGCCATGGACAGTGGAAGTACTTCTCGCATTCATCTGGAAGAGCGACCATATCGTTCTCATCTCCAGCCTGCCTGCCTACCATGTCGAAAACGTAAATCACGCTGCAAGACCATCAGTTCCTCAACTAAATGTCTCACTTGTGAATCGCATGGTACGAGCTGTGTCTTTCCACCAACGGAAGACAAAGAACGACCGAAGAACCGCTTGAACCACAGAACAAGGGCTGCGCGAAGAATTCGGAACACCTCCAGCGGGCAAGGCAATTATCTTGAGCACAACGCGATACGGTCGCCATCGAATATCTCAACCGGTTCATCCTCGCAAATCTATGCTGCAACCCAAGCTAGATATAGCAACAGGAATAGAAGTGCGATAATAAATGATGCGCAACGAGAGGACCACTCATCTCATCTTGTGACATTATTAGGAGAGTCCGGCAACGACAACTCTCATGTCGTCAGTCCCGCCATAGTGGATGATAGTGAAGTTTTGCACAGCTATTTAGCCACGTCTCCAGGAGGGAGAAATAGAATGTCCAAGCAGACCGATCATCAATCGCCGTCAGTATCCAGCCGGAGAGGACGAGTGTTGTTCAATTCCTTTCCGCGACGACCATTGGGGGTCTCCGCTGATCAGTCGCCTGCATTTCATAAGTGTGAGCTTATCGAAAAGTTTCTGGACCATGATCTGGAAGAGGTCGTCAATATGTAGGTTTATTCATTATGCCCCCATTACTCTGCAGTCTTGAGCTAATCGGATCAGGTTTTTTACACATGCTAATATCTGCTTCCCAATATTCGATGCCACCTCTTTCAAGAGAACCTTCACGAATCATAGGAGGAAGATATCCCCTGCTCTACTCTCTAATCTTTATGCCAACTCCTTGGTCTACTGGTCCAAATCATCTTCTATAACCGGCCGTTGCCCGGATGTTCGTTTCATCTGGGTTCAAGCGAATGAAGCTTTAATGGCAGAGATCTTCCTATCTCCAGGGCTGTCGACAGTGATAACGATCGTCCTGAACATATGCGGAAGGCCTAGCACCTCGATCTTTGGGAACGGTGGTATGCTCGGTATAGCCATTTCTTTGTCGCATGCCTTGGGTCTTCATCGTGATCCGTCTAATTGGGACATTCCTCCCTCGGAGAAGAGTTTCAGAACTAGAGTTTGGTGGCTCATCGTTGTTCTCGACCGATGGTAAGAAGAAAACTCTATATTCAGGAGATTCAAGTGCTGAATATGCCGTGAATAGGTGTAGCCTTGCTTATGGCACCCCTCTCCATATCCATCGCGCTCAGCACGATGTCCCCCTTCCAACATTACAAGATATCTATCCTCACGGAGGAACATCTATCCAGCTTGCTGCTGCCTCTATCTTCGTCTCATGGGTCTCCTTGACAGAAGTACTCGGCCGGTTATTGGAGCATATCTACCACGTGTCTAAAGCCGCAACGCTCAAATCAACCGTAAACGAGAATCTTCAGTTAGAGATCATTTTAACAGAGTGGGAAGAATCATTACCTGAAGACATAAGGAAAATCGTAATGCGAGGAACTGACCTATCCATTCCCGGTGCTGCCAATTTTCGCCTGGCTTATCTAGCTGTAAAGCTTCTCCTCCGCCGGATACAGCTGGATATGGACATGAGCGAACGTCACTATGAATCAGAGGACATGTCTCAGTACAACATATACTCGCAGCGGGCGGCTGAAGAAATTGTCCTCCTCATCAAAGAACTAGACGAATCCCACCTTTCCGGGTTCTGGATTCCCGTCAATGCATTCGCGATTACTTCCGCGACGACACTTCTACTAAGGAGTTCATTGAGATCCAAAGACCCTGCCCACAGCCCGCCGTTGCGCATCGCAAAGGATATGATCGCTTGTCTGCGAAGACTACAACAAGATTCCGGATGGGATCTAGCGGATAATTGCATCGCGAGCTGCGGCGATGTCGTGGAAAAGATCGAGGCGCATGGTAATGCTCCGACTACCGAGCCTACTACTTACCTTCAAGACATGTTGGATAACGACTCATTTGCTTTGGATGACTTCCTGTTGGATCCTGTCTATGCTTTCGATGATGGGTGTTGGGACTTGAGCTAGGCTTGCAATTGCTATTCAAATCTTAATGTGAAGCCAGGATTATATTGCACAGGGAGGTACAAGGCGGGTGCGTTGAGGATAGAGGGGCTTTGCCATCTCAACCTGGGCTTATACGGGCCGTAGGATATTACGAGAGCAGACAAGATAGAATTATTTGTACAATCGCTAACTATACAGACGCTGATATGGGTGTTGAAAGTACTTGTAAGCGCAACTTTAATTCTTATTGTGTTCTGGTGCTGTAGCAGCCGTTTTCTTAGCAAGAAGACTAACTAGCATCTGATTGGACGAGTAAGTGAGGAAAAGCGAACTCCGCAGCCGGAATTGAATTCCGTATCCGACATATCCATCACCATCACCATCGCCGTCACCCCTACACTACACTACAATCATCATCGTACATTCTTCCCCTTCGCATCCCACTGTGGCCATCTATGTTCGCAATATCTATCAATTTCTTCTAATAGCATAGTCATACGTACGTGCAAAATAGTCCACAGCAGACGAACTTTGCATAACGTGGCCCAGTTCCAATGGCAGTAGTGTGCTAGAAGAGCAATTCTCCATCGCGCCAGGCTGTAGTGCAGATCTATTCGCGACCTAGGTTTCCCAAAACACTATTGTGTATATCGTTTGCAGTATAATTTTCGGGATCTTTCCCATCTTTCACTTGGAAATGGTACATCATGGTGCGTGCAATACCCTTGAAGAGCGCCACTTAGAGGTCTCATTTGTTTAACTGATGATCAGACTGGTTTAGGATTCCCGGCAAGATTACGTGTGTCACACCAGAACCGTACCTTGAACAAGAACTTTAGACGGAATGGAAAGCTTCAATCTTGTGAACCATGTCGTAAGGGAAAGCTTCGATGCGACCACATGATGCCGCACTGCGGTCGCTGCATCAGACGGAACAAGACCGAGCAATGTGTCTACCATCCTGCTCCTCTGACTAAGGCCACAGCCATCCCAACTCCTGAGCCCTCAGAGACCGCTGCCTCTTCGACCGTAGTCTGTCAAGAAGAAAGCAACAGCACCTTCGCAACACTATCCTTTCCTCGCCCGGACAGTCCTTCCACGACGCCACCGAGACTACCGCGAGCCAGTAGTCTTCCTGCGCAACCCCCATCGAATCAAGAACCTCTCTGTTCTGATGAGCTTGGTCAGCCGCTTCACCACACCGAAGCCCTCGATGAACCTATGAAGCATCGCAGAAAGGAGGAATTCATCTCTCATTCCGCCATCGTAGCGGAGAATGAGCTAAGTGTTGGCATATTACCAGCCCCTCATTTGGGAGACTCGACTGGTCATTCTAGAATTCCTCAGTCGCATATTGAGAGAGGTGCTCTAGTTCTTGGTCTACTCAAGAATCTTCCGCAGCTTGATGTATACATCCAGAAGCTATTTCAATTCTGCCAAGGCACCATCATCATCGAACCCATGGTGAAGATCTGGGTCACTGAACTTTGGTCTACATGGCGCAAAGTGCTTGAATCTCAGAGGCCAGAAGAACTTCGTAAGATGTCGGAAAAGGTCTGGGAGAACACAACAAAGCCTCTGTCCCGCCTCTTAGACCGGCACACGAAGCCGCGCGAGTTTCTCATGAACACCACTGGCGAGCACCTCCGGTGGGAAGTTGTTGGTATCATCACTTCTCTGGTTGGGCTACTGACCCAAACACTACAAGATGGTGACCCTATCTTTTGTTCGCACGATGAAGCGCCTGTGGATCGCACGGCGCTCACACTGAAGACTTTCAATGCTTCGGAGGTGTGCCTTTCGTTTTGCAAAGATTATGACATCGTAAACGATCTCTTCATATGGTTCTTGTATGAGCAGACAGTCCTGGCGTGCTCTCTACACTCGAAAGGGAGTTATTATAATTGGCAACGGTCGTCGTACGTTTGCCAGGCGCTCATCGCCTTTGGCCTACATCAGAAGATCGAAGTCGACGATCAGACCCCATTTTTCATCGCCGAATTTCGCAAGCGTGTCTTCATAAGCCAGTACGACAACGATAAATACTCGGCATCTTTTGTTGGGCGGCCTCCGCGATTGACACGCCAGTACTGCCTCTTGCAGTTCCCGTTGGACCTGACCGACGCGCAAATCATGTACGTACAATGTCACTAATTCGTTACTTTCATACTCTGTTCATCTTCTTGAAAAGGAACAGTTTTCGCCGACGCCTGGCAATAGCTGATCATACCGCAGGTCTGACGGTTTCGCGCTGGAGTATGCATTGACCAACCTGGATCAAGAAGGATGGAACACGCACGGTAGTATCCAGCGCTGCACTATCTCGCGAGTTTTTGCAGCTAATGCTTTGCTCATGGAGGAGACCTTGGAGATCTCTCTGGGCCTTTTGTCGACTGAAGAGATCCTGAGTCGTGCAGCAGATATCGAGAGGCGCGTTATCCAGACTTGGGAGAACATGCCACCATTCCTCAAGATAGACACCCAAAACCCTTACGATGCGAAGCGCGCACCAGTGGAGCTGTTATTCCAAACACTGATACGGCTCGCGGATTTCAACCATCATTTTCTTTTGCAACGAACCCTCATCAAGAAGGTGGGCGCCGATTCTACCAAACTCCTCGCCGTTTCCAGAGACATTTTCAAATTTATACTGTGCATGGCCAACAATCGAGATATTTTCCGAGACTTTCAACTGGATTACACCCAATTGCTATGTATGTTTCTACCAGCAGCCGCGGTAGTCGCAGTCGAGCTTCTCCACCAAGAGCAAGAACCTGTGGCCGCTTCTGCAGCGGCGAATCACCTGCCTCGGTCCGAGACCATCCAAGATCTTTCCGTCATGGTAGCCACCCTTGCCAGTGTCAAAGCAGATAGCGCAGCATACAAGATCTGCGACCGAGGGAGGAGATTCATCAAGAAAACGCTCGATACCATCCTATCACCACCGCGACTTGAAGCGGTGGCAAGTACGTCTGGTAATGATTCATACACAACTACTAGCAATCTTGACGTGCCGTTGTTTCAGACGGGTACCGATGGAGACTTTATGAAGTGGCTGGAAAGTATGGACTGGGAACAAGATAACTGGGCGAACCTGACATGAATGGGGTACAATCCCCAGCAAATATGAGATTTTAAAATAGCCGTCATTCAATTGGAACGCGGTTACCAACCCAAGGTCTTGGAAACTTCTATAGCACCATAGCGCCGGTTGTCGACCCGCAATGCGTTGGTCACATAAAAGAAGAGTGTTTCATCGTCACGAGCGAACAATTGGGAAGGTCTCACGATATTGCAACCATGACCAACCGGTTCAATTGTTACGATAGCCAATCACACGCCAGAGATTCCATTTTTTCCACTTTCGGAGGGGTAAACAAAGCGCACTGTCTTCCACACTGCGTGGGATGGTCGCGGGATGTCCACGGGATACATCCATTGAAGGCGACACGACGGATGCGGCCAAAATGTACAACTGAGCCGAGGAAATCCGGGCGGATGCTATCTACCTTTATTATATTGTTTCTACCTTCACGATGACTTCACTTATGAAGTGTGCCCTTGGCTGATGTTGAGAAGGCTGCGAATTTGTTCTGGGGCACCTGGACACGGACCAATTAGCGGCCGCGAATATCACCTCTGCGAGATACGGATTGTATCCTCCAAAGGATAATGCAATTATTATTACATTTTATGTTCTGGGTCAGCCGTTCTGGAAGTTGTGATGTTGATGTTCTCATGAAAGTATATACATGATAGTAGCGGGTAGACGGCTCTCCACTCCTCCGTCTCCATGATATTTCCGCATTGGGAAGTGCAGCCAAAGTCGCACATTCCGTTCACTCCCGTTGCGGCGCTCTCCAAAGTGAAGGTCTTTTGTCTTTTCACAATCACTTAATCATCATCGTCACCGCGCTGCTCACGTGGGGGTCTGTTCGCTGCGTCCGGCACAAAGTGAAGTTGCCAGGCCGCACTGAGGCACCTGTACTTAAGATCTCATTCCATCCACTGATTTCCCCCCACACTCAACAACCTCTCTCCCTTGCGTTACAACAACAACCAATACCGCACGCGAAACCAACTTCACCATTCTCAGTTACCAACCATCCGTAACCGCAGAAGTAATCCCTTGCATCAACTACGACCCACGATGCCCGCCTGGGGCCCTTCTTCCGCTCCGCGCGGTAACCTCGATCGCGTGGAGGCTCCAGTCACCCTCCGCGGCTATCTCCTCTGTGTATTTGCTGCCTTTGGAGGTATTCTCTTTGGCTATGATTCTGGATACATCAATGGTGTGATGGGCATGAATTACTTCAAGGAGGAGTTTGGCAGTACGTATTCCCACCTTGTTTTTGCCATTTGAGAAGACTGTAAACAATGCAATCCAAACTTGAAACTTACCAACACGCAAAACAGGCCCATCCACAAGCAAGGATGCTTCCAATGGTTTACTATATACCGCGGCTCAGCAATCCTTGATTGTCTCCATCCTCTCTGCGGGCACCTTCTTCGGAGCCCTTTTCGCTGGCTCTGTCGCTGATTGTAAGTTCAAACTTCACCTTCACTTTCCACGTGACGAGCCACATTCGTTGACTTCTTCCAGGGATTGGCCGCCGCTCGACCATCATTGCGGGATGTGGTATCTTCTCTGTCGGTGTGGCTCTCCAGGTCGCATCCACTACCGTTTCCTTGTTGGTACCTGGCCGTCTCATTGCTGGTATTGGTGTTGGTTTCGTTTCTGCCATCATCATCCTATACATGTCTGAGATTGCGCCGAAATCCATTCGTGGAGCAATTGTCTCTGGTTACCAGTTCTGTATCACCATCGGTCTCCTGCTCGCTGCTGTCATCGATAAAGCGACCGAGCATAACACTACGACGGCATCTTACCGAATTCCTATGGCGATACAGTGGCTCTGGGCAATAATTCTCGCTGGTGGTCTCTTCTTCCTGCCAGAGTCTCCACGCTACTACGTCAAGAACGACCAATATGATCGTGCCGCCAAAGCCCTTGCAACCCTTCGTGGCCAGCCTGTAGAGTCTCAATATATCAAGGATGAGCTTGCCGAGTTAGTCGCCAACTTTCGCTACGAGATGGAGAACATGCAAATCTCTTGGATGGACTGCTTCCGTGGTGGCTGGACACCATCCTCCAACCTCCGCCGCGTAGTTCTCGGCATGGCTTTGCAGATGATGCAGCAGTGGACTGGCGTCAACTTCATATTCTACTATGGTACCACAATCTTCCAGTCCGTCGGTCTCAAGAACCCATTCGTCATCTCCATGATAACGACTGCCGTCAATGTCGGCTCGACTCCTCTCTCTTTCTGGACTATCGAGCGTTTCGGCCGACGTATTCTCCTCATCTACGGCGCCGTTGGTATGCTTGTTTGTGAGTTCATCATTGCTGGTGTTGGCACTGCCCTCCCCGGATCCAACGCTGCCGGCTATTGTCTCATCGTCTTCACTTGCTTCTACATCTTCTTCTTTGCTTCGACGTGGGGCCCCGCCGCCTGGGTGGTCATTGGAGAGATTTTCCCTCTTCCGATTCGTGCGAAGGGTGTTGCTCTTTCTACGGCATCAAATTGGTTTTGGAACTTCATCATTGGTTTCATTACTCCCTATTTGATGGCAGAGGATCAGGGTAACTTAAAGGCAAAGGTATTCTTCATTTGGGGTACTACCTGCACTGTCTGCGTCCTCTTTGCATACTTCTTCGTTCCGGAGACCAAGGGGCTCTCCCTTGAGCAGGTCGACCGCATGCTCGAAGAGACGACTCCACGCACTAGCTCCAAATGGATCCCGCATACTACGTACTCCAACGAGCCTGCCCAAGAGGACACCGAGATCATGGTTGCCAAGGCAGCTGCCACAGTGGAGCATCGTGATGCTGTCTAATCTCACTGGTATTTCTCTGTGTCATGTACCCGTCATGGCCACGGTTTCCTTCGTCTGGGTGGTATAGTCTTTTTTGTCCAGGTCTTTTTCTTTCAACCTTGGCCAATTACGGTTTATATGTTTCTCTTTCACTCTAGGCAGTTTCAGCTCCTTTGGTATCTGGTATACGTATCCTCCGGTCCTCGTGGACATATCTTCTTATACCACGGACGACCTATACATGACGTACTTTGGAAAGTCCTCTTCTTTTCTCCTTTTCCTAGTCTCTTCAATTCGATGTTTGATATGGCCTTTATCATGATACCCACTAGGGACGATAGATTGTCATAGCATGCATGGAGTTCTGCATTGAAATCGGTCTCTGCCTACCGTTCTCGGTCGCTACCAGTCTGTGCAATTTCTCAGCTTTAACAGGAACAATGATGGATTATAATACAAACTTGAATCGTTATAAATATGGTGATCTATCTGTGCTGACCTTGAAATCCCAATTTCTTGTGACTGTATATACTTAAGAGGATTCGTGCTCTTCGTGCACTTCGATTCCCGCCAGCGTACGGGATGTACATCACTGCCTCCTACAAAACGACGAAACTAGCAGTACTAGACGAACTTCATAGGATAACATATGTTTTCTCTCTGCTAGGCATTATTGCCCTGAAAAGATGAGTGTGCTACAAAAACAACAACACGGCAGACCCCTTACCCATAGGCGAAGGTGGCGGACGCCGATGCATGCGCTCCCGGGGGACTGCCTGCAACGAGTGCCGATCTTCGCGTAAGAATCATCAGGCAAAAAAAAGGCAAACACCGACAACCAGTTCAGACTGGTCGCATGGGAGGCCGCCGTCTTATATCCCGCAGCGCAACGTGGGAGCTGTGCTGCGCCTTGCTGTCGCATTTCTCGCATTCAGGCGAGACGGTGATGCACGAGGGCGGGAGATTTTCTGAGCACATAGCAAAGATATTGGAAGGCTGTATGTGCATCTTCGTGAGCGAACAATTGGAGGGTTTTGTTTCCCGTATGGCAAATCCGAATATGGACAGTCTCAAATGCCATTATTTGGACTGGTGAAAAGTAACTAATGATTTCTAATTATACGGCAGCCTGATCAGAAGGGGATTACCCCACATCTCTTCAACCCTCAGCCTCGATCGACAATCTCGACAACACTCCACCAACTTAAACAAGAACAATGTGGCACTCATAACATGCCGTAGTATACTCCGAAACCGCCATGTCTTTCTGCAAGACATGCACCGAAATATTCGCTTTCCCCTGGACATTGTCTGACGAAGAATGGACTTGCTCGGTATCAGGCCCTCACCATGACTCTCTCCCCCATCTCCAGCAAGCCGCAGGCGAGGGCTGTCGCATTTGCAGAGCCATCTGGTCTGAATGCCAATTCCTCGCCGCAACAGCCACAGACAAGGCCGCGGCGAGGGATGTCCGGGCTCACACGACATTCAGGATCGTGCACGGGTGTACGGGGCTCGAGCATGCGGTTAAGGGTGGTAGGAAGATGGAGTTGGAGATCCAAGTTTCGCGGATCGCGGGGCAGGAGGAGATATCCAGGGTGTTGCCTTTTGAGATGGTGCCTTGTAAGTTGCGAGATGAGCTCTGCGTTTCGCGGGGTAGGGTTTAGGAGAGTGATTGTGATTAAGTCTTTGAAGAGCTGACCGTTCTATGTAGTTGACGAAATGGAACATAGCGATGGTGCGGCTGAAGCGGGACGAGGTGATCCTATGTATATGCTTCCGGTTTGGTATGAAGAATGCGTGAAAAGCCACGAGCAGTGTCGATCTGTGTTCAACGAGGAATCGTATTTTCCTGCTCGATTGATTGACATCGGTCGGGCAGACTCAGTCGATTCAATAAGACTCGTCACAACCATGGGCGATAGTAACTTCACTGCAACGCGAAGCGACCACCAAAGGCCAGCGTATGCTACACTTAGTCACTGCTGGGGAAAATCCCAGCCCCTAAAACTACTCACCCACAATGAAGGACAACTAAAGCAAGGCATTGATCGTGCAAACCTACCAAGAGTCTTCTTAGACGCAATCGACGTGTGCCGACGTCTCTCCATTCAGTACCTATGGATAGACTCTCTCTGCATATGCCAAGATTCAGAAGAAGACTGGTCCAAAGAGTCGGCTCTAATGGGCAAGACCTATTCGACCGGTGTGATTAATATCGGGGCAACTGGATGTGCAGACTCGAATTGCAGTTTGTTCGAAAGGGACTCGAGTGGGAGTGCTTCTGTGGGGTTGATAACCTGGGCAATTGCACCGGCGAACAAATATGTGGTGGTCGAGAACAGCATTTGTTGGCTGAAAGATTTTCTGGACCAACCTTTACTGCGACGTGCGTGGGTAGTGCAAGAGAGGTTACTGGCAACCCGCATGGTGCACTTCACTAAGTCCGGACTCATGTGGGAGTGCCGAAGCCTCGCGGCCACCGATACGTATCCACGCAAAGTGCCGGACGTCTTGCAGCATGTTCATCACTCGCGAAATCGTTTCTGGCAGACCGACCCTCCTGGCCAACATAAAGATGAAGCGTGGTCTAACCTGGTGCAGAACTACAGCAATTGCGCGCTCACCTTTGGCAAGGATAAGCTTATAGCTCTTTCTGGCTTGGTGTCCACTATGAAGACTGGAGGTCTGGATCGTGGAAACTACTGGGTTGGCATGTGGGAGACTGATTTTCCATATTGTCTTGTCTGGGTACGCTCTGCGCTGGATAGGAGCAAGTGGAGGCAAGTTCGTCCCAATGAATACCGTGCACCCTCTTGGTCCTGGGCTTCCCTCGATTGTCAGGTCTGGACAGCGTGGTCATTGGGGATCAAGCGTTCACCTGTTATTTCCCATTTTGTAGTCAACGAAGATGGCGGGAAGGGCCAGGATGGACCTCAAGTTGGCTGCCGTCTTTTGCTCTACATGACAGGCCCGCTCGCAAAAGTGAGCATTGTGCCAAAAGGGTCCGAGGTCGAGACAGTTGGGAGAGGGATTGAAAGGGCACAGGGCATCTCATATTGCATTTCCTCTATCTACCAGCATCGTGAAGATATTGAGCCGGACGCAGAATTTACCTATATGGAAGATGACACATGGAATGAAGTCATCTTTGACGATTTCAACGATTCCAATTTAACCAAAGACGTCTGGTGCGCACCCATATTCGAGTGCGAGATGTGGAAGATGGGGGCCGGTATGCGACTGTTTGGACTGCTGCTGGAAGTGGTCGAAGGGAATACGTTTCGCCGTATTGGCACGTTCTCCGTCAGACTCTTACCTAATCGGCAATTGTTGAAGCGGTTGCAATCTATTGCTTATACGGTAATATAGAATTCAAGGCAATTAGTAAACCATAAAGGAGAAGTACCACTCGTCTGAAAGGAGAAAATGGATCGTCGGCCACGATCACAAGGAAAGCTGACACAGCTCCCGACATGGAGAATACATGCCTTGATTTCAAGACCATTCCAAAAGTGCGTTGTATCTTGCTTTCGTATTTGGTAAAAGAAGTGCAAGGTAAATCGGCGCTCTCTGATGTTCTACCAGGCATGGAGAGCACCTGACAATCTACGTCAGTCTGCTGCGCCACCCATCACCGTCGTCTCCAAATCCAATTCTCCGCCATGGGAGCTCGCCTGGAAAGTCAGGCATCTCCTGTTATTAAAGTTGCAGTCCCATAATATTCCTTCGCCCGGTACTTGTTTGTTTGATCGCCCTGCCGCCTCGTGGCCCTACAGGGCGACAAGGGGATGAAGGGTCAAGGGGCTAGGGCCGGAGGCGATGAGAACAACCCGCGAGCCCAACCATGTGGCCCAGCGACAAGCCCTTAAATTCGACGTCCACCGATTACTAGGGTAGAATTACACGTAGTACACGGGCGAAGCAATAGACAATACCAACTCAGCGGGCGCGCTGCTTGGGTTTCGTCGTGCGCTCTCGTCCTCGGGAATGATTTCTGGCGGAATTCCGCCTCTCCTTAGGCAACAGCATTGGCGGTGGGCATATTGGCAGCTGAGGGGGTGCAATGCCCCCGTCCTCCAGATCTTGATCCCCTCACTCTTGCGCACAACGACATGTCGAATCCTGCACGGTGGAAATGCGCGGAAAAAGCAATCGGGAAACTGTTTTTCGATAAATCCCTGTTTTAGGATGCATGATCGATACTACATTTAGAGAAGGATGCGTACGGAAAATTTACCATCGGCTCATCTCTTGGGGGCTGGCAGGTCAGATCCGAGGCTGAATGTCCCGGGCATTCAAGGCCCACTCGATCGCAGGTTGTTCCACTGTCCACCTTCGAATTACAGCAATGCATAAGTGTCTCAAAATTCAAGATGCATCTTTCGGTTCAAGGTCCGCCTTGGAAGGCCTGCCGCAGTTAATGAAGAATGTCGAGTGAGGGCTGTGCTGAGAGTACCGGTTAGAAGTTCCCTAGCCCACTACTCTTTAGAATACAGGCGGTGTACTCAGGCGGAGGTATTACATAGGTTGAACTGGACAGACAACTAGGGGCGCAATCGCGCGCACGGATGAACTGGGTTCGAAGTGGAACAGGATCTGTGAAGCTTAAGCTCACGTTGAGTGTTCCAGTACTGTGGTAAATGAATCATTGTCACATTTTGTCGTTGATGATGTCGATCAATTAAACCTGGAAATGTCATAGAAGGTAGGGGTCCAAACATAAAATAGTGATTGCTACATACACCATAGACACCAGGCTTACATGCATAGGAACTAGCTAATACCACAGAGTCCAAATCTAGGAGGAAAAAGAAAATCAAAGAACAACTAATATAAGAACCCTGGAAACGGACGTCAAGCATACAGAAAAGGAAGGTTAACACGTCAGACGGCCCCATATCGTATACCCAGTATCCTCACCCGCCTCCACAGACCACCACCACTCTCCCAAGAGTTCAACGCTTAGATCACCACCCCTCGAATCCAACAAGGCTGAACATAAAAGGATTGGCTTCTCGAGACGTCTAAAAAGTACCTTCCATGCAGTTGCCTATCCGGATAGTGTCCGCCACAACCGTTCGATCGTTTCCGCCCCTACCGTTCCCCGGATCCTCCAACATACACCCCTCACGGGCGGTATCCGTCGTCGTCGTCGTTGTCGTTGTCATCCCCGAGTGAAGGGGGGGATGGATAATCGTGAAAGATTATTTCTGCTTAGTGCTGGCTCTTTTGAACACATCGAAAGACCTCGCACTCTCGCTCGTTGTACCAGTGATTTCGGCATTCCGCACATGCGGCATGGATAGCAAGAAGATTATCGTGCCCACAGTTGCAGCACCTCCAGTAGTACTCCACTTGAGTCGATCCATGCGCAGACACACCAGCAGAATGATTTTGGTGGTGGTTTTGGTGGTGATTGTGGTGGTGGTTGTGGGATTGATGGCGGGAGCTTGTCGTGGCCATGGCTGCTACTAATATCGCTATGCTAGAAAGACTTGGATGTTTTAAGAAGATCGGAGACAACGGGCTCGTAAATTCTTGCAAGAGAAGCGACACAATAGCTTTGTATGTCTCTGCGACTGAGAACTAGGTTGCAAAATTTGTTGAAGCTCTTTGGACTGTAGTCTGTGGTTTGCTCGTGACAGGGAAGAACGTGTTTGATGCAACGTTCGAAGAATTTCCGAGCTGCTCTTTATATATGGAACCTTCATACTCAAATAAGTCCTTTAGTGAAGGGGGCAATGAGGGAATGGAGGACAGACCGCAGCAAGATTATTTACCACCTCAGTCACTTTCCCAAAGAACTCTTGGACTGCCTTAAAGGTCCGCCCCAGCGTGATTCACAGGGCCAGCTTTGACAGCGTGTGCGGGAAAATTGGCCCTACGAGGAAAGTATGGTTAGCCAGGGCAACTGGAGGCGGGCATAGGAAATTCCAAGTCATTCTCTTGAAGTGTTTGATTTGCGGACGGGAAGACCGAAGGATTCATGTAGGACAAAGGGGCGAGCTTTCTGGCGGGCATGAGCACACGTCTGTTCAAAGTCCTAGGTCTTGCTTCCAAGCCCCTTCTATGCAACGACAATAAGCATGATATCAAGTCAACGAGAAGTCATACGGAGTGGACTTACAAAGCGGGATCAAGGCCTCAGTGACACTTTGGTTTAGCGTGAGGCAAAGATTGGCCTCGAAGTTGGCCTAGGCAGGCATGACATTATAGGCAAATATGGCCTGGATCATTGGCCTCAGATTCCGGGCCGCAGATTGTAGGCCAGTTTGGGCTATGTCAAGTACAAGGATATTGGGTATGCGATGTAAGATGGTCTCAGCACGGAGAGGCCGGGCAGTGTCGACTCATTGATGTTTCTGAACATGAATTGTGGTTGTTGTGGTAGAGTCTATTCGTCATGCTGGTAACCTTCTAGTAGTGCTACAAAGGTAGAGAAACGCCAAAATCCCAAAAGAATCTAATATCAAAAAAACAAACAGATTCGCCATTTGATGAACGAAACCCAGCCAATACAGATGCGTGCTCGAGGCGATAAGGCCTCGAGATGAGTAAGTTCCAGAGCTATGCAATCTTATAATCGTTCATGAAACCAATGTTCTACAAACAAAAACAGCGCCCTTCCTCGATATAGCAATAACGCCTAAAAAGCATTCTTATCAACAGTGCAGCTCCATCTCCGGTGCCGAAGCATTGAGCCCTTGACTCCGCCCACCCGGTGTTGACTTCCAAATGCATCACTGTTTCAGTCAGCCAGAACTTTGACCCCCAATTCTATCCGACAGATCACTCACAGTTCATGTTTATCCATTCAGATATCTACGCAGCATTGTGGCACCATCTATTTGTAGATGACCTCCGTGATGGAGCAGTATTTGTCCATCCAGTGCTGACATCTCGCACAGGCTGCGTCGTTTGCGAGATTGTTCTGGCTAAAGTGGCAGTTGCAGCATGTCCACCGGTATTCAGTATCGTTCCCGTAGCTTCTAATTCCAGAATTGAAATTTTCGATGTTGGTGGTAGGGTGCGCGGAACATGCGTGTTGTTGGGATGCTGGATCAATCTCTTGGACGTCGATCCTTGTCAGTGGTTGATCGTACACGTGCATGCAAGACGACATTGACCGAATGGTTTCGAGCCCATTACTTGTGAGTGTTGTTTGTAGTTTATTGGTAACTTTTGAGGTCAACAGGGTGTTTTGTTTTCGGAGACATGAAGATAACGTACCAGAAGCTAGGCTATACTTGGGGTCTTCCACGGCGCACTTAGAGCAGAGTATATGGCCACAGTTGAAGCACTGCTCACTGACAGAGCGGCTGATGACTGCATCGCTGCAGTAGCAGCAAAGCCAGTCGTAGGAAGAAGACATGTCTGGTAGTATGGAATGGATGGACTTTAGCGAAACGCTTTTATGAAGATAGAGAGTATAGGTGAAGAGATGGAATACCCTTTTACGTCTACGAGGGGGGAAGATCAATATATACATTTGAAGAGGGCACAATCTTATGTAGTATTTACTGAAGTGTCGCAGGACTCTTGTAGTAGGCGTTTAGTGCTTCACTTCGGCGGTGTATGTTCCTTCGACTCTGACCTTGGAGGGCGCCGTTAGGGCAAACGCCTCTCACCAGCCACAACCGTTTGCCCTGACTTTCCCGTTCCACCAAAAAAAAAAAAATTCGACATTCCGGTCGCAATCATGGAGGATGACAGAGAAATGTTCACCGCAAAGTGTGAATACGTCCTTCTTGGTAATGACTCAAGGCACTTTTCCCGAACATTGCAATGGATTAGCATGGGCTGAGAAGGATCGATACCAGTAGTAGCAAATGAACGAATAACAGTTGACAGGAATATCCAACGATACTACTTTTGCAGGTGTGACTACTAGTAAAATCATGTTTTGGCCAATACTTGCCAGCTGAGATGGACATGAAGGACAGTGGCCATGCGGTGGGATTGCACTGTTTGCCAGTTATGACGACCCTTTGAAGGAAAGGGGATAGATCCTCCAAGTACAAGCTTTTCTCCATCCCTGCATGAGGGCAAATTCGATCTTGGGAAATCGAATCGTCCTTTGAGATACCGGAGGCAAGGCTGTCCGGGCGAAGTGCCTATAAGTCAGACGACGAAGCCCCCCTGTCAATTCGCCCTCCAAGCGCGCCCCCCCTCCCCGGAATGCCCTTTTGGGACAATGGGACAGCGTAACACCCAGGATCAGAACACTCAATTCAGATACCGGGTACGCAATCCTGGAAGAATAATGATGTTCCTGCAGTGCATTGTTGCTAGGCGCACAACCTCGAGGAATATTCAACATCCTCGTCACCATCAACATTGTTGGATGTTTCATTTGATCATTCGGGGCGGGTTTTGACATGTAGGATGGTCCTAGAAGAGTAGAAAAAATGATTGGATACTACAGAGAAATAAACGGGAATACATATTTCCAGATTGCCATGAGAATGGAAACCCAAAATCGCCTCAGTGAAGAGGTGTCCTGCATATGCAGGCCTTCAGACATCTTAGAAGAGAAATAAAAACGTATGCGACGACGATTATTGATATCCATGAAGATGCCTAAACCCTGGGGAAAATTGCATAAGACGTTGTCTTCGACTTCCAAAGCTTGTAAGTGTGGAAGTATACATGTCAAACAGTGACCATGTCATACTACAGCCCTAGCTGTGTGCCTCGTATGTCGTGAATACAAATTGTTTATATGATTTCCCTATGGTCGAGACGGATACTAATAAGGAGTTTCGTGTCAATACAGGCCGCTGGAAGGTATTGGATGGTATATACGCACATCATTTGCTCTCCTCCTCTTTGCAATTAGAGCATTTCTGATGGCCACAGATTGCGCAGACATTTTGCCAGCTCCCGATCGGTCCTTCGTTACAACTAGAACAATACCAAACCTTGTCGCCGTCGACCAATGGACTATAGGGATTGTGCTCGATCAAAACATTGTTGCCATGGTAGACGTCGCACGGAGAAGATGTGGGACACATGGAACAATCATCGTCTGGTGTATGGTCGGGACTGGTTGTACAGTAAACTTTGCCGACGATGAATGTAGAGGCCATGGATTGGCTTTCTACATCAAGCTGAGATGTTGGGAAGGAGTTCAACGATTGAATCATGTTTAATAGGCCGAATCAAGAATTTCTGAAGAGATGAAGAATGCTTTTCTTAAGGATCTCGAGCGATGTAGTCGCTTCGAGGTGCAGAAAGCTGGTGATGGTTGTGACATGCATCGCTAAAGCAGCTTGCACAGTACCTCTTTATACGACTCCAATAACCAGCTCTACAACCCCCACACTTATGTAAGTTTTAACTCTGCTCGATACCATACCTTAGGGAAGGGAGTAAACGATGAGCCCAAAGCATCAGGTAAAAGAAGCCAAGACCAAGCCAAAGAGGCAGCAATGCACACAGCCGTTGACGATAGACATCCCTGGAACAGCCAATCCGCGGACAAACCAGACCAGGAAGTCAGGTTGGGCATTGTGATCACAAGCGGCCAGCTCCGGTATGGTCTCGACACCACAGGTCCTTGTAAACTGCGGTGAGGAGTACTTTTTAGGAGACAGTGTATGATTTGACTGTTGACCCTGGTCTCCAGTGGCCACAGCAATAGGAGATACCGAGCTCATACTGGTCGTGATACTGGCATTGCAACGGCAATACCCAATGGAGGCTGAGACAGTTGCTTGTCCAGGTATAGGGCTGAGGTCTGAGATGATAGGTAGCATCAGTCGAGATTACTTGCGCCACTAAATTGATGTGTATGGACGTCGTTCTCTGGAACCAAAAGAAAAACGGTAGCTAAGGAACGGTATCCCCGATACTGGCCTTGTTGTCCGTCAGGCTGCACCGCCAAAAGCTGAAGCCAATCTTTGATGATCTCACCGGGAAAAAAATGTTTGCCTTCTTTTTGCCTAATCGGGACGATTTCCAGTGTTTGGTCCCTGTAATTCATAGTATTGAGAGCGGAAGTATATGTGAGATGTGGTGCACGTTTCAGGCAGTCTGTCCAGTTATCAAGCTAGCGGCCAGGCCAAGATGGCCATTGACGGTTGCTATTACAGCGAGCGTGGAGATATTGATCCGTTCAACGGTTCGTTGTGTGTCCACAAAACTTCGAAATGACTATACTTCGTCGTTACTCGCTAGGCATCCACGAAGAGTGGTGGTACAACGCAAGTCTAAGAACACGAGGCGTTACATTCGTACGTGTATGCGGCCTGACTGAGTTAAATTCCAAACGAAATGGATATGAGGTATCAATTGCAAGACAACGCGACAATGCGTCGTGAGGTGGGTGCTCATCGGCTGGGCCCCCTTCATTCCATAGACTCAGACTCGTGGTATGAATAGAACCAACGAGATACATAACAATGGGTACTGACAGTTCGCCATATCGTGATCACAAATACCAGGTCCTGTAATTGAGGACCTTGACTTCCAGGGATTGATTGAAACGGTGACGCCGAAGGTATAGCGTCATTGTTGGAAACCTGCCGCGACGAGAGCTCACGACTTGTAAGCACGAGACCCTTGCCCTGCAAAAATGCCCAAATGGCGCGTGAATGGGCATGCAATGAATACAAGCTCTTGATAGGAGTCATCGGCATGCATCCTTGGGACAGGTGGAGATGAAAAACAAGCACTTAGCGATGATTGCTAGTCTCTGTCATACCCAGTCGACCTGCATATCCCGTGCTTTGATTGCGTGAACCGAGAATTCCAAAAGAGTTTTGGCTTGAAAGGTTTTGTGAATGGCGGCAGGCAGCCCTCTAGTCGGCCTCACGGCTATGTTGTAATTGACATTGCGGTGAATCGCACTTCGCCAGCTTCAGCTTCACACTGACCAGGCGCAGCATAGTTTTATAGAGCCGCCAAGGGGACAAGGCTGAGTTGAGTTTCTGGAGAATATAGTTCGCCTCACTTTGCCCGAATCCGAAACCTGAATCTATTCTGCAGCGAGTATGTAGTGGTAACTGAAGGCTTCAGTACCAGCTACAGTCTGGAAGGGGATTGGATGTGCGGAGGTCAAGGGATGCACCGACAGGCTGAAGCCTGAGAACGCGGGATGAGAGAATATCAGGCAAGGATTCGTTCCGGCCACTGAAGAATATTAGCGCTTTGCTGCAAGTAGAAGCTATGGCCGATTAAGGCATTGACAGTAAGACGGATGTACGAGACGGTAACACAGGAGACACAAGTAGGCATCTGCCTTAAACGTGACTCCGGTGAAGGAAAGGAGACTATACAGAGATCTGCAGCCGCACGGTTCATTTGGGATGAGTGAGTGATGAGGTAGCATTGGAGGAATAAAGACGATTTAGCGTGACCATTAGCTGGAGAATGCAGGTGAAAACGATGAGTCGTCCTTGGTTATCCTAATGATGCCACTCAAAGGGGAAGAACAAAAGCAAGGGAGCATAGAGAAAAGGGAGAAAAGAAGGAAGTGAGAAGATTGAGAAGAGCGCAAGGCTGAAGGATAGATAGATCTAATGGGCAAAAGTAGGGCGGCTAGCGTCCTGCGAGCAAGGATGAATCGGCAGATGCTGATGCACGAAGCTGATGAAGCTGATGTTGGTTTTGCCAGAGAGCGGGACTGGCTTTTGCTAAGGAGGTTTTTCCAGTCGTATACGAGTACAATAGGGTCAAGGTCGTGGAAGGTGTGGTGTGCGTTGATACTGAAGTCAGTATGGATCGTGACTTTGGTGTTGACGTGAAGACGTCATGTGTTTATGGGAAGTCGGCACGCATTCAGCCCGTTCCGAGATAAATCCGGACATCCGCATCACGTGTTGCCAAGCCAACCCCGGAACATCGGCTCCCTTGGGTACGACGACTTACCAACCTCCAATGATCGCATCAGTCGCATCGATGTCATCCACAACCAAGCTTCACGCTGGGCTTACGGCCCTCGAGTCCAACCTTCACTGTCGCACCAGATAACTAACAACGGAGTACCTCGAGGTGCTTTACAGACTCTGGTTATCTCACAGAACCCATCTCCCCATTGTCGCTGTCTATGCGGAGTGCTAATAGCCAGCGCTATTCGCGACTTTCATACGAACCCCGCCCTCTACCTCTACCGCGTTTCCACCAACACACAGATAAAACAGATATAAAATGGCGATATCAGAAGAGCGTCAGAACGCCATGGATAAGAAGGCAAATCAAATCATGTCCGTCGTGCTGCCCCTGGTCGAGGCTGCCGGCATGGGTCTAGCAACATATGTCGTCGTCTATCGGATCTGTCTAAACGCGCTGATCCAACCGATCCCAAAATACACGAACCATGGTTTCGAGCCGAGACGAGCGACGGGTATCGGACTACTCGTTGTCTACCTCCTTCTTCTAGTTGTCTTTTGCATAACCTTTCTGCGTCTTTTGCAAGTCATCTGGACTAATCCTGGAGTGACTCCACTCGGCGAACCTTCTTCAGAGAAAAGCACCGCTTCAACGAAACATTACGATCGCCTCGATGCCTACATCTGCGATTATCAAGGATGGCCTTTGTGGTGCGACAAATGTCACAGTTTCAAACCAGATAGGACCCACCACTCCAAACAATTGGGAAGATGTGTGCGGAGGATGGATCATTACTGCCCTTATGCTGGCGGAATTATATCAGAGACTACACACAAGTTCTTCGTACAATTTTTGTTCTATGGATTTCTTTATACCGGATTTACCTTGATTGTGGTGGCCTACTTCCTGGCTGAGCGCCATCGTGTCTTGCATTCGGCTCCAGGAACATGGGTAGTCGCCGTAGCACTCGCTGGTCTTTTTTTCCTCTTCACATTCGGCATGTTTGCCACGACATTCTACAACCTTTCTATCAACCAGACCACCGTCGAGGTCATGCAGCGGGACTTTGTTCACCAGGTTGCACTTCGTGGAGGCAATCTCAATCCCCCAAACACCACATCCGATCAATCCGTCGTACTCTGCGAAGTTAGCCGTAGCCCAACACGCTCTTACATCGTGGTCCAAACGGAACTTGGTACCGGATTGTGGGATCTAGGGCCGCTTGCGAATATCAGGAGCATCATGGGAGATTCTCTCATCGAGTGGTTTGTACCTTTGCGAATGAGCCCTTGTTTACATCATCGTGATCATTCAGGCGAATTCCCATGGGGCCGAAAGGTGGTTCGTTTAATGGAAGAACATGGCGCTGGCACCTCATACCGACGAACACGTCGACGGTCGGGAGGTGCACATGCTGCTTGAACCACCACCCTAGCTCGCGCTTTCATCTGTTCGAATTTTTCGTTTTTGGCATAGCGTTGATACCCTAGCGTTCTCACGCATACAGTAATACATCTTTAAACCAATTCCCTATTCATTGACTGATTGTAAAATCACTCTTCTTGAATTTATAATCTCGCCTGGACCAAGATTTCCCTTTGTGCCTGTTCACGCAACACCCGCTTCAAAATCTTTCCACTTGGACTCTTTGGGATTTCGTCCAAGAATACCACGCCACCTGTGAGTTGTTTGTATGCAGCCAGTGTATCGCTGACATATCTTTTCACTTCCTCCTCTGAGATGTCGGAGCCTAGTCGTCGCACGACATATGCTCGTGGCGACTCATCTTCAGAGTCCTTCTTCAGCCTTACCCCAATGACAGCGGCATCGACAATCTTGTCTTTCTTTTCCAAGAGTACTGCTTCGAGCTCAGGCGGTGCAACCTGGAAGCCACGCACTTTAATCAGTTCCTATAAGTGCGTCAGTCATGCATGGAAACTGTGCACATACTAGCCTGACTGACCTTCTTTCGATCAACGATGTACCACTTATTCAGCTTGCGATCACAGTACATGATGTCTCCAGTATGGAAGTACCCATCCTCATCCCAAGACTCTTTATTCGCCTTGTCATTGTTGAAGTAACAGCGAACGACCGTAGGCCCGCGCACGCAGAGCTCCCCCCGCACGTCATAGTCCGTCACGTCGTTTCCGTCGTCATCGACAAGCCTATACCATTATATCAGTCACTGTACCCTTTGAATCTCCCAATTAGAAACATCAGCGTGGTACTCACTTAACATCAGTCCCAGGCATAAATCTTCTTCCAACGCTCCCCGTCTCGTCCCCTTGGGGGTAGTAGAACAGACAAATCGCACTCGTCGTCTCCGTCATGCCCATCACCTGCGTGACAACACAGTCAGCAGCACAGAGAGCCTGGAGTCTCCTTTGGGAGCCCGCGTCGAGCGGTGCAGCGCCGGCACCCACCGCACGCACGCTCTTCAGCGAGTACTTCTGCGAAAGCGGGGAATTGATGATGGCGATGATCAGAGGGGGTACCATTCCTAGGTTGGTGATCTTCAAGCGCTCGATGCCCTCGAGATATGGCTCCAATTCGAATCGCCGCATAATCCACACCGGGTGGCCAGATCGAAATGGCGAAGCGTGAATAGCTGGTACGGTGGCTACGTGGAACATTGGTAGTGGACATATGTTTCGGGGCTCCCAAGTGATCTTGTCCTCGTTCATAGTGACGGTCATCGTGTGGTACGAAGTAGCATTGTAATGGCTCTGGCATGCGACTTTCGGGAGGCCGGTCGTCCCGCTCGTGGTCAACCTTGCCACATCTGTAGTCTTGAGCGTCTGAAGGTCAGTAATACTATCCCAATCCTGTTCGCCATGTGACAACAGCCATTCCCAAGACCGAAACCCATCAGGTACGCTCTGGCCTCGCACATTGAAAATGAATATCTTGTCCTTTGTAATCTCCTCCGCAATCGCTCCCTCATACACGACGTCCAGAAGTTCTGGTTCCACGATGAAGAGCTTCACCTGCGCTGTTCGAATATGGTGTCGAACCTCGTGGACGCGGTATGCGGGATTCGTTCCCGAGAAGATGCCCCCTGCGCCTACGCCCCCAAGGAAAACCATTGAATACATTATGTCATTGAAGGACGTTATACTAAAGCAGTCGCCTCGCTGAAGGCCCGCCGCGCGAAAGCCAGCGACTAGTTTGCGGACAATGCGGTAGCCTTGGTTCCATGATATTGTTCGATTGGGGTCATCGATGTCGTAGTAGACCTTGAGACGAGATTGAGTTGCAATTGGAAGGAGATGGACGATCAATTGGGTGATGTACTTACCGGCTTGTCTAGATCATATGTTGCATTACCGAAACTGAAGGACACGAGGTCATGCTCAGGCAGTGGATATGTGTCGGGTGCAAGCCAGGGCATATTGATGGCAAAATGGCCAAAAAATCAGGTAGATCTCTAAATCTGATTTCTCTTACGTGTTCGATCTAAAACAGCGAAATGATCAATTCCTTCGTGAAAATATACGTAGACATAGTCCATAGTAGCCATACTTACAACGACCCCGATTCCGCCGAACGTGGCCGAACTTCTCCTTTAGTAACCACATGGGAGTCTTACCCCACACCGAGGCTTTGGAAGCGCACACGGAAGCGCATCCTTTACCCCAGGTTCTGCAAGTGGTGTTATTCCGCTTCATTCCCCATTACGCTACGTCGGTGGGCTCTTGAAGACGTGTTTTTCGCGACTCTACACTTCATACTGCCTGGCTCTCAGAAGGCTCAACTTGAGAAGCACCATATGTGAATAAATCTTAGACACTGTCTTTTGAGCAGAAATTACTGAGGCATTATTCTGAAACCATCTAATAACAAATGTCTCAGACCAAAACAGCTGCTATAACATGAGATTGGCCGGTCATAAGAACAGACAGGGCCCTCGGTTACGAGTAATGTGTCTCTGATGATCAACGTCAAAGTGGGGTATCATTTGCAATGGAAACACCCCAACGAGTTTCTTATTATGACGACCAACTAACGACTACATAAGATATCCTTGCGTACATGCGAATAAGTTGCAAACATGTTCGAGTATAAACATCTCTCGGCCGACCCATAGAACTCGACCACCTCGGAAAGAACTTATTATACTGAAGTGAGCATCGTTTTCTAGATCCCCCAAAATGGCAACCAAGATTGACCTACACGCCATTAAATCCCGTTCCTGGACGACACAAACAACCCACACCCTCCAGCAGATGATATCCTACAACCTAGCCCTCGGAGCCTCGGGAACCTGTCTACCTTTAGTCTTCGAATCCTCGCCCTCCTTTCATGCGCTCCCAACATTCGGCACCGTCCCCACTATCGCCGTCATGGGAAAGGTTCATGCCGCCATGGGCGACTTCCTGCCTGGATTCAAGGGGCACAATCATGTGCATGGGGAGCATTTCTTAAAGCTTATTAGACCGTATCCAGTTCCGAAGGGAGGAGCCGAGGGTAAAGTGACATTGACGACTACGGCGAGAGTCGTCGATGTTGGGAAGAGAGGGAATGGGGTCTTGGTCTGTGTAGAGATCTTAACAACGTGTGGGGAGTCGGGCGTTCTAATATGCGAGAATGAATGGTCGGGATTCGTCATGCACGTTCCATCTGACGGTGCAAACACCGGGCTTATGGATCGCGGTCCGAGGACGAGGTTGTACAATACGCCCAGCAGGAAGCCGGATCGTGTATTGTCGCATCGGACTAGCCCTGAACAGGCTGCGTTGTACCGGGCGGCATCTGGAGACCTGAACCCATTGCATATTGATCCGGACACGGCAAAGACGGCTGGATTTCCGGCACCCTTGCTAACAGGGACCTGTACGCTGGGAATTGGAGTGCGACATGTTGTTGAGGCTTTTGCTGGTGGGAATGCGGATAGATTCAGCAGTGTAAAGTGCAGACTGAGTAAGCCTGTCTTCGCAGCATTGCGAGACGAGTTATTCACAGAGATGTGGAAAGAGGAAGGTGGTAAAATACTATTCAGAATAGTTGTTAAAGAAGAGCCAGGCAAGGAGAGAGTGGTAATCAGCCAAGGATGCATTTTGTTGCACGATGATCAAGTATCAAAACTATAACATACCTAGCTGTTTCCTTAGACTCAAATTGATTGCAGTCGTTCAAATTGATGATCTGTGTTTGGCAAGCATTTTTGCTTAAATAGCCATTGATCTATCTACTTGGTTTACCGAGTATATTTTACCTTCAGGAAGAACTGATTAATCAGTGCTTCAGTAGCACCAAATGTAGGGCAGGGTTATCAGTAGGAAAAGTTTTGCCCTACAATCTTCTCACTCAGGGCCCATAGCTCTTCTGCATTTTCCTGGCTAGACGCATAGGCCAATGGTGTCGCCACATTGCAATCATCTAGGAAAGCTCCTGATGCATCTATATAAGAGTATCTTGGTCAGCGAGGCTTTACTGCAATTGGAGGTTGGGTGGACTCACTGTCTAGCTCAGGATCCAAGGCAGCCGCCAGCGTAGTCGCAGTTCCTTGTTCAATCGTCTTCTCTCTGGGCATAGCGATCTTCTTATCCACGATCATTTGCCCCACGATTGGAAACTCCGCTGGGTCGATCTGAGACGACAACTTGGTCGCCTGGATGTTCCCTGGATGCAAGGAATAACTTCTTACTCCCCGTTCAGCCAGCTTCTTAGCCAAAGCGACCGAGAAGAGAATGTTGGCCGTCTTTGACTGACCGTAGGCCTCCCAGGTATTGAACACTGCTCCATTGGAGAAGTTGTAATCGTCGAAGCGCACAGGACTGAATTGATACAGTTGGCTAGAAACATTGATGACGCGAGCACCCTTGCCGATAGCATTCTGCTTCGACACAAGAAGGTTCGTGAGTAAGAAATGGCCGATGTGATTTGCGCCGAACTGACTCTCCACATTCTCAGGCGTGAGGGAGAATTTGGCACCCATGATGCCAGCATTATTGATTAGGGCATCGATATTTTCAACAATGTCACCAACTTTAGCTGCGGCGGTACGAACCGAAGCGCATGATGCAAAGTCAATCTCGACAAAGAGCACGGTGGTTGACGGGCTGATCTTTTGGATGGTGTCGATTACGGGCGCCACTTTGTTCTCGGTGCGTCCGAGGAGCAAAATCGTGGCAGGGTGTGCAGCTGCGAGAGAGACTGCGACGCCTGCACCCAGCCCACCATCACTGGCCCCAGTGATCACGACTGACATGTTGATTAGAAGCCGCCTCCATAGAAATTGTCTTTCATTCGGGATTTACTCACAGGTCTTTCCGGTAACTTGTTCTGCGAAGGCCGCAACCACCTCACTCCCAGTCGTAGAATAGCTAAAGCGAGACATTGCGATGATAGATTCACGCCGCATGTATATAATTTCAAGATATATATAAGATACGAATAGGTAATCGAGCTGTCAAGATTTGGTTCGTGATGTAGACGACCTTTTAAGATTATGGCTACGTCTATCTTTTATACATTTCTAGTCAACATGGATCTACAGCTGTAAACAGAATCTCCCCGAATTCCCAGAGCTGCAGTACACGACTCTTATCACTAGGCTTATGGCGTATTCCGGAGTTAATGAAAGGATTATGCTATGATGCTATAATATTTTCGTCCGCGTTGTATGAAGCCTTTAAGAGATGAGTAATATTAGCAATTGAAGTCAATGCACGACGGCCGGGTTTCCGCCGAACATAAGCCTGGATTTTGCTAAGAACTGCCCAATCCCCCCATTATTTCTGTTCCTGAAATGAGTTGTTCTTTGACCTCGCATCAACATCACATGACTCTCACAGGGTAGCAATCAGAGAGCTACATCAAGAGTCAATTCAAGTCAAATGAGCTTCAGTAATCCATAAGCTAAGCGGTACGGTAGGAAATCCCGGCCTAGCACTAATCTACTATGCTTGTTAATAAAAGACTAGGAAATGAAACTATCGGTACTCCAGTGAATTAACATATCACTATGGCTGCGGGCATGAATAATTCGCCTAGTGCCTTTCCTCCTCCACGACGTGATCTCCAAATAGCCTCACCTGTCCTGCCATTACATAATGCGTATTGGCAAGGGAGTTGGGATAGCATTGCACCTTCAATGCTTCGCAACAATGGACTTGGTAGTAGCAGTTCGCATACATTGGGGAGTCGCGACAAAATCGCACCTCACACAAAAGGGGGAGTCAACACTTCACCGCACCTGCAAGCTGTATTTACATGCACAAACAACGAGACAACAGTGGTATGTAATAAGTATTCCATTCGTTCGGCCCACTGACAGGATTTCCTAAGTATTGGTAAGAAATAGTGCAACAGAATGAACGGTACAGTGTAATGACAGCGACACCATTGGAAATATGACTCCATCATCAAGCCGATATCCGGCTACCAGAACTCTTCAACAAAAACCAGCCTAGCTGCTTTTTTGAGCATGTAATAAACGGGAGGATGCAAGGGGAGCAACCACGGTAGAGAAGGATCAATGGCTCTCAACCCACTCCTTCGCCCACTGGTGGTCCTTGAGCCACTCCTCCTTCTCTTGCTTGGGAGTGGTGGAGACTTTCCCCCAAGAGTTGCTTTGGAGAAGTTCTTTCTGCACGGGATCTTCCAGGTCCATTCTCGGCATCTCTTGGATGGTCGTAACGGCTGGGTCGACGTTTGGCCCTAGGTTCCATTGCTCTAGCTGCTCTACGCTAAGAGGGGCAGCTATAGGCTTCGATTTGGGTTTGCCGACGATGAAGTCACGGAAGTGGCTAGTTGCCTTGTCGATGATCTTGGTCAACTTGGTCTTCTCTCGTTTGTCGTGCCTGCGAGGATGTTAGGGGGGTGAGAAAGAGATGATGAGGAAAGGAGGCTTACTGTTGGTGAAGGGGGAGTAGGTGATTGGGTGCCGTCAGTGTTTGCTTCACGACGGGTATGATGATGGTGCTTGATGGAACAGTAGGGGTGGATGTTGGGACTGCCACCGTGTTCATATTGACTGGACGTGCAGCAACATGTACTGTACCTAGAAGCGTTATGAGGCCGATTGATGTTGGGATATGCATCTTTGGATGAGTTGATTTTGGGGTTTTGGATGTTGGCTGTTGGTTGTTGGCTGATTGTTGGTGGGTGTTAGCCTTTTGGTTGGTTGATCTGACAGTCAAGACTGGAAAGCTTGGAGTGATGGGTGAGAGCGAAGGGGAGATGAGAAATACCTTGCCTATATATATTCATATTTCATCTCAACATATCAACATCTCAACCAAAGTTACTAAGATTCAATAAATAAATGTTGCAGTCGTGCTCTAACCATGGTTCCACGGTTCCATGGTTGACATCTGCACATACCAAAATGTCGGGATTGTTCTCGTAGTGCAATCAACTGAATTCCATGGCTTTGTATGCTACCACCGGTATCAACGCTCAGTAGAGCCCATGTTCAGTTTGAGATGCGAGTACGATATCGAAACGCTGCACCTTGTCAGTGAATATTTTAGTACCTAATGACTATAACTTAAGAGTAAAATTTAATGAACAATTTCTAACGGTAGTACTTCTTTAACCTTCTTAAAAAGGCCGTTGAGTACTTTTTCTTTAGACCAGTACGGATTATCAGTCATCGAAGCCATTAATTACCGTACGTCACAGTCCAGCCCTGCAGGGGACGATGGGTCTTCAGGTCGTGATCGGAATCCATTGTAAGATACTAGTAGGCAGAATTGTCTTCGGATTGGGTTTAAGACGGTATAATCTCATTTGCTGGTTAAATTGACCAACAATTGTGCATTGCAGTCGGTCTGTTCGTCGGGAGCGCTCTTCTCGATACGCCTGTTCAGCGAAACATCGGCCTTCTGTTCCATTTACCGATCAAATGATATGAGGTCGAGCAAGCTCAAAAGATTTGTTCGACATCGGATTCTCATACACCAACATACGGTACGCATGTCTCTAAGGAAATCCTACTTTCAAGATCTGAATCTATTGGGTTAGAACTTTTTGCTCCTTGATGATGTTACTGTAAGGCCGAATAAGAAGAACCGGACTATAAATTTGATCTTCGAGGGCTAGATCTTAGCAAGGGACCTACGGCACGTCGGATCCGTCGCGACTAAAATCATGGCGAAAGCCAGTTGGCTCCAGTCCGAACAAGGAACAACAGAACGCTCGCAACCTCTCGAGCAGTTGTTCTTCCCTCAAGACACCGTGTGGGAGTTGAGTTCTATGTACCAACCTGCAATCCTGATGGCCTCTGCGGTGGAGTGTTTTCTTCGCGACTCGGATACCGCAACAGGCACATCCTCTATTCAAGACATAAGGAGGCTTACTCTCCCTGCCCTCGAGTTGGTTCGAGAAGGTGAAATGGGAAAAACATACGATAATTCTTGAACCTGACTGGCTTGTGACTTGCATGGGTTGGTGCGGTGGGCTTGGGTTTAGTTGAATAGGAGGATGCTGGTGGTGCGAGGGCTGTATGTGGAGGAGCGAGTTTGTGTGGTGATTGATGCAGCATTCTATTAGGTTTGATAGATATGGCCATTTTGCTTCGGTGCGTCGTCGCAAGCGGGCGTACTGCCAAAGCATTGAAGGTGAATCTGTACGGTTGTCATGACAGCTTGTTAGCAAGTAAGAGATGGAATATCATATATCGAGGATATTGATGAGTGGTCACCCTTCGATAGATTTTGGCAGTACGGCTGGAAGAGAGCGAGAACAGAATATGTAGGGCAACCCGTCCTCTCTAAGGTGAAAGCTGTAAATAGTCCTGGGAAGGCCCGGGAGGTTATTTGACTGCTGGTGCTGCCTTTAGAAAGGGTGGATAATTATACATTTATGAGTACCTATTCGTATCTGTGTTATCTAATCATCCAGAACCAAAAGCAAAGATAAATGCCTTCCCTACTCGTAGACCTCCCGCTATACTGACTGGCTTGCCTTCGAGGCAAATCTATCCTAGATGAGATGATGATCCCAACAAAAAGCGAGATGTGTGAAGATACCGCCGCCCTGTTCCATTATTCCTGCGCCGATACCTCGGGGTTTGAATAACCCAAGCACCTAAAAGGCTTGTGAGGTATGATGACATACTGCAACTAATAGTTGCGACAGACGATGTATAACGATAGCGTGCGGGGGACTACTTTTAACTTCCAATATGCAACAACGAAGACAGAACAAGAAAGCCGAAATGAAGAGAGGCAATAGCCGTGCAAATCCCTTTGGGTAGAAGGCGTAGCCAGACAGCACAGATGGAGTGGCAGATAGAGGTGATCAGCTGTTGAGACTTTACCATAAATAAGCCTCTCTCCAGTAAAGTTTGGTCGGCTGGGTCGAGGGTCGTATGAAATCGAGGCAGTGGCTTCAATAATAATATTGTGATAAATGTATTAGCCTGGGGATTCTTCCCATTGCGCTGATGGGTATCAGGGTAGTGTAGAACAAATGCCAGCAAAGCTATGCTCGGCATTGAAGAACGCAATCGGTGTGGATTAGAATCCACGCCGAGGTTGTTGTGGTGATGATGGAGAAAGCAATCCATACTTTCTTCGAGGGTCACAACGTGTCGCACCGGTATGCGATGACACGACACAACCCTCATAAATGATGTTCCTATAAACGGGTAGTGGTGTTGCCGAAATAAAAAAGAACGCTAGGAAGATCCTTGTAGTGAATAGCGGTATGCGTTTGGAAATGCAGAAACAGCGTGTCTGCAGCAAGGAGCGACGAGGGTAGTTCGATGCCAGTGAGAAGTGTCTCGGTGTTCAATGCGAAGTAAGATGTCCGTCAAGTAATCTTACGGCGCTTCGATATTGTTATATCGCTTCAGAGAGCATCTTGCTCCCGGTCGTGGTCGCGATGTCGGTGAGGATCCGACTTTTGAGGAGGTGCTCGTCTGCGAGCATTGATAAACCAATTGGAAACCTGTGTATGTCAGCAAAGGTTCCAAATTATTGATGTCCACGAGTGTCCCGGGTGCTAGACGAATTTAGGGGTAAAGAGAAGCGAAGTGAAGTGAATATTGGGATAACAGATGATTAGAGTGAATAAACAAGATGAAGCTATGACATACCTGGTTGAGAGTGAGCTGGGTTTGAGCACATAATTGTAATTTCTCCTCTTCGCCAGGGTAAGGTGAATCACGATGCGCTTGGAACCAAGCTTTAAGAATGCCCGTTGCTTCTTTAGGTAGATTTCCGCGCCGTTTTCTGTTGAAAGTTCCCTGGTCCATGCCTTGTTGGTTATGAAATTGATAGCTGTACGATGCAGGTGGCGGAGTGTAAGCACCGTGACCGTAATGGAGATAATTTGGAGGGTGCGCAGGGTGTCCATAGTAGTCATGCGCAGGCCTTTCGTACGTGTAGCCTTGTGATGCCTGGTGGCTATCGTGAAAATTGCTTGGCCGATGATCGAAACTAGATGCTGTTCCCTGGATGGGAGTGGTTTGGTAAGCGTGCTGTGGCACTGCACTTGATCCGGCTTGTGGGTAGTGGGACTGCGTCCCAGGAGGTGCCGGTGTCGATTGATGACGAGCATGGACTACTGAGCTGGCTGGTGGGGGTGGGTATGGTAGGCTGGGCCGGTGGTGATGATGAGTTGGATGGCTTCGTTGATGCTGGTAGCCCGATTGTTGGGATGAAGAAACGGTTGGTAGAATAGGCGCAAAGGAACCCCTAGGAGAGTTGAACGATGCGGTTGAGTCCATCGAACCAGCCCGTGGCTCATCACTGCGTCGCCAGATGGGATCACTGAACGTTGGAACCTCCCTGCGTGGTGAGCTCTCTATCGATCCATCCCTTCGTGAAGGGGTATGCGGAGGAGAGGGTTCCTGCTGCGTGGCGGAGAGAAACTACGTAGAGAAAGTTAGCCACACACAGAACATTGGGTATCAACTTTGAAGGGTGATAGAAGTTGGTTGGTGATGACTTACTTGGGAGAACGAAGGGAGAGTATGTGATGTGAGTCTTTGTTCTCCAGGCTGAATAGGCGGCGAGTGTCTTGAGTCGTGGTTCTGATATCTTATGTTAGTTCTTCTCGGTACATAGGCTCTCTGATCATCAGATCAGACGACAGAAAGACGATGTCTTCGGTGATATGAGATATTTATGCCTCTGTGAGTGAGCATAGTGGGACCACCAAGACCGTAATAACAGCAAAATGAATGAATGATTGATACCCGAAGGAGGGCAAAGGGGTTGTCATGGCTAAACGGTCTATTTTTGAACCAGATGAAGGTTTTGTGAAAAGATGTGATCGTTCGGGGCAAACAAAGGCTAAAGAGCGAAGAGGTGAGAAAGCAGAGCGGGCATTGTACCGTAGGCCACTTCATGACAGACTACGGAATTCGGTGAAGAGAAGCAGCATTCAAAAGCCCAATAAAGGTGAGAAAAGGGTAGGAGGGGCATGGAACTGATGAAATGGAGCGTGTCATCTGTTACGAGGGGAAAGCAAAATCGTAGTAACTTACCGCTGCCATACTGGGTAGTGAAGAGCCATTGTGCTGCTGGTGATACTTGCCCTCTGACATCTTGTTGCGATTTTCGTATCGATGTGGAGTATCGTGTAATGAGAGGTACTCCATGGTAGAATTATGGAGAAAGAGTGATTGCTTTACACCTGTCAGTGCCCGCTGCCAATACTACTGCTCCAGCCGCCTTGCAGGCTGAATGCACGCTGCCCATTAATCGCACCTGTAGTCTAGACAGAGCCCGCAATCTAGCGATCATGATATCAAGCTACAACGAGTCCCGGAAGGGTGACACCATCGCAGATATCTTGACGCCAGGCGCGCTGGGCTTTCGGGTGGAGTTTGGTACTGACCTTTTACAGATAGGAGAACGGAATGCCGACTTTTGAAGTTGCAGTAACACGCTTGAACTTTCAATTCCTAGGGATCGCAAAGGTTGTAGGAAGGGAAGATTTGAAAGGTTGGCACCGGGACGGAGCACAAGGGGAAGGAGATTTTGCTCGGTCGTAGAGAAGATGTTCCCGTGAAGGAGTCGATTTTGGGTTGTATGGGAACGATATTGAGTAGTCGATGGAGTCTTCTGTCTTTGCTGGCAAGTATAGGGTCAGGTGCGTTGATATCGACCAGCGCATGCACCCAGTAGTAGTTCGCAGGCGGGGGAGGATGGAGGGGAGAAGGGCGTCTATGGATCTTTTAAAAGAGTGCACGTCTGCACGATTGCACGACAAGCGGGAAGGGGCGTTTCAATGGCGGTAGCAGGCCTGCAACGGGCCGTACGTCTGTTATGCAGTCCGTCTGGATCTTGGAACAAGCCAGCAGTAGGCCGGCAGGGAAATTCCTGCCCGTGTCAGCAGGTAGGCAGGGCCAGCAGGCCTCCAACAGAGCGCCCAGGTTCTGCAGCTCTGGACAGGTGAGAAGCAAGTTAGGTTTGGCCTATATTCTCCGACTAAGCATAGACAGGAGTCCAATCTGATGACTGGCTGGTTTCTGGCTGATCGTTGGACTCGTTGGCTGGTTGTTAGGAAACAACAGACCCTCCCGCTATGCCGCAGGATGCAATGCTTGAGGCACGAGCAGACCCGCAGCAGTAATAGCCAGGAGACCAGGGAGAGCCGTCTGGCTGGGAATGTAGCGACGGGATTTTCGTGTGTATCTGGACGATACAGTGATGCCGCAATGCAGGAGAATGCAAGCGGCGTGTTGTTCAGCGAGACCCTGGCATTGTATCCAGGACCTATCCTAATCCTGGTGAGCATCCTAACCTTCACGCGCAACACGCTAGAGTACTAGATGCCACTAGAGGAAATCAAGGAGAGAGAATTGAAAACAATCCATGGGTGCACGGCGGAAGTGGCATCAAAGGCGCAATCATCGCTCGTCCCCCACCATCTCCTACACTGCGTCCACTACACTCCACTCCACTTACAGTCCACTACAGTCCCGCCGGGGCCAATACCACCGGTGATGATCCGCCGCGATGCACCTGACTCAAAGAAGAAACCTGACAGGGGATCGTCTGTCCTTCGCCCGATTCGAGGCTGTTGTTCAACTAAAGCTGCTCCATTACTTCATTTGCACACATCCCACTACACGGCCTCTGCGTGCAACCACGTCGCAGATCCCACTCTTTAGCCCGCCACGCCCATCTGTCAACGTCTTATCACGAGGCTAGTGGGTTTCTGCTGTTGCTAATCTTAAGGGCAAGCCCTCTGGGTGGGTTTCCAAAAGCAATCATCCCGAGAACCTACCATTCCCCGTGCTTGTCGTGCCCCGACCACGACGCCCGAATAGGAAATACATTGTTATCCAGCCCTGTCACTTCGAGCCGCTGCCAGGCCTAATCTGGGCCATTATTTGTTTTCCGTATTTAGAGCAGGCTCGCGCAGTTGGTAATTTAACATTCATAGCGGGTCAACATGAGACAAATTGTATTCGCACCTGCCACACCCGGAGGCGCGAGCTCTGGGAACACGGGGTTGCCACGACGTACGTCTACCAGGAGCCCGTCGCACGGGACTGTCTGGGGTGATTCTGCACAACGAGGGACCAGCGAACCGCGACAAAGGTGTCTGGTAGGAGGATACTGCGATCTCGGAGAGCATACAGGGTTGAGTGAACGACATGGCAGCTACCCGGAGGGGTATCCGGCGACGGAGGACATGTCGTGAACTCTGAGGCCGTTGCAGCGGCGTCACTTCCCCCTGGAATTTCTGCTGGAGTACCAGAGCTGGGGAGACAGATGCCGCAGGCCAAACCGGGTTGGTGGCTGAACAAGGGGGAACGCTGCATACATCATGTGCTTCGTGTCTATTGTGTTCCTACAGTGCGGTACGTTGGTAGGTAGCAGCTCCCAGGGACAAGTCGCTGGAACCTCGAGGTGCTTCTCGAGGAGCGTCAAGTTCGTGTTACGTGAGCTGCGAGGCCTAGCGCTACAACGGAAAGCTTTCAGCAGATAAAGGGGCGTTCACGGGTGATGCAAAATTAGGAATCGAAAATTGAGAAGTAGATTGCTTGCGCGAGTCTTCGCTGTTTCAACGCGGGTGATCGCCAACGATATGTCTGCTTCACCACGAGCAAACCATGACTGGGATCTGCTGGGGTTACTTGGAAGTTGACTCGCGGGTGTAGTTTTTGGAACAACGGCCGCGTGCAGCAAGATAGGGATATCCCTGGTTGCTACGAACTTAATGATGAAGGATTGTAGACGACTGATTGGTGCTTCACAAGATTTCAAAAGGAGATCCGTGTATGTCCGCAAATACGACGGATTGCAGGATCTTATAGGGATCGTCTGTAGACATGCCTCTCTAGCAGCACTGCGTAATGGTTCCTCGAGAGCAACGGTCGTCCCCGCGGTGTTGACGGTCAGAGGAAATGGGTGTTGGTAGCAATTTGACGGCCGGGGAGACTAGAACGGCAGGCAAGCATACGGCAGTGGGAAGAGCTTCTTCCCCTGACAGATGGTTGACATCGGTCTCGATTCTAGGGTTGGCGCTGGTCTATAGTGTGTACGGAGTATGGAGCGAGGAGAAAGTAAAGAAAATGGGGGTGTATTGTTCTAGGAAGAACTACGAGGAACTAGGAGGGGGGTGCACTCCGCGGGTACGAGTAGGATCCATGCGTGAGACGGGTTCGGAAGAAGGGCAAGCGGATCGGCATTGGAGGCCACGCCCACGGTAAGGCTACCTAGATGCCTTGGTATGTAGTACAGAGTGGATGGGTTGGCATTGATTCGGGAGCGCTAGACCCAGGTGCCAATTTTGGGATTTTGAGTGTTGATGAAAGAGAGATAGAGAGAGAGAACGAGTTTGGGTTAGTGAACGATATGCGGAGTGCTCCGTAGAGGAATGGGAGGAGGAGGAGGCAGAGGGAGAATCAACAAAAGAGGACGAAAATGGGTGAGAGGGTGAATTGAAGACACTCGGTCGTTGAGAGATTATGTGATTGGCAGCAGGGGTAGGCATGGGCTAAACCCAATGGAGACAGGCACGTATCGCCAAGGGGTTCGTGCATTCAGATTTGTATGTAATCCCGCTAGCCGGCCGATCAGCCATCCCTGACGCCTCCCGCCTTTTCTTTCCTTTCTTCTTCTTCTTCCTCCTCCTCCTCATCCTCCTTTACTCTATCTGTACAGTCAGTTACGGAGCAACAGGTGCTCTTCAATCCTTTATCTTTTGTCCCATCGTGCCGTCTCTAACGTTGCATTTGTACTGTATTTCCTTTGCTTTGCTTTGCCTGGTCGTTTCTTCTTGTCTCGCCTGGTCTTTCCAAGTCTAATCCTGTCATGTCTTGTCTTGCCTTACCTTACCTTGCCTTGCATTCATTACCGCCTTGAAGACTCGATACTCGAAGCGACAAGGTAGTACTCGAACAGACAGTTGCCTCTCGGAATATACCTTGCTTACTTGCCAAGTCATCGTATCTCTAGCTATCAGCCACTTAACTGCCCCCCCAGCATCAGCGTCATCATCCATACAGATTACCGTAGCAGCGTCCCGAGGTAAAAGGAGAAGTACAGGGAAATGCCAGAAAAAAGAAAGAAAAAAGCAAAATACAAGACAATTATTAACAAATCGATCCTCCTCGATATTGCGTGCTGATCTCCGTCCCGTCCCACCATACTTCGCTTCTGGCTTACCATCCCGTCGCTGGTTTGCCTAGGCCTTCCGGTGAGAGCTGCTTTTCACAGTAGAATGTTTACTCCGCACTCGCCTTGGAATCTACAAACAGACTCTGTCAAAACAACTGCCTCGATCGCGCGAGCTTCAAAGCAGGAAAAGACAGCGACCGATCGAACGGCGGCGTTCGGTAGGCGTGCCGGCGCTGGTGCTAATCGCTCTCACCCGCTTGTGGTGCAAGGCGTGGCAGACGCGGCCGTCATTCATCCATGACGAACGACCCCATTATCGCCAATTTGCCTGAACAGCCCACCGCCCTACTGGCCGGGATCATCAAAATCGAGCATCGCCGGTCCTGCAACTTGCGGCCACAATCCCAGTCATCGAGGATGAACCTCTCCCCCGGAACACTTCATTATCGAGCCTAGGGAATCCTTCAATCAACTTCCCTGTTACCCCAGCGTCCGCGTCCTCGAGAGAATTCAAGATCGTACAAAATGCAATGCGACTGTGCACAAGCATCGCGCGAAGCCACAGGGTCACACGGCAGCAAGACCGACGCGTGACAGACAGATAGACTGCTGCCACTCTGAGATCGTTGGCTGCCAGCGGTTCGTCCTGAATGCCCGTGAATAGAGCCAAGGCTACCCAGTTATTGCGCCGTCATCTTGCAGAGCCTGTCAATATCTGTAGCGTCGAAGCTTCCGCCGCCCAAGTGCCTTCGAAGGGGTGTGCTAGCCCAGGGACTGTCAGCTCCTCTTACGCCGCGGAATACAGTTCACGCTATCAGATTGTTGTGTCTCTCTTGCGTGCCGGATTCGCATTTCTCCAGTACTGTGCACTAATTGGTGACTCGCCTTCACCCCACCCAGCTCAGAACGCCATTAGGCAATTCGCGCGAGGTACCTTCCTTGCGTCCATTACCGCACCAGAGTTGCGCTCCGTTTCTCTGCCGATTCAAGACTCTTGTGGCTCGCGTCATCGTACAAGATTAGGGTCACCAACGCCATCTGGTACACAACGCAACCTTCGAGCTGGTTTCAATCTCCAATTCTGTACGTCCACTTGTATCAAGCAACATTACTCTTACCACCAGGCAGTCAACGCATGCCTTCCTCTTTTGGTCTGCCTATTCTATTGAACCATCGTTGCACTGACTACATGAAAGCCTTCTATTTTATACTACGTACTCCCTACAATGATTCATCTAAGCCCTCCTATCAGCTTGACATTCCATTAAGTATTCTTGACCCGAGCCACCGGAACCGGGTATCTGCTGTATATGGGGAAGTTGGGACGTAGATGCTACACAATAGCCACCAGGATTCTCCCCACGTCCCGATCTGAATAATTTCAAGATCGTTTCACCGTGGCGTTACTCTCCGTTCCGCATATCATCGCGTCGGTCTGTCAGTCACCGCCTCCTTCTTGCCTACGTCAAGCCAGTCACGTTGTGATCGAACGATTGAATCGTACGGAGTACTGTGCATACAAGCCTAGAGTCCGATTGCCTTTATGTTGTACGCACCCTGCGGCCTTTCCGTCCATACATTTGCAGTGGTTCCGAGCAATCGGGTGTTCAGTTGGTCACCCAACAGCAGTTATCCTCCAGGGTTGATCTCTTGACGGAGCGGTGAGAGCGTCTGCGCTTTCATATACGTGACACTCGCAATGCAGCAACAGCGTGCAGGGACGATCTCGAACTCTCGGTCAACATATCCCTCGATGCACAAAGATTCCTCAACCAATGAGCAAAGAAACAAGAATCGAAAGGGTGTGTTACACAGCATCATCTATACCTGGTCAATGGAACTACCAGGCTCCGACGCCTGCAGCATACCATTCAGTGGGGTCCGGAATGGTTCCCAGCTTTCAAGCCCTTCTTCACTTACCCAACACCTCATCTAGGTGATGCTTTAACCCCGACTTATGGGCCAACCTCGATCTTGCCTCAATGCAGGACTGAGTACGAATGCAGGGAAATACTAAGCGTAAATACTTGTGCCTAAAATCAAGGTCGGCCTTTCAGTACCTATGCGGTAGCGTTGCTCGTTCCTGCAAACTCGGTTTCCACGCACGCTTTTCCTACACAGTGTAGAGGACCTACCATGTTCAGATTTTCTTCCCTTTGTTTCGGCCTACCTTTTGGATATTGTGAAGAGTACTTTGTATCCAAGTGTGTCATTTCAAAACCCGTCCTTGACTAGGTGATGGCATACGCACGACACTTCTGAATCACTATTGGCAATGGTGACAGCTAAATTATCATCTTTAGCTCAAGGGGCCAATGACAACATGAAGCACACACAATGAACACCTGGTCCGACGTGCTCTAAGAGGCTGACTCCGTTGTGAATTTTATTCACGGGCCAAAAACTTGTGATGTCGTTTGTGAGAAGTTCAAGTCCGAGATGTCACAGGTGTTACTAAAGTTTGCTGAGCAGCGTATGCTAGTGGCATTCCAGGTGCGATCATAACGTCACGTTCAGAAACTCAACATGCACGTGTGTGAATCTAACAACGCTGCGATGCTCACAGCTCCTATTCCATTCGGGCCGGTATACAAATGGGACTCCCCTAGCGTACCGTTTCTCGGATCAATTTGCGCGCCTGGATCTCCAACGTCCGAATCGGCAGTGTAAAGGCCTTTCGCGGGAACCTTGTTCTCTGGATACTCGCATGGTGATTTACGTATCATCTGCATACTCTTTCTTTACGCGTCCATATTGCTCCTCCGTGATTATGGCGAAATTTGGTTAACGCCATTGAAAGTAAGCATGCTAGGTTTTTGCGGTCCAAAACAGAAAAATGCACAGCATGCTGGAAACACCACCCCTTCCTTCTGAGCAGTTGCTCCAGATATCTTGCGAACGCATTTTTTCGAAGGCGACACTGTCACAGCTTGTAGTCGCTGACACAAATTTATCTAGCCAATTGATTATGATCGACCATAGTCATTCGATACTAATCATTCGAGAGGTGCTTGGTCTCTCTGAGAAGGGAAGGAGAGACAATTGCATGAGGCCCCTAGTCCATCGACTACTCGTCTATGTTGCTCGCTGATGCTCGTAACTTGTAAGTCGTACCTATCATGGCACGTTTATCAGGGGCTTTAATGTTTGTGTGGCTGACGCACTACACCAGACTATTGACATACCAAACGGTACTAACAGTAGGCCAATTAGGAGGGACTGTTCGGGTCCATCTCCACGCTGTGGCCCATGGACCTAAATGTAATACGCCTGATTTGTCCGGCCGGATCAAAACTGTGTTTGCACTTGTTGCATCAGCAAAAAGCACAAACGACATCGATTTCTTTCATTTCTTGATGCGGATTTGTGCAAGTCACTATGCCCATTCAATTCCCGAACTTTTTGAAGTGGACCATTTTTAGAATAACAGAGGGAGGAAGTGCTGACTTCGTTGCACTTGTATTACAACTAAACCTTAGCAACTAAGCCTGTTGCTTCCACTAAACGTGTAGGCTTGCATTTAGCATGGCACTATGTGAAGCTTGTGGTTTATGGAAATGTTCGCGATTGTTCTTTCTGTTGCGATACGTCCAGCTGACCACTCAACATACTCATGAATGTTGTGAAGACGAAGAAAACTTAGGGAAATTCGAGGTGCTTGTTATCGTTCGATGCGCAGACTGGCACAGTGTCGAGCAGGCAACATCCAGGAAATTTGCACCCCATAAGACGTCGAGGAGCGCCAGAGCGTCGCCGTCACCCGCTAATTGGCAATCATCAAGCCAACTAGACGATCCACAATGTTCGATCACTTGGCACGTTTCCCCCTGGCCCCGCAACGTCACAGCTATTTCCAGTAAGACTACCAGGGTCCCTCACCGAGCTTCGCCATGAAAAGGCTGGAGCTCTCGCCTCGACTTCCTCTAAGGTACACGCCATGCCATTTCACACAGAGTCGCTGGTCTAATGTACTATAGTGAATCTTGGCAACTGCTTCTCCATCCTTGCGCCAGTTCTGTTCCGTGTGCAAGCAGCCGAAATTCGTCGGAAGATCGCTGGAGAAATGCTTTAGTTTCAACGCTATTGACAACCTTCCAGACGTCATGCTTCGTTTCGCATGAGCCGCACTGACCTGCGGATGTTGACACAGACTGGCATGGCTCGAGGCCCGTATCAAGTCTTTGCTCCCGTCTTACAGTAGACGTCGCGGTGAAATGTTTAGTGGTTTTTCGGTCGGTTTCCGTATTATCCGAACTAAATATGTCATATTCTTGGGACGGGCCGAGAGATCGTCTCCATGTCAGCCATAAAAGGCAGGTATCTCTTTTCAGTCACAACGATGGTCCTGGGACTATGCATGTTCTTGCCGCAGGCGCGTGAAGACTAGACCCCGACAAGGGGCGGCCTTCAAACGCCATTTAATTTTGACAGCTGGCCGTAGGGCAAACTTTTGGTCCCCATCCCATGCCATGTGCTCCGCTACTCAGAAAGATCGTCGAGACTTCGGGTTCGGAATCTACCAGAGTGAAGTGGAAGTTGGCCCGCGAGTTGCATGAACAAATACGAACACTAGCCACCACTGTGGCAATTCATACTTTCAACTACTGCGGGGAAGGTGGATCCCCCAACTGCGACGCAGTAGCAATTGGGGGCTCGAGAAGGGCCCCGGGCCTTCGACAATGCATCTTCGGTGCGTCCAAGGGACCAAGATACGCACAACTCTGCGAGGCTGTTACCTCGAGGTTTAGGGCAGTACGGCGAACGCAAGATACGAGTCCCGTCCACTAACCATGGTTACAAATCGGTCTGAATATCAATAGTAGCTGTTCAACGGCAGTATTCCAAGCTTTCAACCACTAAGAGAGCCCTAGCAAATTCAATAAAAAAACCGACTCCTACTCCCCGATGTCTAGACGCGATTTCGGGGCCTCAAAGAAAAGTGAATGTTTGCCTACACGATTTCAGCCCTTTGACCGCGATTGAGCCTTACCTTACCCGAACGTGTTATTAATAGTTATCGTCAACTTGAAGCAATTACACTCGACCAATTCCCTTCAAGCTCTACCGTCGGACGTAAATCAAACGTCCGAAGTGTCTAGATGCACATCATCAAGCCAGCAGTTAGTCATTCAGTCTTTCTAGGCGTCATATTCCCTACAGAGCCAATAGATCAAGTGCTGTTTCGAAGTCCACTCACTACAACACCTTACACCAAGTACCTGAACCTTCTCGGAGCGCCATCAATCCGTCCAGACATTTCTGCAACGCGCGAATTCGCAACAAAGTTTCCTTTCTAAATTCAGCCCTTCAAGTCCCCGCTGAACGAGCGAGTCGAGGTAGCGTTTCGTTGGCAGAACCTTCCGATTCAAACCGCGCTGTCTTGTTTACCTCCAACATTGGTGTGCCCTGGCCCCATCGTCTACCCATGACACCATCCCACACCGTCGTTTTGAACACCGAATCCTTATTCCCCTCCCCTAAAATGCACCAGCACGCCGTATCTCTCACTCCCCGTGAAGTCAAGGATCTGGCCTGGCCAGCACCAGAAGAGCTCCTCTCGCTGCATTGAACTATTGCCACTCCCACTCAAATCCAGCCTCAGCCTCGTGGAGACTCGAGACTCGAGACCAGCTTGATCAATGCTACCTCCAACATCCCCCCAGTGCCGATTGCTTTCGAGAGCCCTGTCGGCATCTTCCATCGGCCGGTCATGCTTACTCCCCGCGTAAATTCTCTTCACATCGTGTGAACATAGCTCCAGCTAGCAATCAGCACACCCGTTGACATATCCTATCATCAGTCGGACGCAACTATTCTACTTGCACCCATGTGAAGTATCTAAGTGAACTGCTCTTATCCCACCACGCACATCGCCTTCATACAATGGCTCAACACGACTGAAGTAGACTGTAGGAATGAGGGGTATCACGTATAGCCTCCCACGTGCTTGTCTCTTAGTTACTCGTGGCAAATGGTGAGGAGTGGGACCGTTCAACTTAGTGAGGTTCCCACCTTTCTATGCGTATTAGCTAGTGGATGGGAGTCATATTGTGTCGCTTTGGCAGTAGATGGCGAGGGAAAGGCAATCGCTCCCCCAAGTCCAACTCATGGACCGGTCTTTGGAACTGTTCTTGCGTTTCGTGGGGTATCTGTGTCTTCATCTGAAGTCGATTCATTCAAGACATGCGGAACTGGGACTATGTACGATCTTGTTTGATTTTCTTTTCTAATGGAATGGAAATGGGGGTAGGGAGAGGCCCAGATCGGACAGAGGGTGGGTTTTCTGGATCCGGAAATGCCGGGAAGGGGGGAGGGGGAAGGGGGCTTTGGTTGAATCATTTCATTGTCTTCTCCTGCACATTATGTTGTTATGATTGAAGGGAGAGGATGTGCGATATTGGTTATGAAAGGGATGAGAAGATGCCCAAGGCTGGGTTGGTGATTCTGCATCAGTTGGTCTTGGATGTTGGTTGTGATATCATGGGGTTACCGAACAACTCTGATGCTAATTTATCAACACTCCCTCTAGCTAGGCCTCTAGGAAATTCTGCTACCATGATAGTCGGCCACATTCGTGGAAGCATGTTACCGGGCCCCTTTTTACAGACGGATTTTCCAATCCACTTCTGAGTCAAGGTGGACACGATCGGATTTTCCATACGAAAGCCTATGTTCATCGCCATTGATCATCAAGATCCGGTCATTGCCTAACAAGTGAACTGAATAATTACAAACTTTCTCGGCACAATTAGGCTCTCATCTGGGCATGTGATGGACATCTACTCTGCATTTCTGCATCGCTGAAATACTGCCATACGAGCCTCCGTTTTCAGTAACTGGTGAATTATACGACTACTAAGAAAGCCGGGCATTACAAGGAAATGTCGTATTAGTAAATAAGCCTACCAACAGACGATTGAATGGTCACTTATGTCGAAGTGTGAATCAATATCGATTTGCGAGCGACTTTTGTAGTTTCTTGGTGCATTCTAAATCGAAGAGCGCGTGCTATTGGAGTGTATGATGATTTTCCAATCGTTCGCTCACATGCATCTTCCTAGCTCACTTGTTACTGGTTCACCCTCAATGGATTGACATATGCATTCATTTTCACTAATGGAAACGGATTCTAATGTATGTCCTCTTGATAGAGTTTCCAAATTGAAGACCCCGACGCGCATACGGAAAACGTTGTACATTGCATTGTTGAGACGCTTACGCAGGGTTCTAACGTTATTGGCAGCTGCATATGCAATGTGATACTAGCCCTATCTTGCCGCACGCAGGCTCCAGTCTGCTGCGAATGCCTACTGAACAAAGCCCGCGTGTTTACATTTACTCTGATGAAATGTTTGGGGTTCTATGGCGACAATGAATACACTCAATTGGAAATACTGCGAAAGTGCTGAAGCAGGTGTTGTGACTCTTTTGGGATCCTTCATGGATGGCCTACAGTCAATGATAGACTGGCCAATCTTCCGTAATGGCATCTCATGCTACAATTAAAGAATGAAGAGCGAAGGCAGAATCTAAAGAGTGGAATGAAAGGTAGTTGAGATTTTCTCATATATGTTTCAAGATCAGTTCTAATCCAGATTGAAAAGTACTCATCAATGGTATCAAGATGCAAAAACTCGCGGTATTCTACATGGGAATCATGGATTGATTGAACTCATATATGAAGTATTGGCTTTGGAGATACTCCTGAAAACGACTTGAATGAGGCCATGGTTTTAGAATTGTCGTTCATCGCGACAGGTAACGCATGATATAAATTTCGGCTCTTCTGCAATTCTTTTGATCGTGGAATTTCTAGAAACTTTTCGTAGCGATTTTAGAGTAATGCTAAACCATAGTTCTCCTCCATTTGGGCTTGATCATTGTTGTTATGCTTTTCTATTTTTTTATGAGAAGAAATTGTTCTTTTAAGAAACATTCAAAGAGTCTTGAGCTACTTATACTTTGGACATTTCAATCCGGTTGCGCAGAAATTCGTTCAAATGTCACCTTAAGGTAAATGGATCTTGCGAAATCTTCGTCACTGATTAGTATAACATCATTGTGCCTGTCAACGGGTGAAAACTTTGATATGACAAACGCTGTAGTACGTTCTAAAGATATGTTTCTAAAGATATCTTTATGCCCGGAAAGTCCTTCAGTAATTAGCGATAGTGACAGTATGGTAATATGTGACTCGGGACGATATTCTATGCCACTGTATGCTATGTTATAATTTTTATCATTGGACCTTCTTCTGTATCAAAGGCAGACTGCGGCTCCACAACGCAACACAACCAGGTGTGGTTAGTACGTAATTTTGTGTACATGTATTCGCATTGCATCATGAAGTTTACTGAAGAGAAATCCAATGACTTCAGGAACAGCGATAGATTACCTAGTTTAGACGTACTTAGAGTGGGGAGTATCATACGACCCAGGAGCGGTGGATAGGTAGGATAGACTGAAATCAGCCACAGTCGATAGGCCGTCGGAGGTAGGTGAACAATGCCTTAATATTTTTCGAGTGCCCTGATTGATATATATATGCTCTGTCTAGTCCTTTCCCCCCAACATGTGATCTCCGAATAGTGTCATCTGTATGCTACTCCCCAATGCAGTGTTTTGTATAATCTTATTCAACGTCAACATCCGTTTGGATTATTCCAAGAAATAATAATTAAGATTCCTTCAAAATTGAGGGGGAAAAAGATGAAATTAGAGATTAGCGCTCGTCGGTTCAATTATCAATAATTCGCCACTCTTATGCCCTCCCTCTTTGACCTCGTAACCATGGTATCAATCCGAGTTAAGAAAAGCGGCAGGGATAGGATTATCACTGAACCCAATTAGACACAATAACCGCAACGGCTACCACATACACAAACTGGCCGAGCGCAGGTGTATTATGAGTGGTGTGATGCTAAACACTGCGTATCGTAGTCTGGAAGACGCCCATACTCCACCAAGCAGGACCCTGCTGGAGTAGGTGTGATTTCGAGCATCACATACCCTGGGAAATATGCATATCTGGAGCATTAGCTTCTTTTGGACGATAAGAAGCTCACCATTGGAAGCTCTCGTATGCCCATGTATGTGACGTTATCCGTGCTGGCACACGATTGGGCAGCCTACAAGCCACTAATGTAGATATTGCTTTTTCATCTTGGAACATTTTGGACTGCATTTGCCGCCATCCAGGCCGTGTAATATTATAAACTTAATATTGAACGAAGTTTAGAAAGCTCGTATGATGCGGAGATCACGTTGATCTGAGGCATAAGACCAAGGTGGATCTCATGGAGGAGAAGTATTGGAAGTAGGCGGTCCTGTACATCGGAGATCATCTAAAGCTGTATGAAGAACGTAACTGATCCTACCGATTAAAGATTTATTGTAAAGCAAGGCGGTCTCGATATAACGGGCATATGGTCTTTTGGCAGATCGTTACCAAGGTCTGATGTGTTGGTGGCGCACAGGCGGCAATGTTCAAAGGGCTTCGGCCTATACGGCCGCTCAGAGCTGAGTGGTGGAGGCTTTGAAGCAAGGGTTAAGAGGATCGTATAATTCTTGATACTCTGAGTGCTCTTGTGGCCGGGGTTGTCCCCGCTGTGCAGGGCGACACATACCAACGGTCAGTCTCTCTGGCTTGAAGGCACACTAATGGCGAATCCCTAAGCCAACTATTGCCTCATATTCACTTCGTAATAATAGAAGTAAGCTTGGAATTGATGAATGATCAATGAATCGCGATGTAGATGCTCTGCAGTGTACGGAGTATGGCTAATCTGACTGCGTTGGCTCTGATATCAACCCAAACTATTGTTCACCGCCATCAAGAGACGGAATAATCCTAACTTAAAGATTATAACGAGGCTGCAGTTCATCAATAGCCGCGTCAACCCCGACGGTAGAGTTTACACAAAGCTGCAAAGTGCATCAAGTGGCTTGAAACTAAAGGGTGTTCATGGGTGTTGTGTTACCACACAAGGAAGATATGCAGGCATTTGCCGCCTGAACGGGGAAAGACGCGCGGGAAAACTTTGTTCAATTGATAATCAAAGGCAGTTAACATTGACTCGGCGATGTGCAAATGTGAACAATTTCAAATGCGTGGAGTTGCATAACGTTTCTGGAGTCTCTAACATTTATATAAACCCTTGGTTCACTGGCACAGTAATGCTGGGTATCACGTTCTACTACAATTCATTCTATCATCTCTTGAGCTGTATAAGTTACGTTATTCGCTTGCCAAATCCACATATTCCATTCATAATGTCCACCGCAAGTGGAAATGGCGCGGGTAGCAACAAAGAGTACGCGAATGTTGAGCGCTGCAAGACCTTGCTGCTCGATCTCGAAGGGAATTTCCCCTATGGCGATCACATGGCTTGGGTAGGGCCAGAGCCTGAAGAGCTCATGTGTTCCAGAGAGACTGGTAGGGCGCTTATGGCTCTATCAAAGGCAGATGGCGGCAAGTATATCAATATGCGCTCTCCAGACCTGCGCAAGAAATTGGATGACCTTGCTTCTCGTGGCCTCGGTGAAAAGGTCGAACACAATGGCATCAAGTTCAAGTTTGACATGCTTGCGAATGGTCGCACGGGAGTTTTCTAAGGCCCTCATACCTTTTGGCGAGTTCGTCGATGTCATTTCTAGGTATGCCATCTGGTATACCGCTCTGTTGACTGACAAACTAACGCCCGCATTCGTAGCCATTGTTGCACCACTCCGACAGGGAGGTATTCCTTCCCAGTTTGGGCATACATTAAAGGTAGAATCTCGGGCAGTGATAGGCATTGAAAACCTGAACATCCACATTTCGTAATGTGGAATGCATGCTGTCCGCACAGATGCGTTTGGATCTCGGGCTATCTAAATAGTCAAATTAAATACACACTTATTCTCACATTATTCTGTCCCTGACCCAGTGAAAGCTGCATGTTCGCTTTCTCTATAGCCAGCTTGTTCTACACCATGTTCTTTCGCCATGCTCGTGTGGCTAATGTCTCGATCTCTTTAACCTCTACAGGGCCGTGCACAGTCTCATCCTCGAGCGCCTCGACTACTGCCTCACCAACTTGATCAGCCTTCAATGGCTTTATACCTCCAGCCCCCATGAGCCATGTTAAGCGTCCTCCCACCGCATCATTGACCGTTGCAGCAATTCCACCTAGAGCAGCGATCGGCATAGTGAATGTCCGTGAACGGTCGTACATGAAAGGTGCCCTAATGAAGATCGAGCGAATCTTGGGGAAGGTTGTACTGATTATCGATTCTGCTTCGCGCTTCGTGGTTATGTAACGTGCTGGTAGAATTGGTGTCCCCGCAGCAGCCGATATGTAGACAAAGTTTGGCACATTCCGACTGGCTGATTCCTTCGCTAGACTTACAGCTGAACAGATTATTAGATTCGAAAGATAAAGCACCACTGAAGAGATAAACACTGCTTACCACTATCCCTATTCATAACTTCGTAGGTTAATTGTCCGTCCTTCTCTTGTGGGCGCAGCGTTTCACCTTCCCTTTGTTCGAGCGGATTTTGTGTCCCTGCCTTTGTCGTGCTGAAAGCGCGTTGTAAGCCCGCAATTGGCGATTCTTTGCCAGATATCACCCCTTTGTAGTCGGCCTCCAATAATATACCCATTGAGTGAACTACGGCATCGGCGCCTTCGAGGTGTTTCGTATAAGTGGAGGGATTCAGGATATCGCCCTGGTGCCACGAGACAGAAGTGGCCCACGACGGTGCATTCGGCGAAGACGAGATAGAAGACCAATTGGGATCTCCTGAGCGTCTGAGAGATATAAATTAGCTCCCAATGCGCATGAATAGTAATGTAACATACGAAATCGAGGTCACAGCCCAACCTCGATGTGCTGCGGCTTTGCATATACGGCTTCCTGAGTAGCATTAGTATCGAAATCTCACTAAAGAACATGGTAGACCATGGAAAAAGGGTAATAAAGATGTCAAATACCTAAGAAACCATTGCCACCACAAACTACCAGCTTCTTCTTCACAGCTTGAGCCATTGCGACGTGTGAAGCGGGAGAGAGAGAAATGTTGCGGGTGTCACTACACAGGAGCTCAAGTGTTGATGTCACTCCACTAAGATCCTGGTAAGGCTGCAGGGATTACGCGCCAAGAGATCTTCGAAAACCGCCGACCACCGACCGCCGACCGCCTGCAATCGACCTTCAACTCTCTACTTTTTTCATAACACAGTATCTTCGACAGTCTCACAGTCATTTCGTATCGGGGCCTTGCGAACTTAGTCACATAGTGTAGCCATTGTTTGACTATCTTGAGCTGCTATCCCGGAAGCGTTCGCTGTGTTTGAGGCACAGCTCTCTCACGATGCCTGCACCCGCAGCAAACAAGCGTGTCAAGGTCCGCCCACCACGAACTTCACGTTATCACGGTTAACTGATGACATGTAGAACAAACGAATAAGTCGAAACATCATAATCGGTTCTGAGGCATTCAATCTTCCACCTGTCGGCGACCCCGCGCGTCCGAAAGGCATCCCCGACGATCATACGAAGCGTTGGACAGTATACTTGAGGCAACCTGAGGGTGATCCATCACTTCGAACATGGCTGAACAAGGTTCAATTCAAGATCTTCAACACATACGAGAATCCGTTGCGCACATGTGAGAATCCACCATTCGAAGTTACGGAGACAGGGTGGGGTGGCTTCATGATCGATGTCCGCCTGCATTTCCAACCCATTAGTGGGGAGAAGGCTCAGTATAGACAACACTTCCTCCAACTCGAAAAGTATGGAGACGAAAAGACACAGGCCGAGCAAGAGGCAGCAGGTTGCGTACGCTCCGAAACGTTGGAGGTAGTGCAGTTCAACGAACCGACTGAAGCATTATTCGAGGCTTTGACGTCAGAAGATCAGTGGAATCATCTTGCATCACAACTGAAGGGTGGCAAGAAGGCAGCTATGATGGCTCTCGGACCGAATGGAAGGCCAAAGCGAGGATATCCAAACGGGGAAAGGAGCGCCCAACTACCGGAAAAAGGAGGCGATGGGGTGCCTTTCAGTCAACCCGAGGAACTTGCACTCATTCAAACAATAAAGGAAAAAATCGGGGTTGTAGAAAAAGAATTGGACGAGGAGATTAAGCGGCGGGAAGAAACTGAAAAGAAGCTGAAAGACCTCAGAGCCGAATTGGGCCACGAAGCCGCACAACAAGCAGCACAACAGGCGAGCGGCGATCGCAGTCGCCGACGATGATATCCCTCTTAAAGAATGTGTTGTGTACGATATTCAATTGATTGATACGGTAAGAGAAGGGCCCTTTCGACCTTCAGGCGTTCAAGGAGTTTGGGTAATTTCGAAGAGATATCCCGATGTAGCCGCCCCCAATTTGGCAATACAGTAACACGAGTCCTACAATTATCACGACTCTGTTGATTTCGAATAAGCATCAATAACCAACGCTTTTCATTGGCGGGGGGCGGGTGCTCTGCCTGGTGGCGACATCTCCCCACACTGGATGAACCTCAACTGATGCGTCTCAAGTCAATTCCTATCTGGGCTTCGGTTGGGCAGTCAATGCCATTGCTACGTTCCCATCTGCTCCAGTACGTGGTAGAATTCACCCGCCATCAGTATCACGCCCAAGAACAAAGTTCCCGAGACTATCTACTCCATTCCACAGCGCCAGCGTCCACAAGCGATAGCAATAATACTACCTTTTGCGCCCAAGACAATCTTCCTCTTTTGCGCCTACAGGCATGTCTAACGACATCTTTTGTCAAAGGGACCAACATCATAAGCCCATGGTACCCTGATTGCGCGCTTTCTAGCATTTCCCGGGACACGGTCCGCCATGTTACCCACAAATCTTAGTCATAGAAACCTTTGTGAGTTTGTACCGATGCTACACGTGTAAAGGGAAGAGTGCAGGGTCTCTACCCGCCTTGACTCCTAGTCAAACTTGAATTGTAGCATGCTCTGCTCGTTGAGTCCGACACTTTCTCCTTGAACGAACAATCCACTCGACAACTTACAAGTCGATGTCTACCGCCGCTTGCAGGAAGAGCAACTTGAGAAATGCACACGGACACAATGACTGAGCGAACCCCATTTCATGGCGATTAAGAACAGTGAATCTGCCACAAACACCGGATCCAGGCCAGTGTCAGTAGAAACCAGATTCGCATCAAGTGCCGAAATCCTGCGATGCAAGCACCGTTCGTTGGCCAGGCCAGGTTCCACAGTTTGGGAAGACCCTGACTGTCTCTCACACTGCGGACTTACTCCTCTACACCGCTGGTACTGAGCCTCGAATGAAAAGGAAGGATTTACGACGCGATTTGCCCATTGCAGTAATATTTCGAGAACTGTCGTGCACCTATCGGAGCAGCCCAATTGTTGCAATGTGTTCTAACCATACCTGGAATCCTCACTCTTCGGCCGAAATGCCAGGCGCCCATTCTCCAAAATCGTACAGATGTCCAAGAGTAAAAGATCTCCCATATTGCCTCCTCCTTGAGAGCTGGCACGTGCTTGGCCTCTGGATCGCCTGGTTAGCCTATCCGACACACCCTTTAGCGCAGCCACTGCCGAGATTCATTCCTCAAACGACGTCACTCCCAACCCTATATTTGCATCACAGTCAGTCGATGTGTGGTTCTATGTCGTGCGCCCAGCGACCTCTCTTTGGGATGATTATCCGATTCACAGGACATTGAGCGTCGTGACTACCTAGAGTTCCTGGACGTTGCAAGTTTGGGGATGAGAGTCAAGGCTTTATACATTGTCACAGCACGAAATGACAGCGCGCCTCTCCTCGGTACTTCCAGGAACGTAATGATCATACCTGAAATAGAAGAACAATGCAACATTTCTATAGGTCGATCCTGTCTTGATGTAGAAGTGCGCTGTGAATCTTTTATTCTTCCATGGGAATGATGCGGACCCGTGTAGTACTCTACTAGACGGGTCCGCAAATTCTTGTCCCCATCAGTCAACCTTGGCCACAGTTTATGTGGAGACATGAGTCCCTTCATTCGTGCTATTATGAACACGCTGCCGCCTCGTTTCTTCAGGAAATGAATGAAGATTGGATCTACGTCATGCCATAAGGGTCTCCCATGCCCACAGAAATCGAAATACATCTTCTCCACTTTCTCCAGTCTTCTCCATTGCTGCACTGCCATTACAGACATCAAACACTACTTACTACCCCAAAAACTCGATAACCTCAGCACCTACTCGATCGAATCGCACCCGCAAGCGGTAACCGATACCGCTATCCAAGAAACTGTATTGCAGTAGGTTTTTCATCTTGCACTATGGATGGACATGATGTCGAAGCTGCCCATGGCGAAACTGCCAACCGATATGGCCCTCCCTTGAGCGACAAGCCCACGGTCCCAAGCAGCGATTCCTCTGGCGGCAGCAAGCCTATATCTACCGAACGCGAACCCATTTCCAGCAACAGACCCATGCTACCATTAACGGCCGATGCGACCCATAAACCCAAAGACCCTCTCAACGACGCCACACCTGATAACAACACTGAAAAATTTGACTCAAGTTCCGACAGCGACACAGCCATTGGAGACGTGTCTGATATCCAGAATGCCAGCAAAAGGCCAACAAACCAAGAAAACGACCACAAGAAGATCAACACGACACAAGCAGTCATTATCTTCATCACCAACGAAGTGGGTATTGGCATGTTATCGCTGCCGTCTGCCTTGAATACTTTGGGCTTCTTTCCGGGCATCCTATGCATCGTTGTCATGGGAATGCTCAGTCTATACACAGCGTACAATTTAGTTCAATACTGGCGTAAATACCCGTATATGCTCAACATCGTGGACTACGGACGGGTTCTTGGCGGTCCATGGCTCGAAGCCGTGTTTGCTATAGGCTTCCTGATCAATATGGCGCTAATATCTGCCTCGGCGGTGGTTACCATCTCCATTGGTTTGAATACAGTCAGCGAACACGCAACCTGCACAGTGGTTTTCTCTCTTCTTGCAGTTCTTGCGATGTGGGCCATGTGCGTGCCTAGGAGTATGCGTTTTGTATCATGGGCTTCGTGGCCATGTACTGCCTCCATCATTGCGACTGTCATGGTCGTGATGATAACGCTCGGTGTGCAAGGACCTCGCGACCCAACTGCACCACTTAATCTGAAGGCAATTGGCAGCCCGACATTCGTGGAAGCCACCGCTGCATTTCTCAATATCGCTTTTGCCTTTTCCGGAAACCAAGCATTCCCAACCGTACTAGCGGAGATGGAGAACCCCAGCCGGGACTTTCCTCGTGCTGTGGCCATCGAAAAATGCATCACTACGACAATCTACGCCATTGTTGCAACGACTGTCTATGCACTAGCGGGTGCCCAGGTCGCATCTCCCGCCATCGGTTCGCTCCAACCCTTGATGGCGAAGGCGGCTTATGGTGTAGCATTCATCGGCTTGCTAGGTACTGGCCTCATCTTCGGGATGACCGCAGGTCGATACCTCCACGTGGTCTTAATCCGACATATCGACACTTTCAAGCGTGACAAGTCCGGGAGGCGTAACTCTATCCCGTCGGACCCATCTCGTGGACGGCGTTCTTCTCTCGCCATGCCTGAAGTCAGCAGAAAGTTAGACTGGGCCGTCTGGCTGTTCTCGGTCTCGGCCTTCTGGATTGTTGTATGGATTCTTTCCAACGCCATTCCCGTATTCGATTCGCTCCTCAATGTCTCGTCGTCGCTACTCCTTTCGTGGTTTACTTGGGGAGTCACGGTACTCTTTTGGTTCCACCTCAATTGGCATGGCAAATGGCGTTCATCCACGAAAAAATTGCTTGTCGCTGCATTGAATGTCTTCATCATGCTCACAGTACTATACATGATGATCCCGGGAATGTATGCAAGCATCGTCTCGCTTCTGAATGTATTCTCAGATCCTAACGAGACAGTGAATGGTCCGTTCACTTGTGCGGACAACAGTATCTTTAGTTCTTAGCGTTCACTACTGAAATACCCCTGTACGATTAAACGAAGTATAGCGATAGTAACAATGTTCCTTTTGACCTTGACATGATACATACTATTGGGCTTTGCAGAAGAAGTGAACTGTCAGCTTTTGGTGAACGGTTTCAAGGGCAAGATGACTCGGTGCAGTGCCTGTAGACCTTCATGATTGGCTTTGATCATTTCACTTCTGTCATGAACACCACCATCTCTACAGCCTCTTACTGCAAGTAGCAAATGTCCTCTTCATGGATATGCTTAGCTCACCAATAGAGAGTGAAGTCCCGTAAAAGTAGGCACAAACAATGTTAAGGTACTCGAACAATGAACCGAGCAGTGATTGAGGCTGAGTGAACAGTGAATGTCATGGGACATTGTGCATCTGATAGTTCAGACGATACTCTTGAGCTTTGGCCAGTGCAGTGTTACTGCATTCACCATAACATTCAAAGGCGTTGTCCAAGCGTCCTTCAATCACACCGCCATACAGGAAGGATTCTGATTCACTGCTTGGTTCCGAATCCCCAACATCCAATACACGGATATAAACCCCACATAAAACCTCCCCAACTCACTCCATCACAACACAACGCAACAAAACTCCAACTCACAACTCAACACGCAATTCAACCCAACCAATCAGTTGCGTAGCCCACATCCCACCCAACCAAAAAACCCAAAAACCACACCTCTCAAAACCCCACCAACAAACCAACGACACGATGTTCACCAAGATGTACACCAACGACCTATACCTCCAGAAGGTCGGGGACCTTCCCGAGGGGCTCATCGGCATCATCGGAAGTCCTACACGCATACTTCACAACGAAGAGACCCGGACAACCCTCTTCGCACAGTCCGTGTCGGGCAGGGCCGTTGAAATCGACATCCGGAGGCCAGAATTCATCTCAGCGATTGCGAAGCTCGCTAATTCCGGTACCAACAAGACGGTCCTGGTCAAGGGTGTCGAGTTCTGGTACCATCGGGAGTCTTCCCTGAACCGGGCCAAGCGCAGCGTGGGCAGGATCTTTCACAAGTAGGCGATGGCATCAAGCTGTGCGACCTTGGAGATGCGGTAGTGGATGACCAGGAAAGCAAACACCATTTGGAACGCAGCTGTGTATATTGAGGGCATGTTTCGATAACTGGAAGGATATCTAGATGGAAGGAGGGCTTTCAAAGATGATGAGAATTGAGGGATTCTTCCGACAGAGGACCTGTTATGGTAAACATGTCTTGCTATGATGCAATGGACATGCGATGCGATAGTTCAGAAGTAATCAATTGAATGAACTCTCTGTACATCTTTAATCATATGAACACTGTGTGACTCAACGTGATGTCTAACTCCAGAATCAATCATTTCCCGTTGCAAATGGACTAGGTGAGTGAGAGAACCGTCGTACCATACAATGAGCCCCACTCAAGCTAATTTGTATCTTCATGTGAAGTCTATCAGAACTATTTCAATTTGTCCATGACTCAGAATATGTTTGGTGTGACGTGATAGATGGCGTAAATTACGGGGTCACTGCGGAGCAGTGAGTGCAACACATAGCCAGCGAAAGTATAATATTGAAAAGAAAAATGAGTATAGGTTGCCAAATAAATCATTCTATTGCGTTCAGAAAACTCTTTAACTGGAGGGTACCTTTACTTCAAGCCCCAGACTCGGTCATGGTATTCAAGACTCGGTAGTCGAAGACTCGAAGTCCCACGACAGCATTCGAGCACGATGTAGTGAAAATCTCGATTCAAATCTTACCACCGGGCATTCGTCTTTTGGTTTGCAGCGAATATTCTTGTGATTCAGTGGGAAATGTCTTCCAATATTTTCTGCGTAGTGAGCGAAACCGATCAAAGGCTCACCGTGTGCTATTAGCGATACCAAGCGATGAAAAAATCGTTCAATCTCAAAGTTTCTAAGGAGGCTTTCTTCAAAGATTATTGCGGGTGTTCCTGGGTAATGAGATGTTGATCAGGTACATGATATAGGCAGTGATTGTTAAGACATAGCTAACCAGTCAGAGTGAGACGTCGCGGGAGAGGAACTGAACGATCGAATGTTTATACATTTGCGATATGAGAGGAGCTTGTAGCTTTTAGGAATGTATCAAAGGAAATGAAGCGAATGATTCCGTAGAGAGATTAAAGAAACATGGTGACAGGTCAATCTCAAATTGTTATGTCAAAAAGAGGCGTTCATTCAATTCTTTTTGATTCGAGGATGATCCCACCGGAGAAGGTTTTCGGAAGCCTCACGCGGGCTTTAGAGCTAGATAGCGTTACGTCCGGCCTCATAAATAAGCAACTGAACTTAGAAGAATAGGGCATGTTTCTGGAGCTAGTCAATAACGTTCAAGGAAACTTATCTGCATTTTCTATTTCATGTTGTAGTCTTCCTTACAGCCAACAGAAACTGTAAGTATACTTGGGGCATATCGTGATAATACAATATGCGGTCTTCAAGGAAGATAGACGGTGTACATAAACACTTCCGTACCCTTTCTAGACGAATGATGATAAGTCGGCAATTAAACAACATCAATTGGTAGATAAGACAATGTTCATACGGCCGGCAAGCCAATGTATAGGTGCCACCCCAAATCGCCATTGGGACTAAATGTTGCGTGACGCTTCAGCCTTGGCATGATGCCGTGTTCAGCAGCAAAATCAAGCCGTTATCGGATAACTACATCTCGAAAGACATATAAGTACTTCTATTTAATTTCTTTATTTGTTCTAATAATTGGTGAATTTTTCCCTCCCCATTCATCTTACGCGAGAACATCGGCCGTGACAATGGCATCGGACCAGAAGCTTCAAGTTGCTATTGTTGGTGCAGGAATCGCAGGTCTGACTGCTGCGATTGCGTTGAAGCATCATCCTCGTATCGAAGTTCACATCTACGAGCAGGCGACGGAACTCCGAGAGATCGGCGCATCCATTGCGCTGGGGCCGAATGGAATGAGAACATTGGATAGATTGGGAATCCATAATGCACTAGACGATGAGATCGCATTTCGAAACCGGAAGACGGGCTTCCCTCACATCTACAGGTGAGACCTTTTCGAGCTTTTGATCGTGTATCTGAATGGTGGGCTGATCAGATTTTAGACACTATAAGACAAATGAGATTGTATCCGTTGATGGGTACAAGGGCCAAGTGGAAGACCGCCACCAAACATCGCGATTCTATCGAGCCCATCTACAGCAAGCACTGTTAGAGCACATTGATCCTACGCAGCTGCACCTTGGAAAGACATTCGTATCGTCCGAGATCAATCAATCCAGCAAGAAACTGACGATCAAGTTCCTTGATGGTACGAGTGCCACAGCGGAAATATTGCTCGGCACCGATGGCATCAACTCGCCCGTCCGAAGATCCTACAAGCCAGACTCAGCTGCAAAGTGGACCGGATGGGTGACATTCCGCTCTGTGTTCCCAATCTCACACGTCGCACACATCCGCGATCTACCTGATGAAGCTAACCATTTCTGGGGCCATGATCGCACAGTCTTCCTTTCGAAACTCGGCAAAGATCTGTTCACGTTTGTCGGGAGCTACCAGAGCGATCCAAACGCCGAAGATGCGCCCTGGAAACAATCTACCTGGAACGCGGATGGCGATGTGGAGCTCCTTCGGGAGTACTACAAAGACTGGAGTCCTCTGATAAGGCAAATCGTTGATGCAGTCCCATACACCCGCATCTATCCCAATGCCTCAGGCCAAGGACTAGACTCATGGATTCTAGGGAATGGAAGGGTGACGTTAGCTGGTGATGCTGCACATGCACATGGAGGTGCTTTCGCAGCTGGTGGAAGTCTCGCAATCGACGACGCCTGGGCATTTGCATCGTCACTTTTACAAGCATTCCCTACAGATGCGACAAAACTCCCAAGTGACGAAGACATCTCGCGTGCGCTGAGAGTGTACAACAACACGCGCAAACCGCATACAGATCGAGTCTTAGAAACTGTGCACAAGGGCAACAATGCCAGAGTTGCTGCGATCGGAAAATCGGAAACAGATGAACAGTTGAGGGCTAGGTTCCAGAATCGGATCAATCCGACTTGGATACACGAACATGACGTGCAGGAAGCGTTCCGAAAGGCTGTCGAGAAAGAGAAACATACGCTAGGCGTACAACCACGACTGTAAACTTGAATACCGGCAAGGGGGTATATAATTCACAGAATCTACTATTTGAACATAGAAAACAGACAAAAGAAACTGATCCAATCCAAAACAGACTATGTAAGCTCAAGCTAATTGTTAATACTGTAGGAAAACAACACCTCATCATTTGCGTGTCCCTCGAGCAATTACAACTTGAATGCGGATTTAAAATGAGCCGATCGCATTGCTGCTCACGAAGCGTCTTCAGCACAAATGATTTCCATGTTCCAATAGGACTTGATCCAAGACTCATCTGGCGTGTAAGGGCAGATGCGTTTCCGATGTACATGGCTGTTCGTTCTAAGCCCATCAAGATGCCAAAGCCCACCAACCCTGTCCCCAAAGTATGAATATTAAGGCCTGAGCATTATTAGATATCGAACTGGAACAGATGCACACCTTGCAGTTCCAATAATCGGCTAATGTGCAATTATCATGTCAATTTTCACGATTTTTTCTCAGCTCCCCCACTTAGCGAGACTTGACCCACCGCCCAGTCCTAATCTAGCTCTCAATAAGACACCTAACACTTAACATCCACAATGTCGATTCCACGCAGGGAAAAGGTCACCGTTGCTCATTCAACTGCCTATCAATGACAATCTATATATCTGTTATACTCGACGAAGAAGCCTCATGTTGTACATTCGACAGGGCCGGTAGCTCAGGGGTAGAGCGGTAGACTGCAGTGCATCATCTATTACAGGCGATCAAACTCGCTTTCTATAGGTCACCGGTTCGACTCCGGTTCGGCCCTTTTGTTTTTTTTGCCCTCGTTGTCTTCTTGCCTTTGCAGGAAGAAAGGTGTGAGGCAAAACAGCGATTGTGGTGTTACGTGCAGTGGTGATGTCTGCGTTGTATGGGGCTCGGTTGGCGAGGACACCTTTTCTTTTTGCACACTGCTGTTGAGCGTATTCAATCACTTAAGCAAAGAGGGTGATCAAGATTCTTGATAGGTGATATTAATGAAATAACCCGTACTATCTTCGATACTTGGATTGCTGAGAAGTTGTCATGGTAAGATATCGTCAAGGAATACTGAAAAGTAAAAACATTTCTCATTGTGAACCCGTCTCTCAGCCTAATAAGGAAGCCGGAAATAGTCCTGGCCACCTACTGTTTTCACAGTATAAGTTGCGAAGACTTAATAAATATCTTTAATTTTTGATTTACTGCCCTTTGTAATGTCTCTGTAATCAATTAAATATCCTAATCCTCGGCATCGTACCCCTTGCTATGACCTAGCCCTCGAAGAGCAACTGTATGGTCTTGTTCTTCCTATCTGACCTTATACTCACGTCATTGCGGAGCAAAAAATCCCATCCCAAGAAATTTAGATCTTGAAAGTGGGAATTCCTTGGAGACATGCGCACGTTGTGATAGTGGCCAGCAAGCGTAACAAGAACTTGGTCATTCTCGTGAAGTCCAAGAGCTTGGTAAGCCTTGTATTTAATTAGCAGATGTATTGTTCAACAAAGATTAGTTACTTACTTGGGATGACAGGTATGTGTAGTATGCTCCGGTATTAACCATGAAAAACACCCATTTACATTGTCCCTCGAATCGTACAGTGCTGGCAACAACTGGTCGCCTTTTGGGGCCAAATAACATCCCTTGCAGTGTTTTTTGAGCTTCATCAGCTTCTTGTTTCGAGGCTGTAGCTAAGTAAGGTATCCCAAAGAGCTCAGAAAGATCGGTTCGCATATCTTTATCCTGTAAATCTGAGATGGAGACGTCAGAGAGTACTGACTCTGCGTCATCGCCATAATGAATATCTACCCAACGGCCCTTGGCTATATCTAATTGGATTAACGCCTCCTCGAATTGTCGTACTAGATTAGGTTGTGCCTCCAACCGCTTCTTGATTGTATCGTAGGAGTAGTGCGGTGGTTCTGCTTTTGTTGAGAAAGTTCGTAACGTGAATGGTCGTAGACGATTGGGCTGGCAAAGGTTTCTTCTCAGGAGGTTCGCACCCTGCAGGCTGATGCGCTTAGCCATGGTGTGCGTACTCGTATGCACACAGTCAGTGAAAGTAGTGTTTTATGACTACAGCAGGGCATTCGTGAGGTTTTATCACGAGGAGCTAAGACTGTTTACTGGCTCCAGCACGCTCTTACATAAGTTTGTTGTTGGGACAGAGAAATGCATGAGTCGTCGAATTCACTAGTCACGGCATTAATTTGCTCATAATGGATTTGTTGAGGGCATTGTTTTCTGCTACAGGCGGTTCTCGTTGGGACTGAGTACCTTCTAGTCGGGACTGAGGACCTTCTCGTCGGGACTGGCCTTCTCGGTAGGGCGGTGGTTCTTTGTTGTAGTAGGGAATCGATTGAGCTCCGGGGTCTAATTTAATAGGTCCAGGCTCCAATCCTACAGATTTATTACCTGCATTGTGGCGGTCGTCGTCTTGTTCCCGCTATTGGTCGATTGGTGAAAGATCTGGTACCGCGCGTCCTTGGCCAGATTCTTTAAGAACCGCCTCGAAATATTGTATTCTTTTACGGAGTTATCTTGCCACTGCTTTCGAATTCCCGCAACTTTGTTCATGTGAGCGGAAGCAAAGCCATCTAGACCGATGAAGACTTACCTTTTCCGACCATCACGAGAATCGAATTTTGTGGACGTAATCATGGTGACAGAGACGCAGCCATTTCACCTGTGGACGAGTTTCAGATGCAAGTGACATTCAGATTACGAGGCGGCAATTAAACTTAAAAAAATAACAGGGCTCATGAACACATATCTTGACTCGAGGGTGGATCTACCAAGCTATGATGATCTTTAGCATCGCGGGGCCCCGGATTCTCCAGGAAAAGGTTAAGCGACCAGTGCTGATTTGCAACACGGACCACACGAATTACATTGCTATCATGTTGGGAAACATAGTAAGGGAGCGTGCTATGTTTCACGTAGAAGTATTATCGAGTGAAAAAATGGCTACAGCAGACGCTCAGAACCGACCTCGTGACAGAAACTTATTAGGTATATCCACCCACTTCGCTCGTAGGTACTCGCAGACATTCTTCCCTAGTGTGTCGTATGTGCTTGTCGAGTTGAATCCACGATCAAGATGATCCCTGAGCAGGAAATGCACTGCTCTGATTCCAGGAATCTCAAAGCGCTCGATCTTGCCCCCTTTGTACTCCTCATCAAGCAGGTGTTTGATCTTGTCAATGGTAAGCAATGATCGCAGCCAGTCCCATTCATCATCGTGCCGGACGTAGAATCCAACATTGGCATCGGATGCCTTGTCACCAGATCGACCACCCACGACCCAACCTAGAGGACCGCGCGTAGTTGGGCCGTATTGTTTCAAATCTACGGGGTCCTTTGTTTCGTAGCTTAGCTGGTCGCGGGGATATTCTTTGAGTCCTAGCGATGGACGCACATCGATAGTCTTATTGTCTAACCATGGCAGCACGACACGATGTTGAACTTCAGACTGTGGGAGTAACGAGACGTAGTACTCATAGTACACTTTTCCCTCTGACTGGCGCTGATCGTTCCCTAGCGTCCAACCTGGGCAACCCTGGAGACCATTGTCCATGCACCAGCGGTTGAATCCAGGCACGTCTAGTGTGGATTTGTCCACCAACTTCTTGTTCTTCGTCTGAACGAAGATTCTCAAATCGCAGGTCGCAACGTCTTGGTTCCGTGGATTGTCCGGACAGTACCCATTCAGACTGAACTTGAAGCACGACAGTTCCTTAGCTGCGTCCCCAGCCGAGTATCGCACTTGCTTCTCGATCCACTCAGCCTTGGCTTCGAGATCGATGCCGCAAATGTAGACGTGGAACTCGGCTTGATAGCCTCCGAAAGCTGTCATTCCGACTTTCGTGGTGGTTGGAGGCGGAAGCCCCTTGACGCCAGTGACTCTCACACGGTTTTCACCCTCCTGCGTCATCACGACACCTTCGAGGTTTGCCGTCACGTCGGAGCCGAAGTACAGCGGTCCTTGGACCTCGTACAGGAGCTGCGAGGCGACGGTGCCGACTGAGACTTCGCCGCCAGTGTCAGGCTCTTTGTTGATCGCACAGCTACCGTCCGCATACAGCTCGGCGATTGGGAAACCAAGATTGGTGCAGCCGTCCATCAAGCTCTTGAAGCCGGAGAAGTAGCCGCCGCAGACGTACGCAGCACACTCGATGAGATGACCGCAGATGAGGCTGCCCGCGATCTGGTCGAAGTCTTTATCCCGGTTCCATCCGTGCCACCACATTCCAGCTGCTGTGAGTTAGTTCTGCCCGAAAACACTGGAGTATAGGATACTTACCTCCAACAGCGGGTGCAGCATCAGCAACGCGGCCACAGATCACAATGTCGGCACCATTGTTCAACGCCTCTGCGATGCCCGCGCCGCCTAGATAACACTGCGCGTAGATGGGCATGTAACCCCAGTCCTCGAGCGCCTCGCCCGTCATCAAACTCGTGAAAACCTCCCCTTGCTTGATGAGTCTATTCACCGTGTCCGTGACCTCATCCCCCACCACATACGCAACCTTCAAAGCGAACCCCTGCCTCCTGACCTCCTCTTCCACCGTCTTCGCCAGAAGCAACGTGTCTGACGCTCCGGCATTGACCGCGACTTTGATCCCCTTCCTGGCAATATCGGGAAGGGCAGGGGCGAGATTCTCCACAAACGTCGGATCGAAGAGGCCAGCCGGCTCACCCCCCGACAACCTCCCCTCCCGGCGCAGCTTCTCGTTGTCGACCTTCTGCGCGCCGTGCAGCGTCATGGTGCATTCGGACAGCCAGTCGCCGACAATGACGTCGACGTCGAGCTTTGCGAGGGAGCTGATGGCGCGCTGGCGGTCGGAGAAGCCGCCTGATGCGCCGGCGATGCGGACGGGTCGTCTACTACTACTGCTACTACTATTTGCACCGCCGGATGACTCCAGACGCCTGTTTGAAGAGCCATTGGAGATGCCGTTGGAGGTTCCATTGGCTGAGTTTGCGGTAACATTGGAGAGAAAAGACATTGTGTGGATTGGTAACGTCGACTGCGGATCCCTGGGTCACGGCGGGAGGCCATTTATGCTGGTTACCACGTCGCTCTCGTCCTCGCAGTCCCCCCGCCTACCCGCCGTAGCGGTATCTGCTGCATCATCCATGGAAGCAAATGCATCATGGGATGGGAGGGTGGAAGGTCGATACTCACCCACTCGAGGTCGCAGGAAGTGTAAAGCAACGCACCGCTAAGCTCCGCGATCGACCTATCAGAGCGGGGTTGTGCGAACATCAACCCCTCCGATGCATTCGGTAAACATCATCCACGGCGCCATTGTCCATCTGGCTTGCACTCGCACTTCGCGATTTCCTCTAGGCTCGGGATGTCGGATTCTCGGATGTTGTTCCGATGAGTGGGAAGTATGTACGAAAAGTACCTCGTATGGCTCAGGAATAAAGGCGATGGATTTCCAACTTGGGCGAAGGAACTCCAACCCATCTACTACCTTTGCTGTTCCACAAGATTTGACCTAAGGTCGCAACATTGACATATTGCACATCCTTTCGATCAATTGAAGCCACCCACAATGTCCCTCAAAGACAAAGTCATCGTCATCACAGGCGCAGCATCAGGCATGGGTCTCGAAACCGCGCGACTCCTCGCCAGCCGCGGCGCGAAGCTCTCCCTCGCCGACGTGCAGGAGCGCCCGCTCCGAGAAATCGAATCCGAGCTCTCGAAGTCAGGGGCGCAGGTCATGGCGCGGGTCGTCGACGTCAGCAAGCGCGGGGACGTGGAGTCGTGGATCGAGGAGACGGTGCGGGAGTGTGGGAAGCTGGATGGCGCGGCGAATCTGGCGGGCGTGATTGGGAGGCAGAATAACACGGCGAGGATTGAGGATATCGATGATGGGGATTGGGATTTCATTATGGGGGTTAATGCGAAGGGGTTGTTGCATTGTTTGAGGGCGCAGATTCCGAATATGAGGGATGGGGGGAGTATTGTGAATGCTGCGAGTATTCTGGGGCTTATTGGGTCAAAAAAGAGCATTGCGTATGTTGCGTCCAAGCATGCAGTTGTTGGAATGACGAGAGCGGCGGCAAAGGAGTGCGGTGAGAGGAATATCAGGGTGAATTGCTTCTGCCCGTAAGTTGCTCGACATCGAAGATCATGTGTTCAGGCTGATTTAGAATTACAGTGGCCCGATTGATACTCCAATGTTTAGGCAATCTGCAGAGATCAGAGGCACGAAGATGGATACGAGTTTCCTTGCCCTTGGAAGAGCAGCAGATCAAAAGGAGGTTCCGCCACTGATTGAATTCCTACTTTCAGATGCGGCGTCATTCATTACGGGGAATGCGATGCCAATAGATGGTGGATGGTACTGTTGATAGCGGTAGCATTCAAGTTTCTATATTATATCAACATCTCAGGATATGATCTAATTAGCGATGTACTCTCTTGTACTACTTGCCTGTAGTAGCCCAACATAAGCTCTATTCTTCATATCTCGCATGTTCATAATCTGCTGTAATGTCTTTACTGAATTTTCATTGATAAACTTGGCTTCCGTGTCTGCTCTAATTGTGAGAAACATCATATGCCATAGTCCATCCTTATCATCCAGAATCAATTGAGAACAGCATGCATTCCTAATTGCCGGTCCTGCCAACGCCTGATGTCTCACCTCCGATCCGATCCCAAATCTCCGACATCATTAATACAACGGAAAGGAAGTGCATTATCAATTTCCCCATTTCCTCATCCAATCTGTCGTCCACGTCTGATATCTTCCGGGAACAATACACGATGGCTCTTCTCATTCTGTATTACGCTTGCATTACAGCACTCATTCCCTTGTTAAATTCATCGCAGGCATCCGCGCTGACTACTCAGTATCCCAGACTCCAAGCCCAAGATAAGTCTTAATTCGTTAATTTCCGTACTGCACTGCTAGCGTGCCACGAAACCACAGATATAATTGCAATAAATAACCCATCCTCACAACCCAACGCTCAAAGCTTCGACCCCCTCTCCTGCTCCAACTTCTCCCTAATCGGCCCCAGCAACGCCCTCGTCATATCCTCCGCCTCCAGCTCCTTCCCCGTGCCCTCTCCCGTCGGCTCCGGGATCCCCCACTCAGGCAGCACCTTCGCGCCCGCCATATCCAACTGCAACAACGTACCGCACGGGAACTCCTTCTCCTGCAGCAGGCGCAGCATGTTGCTCGCTACGTCGTCCGGGCTCAGGGCCTTTGTCTCCGCGAACGAGAACTGGCTTTTCTTGTCCGAGGTGAAGAGGGGAGTGTTGACAAGGCCCGGGCAGATTCCCGTGACTTTGACGCCCGTGAGGGGTTCGGTGTCTTTGAGCGACTTCACGAAGCCGACGATGGCGTGCTTGGTCGCGCAGTACAGGGGCGCCGCGATGCTGCCTGCTATGCCGCCTATTGAGGACTGCGGTCGTGTTAGTGGGACGATGCGTTAAGGAAGCAAGCAACCCGATGAATTAGGTTGATAGACAAGTAATGTCAATATCAAAATCCCATCACGTGAATCCATCCCATTCCATCCAACAACCATACAACTAAAGATTGAAAGCTCAAAAAGAAAGAAGGAAATGGATGACTCACAATAATACAAACACTCGCCCTCTTCCCCCTCCCCAAACTCTTCTTAATCGCCATCCTCGTCAACTTAACCGGATGCTCGACGTTGACTGCACACTGCTTGTACCCTTGCTCTTCCGTATCCAGCCACCAGCTGGAGAACGGGGGTTCGAAGAGCCCCGCGCAGATGCCGTACGCGTCGGGCACGTCGCCCCATTTCGCCTCGCAGGCTGCGAACAGCGAGGCGAGGTCGGACCAGCGCGTGACATCGGACTGGACGAAGAGGACGGTGGAGGGGTGGGCGGTGAGGAGGGTGGTGAGGGCGGGGGTGGGGTGGAGGTCGGAGATGAGGAGGCGGGCGCCGAGGGAGTGGGATTGGTGGGCGAGGGAGAGGCCGATTCCTGGGGGAGGATGTGAGGTTGTGGTTGTGGAGGTTTTGAGAGGAGGATGTGTTGGGGATGGGGTTGGGTTGGGGGAGACCTACCTGATGCTCCACCTGTGATCAGGAGGATCTTCCCCTTGAGCGGTTGGTCGATTGAAGACATCTTGTTTCTTTGATCTTTACTTTTACTTAGCCTTTCAATTAAGCAGACAATACGAGAATATCCTATTTCCAAAATATAGGAATCCGCAATTGAACTTTATATGCACGACAATGATGGCTGTCCCTAAACGATAATAACGGGGCGAGTTGATTGTCGTCCCAGGGTGTCGGGTAAGGAGAACCGAGACTCTGGTTGGGCGACTACTGGGGGGATGGGGGGGTTACGGAACATAAAGAGCGGAGAGAGAGCGGGGAGGGGGGGACCTACATGGTTTTTATTTATTTGCTTCTTGTACGAGTGCGAGTTAGTTGCACGAATTGTTAATTCGAAGACCTTCCGATTCCAGACTAATTCATGATTGTCCTCGAGTCAACTATAGACTTTTACGAGGTCCGGAGAGATGAATGGGTTCGCTTATCTGTGTCGTTGCCGCATGGCATGAATTTAGGTCACTATGAATGTACGTACATCTACAAAGTGCATATTTAATGGATCGGGACTTGACCTCCCATTCTCCCCACAATTTTCCCATTCTTGTTGACCTCGTCAGGAAACATTGAACACATTTTCGGACAACTTTAGGAGTAACCAGTAACGTGTAAGGGTTTTTTTTGTTCCTACTTTACATTTCGCGTGAAGATGATGACGGCGGAGCTTGGATTGCTCCATAACGATCCATTCATTTCTCTCCTAGAAAAAAGGCATAACATACCCCAATGCCCCCGAGACATAGAGACACATGAACCATTCTAGCCCCGTGTCCCCGTCCGTTTCGTCTCGTTTCGTCTCATCTCACGCAACGACCAAACCAGCATCACAGAAGCGACACGCACACGACTCTGGACCCCCTTACTTCCCCAAACCGACACCACGAATAGTCAAAGGCTTGAATCAATCACACACGTAGAAGGAACCTCTTACAGTTCATCATTTCTCAAACTCATTAATTGACTCCATCCTCCCCATCCCTACGCTATAAAACCCCCCAAGATTCAAAGATCTCAAAAACATTGCGAGGCCAAAGGAATAGAATAGTAGTACAATATGCGTCGCTAGCTGCCTTAATGCGCCTGGGGGTGGGTTGGGTGATTATTTACATGTGAATTAATTGATGAACTTGTCTGGGTTAATTTCCAGAGGTTCGTGCGAAGGGTTGATGTCTTTGGTGTTGACGTTTGATGATGGGTGATGTGATGGTGGCGATTGTGGTAAGAACAATTCGCGATGCCTCTCCTCGTTCCGGTAGGGTTGATGTCGACGGGGTGTTGATCATCGTTGTTGGTGGATGAGGCGGGTTTTTATGTCCTGGATGGGGCGCTTTTGGGTTGCTGCTGCTGCTATATTGCGAGTCGGTGCACTTGATTGCGTGCGTTGATCGCGAGGCGATCGAGGGGAAATGAGCTGCCTGTGGAGCTCACTTCCAGTTCAGCTTGCTGGAATCGAGTCGGGAATGTAGTGTCTGCGCGATTGCACGATTCCGAAGTCGATCTCTCAGACGTGGATGCTGTCCCATGAAGGAAAGCTCTCGTCGCAGCTGTCTCAGTGTCTCGGTCGATGGATCCAAGGTTTGAAAGGATTAAAGAAGGTCCAAACCACCCTTCTCACACATCCAACCCCTCCAAGCAAGCCATGACAATCTTCCCCAACTTCCACCTCTCCCTCCTCTCGAACACCTTCTTCGCCCACTTCAGCGCCGCCTCCCTATCGCCGTCCGCCACACCCACAACCTGCATCGCGCCCGCCATGCCCCCGCGGACGAGCTGCCACGCAATCATAAACGCCTTGCACGCATACAGCGTCAGCCAGGGGGCCTCCCCCGCCGCATCGACCGTCTGATCGAGGTACCGCAGGAACCAGTCGACGTGCGGCTGGATCGACCCGCAGAGGTTGGATTCGCAGAGGAACTCGCACGACGGCGCGAGGTCGATGAGGTGGTGTAGGGCTGCATCGACGCTGGTGCCGACGAGCCCGCCCGTGTGCGACGGCGACCACATCTGCATTTCGATCATCGCGGCCTGCCAGGTGGTTTCGCAGAGCGCGGCGTGCGGGGACGAGTCGATGGCGTTGGGTTGGGATTGCGGCTGGGATTGGGCGCGCACGAGCGGGCTGAGCGCGAGGAGGGACTTGCGCAGCGGGTCGAGTCGCTCCATGCTGAGCATGCCGGTCATGGTGGACCAGCCGGAGATTTCGCGCGCGCTGGAGACGAGGAATTGGGTGATGTTGATGGTGCCGTAGGGGTCGAATGCGGGGATGGAGCTGAGGTTCGTGCTGTCGGATGCCAGGATTCGTCGGACGGCGTCGTGGTAGCGGATGGGAGGGCCGCTGTGTCGAGCGACCAATTGGCGATGCGCCCACTCGCCGGATGATGATGCGGTCCAGTAGGTTTCCGGGCAGGGGAGGTCCTGTTTTATTTCGAGGTGGGAGAGTGAGCGCGGGATGGAGAGGAATTGGTACCAGAGGGTGTCGATCTGGTGGACGGCGTAGAGGGTGCGTTTGTGCGATTCGGCCTGGACGAAGTGTCGCCACAATGAATCAAGATCTTCAGTCACAGTGGCATCGTTAGGGGGTGGGTTCATGAGCCCGATCGCGCGGGCCAGAGAGCATATCTTGGAATGGGTCTTCAGTCCATACGCCGAGTCCTTATCGCAGGAATACATCATGGCGAAAACTTGGAGAAGGATATACGTCTGCACCATGATAAGGCCGTGGGCGGTCTCGTCGACGTGGTCCTCTTCCGCAGCGATAAGGGCACGGGCTCGGTGGAAACATCGCAGGGAAAGGGCCGAACCCGAGCCTGCCTCGTCTCCAGCATCCGGGTCCTCTCCATACTGGTAGCCAAGACAGAGGATGCCGAGGAGCAGAGGTCTGGCAGCGCGAGATGCTTGAAATGTTGGTTGATGGAGGAAGGGGAGAAAGTTGGATGCATAGGTAAAAAACAGGTCGCACCCGCGGAGTTGTTGCAGACTGGATGGCATCCATTCATCTTGGATCTGTGATAGGCCGTCCAGGGACAGGAGGGGATCGGGACTCCACTGGTCGAAGTTGAAGTTGGCCAAGGTGTTGTCGTATGGTATTGACTGCACTGTCGCTGGACTAATGTGTGAATTTTCCTGTGGGCGGAGAAAGGATGCCAGGAGGAGGGAACTTGGATCCATCTCGACGGCATTGAAACGCTCATCGAACTGCGGCTGTGACTGTGGCTGCGACTGTGCCTGTGAGTGCGGCTGCGAAACCATGCTGTAATTATCAGCAGAAGAGGTTCGATTTAATTCATTCTCGTCTTCGGAATCGTGAGCCTGCGAATGTGAATCATGTCGCGTCGACTTTGGCGAGATGGACATGGAGGCTGAAGGAGTGGGTGATTTCTTCTCTTGTTGCGTTTGACAGCCCGCCCGGTCGCTGCCAGCAGCGGACGCCTGCGACTGCGACTGACGCTTCCTGGGTCGCTGGACTTCATTAGGATGCTTCCGCTTCAAGTGTCGAAGTCGCAAGTCAGGCCGCGAGAAGGTCGCATTGCAGATGTGGCAAGATAGCGAGGCATCGTCCTGGGAGGAAGAATGGACGGCAGCGTGTCGCTTCAGGTTCTCATGTCGTGTGAATCTACTCTGGCAGATGGGGCACTGGAATGGTTGGAAGGCCGCCTGTTTCTCTATGGGAGTGGTGGCTATTGCAGAGACGGACATTGTAGAGGAGGACACGCCCACTCAAGTAGGCAATGAAGGGATGGTTTAGGAAGTAGAGAGTTGCGCGAGAGATGGAAGAATTGGCATCATCGGGATTGGGCACGCGGAGACAAGACAGAAAGAGGAGACACTGGGGGGGGGTTATTGGTGCATGGAGGCGGCTCACACGCACACTTGTTAGTTACCCCAGATACGACAGACCTTCCGAAGGGTTGCCCCCCGCAAGTAAGTTGCACGTTATCAAGATAGTCGGCTTTTTGGATGGACAATGATTGGACGGATGGGAAGGTGTTATCTTCCTGTCGGATAGGGAACTGGATGCTGTTCGAGTTAGAGCCGATGGATTAGTATGGAGATGGCCTGAAGTAGTTGGCTAATAGTATGGAGATGGTGAGGAATAGTAAGGAATAGTCAAGGAATAGTCAAGGAATAGTGGATGGATGGGGAAGCATGACTGGTTCATGTCACTTTAGGCCAGAAGCCGGGCTGTCGGCGGTCGGGTGTGGGTTTAGGATATTCCGCACTTCGGCGATAGGTTTTCTCACATATTGACGTTGGTAAGAACAGGTATTAAAGGTGCAGGGAGAGCCTCAATTTGTCCTACAGAATGCACATGCATATCGTACCTTTAATAATGAGACTACCAATCTACTTACTACTGGCGATACTTAGAATGCCTACCAAGTACATGGTGACTGTGCTCTGTCGGCGATGGACGTTCTCACATATTCGCACACAGCGTCACATAGACGGCGTATAATTCATCATGGCAGTCCCCGTTCAAGCCGTTACCCGTTTACGTAACGAGTACATGCATCATTACCTGTAATTACTTATAACTAGCCTCCAGCACTTATTCAATTAAAATACTAGTTAAAAGGTACGAGGTAAGCAAATCCGGCTTACATCGGATCCATACTCGTATTGATATGGGGATAATATGGGGAAGTAAACGAATGAATAGATTATTGACTCTTTACAATAAGATAAGTAGGTAAGTATCTTCCCTCCATCAGTACGACTCGGTTCGAGTACAAAGAATGTAATGTGATAATAATAATAATGATAATGATAATGATGATGCGCAGCATAGCTAAGTCTATCATTGCTCCGATTCTACTCGACTATGTACAAACAACAATGCAAGCAACCGGCAGCTCTAGTAAATCAATCAAACAACGCACTGGAAATCTGATAGTACCGAGTGCTATTCCCCTCCTGACTGGCAGAGAGAGCCCGTCATATCTGAGTGAAAAACACATATTATATACCCGTGTCGTATTGGCCTTGATTGTATGAAATCATGTCGAAAGACACATTCTAGTACATCTCGTACCTCCAGCCGAGAGACACCATCTCCTCCGTGACGCCACCCTTGACGACCTTTGCGATCTGGTCAGGGTCGCCCGAAGCAAGACGCCTGTTCTCGCGGTTGACGAGCCACTTGTAGAAGGTGATGGTGAGGGCGAAGAGGACGGCACAGCCCATGAGCGTTCCGAACGCGGCGTAGAACTGAGGGGGAGCGAAGTACAGGTACGAAGCCCAGATGTTCGAGGTGCCACCGATGGCGTTGACGAGGGCGGAGGCGGCCGCGCGCTTCGAAACGGGACGGGCGAGATGCAAGTTGATGGTCTTGTAGAGTACGAGCTGGGGTCCGACGGATGCGAAGGGGAGGATCATCATGGAGAAGTAGCGGGCTCCGACGTTGAGAGTCGCCATGGGGATGATGTACATGCCGCATGCCGTGGCGATGCAGCCAATGATGATCGGGTAGGCGGTGTTCTTGCGGTCAGAGTACCACATGAGAACCCAGTAGACCATACCGGCAAGGACGTAAGGGGGTGCGGTGAGGAGAAGACTGGTGGTTCCGCTGTATCCGAGGGAGGCAACGAGCGTGGGGAAGTAGTTGGCGATAGAACCCTGCGCCTGGGAGAGCAAGTTGCAGAAGATCAGAATCAAGAGCTTGGGGTCGGACAGAGCCTTGGAGAATCCCTTCCAGGTGCCCTCGTTCTCAGTTCCCTCTGCCGCACCAGCCTCGGACTCGATGCGCCACACGGCGAGCTCACGCTGGACGGGGGTGAGGATCTTGGAGTTATGAGGGAACTCGGGCATCAAGAACGCGCAGATACTTCCAATGCCGACGGTGGCGCATCCCTCGATGATGAAGAGCCATTGCCATGCGCGGATGCCGTGCGTCCCATCCAAATGGAAGATGCCAGCTGCGAACAAGCCACCGAAGGCATTACCGAACTGCTGCGCGATGTAGAGAGCGGCGATACGCTTGCCAAGTTCGCCCTTGGTGTACCAGGCACTGAGGTAGTAGATGGCACCGGGGAAGAAGACAGCCTCAGCGACACCGAGAATGGCACGCACAGCCAGCAGCTGACCGTATGTCTTGACGGCGGCAGTGGAAGCTGAGATGGTTCCCCAGATGATGACGGCGCAGCAAATGTACATTCCAGGACGAGAGATCCTTGAGATGATGAGGTTGGAGGGAATCTGGAAGGGCAAGTATCCAACGAAGAGAATCGAGATGGCAGTGGCGAATTGCTGAGTGGTCATGTTCAGATCGTGCATGATGCCCTGCAACTTCGCAGCAGCCAAGTTCTGACGGTCGATGTAGTTCAAGATGTAAAGGATACCGATAATGGGCAAGACTGCGCAAAGGGAATAAAATGTTAGCATAAGACGAAATCGACCATGTTACAATGGCAATACATACTGATCATGTCGATCTTGCGAACCAGCTTCTTGTTCAGCTGCTGGATCTCCTCCTGACTGAGATTTCGGAGGCTGTCCGGCATTCTGTCGTCCCGCACAACGACCTCGCCGTTGATGTCAGTGTTGGTTTTATTCAACTCGACATCGGTCGAAGGCATCTGCTTGAGGTCGTGATCCATGGCAGTGTCGGGGTGCCGTGGCCGTTCTGATGAGTTGAAATTTTCCAAAGACGAGAAGGCTCTTTTTGACTGTTTCGCAGCACCGATGAGGACTCGAGCAACACTGGATGTCAACTGATCGACTTCTTGCTACAACTTCGAGTCCTTTTTGTGCTCTTCTGAGCACTGTTCAGCACCATCCCCAGCTCGATGCCGAGATAAGGACTGGGAGGAGCGCTCCAGCGATATCAGCGTGCCCCAGCTTAGCGGTTAGCCTAGCCTAGTCGCTTATCTCTAGAATCTGGGGTATTGGGATTATTCACATGAATAGCCCGAGTCGTGTGGCTTGTCTCGACTTTCTGGCGCCGAATCAGCGTCGGTCGAAATCAAAGCCTCGAGAGAGCTCCTCCCTGTGGGTCGGCACTAACTCCGCACTTATTCCAGGGTCCACCTCGTTACGAAACAACAACTAGGACTAGACTGCTATGTGAATACTAACCGACTACTATGGTACTCATCCACCCAGAAGGGAAAAGGGTTAATGCGTCACATTGCATTGCATACCCATACCATTGCATGCCAGATTGACGGTGCTCCTCATTGTCATTGCCATGTGTGAGCACGCAATGAAGAAACTATGCTCCACGATAGCTTTCTCCGCCATCGGCCGTATGGCTACTTGAGTGCCTCATCTGGCACTTTTATCCCAATCTTTCTTATCTCCAGTTCCAGCTCCAGTTCCAACCTCATTTACCTCACCGTACTTTCCAAGCCAAAGTCCCCTTAAACTCGAATCATCAATTTGAGCTTCGATCAACACCAGGTCAAACCCACGCCCTCCCCATTTTATCTTTATCCACAATGTCCAAGTCATACACCACCGCACAAACGACAGAGGTGTCCAACCCTCGCCTCCGTCTGCTCAATAAGCTCCGGGCAAATGAGTACCCCTTGATGACCTTCGTTGCCATCCCATCCGTCAGGCAAGCCCAGATCGTCGCCCTGACCGGCCTCGACGGCATCATCATCGACTGCGAGCATGGCCACATCGGCGACGACGCAATGCACAACTCTGTAGCCGCCATCTCTGCCTTGGGCGTCTCCCCCATCATCCGCATTCGCGGCCCAGCACACGACATCCTCAAGCGCGCGCTCGACACCGGCGCCCACGGCGTCATGGTCCCTCAGATCAACACCGCCGAGGAGGCCGAGCAGGTCGTCGCGAGCTCCAAGTTCCCACCCCAGGGTGTCCGCGGCCAGGGATCTGCCTTCCCTGCCATCGGCCACGGTCTCACACCCCCCGAGTACATGAAGTCCGCCAACGAGACCATCATCACCATGGTGCAGATCGAGACCCGCGCCGGTGTCGAGAACGTCGATGCAATCGCTGCCGTCCCCGGTGTCGACCTCGTCTTCATCGGCCCCAACGATCTCGCCCAGGCTCTCTTGGGATACGTCCCTGCGAGGGGCGATGAGCCCGAGTTCGTGGCTGCCATCGACAAGATCGAGAAGGCTGCCAGGAAGCACGGAAAGTGGTTCGGAAGGATGGTGAACAACGGCTCCGCGGCCAAGGCTGAGAGGTCGAAATACGACACCGTTGCCATCACTGGCGACACCAAGGCCATTCAGAACTGGTACATCTCTGAGTTCGAGATCGCCAGGTCATAGAGTGCGTGTTGTGCTTTTAACGTCACGGTCATGATTTAGGATATTAGATATATAGACTTCTCTTCGATTCCAAAAATAATATTCGATTCTTCAAGATTCAAACTTGCCTCGTTCGTTCATTGTTGTTGTGACTGTTACCTCCTTTTTTTAAGTGCTAGTATGTCAGTGCATAGGTCCTAACTTTGTTAATCTCACCAATGTGCATGCTTGATCCTAGAAAATATAGTATATTTGCTCGCATTGAAGTAGAGTACTGATCAGTTTAATACTTACCTTGATTGTCATTCTTATTGTTTTTCGGTTGCTTAACTTCAAGGTTTTTCAATCATTGATATGTCACTAACTCACTATCTGAGCACAATCTTACAACGAACAATTAAATTCGATGTCTTCCACTAAGTGAACTGCCATAACAAAAGTCCTGGATATATGCAGGCAAGTCCAAAATACAGCAAAAATATAGTCAAGTTCAAAATCGTTGGTTTGTGTAAATGGTTCATTGATATCTCTAAAGGTTTTTCTTTCATGTAAACATTTCTAAAGCGTACCGCGCCTCGCGGAACAGTGCCCAATCATTCCTATCATAAAATGACCCTTTTCCCAACCATAGCCATGCAGGTAACTATTGCAATGGCAAAAGTAACTCAATCAATCCTATGAGCAACAATATAAACTTTGCGCCAGTTTTATTTCCCCATCCACCCCCTTAGTTCACGGAGCGATCGCTTAAACCTGAGCAATGCACTCAATCTCGATGACGGTTCCCTCACCGGGAGCGACGGCCTGGAGGCACGATCGGGAAGGCATGGGCTGGGGGAGGAAGTCGATGTAGACCTCGTTCATGGCGGCGAAGTCCTTCATGTCGGCGAGGTAGACGTTGTACTTGACGACCTGCTCGAGGGAGGAGCCGGAGAGCTCGAGGACCTCCTTGAGGTTCTGGAGGACCTTGCGCTGGGGTTTGTGTTAGAATTTGTGTTTGTTAATTCGTCTTGCGTGTGAAGGGTACGTACGGTGGCCTGCTTGATCTCCCCAGTTGCGGTTTGTCCGGCGCAGAAGACGAGTCCGGGGACCTTGACTGCGGGGCCTATTGAGTTTGTTAGCATGGTGGTTTTCTGAAAGTGTTGGTGTTTCTTTGCACGTACAGTTGTGAGGCTTGGGGGGGAACTTCTCGCTAGAGATGAGTTGACGAGACATTGTTGCGGAAGGTTTGTGGGTGTTTTGTTGAAGTTGTGTAGAAAGAGTGTTCAATGTGTTCAAGGAGGAAATGTGCTGGATGTGGAAAACAACGAAAGGGCCGAGGTCATCTTTCTTATCTCTCCAGTTCCGTCGCCGGAACTGCTACGTCAATGATTATCGGAATCTAAAAATTTCAAAAAATCCATTGTCCCAAGGTGGATGTGGTGGGTATGGTGAGCTCCATTGGACATAGAGCTCCAGGGTCCTGGTGGGCAACTCAGGTACCCACTTTGGTAGGGAGGAGCTCCTCCCACGCTAAAACTCAAGCCACTCCGCCATCCTGCAGCTCCTCCGATATTGTCTGCTCCTCCGATTGTTATCGTTTTGCCACGGAGGACGCAACCTGCATAATGGCCAAGATAACGATATGGAGCCGATTGAGATCGATCGGCTGCTCAGGGGATACGCGGGGGCACGCGAGAGTGTTGACGACGCGCCAGAGCAACGAGGACCCCCGGACATTGGGGTAACGGAGACATGCCATGGTCGAACCATCACGCGGCGGAGCTCGACTCTCAGAGGCGTTGTAGATGTCTCTGTCTCCTACATGTAAAGTCTTATAACAACTCGGAATCTGTGCTATCAGATCTTCTTCACTTCTCCATTCATAACTACAACCACATTCACATATCTTCACTATACCCTATACATACATTTTAGACATTGAATAAACACATCACCATGGCACCAGCCGCCCCATTCAACCCTCCTGCTGCGGACCTTCCTGGCAAGCCCTTCGTGCCAGAATGGATCCCCCCGCCGGTCACCAAGGAGACTCACAACTTTGCACAGCTCAAGTCCATTGATCTGTCTTTGTTGGATTCGGAAGATCCTGCAGTTGTCGAGAATCTTGTTCAGACTGTTAAGCAAGCCATCCGTGATGATGGTTTCCTCTTCCTCGAGAACTACGGCATTAGCCTCGAGCAGGTAAGCAGACTGCGTTTACATTGAAAGGGACATTGAACTGATGATTTCTTCTGTAATAGTTGCACAGACAGTTCGCCATTGCACAATATCTTTACCACAACATCAGTGAAGAGGACAAGGAGCGTCTTCTTTTCAGCCCAGAGACTGGTGTGTGGTCTGGTTACAAGCACCCTTACGGTTTCAAGGTAAGCATACAATGTGGACTTCATAACAGAGAGCAAGGCTAACATTGGTTCCTTTACAGCGCCACCGTGGCCCACCTGATGGCATTGAGCAGTTTAACTGGTACAAGCCTGACTGGCAAGACGTTGAGAACCGTGTCCCCAAGTGCCTCCAGCCTTTCATGGATGAGATTGAGGAGTTCTGCAACTACCTCACAAAGTCCGTCAACCGCCGCCTCCTCACTCTCTTCTCTCGCGTTCTCGAGTTGCCCGATGACTACCTCTGGGACAACGTCCAGTCCCACGGAAGCCCTACCGGCGAGGGCTACTTCCGCCACGCCCTTTTCCGACCCGTACAAAAATCCACCGAGGAGGCATCAAAGGGTCTCCGCATGCACGGCCACACTGACTTCGGTCTGACCACCCAGTTGTTCTCCGTGCCCATCTCGTGTCTCCAGATCTGGGGCCGCGACGAGCAGTGGTACTACGTCCCCTACAAGCCCGGTGCACTTGTCATCAACATCGGTGATACTTTGGAGATTGTTTCCGGTGGCCACTTCAAGGCTACCCGTCACCGAGTCTTCAAGCCTCCTGTCGACCAATTGCACCAGGAGCGTCTTTCCTTGGTTTTGTTCAACAGCTCCGTTGGTGACATGCCCATGTCGCCCGCTTATGGTAAGTCTTATCCCAACAAGACGCACAAGCCGGAATATAGCTAACACGAATTCTTAGATTCCCCATTGATCAAGCGCGAGGGCTGCGTCGAGGAGCAGGGCATCTACAAGGAGTTCAAGAAGCGCACATCCACCGGCGCAAAGGCGCCCACCAACCGCGAGTGGCGCGAGATCCAGATCGCCACCGCGACCGACCCTACTGATACCGAGCACAACCGCGTCGGTGTCCACCAGACCATCATCGACGGAAAGTTGATGCACACGAGAGAGTACATGGGAATGAAGGTTGTTCTCCCCGTCTAAGGGTTGAGCGAGACGAACCCTTTGGTGGTGGTGGTGATGATGATGATGACGATCAGAAGAACGCCCTTGCTATAGTAGGAGCATGTGCATAGTCTATATGAAGATACCGCTATATATCATGAATTGGAGTTTTGTTTACGACTATAAACTGGAAATCTTTCCTCATGCCTTGAGATTTCCACTGCGGTATTGATCAACTAGAGCATATGAGGCTACGTCAGCGCTATTCCGAAAGCTCCCATCCCCGCCATTCCGAGCTTCAGACATCTTCTCAAGTATTAATTACTGATGTCGTATAGGAAATACTAAGAGACGTGGATCGTATTATAACTTTACAAGGATGGAGCTGAAGCGCCTCACGTGATTGACTGTGACACAATGACTAGCTCGACTTCTTTCGATGTTGCATGATCAGTATACTCAAAGTAAGTAGAGAATAGATTAAAGTATTAATCTTTATTTCATTGATCTCAGTGACCAGCCAGCATGTATGAATTCTCAATTGATCCATGCCATACCACGTGTTTCAGGCATCAATAGCGATAACGAATCCTTCGAATTTACCAAGCTGAGTGTGGCGTGGACACGACGATCACGACTCTGGGTGGACACAGCTCCATATCTCCTGGTCACTTATATTTACTATTCTACAAACCTCGAATATGTCTACAAATCCGATATGCGATGATTGCCAGGATCTTGTTGACTGGCTGTGCACCAAGGCTGATAAGTCGTCCGACAGCTACCGGTGGTTGGACTCCCCGAAGGAAGGCGTCGAGATTAACTTATCAGCCTTGACTTGCGACCTCTGTGAAATAATGAGGCGATTAGCATGGTGGTCATGGAGGGACATTATGATGATATCATTCACTATGAAGTCCACCTGGGATAATCGGATAGCGGTGCTCGTGGTGCAGGCATTCTATAGTCCTGGCCATACATCGAGGTGCCACATCGATATATGGGTTGACCCAGGTGCGTATTCGTTGTAACATATATGACAGGAATTACTGAATACAAACAGCCAAAGGAGATGATGATTGGACACGTATTTCATCGAAAGAGCCTATAGATCGCCTTGGTGGAGCAGAAACTATGAATTGCATTGAAAGTTGGCTGGACCGTTGCCTCTCGAAGCACGAGACCTGTCGCAAGTCATTGACTGGAACACTCATTGACGAGAAGTCGGATACCATTCCAGCCAAGCGAATTCTTGATATAGGCAACTCGCCCAACGATCGTGTCCGCGTCATAGAGACAAATGACATCGCATCGCCATATTGTGCGCTCTCGCATTGCTGGGGTCCTCCGGAAAAGAAGCCCATGTGTCTTGATAGTGCCAGTAAGACACGTTTGTCGGCCGGTATATACGACCATGAATTACCCAAAACCTTTCGGGAAGCAATTTCAATCACACGAGCATTAGGCACCAGATACCTTTGGATAGATTGTCTATGCATCATCCAAGACAGTGCGGAGGATTGGGCAGAGGAGTCGCAACGCATGGGCCTTATTTACGAAAGATCGCTGTTCCGCATCGCCGCATGTGGGGCTCGCGATTCGACTGAAGGATGCTTCCTTGACATGTCCAACATTGGCAAACGAGTCTTAGTTGACGAGGAGAAGGCTGATGTGCTAGAGAAGTTCCCTCTCCCGGAAAAGGTTCGACCCAATACAGTTACAGCGTCACCAAAAGGCGAACCGTCACGATTTGTCTACTTTCGTGGCCAACCCGAACAAAGGGTGGATCATGACGGCCCGGACGATTCCGCTCTTGGTGGACGAGCATGGGTTCGTAGAACTACCCAAACAGACACTCATGATCCATGCATAAAACTTATAGATCTCTAGGCATTTCAAGAGTCACTTCTTTCACGGCGCACTGTTAATTGCCTAGTCAATAACCTCACCTGGGAATGTAAAGAGCAAACGCTAGACCAGCGTGATTGTGACTCAGGACAGAACTATATAGCGGTGGACTATTCTACGTGGGAGTGCAGCATTGAGAGATATACCAGATGCGAACTCACTTACGAAAGCGACCGTCTAATTGCGCTCTCGGGCTATGTCAATGAGCTCTCTAAAACCCGTCAGGATAGCTATGAGTTGGGACTATGGACTGCTGGCTTGCCCATGCAATTGTTATGGCGGATATCGCATCACGAGATGGGGATGAAAGGCATAGAGAATCTTCCGTCATGGACATGGGCAAGACTTCCAGGAAGTAAATCATTCCCACATCTCAAACTAAGGCCTCCGACAGATGTCAAAAAGGCGCGATTGACCATGCAATTTATCAGAATAATTGACGCGACGAAGCTCACGCTTCACGGAAGAACGAATAGGTGCTTCATTTCCGACATCAATCTTCTAGAAGACGAAATATATTATTCCGCAACTTACGGTCGCCCGGAATCCATGTTTATCGCGGGCAATGCATCTATCTACCCAATGCGTTTCCTTTGGGCCAATGAGTCAAAATCTCGCCTGATAGGGGCCGTCCAGCTGGATGAGGACAGTGGCCTTGACGAATTGTGCTTCGCTCCGGTTCAAGCTTCGAGGCGAAATATTACAGATAGTTTACATCCGGAATATGAAGAGTTTATTCTTAGCCCTGGGCATGGACCAGCTAAATTCCAGCTTACTATTACACCACCAGAAGGATCCTCGCAAGCCAAACGAAATGAAGACGGTTTAACAGATTGGGTAGGTTAATCTTCGATGTGTAGGAACTTTAGTAATGACCGTCGTTTTAATAGCAAATGATTCAAAAGTACGCCAAACATTCCGAGTATTACTGGGCTCTCCTACTACAACCGGTACCGGACAGGGAGCAAACATTTCGTCGCGTAGGAATGGGAATTATATGGCGCTCACAATGGAACGAGGAGTTGGTACCCGCCCGGGAATTTTACCTAGTATGAACCGTCCACAGTCTGTACAGTTCTGGCGTTGTGTCACTGTATCGACCACCGTCGAAAACGCCGTGAATGATAGTCACGCTCCTAGTTGATGCACCTCTCGAGTGGTAGGAGTGGCTGTATAGTGGCCGGCATATTGTTTGGGTGTTGCAGCAGGGACGAGCAACGGCGAGTATTCACATGATATGGATACAAGGACTGAAGGTGTCGCAAGCTCCAGACTCGTCATGAGAGAGGCTTACATGTCGTTAAAGAGAAATCTCCTGACAATAGCATGAGTCGGGGCTGCTTGTTATTTGACTCTACATCTCGTACTCATGGCATTGAAACCGAGGATTGCATTTGCGTATGCACAACATTGCGCAAACCCTGGAGGTGGCGTTGCGTCCTCGTGGTATACCTGCACTTGAATGGGCAAATTCCATTCCAGAAAATGCATGCTTGCTATTGCAAGCTAGATATAAGCATTCCCCAGACTTCCATGCAGCAAAAGAGATTTTTGTTCTCTTCTTTTAGTCGGGTCTGGCCTGTGCTTGGTTCCCCATTTGACCGCGCATGATGCATTCGCCCGGGTAAAGTGCTCTGCGACAACAACCCTATGCCAAATCACATCTGGGGTCAACCCGAAAGGGAACGGAAAAGCCTCAGCCGCCTAACCAAGTCTCAAGATATGCAACATGACTTCTTGCTCTGACACCAAATACTCAAAACAATGTCGGCCTGTTGAAGCCGACTTTGTGACTTCAATTGTCTCTATTGTATAACGATGTTGGCTAGCATGTTGTAGTTTTTTCTTTTAAGGCTACTTTACCCCGTTGAAATAATTGAATGGTATTCTAGCCCATTTGTAATTCCTAATCGCTTTGTCGATGAATTCATTCTTCACGTTGTATTAATAGTATAGCACTTCATTATGCTGGCATTTTGGAGCCGTTCGTTCTTTACTTTCTGCTTTTTCGCTGGAACCATGGCGCAATCGGCGTCACAATGGAGGGGCTGGGATGAAATAGACAACATCTTCGTCTTTGGCGACTCTTACACAGCAACCGGCTTCGAACCAAATGGAACACAACCAAACCCATCGAACGCGTTTGGAAACCCAGCATTTCCTGGCCGTACTTTTTCAAACGGACGAAACTGGATCGATTTCCTCACACTAAACTACAACGACTCCTACGTGTCGACCTACAACTTTGCCAGGGGCGGCGCCAGCATCGACAGCTTCGGCTCAGAGAGCATATTCCGGCCATTCGACCACCAGGTAGATCGATTCTTCCTCCCCTTCTACGCCGAGAACAACGTGAACCTGACGACCTGGCGCCCCGACAACACGCTCTTCGCCACCTTCTTCGGCATAAACGACGTCAACTTCTTCTACAAAATGGACAACCGCACAGAGTACGCCGCCCTCATCTCGGACACCTACACCAAATACATGGAGAAATTGTACCGGGCGGGCGCGCGCAACTTCCTCATCATGAATGTTCCCCCAATCCACCGCGCGCCTTTCACAGTCGCGGAGGGCGATCGCAACGTCGCGCGGAACAAGGAGTCCGTGGAAGATTTTAATGGCCGCATCATGGACATGGCAAGCGGGATGATCCAGAAACACGAAGACATTGCCGTCTATCTGCTCGACACGTACTCTCTATACAACGAGGTGTTAGATGATCCCCAGAGTAGGACAGAGACTACGGGGTACAGAAACACCACCGGATCCTGCCCTGCTTACTCCAAGTACGTTCGGCGCAATTTTCCCACTATGTAGATTGGAGCACTGATTATTGATAACAGGCGAACGTACAATGAGGATGAGAACAGCGATGATTGCGGTCGCCCGCAGAGGGAGTTTTTCTGGCTTGACGCACTGCATCCGACGCCGCCGATCCATAGGGCGATGGCTGCTGAGATCGCGGCACAGCTCCGTGGTAACGAGGTGTTGACGGCTGATCGATCTTCCTCAAGGCCTTCCCGTAATGGTTCATCGAGTAGGTTTTCGGTTATTTCGATGTCGACGTGGATGTGCTTTGCGGTGGGGCACTTGGCAGTATTGTGGATGGGAAGTGTGATCTGAAGTGGTGGGTGGATATAAAAGTTCATAGGGAAAGTGACGCTACAGGACTGAAGGACGGGCGTTTGATATGGGGCTATAAAATGGTAACCACGATATCTACTTTCAAAATCACTGGGAAGAGGCGCGTCAAACAAAATCCTGGATCGCGCCTCAAAAGCGAAGCAACAGTATTTGAAGTGCGGATTGAGCACACAGAGACAAGGCAGGAAAACGAAGACAACACTTTGTGAAATGAACCTCAAAGCACTAAATAGCAGTATAGAAGACTTAGTTACTACCAACTAGTCAATGCATAGCATCATCCATTCCCAGTCCATGGGTTCTACGAATGATGCCTAGCACCAAGTACCAAGAGGCCGGTCGTCCAACAACCTATCTAATCCACAAGAACGCAACCAGTTGATCAACCCTGCACTAGATATGTAAATCCAGCAGCACAACCCACCGGTGGCCGGTGCATCCGTTGGGACGACGGCTATCTATTGGAAGCCCCAATGAATGGGATCACGGTCGACCCATTCCGGTTGACCGTCAAGCATGGGCATAGTCTGGTCAAAATCATAACCAAACCATGCTCCCAACGCATCCCAAAACTACTCGGAACAGATTAGCAAATGAATATTCATACGGGAGCGAAGGGAATGATGGATGGATGGATTGTGACTCACCCAATTGTTGTAGAGGCGCTTGGTCATCTTCTTCTTCTGCGGCTGCTGTCGGTCGCTCTCGCTCCTGTAGCATAGGGTGCGGCACTTCTTGGGATTGAAGGTTCGTGACCGCTCTGCGAGCTTGTCGCAGATGGCCGGGCAGGGGAGCCGGATGATTGCAGAATGATTCTTGAGAGCGATCTAAGATAAGGGGTTAGCGGACAAAAGAGAACAGGAACGAAGTTTTGCGATGGAATGCGTACCTTCCTCTCGTCGGCATTCGTGATGTGGGAATTGTACTTTGGAAGGTAGGCGTTGGCGCCGGTCGTGGCATTGCTTGAGACCTCCGCATTGGATGGCGTTACAGGCACGAAACGCTTCATATCTATGGATGGGTCTACTACAGGCACCGAGCGTTTACGATACTGTTATTGTGTTAGTAGGATGAATAAAATATGGCATTGACCATGGTCGGGTGGTTGATCTGCTGTTACTGGGGGGAAGTGTTAAGTGGACACTGGCTGTACTTACGTTGTTGTCCCAGTGGATGATGGCAGTGTCAACTTTCTGGTATTGTACGTTAGCATGAGTGGAAAACACCATCGATGATGGTTCGTCCTCACGTCGTTCCAGTAACGAACAAAACGACTGTCGTTGGGGTCATCCCAACCAATCCACTGAGTGGGATCCTCCAACTTTGTGAGCTTCAAAGGGTTAATATGAAGCCAACAGGAAGATAGGTGGTCCATTAATCGTTGATTTCAATGCGTAAAGAAATGACTTACTGCCTCGGAGCCATGGGCTGGCTGCGATGGGAATGATGGCACAGGTGCCGAGAGCGCGACACTCATAACAAGTGTGACGCAGAGCGGCGACAACTTCATGATGAGTGATAGATGAGAGCTGATGAGTGATAGTGGGTGGGATTGCGATGTGATGGAGAATGAGTGATGAGGAGCAACAATGAGGAAATTCCTGCCATCTTATGTATCTGAGAGACTGGAAATGGTTGGACTCCAGAAGGTGGGATATAACTTGCCACAATGCAATACCATCTAAGGTGGTTGTGGTTATGAGGATCTGGGCGTCATGCTATTTGTTGACTTCATAGATTTCCCAATATTTCGTAACCACATTTCTATCCAGTCCTATCATTTCCACGAAAGAGAAACACAATATAACCAAGATCCGTGGATCAACGATGTCGGAGTTTATTTCATCCATTAAAGCGTCTGTAAAGAGCATCGGAACGCCTGTGCGCAGTTAGTTGATGTGCAACATTTTATGCGCACATGAGCACAGGGAAGGCTTTTGCTACCTCAGCCATGGTTCTATAGGTTACGAGACAGGCAACAAAGTATTCTGCGCACAACCAATAAACTTTTGCGATGCGATTCGCTGTTCCGATGGCGCCTGTACCACGGTTATGACCAAAACATTCTTTTTATAGGCAAGGCAACCCGAGGGTCTCTTAACAATTTCGAGAATTCACTCTCATAAAAGCCGTTTGTTAAGAATATTGATATCCCGTTTCCCGAAACACTGGGCCATGGAACATCAGTGACAGGGTATCGAGTACGGCGAGACGTATTCGGTGTAGAATTCATCTAGAACAATCCCTTCTCACCGCAGTCACAATCTCAACAGCGATATATGATTCCGTGGGGAAGCAAAGCCATACCCAGTCCCAAGGATTATCGAGTAGTAGATACCGTAATCGACGCGTTCTCCCCTGTGTGAATGCATGGTCCTTGACATTGTCCGAATACAATAGACAGCCACTGGTCAACAACCATTCCTGTATTCCAAAACTAGATGCGTACTTCTGTTTTCTCTCAACTATCAGCCGTTCTATCGATGCTATTCTTGACATCGCCGCAAAGCCCGCAATACATGGTAATCCCAATCCTCTCGCACGCTCCTTGTGAATCGTAGGCGCAAGACCAAACACTTTCGTTCCTTTCGGCACACCTTAAAATGCATTCAAACGTCACGCGACGCTTGTCTCTACCTCTTCGCAACGTCCCATGTAGTAGCTCATGCGGCTTGACGTGATGCGATGGCATCGAAACCCGCCGCCAAAGCACCTGAACTGGTACCAAACCTACACAGCCAACCCACCCAGCGTCGTCCTCATCTCAGGAGACCCGAATCGATGATTTCTTTGAGGCCCGGCCTGCACCGACAGCTTTATAGGGCATTTGCATACCATTTCTACACAATAAAGATCCCATATCGAAACGACGTGAACATGTTTGGTTGCCTTTAGTTGGCAAATACTTCCCTCCCTCCAAAAGGATTACAGAAGATCAAACAATGATTCATTGAGGTAACTGAATAGGTTGACCGTCAAAGTATCTCAAGTACCCTCCCTAATGGGTGTGTATAACACGTGATCAGAGCACGGCACGTGACCTACTTGTTCACCTAGCTCGGGGAACATGGTTCGTGTGCATGATATCTCGGCGAACCGGACTGATATCATGGGAAAGAGAGATGGAGGGATAAAGAGTAGCTTCAACAAGGGAGATCAGTAGAGGAATTTCGAGCGTTATTACAACTCTCGTAACCAAGGAAGCAAAGGGACGTAATAGGAATGGATGCTATGATGGCATTCTACAATCTCTCTTCCCATCTCTACTATACAGCCATCTCAATCGCTCCAGCAATGAAAGAACTTATCCTTCAACATTAAATATCTACGAAGTCCAATTCGTGCAACAGTCTCCGATTCCGATTCCGATTCTCGCACACTAATGAATTGACTAGGAAAAGCGAGTGGAGGGTCCAGTCGAGTCTGCGTCATAGCCAACCCACCTCAAGCTCCTCGACTGCTCGGCACAATCATGTTCTCCCCATACTCGTGCAAGGAACAGGAGTGCAACTAATCCAAACTATCCCCATTCCATTATGCTTCATCTCTTCCCATAGGCTCATGGGCGTGGGTGTAGGGGAAAATTTCCCAAAGCGGAACGAGTCAGTTCAAGTTCTCCACCATCTACTCGTAGGATGGCCACCACTGCCCGTGGGGTTTCTTTTCCCGTCTTCCGCCCCCAGTCGGCGTTCCAGAAAAAAAAGACCTCAAAGCTTGACCAGTCCGGATACATAATAGCTACATTTCCCATAATTCAATAAATCTTCCAAATCAACAACTCCTAAACCTTTCTCTCTACTTCATCGCTTTGTTTGCGCAGAAACTGACATGCAGCCATGTTCTCGCATCGACCTTGCCTGCTAAGCACCTCGAAGGCCATCCTCCGCCTCACCGAGGAGCGCTTCGCTGCTGGTGGCCATCGGCGTTTGACCTCCCTGCGTCGGCAACGGAACGCCGGTCGGCAATGGACCACCTCGCGACAGCTCTCGACGACGACGCGACAGCGCCAGTCGCTGCAAAAGTCGCAGAGGGATGGCTTTGAGGGTAGGCACGCACCCCCAAGGAGCTCGAGGACAGTTATTGCAAGTTCAATTGGAATCGCGGGACTTGCGGCGGTGAGTTGATTGTAGCGTGCGCGCAAGCGATGTGCGCCTGTGTTTGAGGGAGAAGAGGCACTGATGATTGTGACAGGGTGTTGCGACTCAAAACCGCGACGATTCAGAAGATTCCAATAACTCGAATGATAATGAGAAAGACGAGGACGAACAAGAGGATGAAGACGAGCAAAGCACATCCGACAGCGACTCGACTTTAATATCGTTCGACGAGATCCAGAAACATGTCTCCGCAGACGATTGCTGGGTCATCATCAAGGTAGCCAACACCCCCCATTCCCCCTGATTCATATATCGAGGCAAAGCTCACAATTCGGAACACTAGGGATCCGTATACGATGTGACCGACTTCCTCAAGATCCATCCAGGTGGCGAGCACGCGATTCTCGCAAAGGCCGGCAAGGACGCTACGTACGTTTCCACTTGCATTAAAAGCCCACCACAATCAATTGCTCACATATACATAATCCAGCGAAACATTCGATCTCCTCCACCCACCAGGCGTACTGGGCACCCTCCCCGAAGAATGTCTCCTCGGCCGCGTCGACCCAGACACCCTCCCTGCTGAGGAGGAGAAGGTCGTCACGGACGAGGAGCTGGCGCGGGAGCTGGCCCGCCAGGAGATGCCTGCCGCGCAAAACATGCTGCTGCTGAACGACTTCGAGCACTGGGCCCAGCGCGTGCTGAGCGAGACCGCTTGGGCGTACTACCGCAGCGCAGCGGACGAGGAGAGAAGTGAGATCCCCCTATCCTAACGCGGTGATTCGGATTCTCCATCTTTTGTAGGGTTTGGTTGAATATATTCTGACGTGGTGTGAACAGCCTTCTTTGAAAACCGCGATGCGTTCCAACGGTACTTCTTCCGTCCACGCATCCTTCGCGACACGAGCACTGGCTCTACTGAGTCTTCCATCCTGGGTATACCTACGGCTATGCCGGTTTTCATCTCTCCGGCTGCGATGGCGAAGCTTGGTCACCCCCTCGGAGAGATCAATTTGACCAAGGCAGCGGGCAATTGCAATATCGTACAGATGGTGAGTAATGGAATGGCTGAACGGAGGGAGTATCATGCACATATTGACAATATCTGTAGATCTCGTGCAATGCCAGTTGCAGCATCGAGGAGATGGTGGATTCAACCGTAGATGGCCAGTCCCTCTTCTTCCAGGTAAGAAGTCCCTACATTACCACACAACAATATCCATGTATCTAAATACAACCCACCAGATCTATCTCAACAAAGACCGCTCCGCCTCCGAGCAACTCCTCCGCAAAGTCGAACAACTAGGCGTCAAGGCCATCGTCTTCACCGTCGACGTATGCTGGCAATCCAAGCGCACCCTGGACGTCCGCACCAAGGCGAAATCGAACACTGCTCCCCCATCCCCACCCTCTTCGTCTTCTTCCTCAGCAAGCGGTTCAGGCTCAAAGGCTCTCTCGGTATCCCAGCAGATCAGCGGGTACCAGGACACCAACCTCACATGGGACGACATCAGCTTCATCCGCGTATGTATCCTTCCCCCCCTCCCCGAGAAACAACAGACGAAACAACCCATCTAACACCACTCCTAGCGCCACACCACCCTCCCCATAATAGTCAAAGGCGTCCAATCCCTCGAAGACGTCCAACTCTGCGTCGACGCCGGCGTCGAAGCCGTCATCCTCGTACGTCCCCTCCCCTCCCCTTCCCATGCCCTCCTTCCCCCATCCCCCCTCACTCACTGACAAACCCTCACAGTCCAACCACGGCGGCCGCCAAGCCGACTACGCACCCGCCCCAATCGACGTCCTCTACGAGATCCGCGCCCTACGACCCGACCTCTTCAGCAAAACGGAAATCATGATCGACGGCGGCGTACGCAGCGGCGCGGACGTCGTCAAGGCTCTCGCGCTGGGTGCGAAGGCCGTGGGGCTGGGACGCCCCGTTTTGTATGCTAATGGGACGCATGGGGAGGAGGGGGTGTATAGGGTTATGGAGAGTGAGTTTCCCGTCTTCCTTTTCCAGTTGTTTTGCGTAGGGGGAGACTTGAGCTAACAGAGGTGGTGAAAATAGTCATGCAAGAGGAAATCACGAACACTATGCGCAATATCGGCGTCACGAGGATCCAGGACCTGCGGCCTGAGATGGTGGGGCCGAGGGGGCCGTGGGTCGGGTTGAACCGTCCTGCGTATCTGCCTACTGTTTGAGCTTCCCGGTCACTTCAGAGCGCCTTGTTTCCGTAGCTCTGCAGTATTTGGAGAGGGATGGGAGGGCAGGGGTGGCGTGAATGGTGTCAAATAGGGAGTGTAGATTGGATTCGGCGGAGAGACGAAGGTATTGTATGCATCGCTAGCGCTGATTAGACATTAGACGTCCGGTTGCTATTTTCTCATGAGCGACATAGAGGGTTGTATCGTTGTATATCAAATATCAATTAGACACAAGACAAGTCAGAAGCCGTTCACGCAACCTCATCCCACCACTCCGCAGTCAGAGACCAGACAAATTGGTGAGTTGCATTCAGAACTCGACTTTCGATTGCGACGAAATAAAAGGAAAAGTAACGTATCGCGGTGTATCAACGTAACTCTAAGTCAAGAATAAGAGGTATACGTAGGAAAAAGAACAAAACCACCTCGTATATACTAACTCCAAACGTCGACAAGATTTACTCGTAACTCCATTGGCACGTCGACAACACCAGGGATGTTCAAGACAACGATATCTAAGCGGCACGGCGGTCGCTGAGCTGAGCCTCTAGGGTTTGCAGGTGCGTGAGGAGTTCGTTTCGGTCGAGTGTTGCGCCATCGTAGTGGATGAGGAGTGTCGTGGGCCATCCCTGTGTAGTGATGAGGTTGTCTCGGATGGTGGACGGGGTGGAAGAGGAGTTCAAGGCTGTGTCGAGGGTGGTGACGCAGTATTGAAGGTTGGGATTGAGAGTGGTTCCGTCGCCGTATTCTACTATTAGGAAGTCATCACCTGCCTGGTTTCCTGGTTAGCAACAACCTTTGGCGTGAATAACGGGGGATGACTTTACCTGGCGGAACTTGACGCTCGGTGTGTTTCCATTACCCTCTTTACTCCAAACGATCGCTTTTCCTATATCTCCATCGTGGAAATCTACGTGGCAGCCAGGAGAGCCTTGTAGTCTTTCGATGCTGTCGAACGTCCCGGCACCCTGCAACGCACGCTCGATGCCGCCGAGAAACGCCTCCAGTTTCCTCCTTTTCTTCAGTGCGTCCTCCAGACTCACACGTACAAACGTCAGCGTATCCCCCGCCTTTATCTGCCCCAGCTTCCACCACTCGGCACGGATTACAGTCGTGCAACTTACGAACGGATAGGAAGTAGGACCGTCGACACCCCTAATGTAGGAGCCCGCGCCCCACCAGTTCAACACCCCGACCGGAGACCCATACTCGAAGACATGGGCCGGTTGCCATCCCGCTTCGCCGCCGTTCTTGCGCGCCCACTTCATTCTGGGTCCGTCGATCCGTATCTCGCACCTCGAGGCCTTGCCCTCGACTTTCCATTTCGCCTTGTAGATGGCGTCGAGGTCCTCGGGCAGGAAGAACCCCTCGTCGTGCGGGCCCACCATCGCCTTGATCTCCCAGTGCGAGTTGTACTGCGGACGGATGGTCTCGGGGATGGAAACAGCCTCGATTGTTTCCTCTGCAGGTACATCTGCAGTGATTTGGAGCAGATCTCCCGACTTGAGCGCTCGACCTTGATATCCGCCGAGTCCGAAGCCGATGTCGCTGAACATCGCGGTGGACTTGGAACCGTGGCACACTGCGATGGACGGAAAACCGCCGTACACAGCTAGATACGAACGACAGCCGCCGCTACTTGTCTCACCTATCTTGAGTGTCTGTCCGGTTTCGATTCGCACACGGGTCCACATGGGAAAGTCGCGGCCGTCCAGTGTTGTCTCCATGGACGCGCCGCAGAGCGCAACGACGGCCGGTGCAACGAAGCGGAGCTCTGGTCCGCTCGATGTGATCTCGAGTCCCTCTTTCTCGCGTGGATTTCCAACGAGCATGTTCGCGATCTGGAAAGCAAGCGGATCCATAGGCCCTGAGTGCGAATAGTCACTGCCGGCTGCCGGGCGCCCGGGAAGGTCCTCGATCAGTGTGAAAGCGCCTCCCGAGACGACATCGATAGCATGGGGACGGTAATCGAAGGACTGGAGGAAGTTCGTGGGCGTGCTTCCGTATTTGAAATTCGGGTCCTGGAGAACCGAGGCGAGAAACTCAACATTGGTCGGGGGCCCGCAGACAGAGGACTCGGTGAGTAGATGGTGGAGTCCTGAAATCGCATCGCCGCGTGTCGGTCGGAGGACCATTGCTTTGGCGATTAAGGGTTCTCGAGCTTGGTTTTGGAGTCAGTTTTAGGAGGAGAAGAAAGGGGAACATGAAGGGAGCTTACAATAGTATGGCGAGATGCAAGTATTGGCGGACACCCAAGTGTCGATGCGACTACCAGGCACATGTTTCCATTCGACCTGTTGCAATGGGCCAGGACACAAAGCATGATCTCTCAGGGAGTTCTCTGCGTAGATGCTAACTCCAATAGTAGATCCAGTGGGCCCTGAACGTTGCATCGCTTTCAGTGCCTCCGCGTCGAGTCCATCGTTTCCAGTTAGCTGGGCATCTGCCTGCCTCAGCATTAGCTCTACTATATCGACTCCGTAGCAGAGCTCTGTGACGCCACGTTCAGCCTGCAACTGCGTCTTCATGCCCAGGAAGAAAAAGTCGCCGAACTTGTCATCGACCAGATACTCGACAGTCCCCGCTGACCCGTACTTCGTGGACTCGGAGAGACGCACAGCAGCATCGCATAGCTTTTGTTTCAAGCCTGGGTGCTGTTCGACGAACGGACTTGGACATTCACCGATGATCTTCTGATGTCGTATTTGGATGGAATATTCGCGCTCTCCGAAGTGGATCGCCTGGCCTTTGCCATTGCCGAACACCTGCACCTCGACGTGGCGACTCTCTGGATAGCATTTTATCTCTTGATCTTCAACCGGGCCTTCAGTTCCGGTGACAACAGGCACGTTGGCCTTCTCAGCCAGACCTCGAGCAACATGCTTGTCACCAAACGCTTCTATCAACTCCGGCGACGGTCCAACCCATACCATTCCCGCCTCGACAACTCTACGAGCAAATTCCGCATTCCCAGCCAGAGCCCCATACCCCGTTAAAACAGCATCGACACTCTTCTCCCTCGCTATCCTCAGCAAATTCTCCTCGTCCGCATACGCAACCACGTCCCTGCCGGGCAGAAGAACAGCATCGTCAGCCTCGGAAACATGCTGGGTACTACGATCTTCTTCTATGTAAATCGCAATGGCCTTCACGCCCAATCTCTTTGCGGTCTTGCAGATGCTGGCCTGCGATGTATGATGTCAGCGTGTGGTTGTCGTTTCGGGAATAAGGAACATGTGGGGGCAAGTAGGTGGGTTAACGCCGCGCGAGGTACGTACCGCAACCTCGCCTCGGTTCGCTATGAGCAACGTCTGTAGTTTCTCCATCACTTATACTATACACTTGTATATATTCAATGAAATGAAAAAAGTACATCCAAAGTCCCGTGAGGAAATGCGAGTCCCTCGTCAGAAGACTCGGGACAGAAGGACGTTTGTACTGTCCACTAGACGCGAGGAAAACCAAGCTCACACAGCCTGCGTCTACGTCGCGCGCGCAAACAATTCGCGCAAACTACATCATTGCCCTCGAGACAAGCCAGGCCCAGCCCAGCTTTCTGAAGGGGAACGAACTAGGTAGAGTCACGACAGCAGATTCAGGAATAAACGGCGACCGACCACGTGCGATGCCTATGGCCGTTATAACGGCGGGGGAGGGAATAGGTGACTGTCAAAGGAGGGGTCGCTCGCTGGTTGGATAGGTGCGAGGGACGAACGGGACGAGTATCGTAGTTTAGGGGTGAGCCAATTGTTGTCTGTCGTCATGTCTTGGACGGCATCCGTCGGCTGATGTTGGGTAGGAGGTAGGTGGGCTGGCCAATCGCCATCGACGGACCTGAAACTGATATCAGGTTGCGAAACATTTGGGAAAATTGGGAGCAGAGAGGTTTGATATATTGGAATGAGATAATGTTTCGACTATATCACCGTGAATTTGGGGGAGGGCGAGAGGACTTGGAAGGTCGGCACTGACGAGGAGCATTTTGTATGTACTCACTCGTACGCTATGATAATATTGCCTATGGCTTCATAGTAGGTGTGTCTATGCCAATCTAACACTTGCTTTTGTATTTAGATTGATGTCTTCTCCATTCACTCAATCTAAGAGGAGTAAGTCAATCCATTCGAATCGTCTAGGCGTACAGAAAACACAACATATACACTACTACCTCTCCACCTATACTCTCCACAAACCCAACACGAATAGACACCATCGAAGAACATAGGCTACACTCACAACACACAATTACAAAATACGGCTACTACACAGTAACGTATCAAACAAGTGCATTCACCCATCATCCTCATCTCCCTAATCAGACCAGAAGAAGGTGTTCTTGAACACGATGCAGTTCATTTCATAGCACTTCAGTGTTGGTGCATCCTACATCCTAATCGTTGCAAACTTGCCCAATTGGTGCTATGTATAGGGGAATTCATTGAACGGTATGATATGATACGATCCAGAATATGTAGAATCAGACACTGGAAACGACTTCTGGAGAGTGGTATGTTAGGTAATGTACCTTGTGTTCATAGGAAAGATATAGATCTAAGTCATGCTTGCTCACTCACTTCCTTACCACCACCTCCAATTCCTCATATTCCTCCTGAGATCTACACACACACATATCAAAAACCACCTACAACTCCTCATACTCATGAACCACCCACTTCTGCCCCAACAACCCGCCCTCCCCCATCTCCACCGCATTCACCGGCGCCGGCACAATCCCCTGAAACCTATAACTCCCCCCAACCCTCACCCCCTCAACACCCCCCTCACACTTCCAATGCACACTCAACCCAATCACCTCCAGCACGACCCTCCCCTCCCTCCCATGCCTCCCCCAATCCAACCTCACCCTGACCTCCCTCTCCCTCCCCTCCTCCCCATCCCCACCAACAGATTCCACAACCCCCCGAACCTCAAACCTCACTCCAACCTCCAACCTCGCAACCTTCGTATCCCCCCTCAGCGGCCCCCACGACAACGGCCTTAGATCCCCCGCCCTCGGACCCCCACACCCATCGTCCTCGTCCGCCCCGACACCCACCAACGTCCCAAGACCCCAGTACTTCGCGCCGAGGAACTCCCCCCTCGCCATCGCCCCGCCCTCCGGGTCGCGCGCCGGGTCCCAGGTTTCCCCCATCCGGGCCGTGAGCCATGCGGAGGAGCGCGGCGGCCACCCGGTGAGTTGCAAAGAGGCGAACGTGTTTACGGAACCCAGGGTCGCGGCGCCGGAGTCGGCGAGGAAGAGGCGCTCGAGGCGGACGACGGTCGCGGTCCAGGTTATGAGGAGCGGGAAGGTGGACCAGTATGTTTGTGCGGAGGATTCGCTGGCGTCGAAGTTTGGGTGGTTGGAGGAGGTTAGGGAGGGGTGCTGGGGCCGGGAGGGGGGCTTGAAGAAGGTGCGGCGGATGTGGTTGGGGGTGTGGGTTGCGAGGGCGGCGAGGTCGTGGTCGGAGGTGTGGATGGAGGTTAGGGAGGTTACTTCGAGGAGGTGGTCGAAGGGGGTGGTTTCGGTGGAGATTTCGATGGGGTGTCGGGGTGGGGGGTTCTTAAGGGAGAGGGCGTCGATGACGTGGATGGTGGAGAGTTCTCGTTTTATGTTGTGTGTGGATAGGAGGGCTCCCAGGGGCGTGGAGGGGAGGTAGGAGTTGGGGGATTGGGAGCGGAGGGAGAGTTCGATGGTGGTTTTTTGGTTGGGGGTTATGGGGGAGGTCTTTTGGGGGAGGGCGAGGACGAGGAAGAGAGGTTCTAGGATGAGGCTGGCATCGTTATCGTCATCGGAGGATGATATATATTTGAAGAGTTGAGGGATGGAGAACGTTGGGTTTTCATCCTGGATCTGCTTGAGTTTGGATAGAGTGGTCGGCGACGTTGGGTTTTGTTCTTCCTGGGCCTGGAGGATCTCGTGTAGGTAGGGGAAGTTGTGTTCTGACTTTTCAGCCGTGAAGCGTCGACGGTTCTTCTCTGTGGGCCGGAATTTATATGGTTTTGGTTTCGCTGGTGCTGCTGGTGGTGTTCCTAGACGTGCCGTCTGTTTGGACTTGGCTACCCTCCCTCCGCGGGCTCTCTTTGGTGGCATCTTTCATGAAATTATCCCAATGACCAAGGTATATCTCTTTCAGTATTCCTGTACTCCGTAGAAAGTGTCCAATTCAATCGCGTCTGTGGATAGCGGTACTTTATATACACACGCACTGGTAGAACGTCCAAACAGATAGGGGTGATCGTTTCCTAGGACAGATCCTACGCTAAGCCAATGTGGGTTTCTTCGATCCAGGAACCATTCCATCATGGTATCATCCCAGTCCTGTTGCCTGGTTGCCTGGCAATAGTCGGGCACCTCCAGATAACAAATTAACTAATCCAGCTATGGGTGAAGAACCAAGAACATACCCTCGAGTCTCGCCATCTTGGACCTAGAAGTGGTTCTAGGAAGGGGTGCATCTAGCCGTGATCTACTTGTGGTGCACTGTGCAAAGCGGAAACGCTGCACAAGTCATGTATGCTTGAATGGGCCATCCTACCTATGGCTTTGGAGAAGTGCTTCGTTACTCAAAAGGGGTCAATCTCGCAATCACGTAGACAGTACATCACGAAATGAGGGGAGAATCATGTCAATAATAGGAGAGGGATTGATTGTCTATCAAAACGTCCTCTCTATGGAACCAGTCTTCCCGACTGAATGGAAACATACTAATAACGGCGTAAATGAGGTGACATGTACTATACCCAAAGCAGAGAGAAAATGCACAATCCGACAAACTCCCGAACCCATCCATACATGATCATGCTATACCAAATGACAAGCACATTGACGTCAAAGCCACATGTGAGCGGCTGGCTTACTCGCGAGAAACACGGCCCTTGAACTCGTGGAAGAAGCCCTCCATCTCCTCAGCAACGAAGTCCTCGATCTCAGAGGTGAGCTTCTCGAGCTTCTCCTCGAGGTGGGAGCCGGCCTTGTGGGCAGCCTTCTTGGCCTTGTGGAAGTCGGCCTCGATCTCCTCCTCAATCTCGGTGATGATGGGCTTGGAGGTAGAGGCGGCGTAGCCACCCTTCTCGACAATCTCGGAGAAGTTGCTGGAGCCACCACCGTTCCAGGCAAGGATGTTCTTGGTGTTGCTGGGAACGTCAGAGAGAGCACCAGTCGTGCCGATGGCGATGAGGTTAGCCTTGAGCTTCTTGGGGGTGATGTCGGCAACGGCGTAGGCAGAGTCCTTAGCGGGCTGGAGGGAGAGGAAGTAGGCCAAGAGACCAGCAATGTGAGGAGAAGCCATCGAGGTACCGGAGATGGTGTTGGTGGCGTGCTCAGATCCAATCCAAGTGGAGAGGATGTTGAGACCGGGAGCAAAGATGTCATTGCACTTTCCGAAGTTGGAGAAGTACGCACGCTGGTCAAGGAGGGTGGAGGCACCGACGGTGACAGCGTTCTCGGCAGCAGCGGGAGAGTAGTTGCAAGAGTCGGCGTTGTCGTTACCGGCAGCGACAGCAAAGTGGATGCCGGCATCGACAGCAGCGTTGACAGCAAGGTCGAGAGTGGTAGACTTGCCACCACCCAAGCTCATGTTGGCAGCGCTTCCCTTGAAGCCCTTCTTCTTGCCGTTCTTGGCGGCAGCAACAGTGTCCTTGTGAGCGAGAGCAGCCCACTCGACACCTTTGACGACGTCGGACATGGTGCCAGAGCCGTTAGATCGGAGCACCTTGACGGCATAGACGTGAGCCTTCTTCGCGACACCGTACTTCTTACCGGCGACGGTACCGGAGCAGTGGGTGCCGTGGCCGTTACCATCCTCATCGGCATCGCCCTGAGGGATGGTCTTGCCCCATTTAGCACGACCCTCAAAGTCGACGTGCTTAACGTTGGTACCAGTATCAATGACGTAGACGTCAACGCCCTCGCCACCGTCGCCAGAATAGAGGTACTTATTCCAGGTGCCGAAGCTCAACTGGTCGCGGTGGGAGATACGGGCAAGACCCCAGGGGGCGTTCTTCTCGGTCTCGTAGTCATCATCACCCTGGGTGTGGACGATGGAATCCTTCTCGATGTAGTCGACCTGCGATGGCGTTAGCGTGGGTTCCGATTGCGTCACGTGCTGGTTTCGGATAGCTTGCGTGGCTGGGTCGGCTCGGCGGAGTTGCCTGCGGAGATGCGATCGCGTGCTCGTTCGAGCGGCAACAGCTGCTGTCACGGCGGCTGCGCGATGTACACTCTGCAGAGGAGATGGCAGGAATAGTTGCACATTGAATTGCAAGCTTGTTGCTCCTGGTGGCATCTTCCGGCAACTCAGGCAACTAGGCCGAGCTCTCCACGCCACCCGCGGGAGGGTCCACGCAGCTGCGCGGCTCCCGGAGGAGGTGGGACGGGCCCAACGAAGCTCTCAACAAAGCTGGAGGAGCTTCGCAACGCCTTCGCCGGGGTCGCCATAGGGATTTGGAGAGAAAAGAAATGAGAGATTGGGGTGTTCTTTGTAGACTTACATCGGGGTGCCTTCGGATCTGCTCGATGGTCTCATCGTCGAAGTGACCAGAGTAGCCCATCAAGCCATTAGCCATGTTGTATGTGTGCTTGAGACCCTCGAAGATCTCCGTCTCGATGGAACGCTTGCGGAGCTCAAGACGCTCCTGGTTGCTCTGGGTGTGGATGCTCTGGACCCAGTCGTGGTGGTCCTTGCCGTCCTTGACGTGCTTCTTGAAGACGATCATGTAGGAGTTGGGGATCTCCTCGGCGTGGACCGACGAGATGACGGGAGCGGCCTCATTGTGAATGGTACCGACCTTGAAGGTGGGCGAAGCTGCAGCGAGCAGAGGGAGGAGTGCGAGGGCAGTGAATCTCATGATGGCGGATAAGCTCGCACGGCGAGGCTGGTGGCGATGAGAGGTTGGAGGGAGTTGGGATGGGAAAGAGACAGTGGGAGAAGGTTGTTTGGAGGATGAAGATGGATAGGTGAGAGGATGATAGAGAGAAGAGAGATGGATGGAAGAAGAGAGGAAGAAGAGAGATGGAGATGTGAGTGTTGTGTTGATGAAGCTGGAGAGCAGGTAGGATGGGTCTTATCTGCGCTCGCCGAGGGGGTGGACTGTGCTGATTGATTGGATTGTGACGCAGGTGACTCCTCCTCTCCCCCATACAATAGCTTACCTACCTAGTTACTCTATCTAGGGTGCTAGGGAAGGTACGAGCTCGGTAACTAGGTAGCCCAGGTAGCTCCTTCCTTCCTGCTTTCCAAGTAAATCGTGGGGCTGGTTCTGTTACGACCATCCCCAATCCGTCCACGCAACGCCTTTGATACCCGGACAACCATCCACCTCATCCATCCCGTCATCATCATCATTCATCACCCTCTTCCATTAAATAGTGCCTGAGGCAGTTATGCACGACGGGAACAACACTATTCAGTAACATCTCCATACTCCTTATCTCGTTCATGAGTTATGATAAGTACTCGTTCAGTACTCGTGCGTCTGTCTGAGTAACCGGAGCTCGCCATGTATGACAGGTGCGAGTACCTAGATAGCCGTACCTGCCTGGGTAGCTCCTTCCTCCAAACATACCTAGCTCATCATCAAAGCCGACAACGGACAGCGAATGGCATCAGCCACAATATACCCTTTCACTCCTCTTTAATTTGTTTCGTTTCTTCTATAACCATCCTCACGATGAATACATTCACTACACTGTCCTACACATAGTCGATCGGATCCCTATTCCACTCCCTGTGACGGCGGGTGGAGGTGACGCGATAAAGGTGTCAGCTTGGATCAAGGTCAGGTATCCACCGCATTGGGACTAGCCTCCCCCAAGCCTCATTCTCCCCGTCGTCCAGACCAAGTCACCTGCCTACGCGGCCTGCCTGCTGCGCTGTGCACGTGAGTCTGTTTCGTGCCTGACTGTCGGCATTAATTAATTCAATGACGGGATACATTCATTATTGTATGAGTACAATAATGATCATAGCATAGTAATGAATAAATGCGCCAGATCTAGGTAGTTGTGATTTGTGTGTTTTGAGAGGCATAACCGCGATGAACACCTCGCTCCGCCTCCTCCGCCTCCGCCATTCGCCACCACCAGTTGCCCGTGCTCCTACCACCAACCAACTGCGAGATCGCATCGCCTCGCATTGTGAGAAGTGACTGTCCTGGATATATACCTAGGTACGGAGTACTCAGAACAACGATGTTCTAGTGCCATTAATGCATCCATATGGAGCATGTATTCTTTCATCTGCCTTGAAGCAAAGCAAGAGATGATACGCCGAAGAACGAGTGCAAAACAGGCTTCCTAGGCTGTATCGTAAGTCATAATCTATGGCGACTTGGAGAGATGCAAGATATATAGTAAAGAATGTCACTACCGCCGACAAATTGACTGTAATCAATGAAAAAATATATTGACCATGAATTGTGTTGATTGATGTATTTTGCAAGTATACAGGCAAAGGACGAGACCAATACTAGTAGTACACAGGTGTCTATGTGTATTTCGATATCTACAAAGTTGTAGACATTGAAGGCAGATTATTAAAAGAATATTTGTTGCAATCTACGTTTTGATCACTCATAAGTAAATGCGCAGAGGTGACACTATCGTTCTTATCAAATATTCAAGGTTTTATATACAGACTTCCATATGTACTATAGTAGTAGAATGGAAATGCAGATAATCCAACAAAATTTCTTAAAACCCTGGCCTTGATGCTTTGTCCTAACAACACAACAAAAGCCACTAACATCGTAGTCAGTAGCAAGAACATATATTAAAGGCGCCATAGCGGTCGTCCTATTGCGTAAAGGAGCTTCTAGAGCAACGGACACCATCGACACGATCCGCAATCGGTGAACAGGCGGAACGGGATAGATAGCAAATCGCCAATATCGATACTCATTGGAAGGGCAATGTGTGATTTTCGAACTCTGTCGGTGAGCCTAGAATGATATACATGTGTGGAGAGACATATTCTGTCCTTACTAGTAAGGGGTTCGTTAGACACAGATTTATTGAAGGCGGAGAAAGAAGGCAGGCAAAAGTGTGCTGAATGTAACTCCGACTAGATTATAGAACATCTGATAAAGCGAAACTAACACGACGAAATGCTACGACTCTCCTTCCTCTTCTCTATCTTACGTCTCACCGTATAAATCCATTCATCCAAAAACAACCACAGCCAGAGTATAGCGAACCACAACGACACAATAGCTGCTCCCACCAGGCTCACTATGCTAAACCAGCGAGATACATGCCAAATCATCTCCCAATGTACAGCCGCCAGCTGCTCGGCCGCAAGCGCCACCTGCATGGCACTGAGGACTATGGAGATGAGAGCGAACAGGAAAAGCAAAGGACCGTACAGGCGTCCAAAGAAAGCTCCGTATTGGCCATGCACCTGCTCAAATTGGAACTTGCGAAGGAGGAATGGGGCGTAGAAGTTGAGGCGAGTCAATCGTAGTTCACCGTAGCAGTATCTTTTCGATACGGTGGAGTCGTCGATGTGGTTGAGGTCTGCGATAAAGTTGCTGAACTGCTTCCAGTCCACGTCTTTGGGGATGAGACGAAGGTTTTCCTGCTGGGCGATGTTGAAGTCCGACTCGTGCTGGATCAAGTAGCGGTATGTCCGTAGAAACCCAGTTGCAGCCCTGTATATATCGAGTCGACTATCGCCCAGTCGGTTAGACCCCTTATCCAAGTACATCTCCCAGAATGCCTGGGATAAGATATACCGTGGGAGAGGCTTAATGAAGATACGGTTGTGAATCCAGACTAGATGCAAACGGGGCTCTTCAGTGACGATGATTTCGCGCCCTTTGACCCGTTGCCGGTGCAGTGGATTGATGTTCGCGCTTGATAATGTGGTCATAATCCATAGGTGCGGTGCCATTTTCTCAAGGTCGTAGGAGCAGAACTCTTTCTCAAGAAACCTTTTCGTGTGGCTAAAGTTGTTAAGCAAGATGGAAGGCTGACCAGGCAAAGAGGTATTTGGCAATGAACTCGCACTAGAGTCAAGATCGTGAACTAACTGATTCTTCTTAGAGAATGGAGACATGATTAGAAAGGAGTGTTTTCTTTTGCAAAATCTGTACAACTTGTTCTCGATAGTCGAAGCACATTTGCTATGCGAATGTAAATCTGCTGGTGGTTAGCGGGGTATATACATTCATTGACTTCGGCAGTGCTGTCCCTGCCTGGTTCAGCCTTACTGCGTATGCAGTACAGCCCAGCCTCAGCTTGGCATTTGCATTTTCAGCCTGCTCGTTATCTTCGAATCTCCGGGTCTCCTCACCTCTCATTCCCACTTTTGCCTGTTCTTCAAACCTCTAGTTTGTGGTTGCTGATGGTTACAACCAGCCATGGTTCGTAGTAGTGGGAACCATACGAAATGTGGAGTTGCTAACGTGGAGCTAGGTACGGCCCGTAACAGATGATGACATCGGCCTCAAAGTGCTCCGGAAGACACCAGGAGACACCGTCGAGTAAGTGAGCGTTAGTAACTAGTATCAGGTGTCTATGCTTATGTTTACTCACTCTAGCATCGTCGCGATTCACGGCATCGGAGCGCACCCAGACGACACCTGGTGTAAGAATGTCCCCACGGCTGAGGGCCCAAGGTGGGTTAACTGGCTCTCTGATGAGGCCATGCTACCTGCTGTAGCACCTCACGCGCGAATTATGCGATATGGATACGAGTCACGGTGGTTTGGAGAAGGGGCCCTGCGGCAGAATGCATCGACGGTGGCACAGCGACTGCTCTTGGCCCTCGGTCTAAAGAGAGAGGTACACATCCGCGACTGCATCAACACTGAACGCGTAGTTGTACATTGTATCCTGATTTCTTTAGGAAAATCCAAAGCGCCCTCTTATCTTCATAGCACACTGTTTTGGTGGATTAGTTGTGCTGAAGGTAGGCAACAGATCGACACAATTATAAGTCCTAGCTAACATGATAAAGGCCCTCGTGGAAGCCCGGCACCACGAAATCGACTGGCCCGACGTGTTTGCCTCTACTACCGGTTTAATATTCCTTGGTACGCCCTTCAGGGGTACGGACGAGATGAGCCAGACCGAGATGTTAGAGGCAGCACGGAGGGAGTATGAGGAAGATGACATACAGCCAGAAATCCTGAGGATATTGGAGCCAGGAAACGAGATTCTTCAAGATGTTGTGGAATCGTTTGGAAAGACACGAAGGCTTGAAAAGAAAGCCCTTGTTGCCTGCTTTTACGAACTGAAGCCATGCAACGTGGGAAAGATCGTAGGAAATCAGAAACGAACGGTAGGCAATGAGACTGAACCTGTGCACGTCTAGGCTGACTTTCTTTGGAAGCAGTTTGTAGTGAATAAGAGCTCTGGTTGCCTCGATATATCAGAAGGCATGGAACATGTCTCGCTCTCAAGAACGCATTTTGACATGAACAAGTTTGGGAAATCGTCAGAGGAAGACTTTCAGATGATGGCCGCAGTGGTAAAAAAGATGGTCAAAGCCTCTAATGGGCCCATGCTGGCTCGATCAATCAGTAAACTGGCCCCACAAGAACAATACAACGGATAATTGGCTGATATTTACTCAGCTTCTGAACCCATTGGTGTTAAACATCCAGACTCCGTTTCCTCATGCAATAAAGCAATGACTGCCAGCAGCTGGCGTAATTTTAGACTGAGAGGAATTCCGATGGAGTTTCAACGCAAGGTAGATGTTTGTGACTTTATCAAGAACATTCTCTCCATGGAACGGGACGCCAGTTTAGTAGTGCATTCACTTGCCGTCAACCCTATAGACGGTCACACCAAGGTCGCAACTCTCAGCTTCGACACGCTGCCTGCGTCTTTATCCAACGACAATAAAAACGAATGGGTATTTGGTATGCCCGAGAATGCATCTTTCAATGGGGAAATCTTGAATCACAAAGGACGCCTGGTATTCGATACTCATTTTTCAGGCTTCACGCCTCTTCATGACGCCGAAGATGATTGCTATGTCGAGTAAGTCAAACAAGCGTTCAATGTAGAACAACTAATTGATCTGTTATTTCAGTGTAATCGCGATATCTGGTCCAGGTGATGCTTTCGATTCCTTCCAAGAAACGGACGGGCCTTTCATGTGGCTTCGTGACGCTCTACCACTGGACTTACCTAAAGCGAGAATTTTCATCTATGGATATAATATTCGAGATGGTCAAAGTGACTCCTTCACGACCTTGGCCACTCTAGGTCGAGAATTTGAAATCGAAATACAGAATGTTCGGGTATGTCTACGTTTACGCGCCACTCTCATCGCTTCAGCTAAAGTTCTAACTAGCGCACTCGTCAGTCTCGCCCGATAGTATTCATCGGGCATGGTGTTGGCGGCCTCCTCATTAAGGAGGTTTGTATTCCCGCCCAACTTATAGCAGTCCTTTCGCCGCTTACAATTGACTTTAGGCTGTGGTCCAGGACAAAAAGAATATCGAAGGCAACTCGACGGCGATACTAGATGTCACTAATGGGTTTTTGTTCTTCGGCGTTCCCCATTTGGGGCTTGCTGCTGGATCATTTGCTAAATTGTTACCAAATCACTCTCAGTTGTACACGGAGGGTCTCAAATGGAAGTCAGTACTACTTCAACAACTTGAGAGCGATTTCAAGGCCGCACTTGGCCCCATGGCCCCTGAAATTATCTCCTACCTCGAAATCGAAAGATCTTCTATGAAAAATAAGGTGTGTCGAAACAGGGTCTATATTTTGACTATATTCGTAAAATGTGGCTGATACTTTGTGTTAGAGGACTGATGGTGTACTGGAACTCTCGGAGCTCTCTCGCTCTTTGGACGTCATAGTCAACCACTTATCTGCGACATGTGGCAGCCACCTCCAATACCCAGTGGATCAGAATCACTCGGAACTTGTGAAATTCAGCAGCGAATTTGATATTTTATACAGCCATGTCAAACTTGGTCTGCTGCCAATGGCACTCAAGAGGTTGGATCATGATATTAGAAGTAGAGGCCCTCGAGATCCTCGTACGTGTAAGTGTTGACCCTATGAGTGCCCAGTTTTAACAGCTCTGTAGCATCGCCACCACTGTCTCAAGAGAATATAGGTTGGTAATTGAACAACGCCTTCATGAAGCCACTGATGTAGTTTAGATTGTCTGAGATCACTCTCCTTTCAAGAACAGGATTCCAGGTTTAACAAGATACATGTAACAAAAGGCACTTGTAGCTGGTTCTTGGACGACCTTCAAACTCGAAAGTGGATCAACAATTCACGAGGGCTTTTCTGGGTCAAAGGGAATCCTGGGGCAGGAAAATCCGCTCTCATGAAATCTGCTTTTGCCCAAATGAATCAGATGAATCAAATGAAGACTGACGAGCTGCTTCTTCGTTTTTTCATACATGGCAGAGGCACCTTTTTGCAAAAGTCGCCTCTTGGCACCTTTCGCGCCCTATTAAACTCGATGCTCAGCCATTTCCCCGAATATCTCTCCGAGCTGACCGAGCAATTCGAAGATCGCGAGAAACGCGTCGGGTCTTATCATGAGAAAAGGTGGGACTGGGACGAGAAAGAGCTACGAGAACTCATGTCAAAAGTCCTGGTCCAGGGAACACACCATCGATCAATCATTATATTTGTCGACGCACTGGACGAGTATGGAGAGGATCTTGCGAAAGAAATGGTGAGGTATTTCAAAGATCTTATGAAAGATGTTGAGCGCGAGAAAGCCCAAGTCAAGATCTGCTTTTCTTCTAGGCACTACCCAATCCTTGGTCATGACGAGATCCCGGCGGTTCTTGTAGAGAACCGAAACGAGAAGGATATCAAACTAGTTACTAAAGACTTTCTGAAAGATATCAAACCGGTAGCCAAACGGGAGCAGTTTGAGAAGGAGATCCTTCGCAAGGCTCAAGGGTCATTCCAATGGGCAGTCTTAGTTGCCACTATAGTGAGGGAAGAGAGTATAATTGGGACAAAGGCAGATCGAATTGCCGGAAAGTTGGCATCTATTCCGAAAGACCTCGACGGGTTATACACTGAGATCCTCAGAAATGCGACTGATTCTGAAAGGGATCAGATGATCAAGCTGTCCCAGTGGATTTTGTTCAGTGAGCGCCCTTTGTCAGCACTAGAACTTCGGGATGCATTGGCAACCGATCAGGACATGGCTTATTCAGGCATTACTGAATTGAAAGAACATGAGGTCTGGGTCAAAGATCTATCGCAGTTTGAGACGCGGATCAAGCATATTTCCAGAGGGCTGGTAGAATTCCAGACTCCTGATGTATGGGAGCAATACGATCCCGACGAGAACACCCACTATCGGGAAGCGCAATTCATTCATCAATCCGTTGCCGATTTCATTCTCAACAACGTTCTCAACGATACCAAGCGTCGTCATGGCAGCTCTTACTCTGAAATTGGAATCGGCCACTACCAAATCTCAAGGTCTTGCCTGAGATATCTTGCGATTGAGGACGTTTTACAAGGCCATCAACTCTCTCGTGGAACCCTCTCGGTGAGGTTTCCACTGGCTCCATATGCAGTAAGATTTCTCTTTAAGCATATCCAGACAGTAGAACAAGAGCGAATACCACAGCTCGACCTTCTGTCGCTTATTCAATGGGCGCCACAGTCAGAACCATTGCAAAGACTCGCTCACGTCTGGAAAGTCTTGGACCCCAATTCTGCCTATGCGCCTATAGGCTGGCCCTTCGTCAAAGCAACCTCTCTCCATGTTTCGGTTGCTTTTGGTTCAAAAAGTGCCCTCATGGCATGTCTCCAGGAGGACGATGGGGGAATCAATAGCAGAGATTCTGAAGGGAATACTCCATTGCTTCTTGCTATGCGAGAGCACCACCAAGATCTAGCATTAGCACTGTTAGATTGGTCAGTGGAAACACAGAACCTCCCTGAGAATTCATTAGCCCAGAATACCTCAACACAAAATTGGAGCGCTCCGAAAACAAGAAAAGCTGCGGACATCAATGCTGAAAACAAAGATGGCGAAACCCCTTTGACTATTGCTGTAACTGGAAATGCTGAACAAGTATTTTTAAGGTTGATTGAGCTCGGCGCTGATCTCAAGTTCTTTGGACGAGAATCTGCGCTAGTACAATACGCTGTTCACATCAGAAACGAGAAACTTCTCTTGAAACTCATTGAGAAAGGTGTTCCGCTTGATGGAGCTGTGTACATTGCTGTCAAGGAGCTTGGCGATCGAGACGCTGCAACTCTTCGGAGTATTTTGTCGCGTTTGCTAGAGGCTGGAGGTGATACAATAAGATCTGCATCATTTGACAGAGCCCTGGAGCATGCCAGTGAAGATGACGAGTACGACGAGTACGACGAGTACGACGAGGACGACAGGTACGACGGGTACGACGGGTACGATAAAGAAGCACTATGGTGTGCGGTACGAAGGGGCCAGACAAAAATAGTGGATCTCCTGCTCTCCCACGGTGCTTTACTTGCATCGACAGATTCGGATGGCAGAGGCCTGTTAACCTATGCTGTGGAAAATGGCAAGACAGAAATAGTAGAACTCTTGCTCTCCCATGGCGCTACACCTGCTTTGACAAATTCGGATGGCGAAGCCCCGTTAAACATTGCTGTGCGCGGCGGCGAGACAAAAATAGTAGAACTCTTGCTCTCCCACGGTGCTTCACCTACTTCGACAGATCTGGATGATGAAACCCCGTTACACGCTGCTGTGCGCGGCGGCGAGACAAAAATGGTAGAACTCTTGCTCTCCCACGGTGCTTCACCTACTTCGACAGATCTGGATGATAGAACCCCGTTACACATTGCTGTGCACGGCGGCGAGACAAAAATAGTAGAACTCTTGCTCTCCCACGGTGCTTCACCTGCTTTGATAGAATGGAATGGTGAAGCCTCGTTGCACTTTGCTGTGCGCTGCGGCAAGATAAAAATAGTAGAACTCTTGCTCTCCTATGGTGCTTCACCTGCTTCGACAAATTGGGATGGTGAAGCCCCGTTACACATTGCTGTACGCAGGAGGTATGACAGAATAGTCAAACTCCTGCTACAGAGGGACGTATCCTTGGTAAACGCGAAAGATAAAAACGGAAAAACACCGTTTTCATTAGCAGTGGAGGATCGCAACGAGGGCTTGATCAAGCTGCTGCAGGAGACTGGCAAGGTTGATTTCAACTATAGAGACAGCCGTGGGAGGACTCTACTAATGCTAGGCCTGGAGACCGGCAACAAGGCTTTATTCAAGCTGCTGGTTGAGACTGGCAAGGTCGATTTCAACTGTAAAGACAGCTATGGGAACACTCCGCTAATGATAGCAATAAAGACCGGCAACGAAGCCTTGGTCAAGCTGCTGATTGAGATTGGCAACAGTGGTGTTGCCCTAATGAAGGATAGCAAGGATAGGGTAATGCTGCTGGACTGGGTGGGGCAAAATGGTTACGAGTCTGTACTTCAACAGCTCCCTGAGGCTAACTTTGATTTCAAAGATAGCAAAGGAAGGTCGCTACTATCTTTGGCGGCTGAGAGAGGCTACGAGCTTGCAGTCAAGCTCTTACTTGAAACCGGCAAGGTTGACATCAACTCAAAAGACGTCTTGGGGATAACACCGCTACTCCTCTCACTTGAGAGGGGCCATGAGAGTGTTGCCAGGTTGCTGATCAATACTGTGGAAGCCGACATTACCTCAAAGGACTGTTATGGGAGGACACCGCTATCCTTAGCAGTAAAAAATGGAGACGAGACGGTAGTCAAGTTGCTGCTTGAGGATAGCAAGGTCAGCCTTTCCTTGAAGAGCTTCGACAGGAGTACGTTGCTATTTTCGGCAGTGTCAAGAGGCCATGAGGGTATTGTGAAGCTGCTTCTCAAGTCTAGTGAGGCTAATGTAAATTTGGAAGCCTTTTACAGGAGGAAGTCAATATTTGTGGCGGTAGAGAGGGGCTTCGACGGTATAGTTGAACTGCTGCTTGGGGTTAGCAAGGTTGATATCAACTCGAAGAACGAATACGGGATGACACTGCTATCCATAGCAGAAGGGACAGGCCGCACGAATATAGTCAAGATGTTACTTGAAAAAGGCGCTTGACATTGCCAAAGGAGAAGGCTGGGGGTCCTGAGCTGCAAATAACCGCCACGAGCAGATGTTTTAGCATGGAGTCAAGAACTAGCATACCACTTTTTCAACACGACTCTGCTCTGAATTTCTACAATGATCAAAAACAATGCACTTCACGGTTCCTGTCTGAAGTCTATTGGGCAAATATTACGGCCTCGATATGGCAGTATATGATGTCCACGACATGCAATACGAAATCCCCCTTTGCTGCCTGCCAATACCTTCGATAGCAATGCGCCGACGAAGACTGAGATGAGTGCAAATATCGCAGGATGAAAGAAGCTTGCTGTTTGCATGCTACGTTTGAGGAACTGGGATTAGAAGGTAGCCTGAACAGAAATCCGTACATATTTGCGTCGTCCATTACAACTTCACGTATCTAGCCTCGGATTACCTAAACATAGTAACAGAGAGGTCCAAGAGGATGCCCACACACTTAAATACATGCGTGCATGTCTATGTCCTGAGAGATACACCCTAGAACACGTCCAGATTGTCCAGAAGAGGCAAGTGCATATAGCCTCACACGAGCTAAAGTCTAGTAGAGAAACGTGGAAAAGACGTCTTTGCCCCCTGGTACTGTTCCTTTCACCTACACCCTGGATCGCCTCCTCTCTGCCGCCAACTGGCGCGAAAACAGTCATCGGGGCCGTAGGCAGCTTTTTAAAAGACAACTCAATTTGTCTATAGAGAATATATCAATGTGTTACAAGCGATAAGCAAAGGAAGCAATGTTTCACCAGGTCGTTTCCTTGCCAAACTGGTTAGACATTGTAGAAATACATGATTTAGCGAGGATCTGGCAATTACGGATTCCATTGAACCCGTGGACTTCCCTGGCAAGTCTGAAATTTCATACCAGAACACTTTTGTATCGTTGATAGTATCATTTCTAAGTTTTTCTCCATGATCTAGTAGCTATTTTCTGAGTGAATGCAAATGGCTAATAACATCTTCTGGAAATCTAAGTCCTCTTCATTGTTTCGATAAGGGGCTCAAATAACTGTCAGTATTTGAGTTAGATTCTGGCATCCATATACAAATCTATATCTTTATTAGGCAGACTGACGGGGGCCGAGACGAGTGAACAGGTAGACTATAAGGTAGTGTTTACGGGGAATGATATATACCTAGGTACGAATTGGGTATAGCTCGGGTGTAGCTCCGTCAGAGGGTCAGAGGAGAGGGCCCAAGCTCTCTTTCCGATTAGAGGAACTTCGTCTCTAAATATCCCGACGACGAATCAGATAACTAATATCTACTATTACTATGATTCCTTTATAATTTTTTCTCTTTCCAATCCCAAATTTTAACGGACTTGCATCGCATTCAAAAATATTGCCGAGTCGATCCTTTCCCGTCAGCGAGCTGAGCGTTCCCAAGAAGCTAAAACAACGGCGGGCGGGCGCAGGGCAGTACACGCGCCATCTACTAATAATACTACCAGCCAGGCCAGGTAACTACACCCAACTACGTGACTTCCCAATCCACCCCAAATCTACCTCACCACAACATCTACCCAACTACAGCGACCCCCATCACAACGCCTCTCTAGTTATCTCCACTCTGACATTGACACCTCACGACTTATACCCCCCCATCCGACCTTCATTCGCATCCAAATGCCACTTTTCCCCTCCCGAGAGACATGATCGCGTTCTTCTCCCCGCAACACCTACCGCCGCCGCCGATTCCCACCTCTCCCCTCAGCGGTGGAGGCCTAGCTTGAACTGAACATGGCTGTACCAACCCGCCCACATAGGTCCTCCACCGCCGCCTCGAGGGGACCTCCTATGAACAACCAGATTGCCGAATTACGATCCCTCGCCGATGACCTCATAAAAGCTTCCGAGACCTCCCCTCCCACCCCCGAGCTCCTGCAGAACCAGAGCAACGCCCTCCGCCGCATGCGACAGCTTTTGATAGACTCCCACGAACAGACACAGACCAAGGATGCCTTCCGCTACGTCAAGGGCTTCGATGTCTTGCTCCTCACCCTCCGCTCCATCTCTGGCTTCTATAAGCCTGCCGACCTATCCCCACCCGACCGCATCGACTTCTTCGAGGTCATCAAGGCAACCCTAGACGTATTGTCGGACGCCCTAAGCGAACATGCCGGGAACAGGAGATTCTTTGCAAAGCGAGTGGAACAAGGCGGCTGGCTTGCATTGGAACAGGCACTTGGAAGTACCGGCATCTTTGGTGGCCAATCCAAAAGTACACGGGACGACGCTGGGCAGGAACAGCTATTTGGCTTACTGTTCGCCTTTGCTTTAGGAGAGGAGTCTATAACACGAATCTTCCGTGATATCGACAGGAAGGTGGAGCAGACACGGCAGAAGCAGGCCGACAATGAATCCGAGCAGCCAGGAAAGGCAGAAGGCGAGACTGATGATCAACAGACGGCGGGGACAATGGTGGAGAGCCCACGATCTGTATCCAGCGATGTGGACGGGGACGTGGAAGTGCTGCGGGAGCAAATCAAGGATATCTTCAGCGGGAATGAGGTTCTTCAAAATCCAGACATCATGCCAACCATATTGCATTTCTGGCTTGGTCTTTCCGGACAGGATGCTCCCGGGACCAAATCCAGGCCTTTGTCAATCTCAGTCCTGCTCGCTATACGGCAGATCGCTGCACTTTCCTCATACAATAAGGCGGCATTGCATTTGACGGGTACCTTGAGCATCGTCCTTCCACTGTTGTTTGACGACAAGTGCTCTCCGATAGAAGCTGGTCTTCTAAGACAGCTGGCCGATGATTTAGTCGAATACGGTATTAATCGACTTGAAGATGCCTATTATCTGTTTCGAAAGGCCGAAATATCTGCAACTGCAGCCGCGTTTCTTCTCCAAGGCATGGAAAGCTCTCGAGGTTCACCATTTATCCAATTCGACCTGTCTCTGCATGGCTTCAGTGCCATTGAGCTTCCCGAGCTCGGTCGTCCCTTTCCACCAGTCAGTCCTGGAAGCGGCTACACCTTCACCGCTTGGATTCGAGTGGACAAATATGACCCCAATTGTCACACTACGATATTCGGCGCCTATGATGATACACAGACTTGCTTTTTGATGGCATATCTGGAAAAGGATACACGATGTTTTATCCTTCAGACCTACATGGGTCACTCCTCCGGCATAGTACCTAGTGTTCGTTTCAAGAAAGCACCCCGGTTCGTCGAGGGGAGATGGTACCACATTGCTATCGTCCATCGACGGGCTAAAGCCATGGGCCTTGGTGCACATAAAGCTTCCCTCTATGTTGATGGTGAATTCACTGAGTCTATGAAGGCTCATTATCCCTCTCACCCGCCTGTTCTTGAAAGTAGCCATGAGAGCTTCGCATCCATCACCTCTAATAGTTCAAAACAGCATCATGTCCTTGCGTTCTTGGGAACTCCTCGCAACCTTGCACCACGTCTGGGACGAAACGTTCTTAGCTCAAAGCTCTCAATTGCATCTTTTCATCTTTTCGCGGAACCCTTATCGGACGAGCTAATTGCCGTGTATAATAAGCTCGGCTCACGGTATAGCGGGAACTTCCAAGATCGCCTTGGCTCGTTTCAAACATATCGCACATCAGCGGAATTACATGTGCAAAATGAAATGCTGCATCCTGGGAAGGAAGAGAGATCAGATATCGTCTCTGCCATACGGTCAAATGCGGGGCACTTACTACCAGAATCCAAGGTCTTGCTCAGCTTCTCCCCCACCTCGGTCATGGACGATGATGATAGGAACGCAATCGACGAGTCGCAATTGATCAAGTCCTTATCGAAAGAATCTGCAAAGACCTTGCATCGCTACACTCGAACATATGGGACTCCGATCATTATCAACGCAGCTGTTCCTTCAGTGAACGACGCACTTTCTCAACCTCGTGGATTCGGGCGATTGTCGGGCGACCCTGTTGTTGTAGTACCGCAATCCCTGGACGAGGCCATCTGGAGAATCGGTGGTTGCGCTGCCGTAGGGTTGCATCTTGTCCAAGCAGCACACAACTTGGACGATCTCCTACGCGCTGTCAAGATTCTACTCGAATCTGTTGAAGGAAATTGGCGCAATTGCGAGGCGATGGAGCAGAATAATGGCTTTGCCGTTCTTGCAGAAGTTCTTCGCCAGAAAGTCAATGCCGCTATGCCAGTGTTTGGAAAGTATGTGGAATATGAAACTTCGACCATGGAACGTGAATCTTTTCTACTACAGCTGTTGCAAGTCGTTTTACGCTTCGTAGGTTATGATGCGACGCACCCTGAAGAATCCCTCATTATCAATCCTTTAGCATATCGAGTTTTGCTTGTTGATCTCGAGATATGGCGTCAATCGACTTCCGTAGAAACGCAAGCGCTGTACTATAATCAATTTGTACACTTTGCGAAAGAAAGTAAACATCATCATTACAATGCCAAACGCTTTCATAGAATTAGTAAGTCGAAGATCTTATCATGCTCACTTCCGACTAGATCCTCTGACAATCGAGCTAGGAGTCGTGCGACGTTTAATGGATGCATTGAAAGCCGAGTCCTTTACAGCTCAGATATTTCCGCTGTTTCTCAAATCCTTCAAAACTCTCCTCGAAATTAACTTCAACGGCGAGAACTCTCGTTCGCTTTCTCTATTCATCACCTACGCACTGCAAGACAGTCGGTCGAGCTATGTGAAACGCACTTTACGACCGAAGGTGAGCGTTCGTCGCCTTCGAAGGGGCACACCACCAACGGGCACACCGGGTACAACTCCCCGCTCCGACAGCCCAGGGCAAGAGCCAGCCTTACCCTCTGGCTTGCCCCTAGCAGAGTTGGGCGTCTCGATCCTCCAAATGCTTGCCGACCTCCTGTGTGATCCTTCCAATTACAATGAGATCACGCGCTTCGCTAAGAACGTGACTGGAAAGGTATGTTAGTTCGAAAGCAATGTTTTCTTTTCTAATCTTGTGGTAGTGGCTGCTATATTTGCTTGCTGAACCCGATCAGCGTGTGGTCGTGCTTGGAGCCAAAATTCTTGCACGGCTGCTCGTTGCCAATGGACCTCTTTACGTAAAGAAGTTTGCAGAGAGGACCGGAGGATTCGTTCTCATGAAAAACAGATTGAGACATTGGTGGAACACACCAGGAATTTGGACAATATGCTTTGCTATCCTGTTCGACCGGGATGTTGCTACTATCGACTTTGAGCGCAACTTCGATGCCTTCAATCTTGGGGATATCTTTTCAACGCAAACAAGACTTCGCATAGTCTATCCAGATATCTTCCCTGTGATTGTTGCTATGCTCGACACGGGCTTGCGTGCGATAGTTCGAGATCCGGCCAAGTCTGAGAACGAACCACCAAAATCGGAGAACGGTGAAGCGCCAGTAACACGGGGTAGGCGGCGAACAATGTCGTTGAAGGATAAACAACCACCCCAAGGTAAGCCACCCTGTTTACTCATGAATTACAGAATCCTAATTTTTTTAGATCCTTGGAAGTCTCAATCAGAGCGTTTGAACGACTATGCCATTGTTCTCAATGCAGCGGTCCAATTTTTAGCGGAGCTTCACTCAAGATCGGAAGTGTTTCGCGATTATGCAGCTACATCGAACTATGTCCAAGAGCTTCTATTTGTTCTCTACCCCGTCATAGTAACTTCGGACAGCGTCAGCGCTGAGACCGAGTTGATGTCGCGCGGCTCCGCTCTGACATTCGAGGGCCAGGATGTAGTCATACAGCCGTTGTCGAAGGCGAACATTCAGCAAGCGCCTGTTGTACGGACGACCAACGTCAATATTTCGCCATCTCCGGACGCTAGCAGAGTCATCCCCTTCCGTAGAGCATCCTCTTTCGTCCTCGTCTCGGCCGATAAGTCGGGTAGCCCCCAACGACCAAACCTGAACCCGGTGGCTTCATCAAATAATGGGTCGTCAGTTGTTGTCAAGGTCGGCAGCACCGTAGTAGAAGCGGTGGTAGAGGTGGTCCTTGGTGTTTTCCAAGATCAACTGTTCTATCGTAAAGATTTCCCGGGCCTCGGACTCTTTTTGAAGACACCACCCGGATTCCAAGAGCACCAAGCGTATTTCGAGTCCTACCTACTGCGACAGACTGTATCTTCGGTCAAAAATACCCTGCAATTGAACCAAGAGTTACTCAAGGAGCCACGTGTTTTGACGAATCTCTCCCGATTCGTTACACACCTGTCCGAAGCAGTTTTCGAAGGATGGTTTCTAGGTGGCTCGGACCCACTGCTCGACTTTGCGGGCTTCCTGCTCGAATATCTGGAACGCCCAGATATTTCCACGATCAAGTCCGTACGATTATGCTCTCAAGCTGTCGGCATGATACGTGGAGTCTTCCTTCGAGTCGTTTTGCTACGCTTAGCGGAAGCAGACAATTCTGATGGAGGGACCAAAACCATCGATATAATTAAGAAGATGGTGTATTGGCAACCGATCATTCTCTCAACGGAAAATACGGAAGGGCTGTTCCTTCGGCTCATCTGCTATCTTTTGTACACCAAACTGTCATCCACCCAGGAAGCTGTTCGATTGGCAGCCGCCAATTTTTGGCGTCTTCTCTTGGTTCAGAAACCTGAGGATACCTCTGCAATCCTTAGCCGAGCTCTTCAAACCGACAAACAAGACCTCTACGATGGCTTCCACAAGCTGATGGAGCTAGACAACGAGACGTTCTTGGCTTGGTTTGATAAGAATAGTGCAGAGCTGGACAGTTTCTTTTACGGAACCATGACCAGGACATGGGAGGATTTCATAAATGACCAGAACAGGAAAACTGAAGACATGTCCCAGAAGAGGATCGCAAAACGCCGCGAGAAGTTGAAGCAATGGCAGGCAGAGGAGAACAGCTCTGAGCGCACATGGACCAGCCATGAAACTGCAACCAATCATTGGAGGTCAAACATCCATGCTTCTGAACGCATCAAACACCAGCGGTTGGTGCAGGATCATCAAGATAATACAACGTTCCTGACAAGCGTGATTGCTAAGCTCGAACGCAAAATCAGGGGCCCCTGTGCATTGTTCGAGGAGAGCCCTCCAACTAAATGGCGGTTGGACGAGACTGAGGGACGCGACCGGCGCCGTATGCGTACCATTGCCGACAGCAATAGCCGTGATCACAATTATCAACCAAAGCGCAAAGAGACTGACCCAGCGTCAAAGCTGAAGCTCGATGCGGCGATTCCTACAATATCGACACCCGAGGTGGTTGGAATCGCTCCTATTCGAAGTCAGTCCGATATGACGGTTAACAAGGACACAACCAAGGAGGATAACTCTGATTCTGACCTCGAGGACGATTTCGAAATGGTCGAAGCCATGTACGAGGACGAAGACGGCTTCGAGGACAAGAATCGAAAAGTCATGAGAAGTTTGAATCGCGGCGATCAGGTTCAATACGTATGCAATATTTCCCGTGTCGTGGGTCTAGAGGCCGTCGAGGGTCTTCTCATTGTAGGCAAGGATTGCCTATATCTCCTAGATGACTTCTTCCAACGCTCGGATGGCGAGATTGTGAGGGTCTGGCAGGCCCCACTCGACGAGAGGGATCCGTATGTCCAGGTCATCGCAGGAAACAAAGCAGCCTCCAATCGTCGCCCTCCAGCACGGGACCAAGACGACACAGCACGCCACTGGAGGTGGAGCGAAGTAATCAGTATCTCCAAGCGACGCTTTCTGCACCGCGATGTCGCCATCGAGATATTCTTCGACGATGGTCGAAGCTATCTTCTAACGGCCATGTCTGCCCCGGTCCGTAACGATATACACCAGCGTCTCATATCACGTACGCCACATGTGATCAAGCCCGAGTTGGGCAACGCAGAGAATTCCTGGCGTCTCGACTCCTTGCGCAATACAGAGGAGATTCCGCAGACACTGGGATCGCGATTCGCGTCCGCCTTCAGCTCTGTTTCGTCACATCCAGTAACACGGAAATGGGTCAAGGGAGAGATATCGAACTTCCACTATCTCATGTTTGTGAACACGCTGGCTGGCCGAACTTTCAATGATCTCACGCAATACCCGGTCTTCCCTTGGGTGATTGCAAAATACGATCAGATCGAGAAAGGCAAACAAGTTGGAAGCTTGCACTTGGATCTCGAGAACCCAAAAACTTTCCGTGATCTTACACGACCCATGGGAGCCCAAAATCCAACGGCGGATAACGTCCTTCGTGACCGATACTCTTCTCTTGCGGAGATGGGCCCTGGTGCCGACCCGGCCTTCCACTATGGAACTCACTACTCGTCTGCGATGACTGTCGCGTCGTACCTCATCCGATTACAACCATTCAGCGCAGCTTATCTTGCCATTCAAGGTGGCAGTTTCGATCATACAGATCGCATGTTCCACTCCATCGCCAGAACCTGGGAATCGGTCTCCAATCCGATAACTGCAGACGTGCGCGAGCTGACGCCGGAGTTCTTCTACCTTCCAGAATTCCTGAACAACGTCAATGGCTACAATTTCGGCTTCCGGTCTGGCGGTGAGACGATTGACAGTGTCGAGTTGCCAAAATGGGCCCATGGTGATCCCACGGTCTTTATTTCCAAACAGCGTGAGGCATTAGAAAGCCCGTATGTAAGCCGCAATCTTCATCACTGGATTGACTTGATTTTCGGCTACAAACAACGTGGAGAGGCCGCCTTGGAAGCCCTCAATGTCTTCCAGCACTGTACTTACCCCGGCGCTATCGACCTCGACGGCATCAAGGATGAGGAGCTGCGCATCCGGAACATCGCCATGATTAACAATTTCGGGCAAACCCCGACTCAAGTGTTCCAACGCCCTCATCCCCAGAAGGAAGAGACCGCTGGCAAGCCAAAGAAACTAGATACTATAGCAGAGTCGTTACATCGGGTACCGGGCATGTTGCTCGAGGCAAATGACCGTGTATCATCGCTGGCATACATCGCCAAGAGTGACCGATTGCTTTGTTCAGCGCCGTTCCGCCACAACATTCCCCCATTGTACGACCGCTACATGGAATGGGGCTTTACGGATGGCTCTGTAAGGTTTTATGCGTCCGATTCGAAGAAGCTGGTTGGCCTGTTTGAACATCTTCATTCCGGACAGCTCACCACATCAATTTTCGTGGATGGCCGGACTCTCATCACAGCCGGCACAGACTGCGTCTTGGAGATTTGGAACGTCGTCAAAGGCGAACGGGGCATGGTCGAGCTGCAGAATCTAGCTGCTCTCTTCGGCCACAAGAGTCCAGTCATCACACTCGCGGCATCGCGTGCTTTCTCTGCATTCCTTTCTGCTTCCCAAGATGGGCGTGTCTTCTTATGGGATCTCAACCGTAATGAGTTCGTACGCGAGCTTGATCTCGGTACTAGACAGAAGAAGAATCCGGTCTCAATCCAATCCGCAAGAATCAATAACGTTACGGGTCACATTGTTCTTGCATGTGGACCGCGACTTCTTGTCCTTACCCTCAACGGCAAACTCCTGCTCGACAAAGATATATGCGATGGGGAGGATGATGCAGACAACATTACTGCCGTAGCTGTCTATGAAGGAGTTGCAAACGAATGGTGCGAGCGCGAACTCATCTTCACCGGTCACCGCAGAGGCGTCGTAAAGGTAATCATCTTTCTACTACTACTATTTCGACACAAAAGACTAACACGGGTAATCTATAGATCTTCCACCTCTTTACCTCCCCGCAAACAGGCGCCTGGGAACTTGGGCTCATCAAGGTCCTCAACCACATCGATTCCTCGCATGAGGGTGGCGCTAACTACGCTGCTCCCATCACGTGCATACTCCCCATGCCACAGAACGTGTATACGGGAGATGAGGACGGTAGAGTCGTAAGTTTCACCTCTCTTCCACTTCCTGAAGTTCTTTCTTTCCGTTCCATGGCGTCTTTTCTATAGCGGTTTCTTTTTATCTCGTGTTATTTTTCTATGGATCTCAGTGCTTTGGACGTTTGAGTGAGTGACTATGCTGACATGATGTGATGCTTTTAGTATGAGTGGGATTGTGTGCAACGTACTGGTTGATTGATGATGCAATGCATGGACGGGGCTACACATGAGATTGCACTGCGAATGAAGAACATAACAGCTAGGCGTGACGCATTGTAGATGCTGGTCTTTCTTGAATGGAAAAGGATAGAAAAGAGAATCGGGGGAGTGTAAGGGCGTGAGAGTTATTTTCACATTGAAAATCTGCGAATAGAAGGAAAATGGGACGGCGAAGGTGGATGGTTTTACTTTACTTTACGGAGCACTGCATGATAGAGACGCATAGTACCCTTCTGGAGAGGAATGAAATGGTGAAATGGTGAAAGATCTGGACTTGCAAAAATCGAATACTGCCTTTTCCTGGACTTTGACTTGGTATGACACTCTTTGAAGATGCGAAGTTATCGACCATGACTTCGTTATACTGCTATACTGTCTGTCCATGTCCTTTCCCAAGGTCGAGACACCCTTTCCGCTTGATGAGACAAGGACCCCTGCCGCATCTCGCATCTCGCATCTGCCCCGTGGTCTCGGTTCTGGCCCCCAAACCCAACAACTCAGCATCCACTCTACCCCAAGGCTTAACACAGCACATTATTCGTAGTAACTAGGTACATGAACATATTACATTTAGGTTACACTGCCCACCAGCCCCGCCTGCACATCTGTGTCCTGCCTGATGCTATGTCTTTAACGCGCTGACTACATTCTATTTTCTTTTTCAGCTTTCCTACTTTTCCCTCGAAGGAACTATCTGTTACTATGGTGTATTCTCGTTTGTGATCGGGAAGAGAAATCCATTGCTTTCTCTATCCCATAACCACGCCCACCACCAACCAAGCAAGAGGAGGAGCAAAAAAAAAAAAAGAGCACCAACAATGCGATGGCTCTCATCGCAGGAAAAGCCTCCAGCATCAACCTCCATTGACGTCGAACAAGGCACGACCACTGCGATGCCTACGCCCAAACCCCAAGCCCCCCGAGGCTTCCCCTCCCTCTCGACATTCATGTCCCACAACGCGCAGTGCGAGTCCTTCATCTTCAAGCGCTTCGACCGGCTCGCAGCCCGGAACCTCTTGTACATGCAATCCGAGCTCGCGGCGCTCGAGGCCCGGCTCGACGAGCTGGACGCCGAGGACGCGCTCGATCCGAGAGGGTCGGAGGCGAAGAGGAGTGCGCGGATGTGGGAGGAGTTTGAGAGGCTCGGTGGCGGTAGTGATGGGGATGGGAGTCCGAGGATGAGGGAGAGGTGGGAGGTCGTTATGAAGATCAGGTCTACGCTTCGTGAATACCGTACGTCTCTATCCTCCCCTACCATCCCCTTACTACTTCTCACACCACATAGACGAAACTCTCCTCCTCCAATCCCGCATCGCGGCCCTCGAGCCCCCCTCCGCACAGGTCCTCGAAGGCTTCAACGCCGAATTCGGCGCCACGCCCGCGAACCGCAGCTTGCTAGGCGCAAGCAAGAACATCTACGACGCGGAAGACGAGGACAAAGTGCGCGATCTCGCGCAGCTGTACTCCACCGAGCGGCGGGACCCCGTGAGCGCGTTTCTAGTCAAGTACATGTTACGCTGGCTACACGTACGCACTTTCCCCCTCCCCTCTTCACCGCCCTATCAAAGCTGACCAACTCAAACAGAAGAAACCCGAAGCATCATCGCAATCCGTAGCCCACAGCCGCCTAACGTACGTCCACACGCCTCGCCTCGACGCCCTCGTCGAACTCTTCTACGCCATCCTGAGCGTGTCGCTGCTGCTCGGTGCGATATTGGGGTTGTATTTTGTGCATAGTCCTGCGTGGCGGATCGTGGTCATCGCGCTGTTTACGCTGGTGTTCGCGGCGTCTGCTGCGTTTTTGAGCGATGGGAGGAGGTTGGCGGTGTTTGGGGCCAGCGCGGCGTATGCGGCGGTGTTGGTGGTGTTTGTTAGTGGGGAGATGGATGGGGCGGTCAGTGGAGGGGGGAGAGGGTAGCGATTGGTATCTGTTTGTGATGGTAATGCTTTGGGCTTTCTTTTGGGCAGAGGGAGTTGGGTCAGGAGTTATTGTCGTCAATCTTTGGGGGTTGGGGGACTGGAATCCTGGAGAATTGGAGTTCGGGGGACCCGGTGGAGGATGAAATGACATATGGAGAAATCTATACAAAGGAATGGAGATACGCAACGGCATGATATGGCACGGTAGGATATGGTATGGCAAATTATTAGAATATCTGGTTGATATCAAAAACGAAGTTTACGGCCTTTGTCGAGTCTCACTCCATGAATGTAATGGGTGCCAAAATCATTTACCTACCTACTTAACTTGCACCTTGAAAAAAGAATGAATTAATGCAGCATAGCGAGATACAGTACGATCCACTGCTTCTCTTTGCTGTCTGCCGTACCTAAAGTTTAACACTCGTTGTATTGCTTAATGCTGGGTTGACATGCGTTGCGTGATGATTGGCTGGTGGGCTAACCTCCATAACCGCCGCTTCACGAGTCACAGCAACAACAACAATTAGTCACGAGGAGGGCAGAACGATATGCGAATCTTGGGGGCCGAAATGGCGGGATGGGAGGAGTATGTGAAACAATTGATGAGTCTAGCCAGGCCCCTGCCCTGCCATGTGCTGTGCTGATTGCCATGTGCTGATTGCCATGGACGCATTCACACAATTACTTCTCGCCTACACAGCGGAAGTTTCTTTCCCGTATTATCCGCCTTGCTCCGATCATTTATTGATTAGTAGTATACCACGAGCTGAGAACAGGCGCCCCAGGTGTAGGGGAGGGGATACAGAGAGAGCGAGAATGGGGGCCATTTTCCAACATGCGCTAACATGTAACTCGTGCTGTGCCTCAATCAATGTCTTGACCCGGTCTCCTACTACTGTACCACGGTATGTACCTGAGCGGCACGGTACAGCGCCGGGTTCTAAGAAAAGTAACACACCAACACAAACTGAAAAAGAGATAGAGAGGGGAACACGAAATGCAGCCTTGCTGATTCATACGATATCGTTTGATAAATCAAGTATTTGGGTCGTCCGACGACATTCGTGCAGCTCAACACCACCTAAATTAATTCAACATCACATTTTCATACTCAACCTCAACCCACACGCAGGAAACCCAACAATCAACCACTGCCTGCCTCTCCCCACATCATCAATGTCGGTCGACATCACCACAATGTCCCAACCCACCGGCCTCGGGCTAGGAAAAGACGTCCTATCCGCCCCCGTCGTCACCATCATCGAGCAAAAAGACGACACCCCAGAAGACATAGACCTCGACACCACACCTCCACCCACCAGACGCAACGCGAGTCCCAGTCCCTCGAGGGCGAAGAGACCGCGTCCCGTCGCGAGTCCGCCGCTATGGGACATGAACGACCGGAGCTTCGAGGACGTGCGACGGCCGCCTTTGCGGAAGAGACCTGGTGAGTCAGATCTGCGTTGCTTCGATGATGCTTGATATTGCTTGTTTAGATCCTTGCTCTGAGTGTGTTAAATTTAACGCATGCATGTCGGACACGGTGATGCTGACTATGATACGCAGGTCCCCCGCCAGCTCCCACCGCGGCGGAGATCCTCGAGGCGAAAGAGGGGCAGCTTATGGAGGAGGAGGCGGCGATGAGGAAGGAGCTTAAGGGGAGGCTTTCGGGTGCGGAGGTCGAGCTGAAGCTTAAGGAGATCTTTGGGGAGAGGTGGAAGGCTTTGCAGGATGAGGCGGAGGGGGTGGGAAGATAGGATCTTTTGAGGACGGGGGGAAAGTGTGGAATGTAGTGCGAGGGTGAAAGGAATAAAAACGCAATATAGAAGGTTAATGAGATTCAACAAAAATGGTTTCAATCATTGTTCAAGTGTAAGAGACTTAAGGTCATCGTGTGCGGTAGGTGGTGTACTTCGTCTAAAATGAATTGATTGTAGGTGTAAGGAGATAGAATATCATCAGCGCTAGGAAAGATCGAATAGTCTTTGGTGAAGCGCGTGAGAGAAGGAGCTGACCTTTAACATAGTTTTGAAAATATTTGCATTTAACACAGGTAGCTCAGGACTTGAAGTTCAATAATTAAATATCTAATAATATATGCGTGGTATCAATAAACATAATCTAATTACACGTAACTCTCATCAAGCCCGACGACATACTTCTTCCACTCCCTGCACCGGATTATACGGCCCTTGCCCTTGGTGCCTCTTCACGTCATCAAAGGAGTACAGCTTGGGCTTCACTTTTTTCATGGCCACCTGGTCAGCTAGGCCCAATGCAACTTCGCCCTGAGGGAGATCGTAAAGGACGATGAGGCGGCGAAGGAACGTCACGCCCAGGATGTGGCGATCGTTGCGGTCCACGGGTCGCATCTGGCCCTGGAAGCCATTGGTAATTGCACGGGACTCGGCAGAGGGGAAGGCGTTGATTGCTGGAGGAGACTAGGTCAGTAACTGTATGGAGTATCTGTAGTTGACGATGAATTCTTACCGTGTGTAGTGCATTTTCCCTTCTTCAGCCATGGTGACTTTCTATCGTCGATCTCTTCCTGGGTCACCTCGCGGATCAGGTCCTTCAGAGGGACCGGGACTTTTAGTTTGCCGATCTGGAAGTCCACGGTCTCCTCCAAGTCCAACCGCTTACAATCAAAAACGGCGTATACACGAACGCTGTTTTCGTGGATCTCGTTGGGGCCGATCTGGTCGACTAAAGTTTTGAAGATGTCGATGGGCACGAACGAACTGTACGTCCCGGTGTCGAGCAGAACTGGCAACGAATCCTTGCAATTGTAAAATGTGTCTTTTCCCTTGTACTTGATTCCGTCAAGTTGTATCACGATTTCCGTTGGTACCTTGAGGGACGCACCATTCAGCAACGGGAAGGTCGTCAGGGCTCCCTTGTAGTAATTCGTAACGTATCCACCGAAGAAGATCTTGCCCTCGAAGTCGTCATGGTCCTTGGTCTCCTCGAACCACATGCTAAATGCATTGGAAGACGTGATCGCATTGTTCTCGAGAACATACGGTAGAGTCCAGTACTTCTGTTGGTTCTGAACCTGCTGGTTCCTGATGAAGCTCAGTCCCACGACGCCGGTGGGGGCGTTGTTCCCCTGGAACTTGGCCTCTGGCTCGAAGCCCCATGCGGCCATCATGGTGACCCCTTCCAGGGTCTCCTCCTTCCCGAAGAAGAGGTCTTCCTCCAAAAATGCCCCCGTGACTTTGGAGTTGTCGTCATATTCGATCGTCACTCCACCCTTCTTCTTCAAGCTATTCAAGCTCGTGCAGAGCTGCTTGTCTACGGCGTCTTTGACTGGACATTTGCACCACTTCCGCGAATCGATCCAGAAATCGCTGCTCCCCGTGTCGATGGATATCTTCATTCCAGCAGTGGGTTGCCCGCATGGTGCAGGGAACAGCAGGTCGGTAAAGTACGGCAGACCCCGACCAGAAAATGGATGCAATATGACATCTTTACTAATGTCCTGTCTTTTTATTCTCTTGACAAGTTGTTGGTCATCTGACACGACGGGTGGTGCTTGACGAGATGTGCGCTGTTCAATGAGTATATTACTTCAATGTATATAGTGGGTAACTTACATTTCTTGAGAATGCAAGCGCTTGGAGAGTGAAGACGCCCACCCATATCAAAATTCTCATCAAGGGTGTGGATGAAGCCATTCTGGCAAGTCGTGCCAGGAAACGAACTGAATTGAGAGGTCGACGATGATGTCCATAAAAAGAAGATACTACAGTCGGAGAATCTATACCTAGATATGCAACACAAAATGTATCAGGGAGATGACCTACAGAAGTACTGTTTGTTCGAGGGGAGGTAGTACAACGCAAGAATGCCTCTAAAAGTTTGCGGCCCCCAAATGCCCATCGCCCTGAATCATCAACTGCGCCCCATCATCCCAGCACGCGAGCCACCACAATATCCAATAAGCCTTACCTCGCCTCTTACGTGGTGTCCATGCTTTTAACACTGGCAAGGGTTCAGCGGCTCGGTCCTTCCTGTTAGCTATTAGATTCGTCTAGGGCTGACACAGAGGATTCGAGCATTAAATTAGACTCCCAAGCATGCAACAAGGATTATAGCAAAAAGGTCCCATCGTAGCTTGTATAACGAGCCTGGCCATATATCGCCCTTCCAGCTCTTTCTGACGTTTCAGTGCTCCGTTTATATATCTTTTTGTCCCTCATTTTGGCCGGTGCGAAAGTATCGCCATTCTTCAAAGATGGCTCCAAAGAAGGATCTCGCTAAGCGCTTTCCCTTCCTCCCATTGTATTTCGTTCGCGCGGCCCAACTCGCATCGTCGCTCGTCGTTTTCTTCATTCTATGGTACTTCCTTTGGGTCCTCCGCAAAGATGGCGCCCCGATACCATGGACGTTCATTCTTGTATGTTGCTGTGCTCTCGAGAACCCTCCCCTCCACATAGTCAAAATAAGCATATCCCACGCCGCAATCGCCACGAGATCAAACCCCAGAAACTGACATGCACCCCACAGCTCCTCTCCATCTCAGCGACCACAATCACGGCCCTCTGGATAACCTCAATGCACCACTTCTTCTCGAACTGGCACCCCCACCTCAACACCTGGCTGAACGGCGCGCTCTTCGCGTGCTGGGCCGCCGGTTTCTCTTCCTTCGCGTGGTGGAGTCGCGGGACGTTGACGCATGCATGCGATAAGCTCAATTGGGGTAGCCAGATGGGTGTGAATATATGCCGATGCTATAAGACGCTTTTCAGTTTTGCTCTGATAGCTCTGTAAGTTCGCCGTCCTTGTCCACGACATTGTACTCGAGGACAGACTCGAGTTGTTTCTAAGCACGCGGCACTGACGAAAAGACAGAGTGAGTACAATAGTAGCCGTAGGGCTCGACAGCTACGCGCTCTACCAGCGCAGGCAGTACGAAAAGGTGCAGCCGACGCTTCTTCCGCCACCGGCGCCGTACGCTTCCGACGGCATGGCTTTGCTTGATGAGTCGCTGAGGGGGTCTGATGGGAGGAGTCGGAAAGCGGGAGGACTGAAGTAAAGGTCGGGGTGTTTATTGATTTGGTGGTTTGCGAGGAGGAACGGGGGCTAGGCTATGGTGTAGTTTATAATGGTCTGCTTCTGAAAAACGTTTTAGAAATGATGTTATGTTATGAATGGTCTGGTAGTGGAATGCTATTAGCTGTATACAACGATAGATGACTCTGCTGAGCTCTCTCCACCCATTATGTTCGCCATCACTTCGCAGCCAAATGATGAGTAGGTAAGCTATGGCTCGGTGCGTTATGAAGATATCTGGAGGATGGTTATTAAAGGGTTTATCGAGGCTACAGTGATGCCGTGATCTTTGTATGCTCTCAATTGTGAGGTCATGTATCAAATGGCTTGGAGGGAGCAGCTGGGTGGCGCGTACAAGCTTTATGTTGCGTGAGATTGGGAGAGGGCACTGCAAGGGTCAGCTCCATAGACGCACAGAGAAGACACCAAACACGCCAATCAGAATTGGGGTCACTGGACAATATTGCATCATATTTTATATTGAAGGAGAAGTGAAAGTGGTGTATATTAATTACATGACGGAATTTCTATCTGTCCTTGAAGTGACCTTGCCAAGTGAAAAGTGGCAAAGTAAAGGTGATAAAACCGCTTGAACCATACTAGAAAAACTCCATCAATTAATCCACCAAGGAAATGTGACCTTTCAATCGATTTGACATTTGAATCAGTCGAAGTAAGGTAAGGATTCGCCATTAATTCCCGGCCTGAAGTTCCTCTGCTTTTTGCTCGAGGACCTTGACGGCAAAGTCAGGGTTGCAGTGGAGGACTTTTCGAATCTCAGGCTTCCGGATCAGCTCGTCGAGATGAGTGGCGATGGTTCGTGAGATAGCATCCAGAAACTTGTCCTCGTGCAGTCACTCCATGAAGAGCTGCACGACGGTCTCAACGAAGGAGTCCGAATCCCAAAACATCTTGCAGGCAGATTCGAACTTCTTGATGATTGTGTCTTCGAAACCAGGAATCTGCAACTTCTCCGCGAGTTGATAGAGAACCAGATGCATGAGAAGCTCTTTCTCGGAGTGAATGTTGACCCAGGGATGGTTGACGGGTTTCGGGTCTCCGTGCTCTTTGGGCTTGCTGCTGTCCGGGTCCTCGACGAATCCCTTCAGCTGGGCAAGCAGTTCGGACGCGCCAGGCTTGTAGTCGCCGACGTATATGAATTCCAGAGCCTTGTAGACGAGCTCGCTACCCATGTATGCCCCGAGGTTGATCTCGTACGAGGCGCTGGAGACGTGGTCGGAAGAGTCGTTCTTGAAGCGGGTATCTGATGTTAGAGAACTGGAATGTTTGGGGGCTTGTGGGAATTTGGCAGAAGGAAAGTCTTGACAGGCAAAGAGACAGACAATATGTTACTTACGTCGATGATCTTCCGGAAGTACTCTGACTTCCCGTACAGTATGACCTTGTGCGCGCGAGTCATTCCTGACCCGCAACGCACCGTCACGTCGGAGAGTTCTCCGGTGGAGAACAGTCTGTAGTTCATCAGTGACTTCTGAGCTATCAGTGAAGAGTGGAGATGCTTACCTCGCATAGACCTTGTTCGGGTCGCCGTCGTGTGTGGAAGCCATCAGTGCAACGGTGGAGGTGATGTGAAGTGGGGAGAAGAAAAGAGAGAGGAGAGAAGAGTGAGAGAAGAAGAAAACCCAACAACAAGGTCACATGACACAGGAAAGCACGGAAAAAGGTTTAGACGCGTCGCAGGTGAAGGTATTGTGTCATTTGTTTACCTAGCCTTGGCCACTTAGTGCGTTGAAGTGAAGGAATCGGTCGCGCTGGGAAGTTTTGTTTTTGTTGGGAGAGGGACAGGGTTTGCGGTGAAAATTTCCTTCCGCTCTCATGAAGAAGTATATAAAAGTAGGGAAAAGATTATCTCTTAACTTGTTTTGAACGAAATTGACATTGTATTCATGGAATCGTTGTATAGATTTGAAGGGGGGATCAAGTGGCACATACGATTTCCTTTCCGAGGCATGTCCATGGGATGACTCAACGTGAGAGACACATCGACGTATCCATCATGAGCATTTCGCATAAACTCCTCTACTATGGGTTCCAAATGCAATAGACTCGTTGCATAGAAGAGAAGGTATACAGTTGCTACGTCTTGGATCATCACGTTGCTCACGTCCGTCTGCTGCCGGAGCCACCATACGCCTTAGAAGATAGATTCACGGGCACTGAGAAGCATGAGCATCCTTACGGACGTGATCACATTGAAATTTGAATGATATGGAGGTGGAGAAATTTCAGTTGCATATTTGAATTCTATGCATTATCGAAGTGACACTATTACATACGAAGTGACTAGGTGAAGGAGACGAACTAACTCCTAGAAAGGATTTATCGATTCTTGTACCTAGAAAACATTCAATTCCATTTAAGCCATGTTCCGGCTCACTGAAAGTGGGAATTGGATATGTTGCTTGGAGATCATGCGATCAGCTTTCAGCGGTGCTCATTTCTGCATCCTCTTTGACTTTCCGCATCTCCTTCTCCATCTGTTCAAGGACGAGGAATGCATACCTTGGAATATCCCTGAGAATTGTACGGATTTTGTCTTTGTGGATTAACTCAAAATGCGCTGCAATCGTCTTTATGATGATGTCTGTGACCTCGTCATTAAGGCAAACTTCTGTCAAGGTATCCGCAGCGGTCTTAAGGAAAGACTCCGTGTCCCAGTATATAGCACAGGCCGATTCCAGCTTCTGCAAGATTCGTTCCTGGAGATTGGAAACCCATAGATTTTCTGCGAAAAAGTAAAACATGGCGTGCATCCACAGGTCCGCTTCAGAATGACAGTCGGAATTTGACCAACGCATGAACTTGGCATTGACATCCGCATCCGATGCGTCTTTCACCTGAGGCAGAAATCCGGACTTTCCAAAGTTGTAATCTCCAAGGTAAATGAACTCCAGGATCTTGTGTATGAACTGAACATCTATGTCGTATCCGAAGGTAACCGAATACGGATTTAAAAGCAATTCATTCAACCTTATCTCGGAAAGATTTTCCTAATACCGAGTAATGTCAGCATACAGGCAGTTGTGTGTAGAATGGATGGAACACACAGTTATTCATCTGCTGAAGTAACTTTCCCTTGATAGCAAGATGAGTCTGTGCACCTCAATCGGATCATCATCCTCATAAGAAATGGAAATGTCGGATAGATCTCCGGTGGAGAGCAAGCTGTATAACGTCAACGTCTTCTGAGTCGCCAGAAAATAGTGGACAAGCTCACCGTGCATAGAACTTTTGCACATCGCGGTCCTGCGTGAAAGCCATGAGTACGACTTAAGCTATTGGCGCGGTGGTGGTTGTTGTAGGTAGGAGGAAAAGGTACGAAGAGAAGGGAGCCCACTCTCTATATCATCTCAGTGCGATAAGAGTAAGCTGCGGATGAGACAGATGGGGGGTGAGTGAAGGCGGTGTGTTGTTTGTTTAGATTCGCCACCTCGGCGTGGTGAAGGTGCAGAAAAGGCCCCGACGTTGGGGACTATCACGTGAGTCTGTGAACGAGGAAAAGAAGCGGGCTCTCAACTGCTCCAAGTAACGTTGATGTTGTGTAGGGAGACTACGCATGCTGCTCTTGATGGCTTTAGAATTGTGTGAGAACTTAGTACCTGAAAGTGCTGATGACCTCACTGGCTGTTGAGAAGGGCGGTGTGTGTATAGTGAGAGCCAGTGAACTAGAAACGCCCTTAGGGCAATCGCACTTGTTGGATTGTAAGGCGCACTTTTTGATATTTTGTCATTCTTTAGGCTGTTTGGCAAGAAAATTACTTGAGCCTTTCCCAAGGACACCATGCATCGCCACCTACTACTCAAATGAAAGTGCGGGTACATAGGTTTCAAATACCTGATGCGATGCAGCACGTGCCATGGCATCAGATGGCTAACGAAGACATCTGCAGCGAGGATGAAGCCAGTGAGAAAAGGTTCATGAGTGTTAAGATTCTCAAGTGTGCTTTCATCGGAGAACAGTGCTCATATTAGACAGAATGGACACCATGCTTCCGACTTGAAACATATCGGGCCTCTTTCGCGGTACCTACGAATCGCATGAAACGCCGCACTAAGGATTCGTAGGTGGGATGTTCAGGATACCCGACACTCTGAGCGAAGAAGCCACTACAACAGTATTTCCAGAAACGCAGGCTAAATACAATGAGATGAGGGAATAACTGGAGTGGGAACGCGACACTCAAAAAGGTGTTACGTATGAATGTACCGACAGAAGAAACTGGAGTGGACGTACTAAGAGGCATCCGAGAGACCCTGAGATGTCATACCAGAACGAAATCAATCGCACCAAGAAAATCAAGGATCATATAGCGAAGGCGCTATGAGGCAATTAAAGGCCACAGACAATGAGGTTTTCGAAGGCTACCTCGAAGACGGGTTGATTTATCTTCGAGACATGTCGCGACCAGGACTCGAACACAAAGAGCCCCGAGGTATTTTTTCGATGTCTACTCTCACCACACTATATACGGCCAGTCTTTAATCGAATCCATGCAACAACACCTCGCATTCAATCCTCTTTGTTGAAATCGTCAAATCATAGGTGCAAGTTGGATTGGCAAACACAGTGGTGACCGAATCTAGTCGACTGAGGATTGCTCGTAATATCTTCCGTGGGCGAGGCAGAAGGAGTGCCGTTAAAATAGCGAGGCAGATTTACTCTTGCATGAACACCATAGATCTCGCAACAAGATTCCTAGAGAGGTATTGAAAAACGGAAAACGAGCAACTTCATAAGCTAATGTATGTTCGCATTACTGAATCATTCAAGACTAACTAGCTATGGAACTAATTTCGCTAGTGTTCGTTTTATGGTAGTAAGTTATAGGAAGAAAAGAAGGCAGTTGGATGTCTGAACAATAAATGTCATGGTGGAAAGTGGGGTTGCAATCTATTCATCCGGATCCTCTGGTTTGTTCCCGATCATTTTTGCAACACTGCCTTGGTCGGTAGTGGTGGATTTCTAGGCGATTCTTCAAACCTCCTTCCACTTTCTACTACAATGTGCCGTATTTCATATTAACGGTACCTTGTTTCTTCATTCTTGCTTTACAAATTGGTGCTGTGTAGCTACGGCGCATAAGGCTGATATCAACCAGGATAAGAAAAGTAGTATGTATATCTTCTAAGCTTCTTTTGCTTTAGAGTGCATACGAGAGACGATTGGTTGCCGTGCGATCCTTTCAGTCGCTAGGCGTTTTACAAATAAGATATAAATGTGACATCTCTGTGCAGTAGAGAGCATCAACGCCCAAAATGTACTTCCATTCACTTGTACTCACAGCTCTATGCTTATCAGTCTTCAGTTCTGCTTTGGAGCAGAGGACTGATGTTGACTTGACTATTCTGACGGATAATGATTTACATGGTAAGAGTTTGCTTCCCGATCCAAAAAAGCGGTTCTGATGCATGCACAGGGAACAAGACTCAGCGACTGGGTGCCGCAATTTTGATTGGCACTATAGGGACTTACGAAGATGCCGTATATATATGCGAAGGCCTTCACGAGAAGCTTTGGTCGCCTGCTCTAGGTGGGTTCCAAGCTGGCCTGAACAACTCTCTGTCCTACGAAGCGTATCTCAAGGACAAGAACAACTCCGAAAGCGTCTACTGGATCCAGCGTACCACGAACTCGACTTCATGCTCGACTATATCAACCAACGGCACTGTACAAGAGAGCTCTTGCAGTCAGCTATTGCCAGCGCTCTGCACTCAGTCTGCACCCATGGCGTACCCAGCATGGGCCGATACGTCTCCAAACTACCGTGTCTCACAAAGGGTTGGAGAGCAAACATTGACCGGCTTTAGAGACTTTCATACATTTCGCTTTCACGGTGTCCGCTTCGCGGAACCTCCGAAGAGATTCGAATTCTCTACAATGTATGAAGGGTATGGACATGCTGACGCCCTGGAGTACGGAAACGATTGCGTTCAAGCACCGATGCCATACCTCGGTACCATGAGCGAGGACTGCCTTTTCATGAACATTTGGACGCCGTACCTGCCTTCAACCTTGACCCAAAAAGTGGCCAAGAAGAAACTGAAGCCCGTCATGTTCTGGATATATGGTGGTGGGAACGTCGAAGGCTCTGGCACTGACCCTGAAAAGGAGGGTGGCCAGCTATCGTCGCGCGGCGGTGTCGTCGTGGTCGAGTTTAGTTATAGGCTGGGAGCTCTGGGGTGGATGTCGTTCGACGATGGGGTTCATAATGGGAACTACGGGGTCTCAGACATGCTGAATGCTCTCAAGTGGACACACAAATATATCAGTGCTTTTGGTGGGGACCCCGATCGCATCACCATCTTCGGGGAATCGGCTGGTGCGTTAGGTGTACGTACGCTATTGACGTCTCCGTTGTCAAGAGATCTAGTCTTCGGGGCAATCATGCAGAGTTTTCCGGCTGGAATACTTGATAATGGAAGATATGGAGGATGGTCGAACTTTTCCGAACCACTACGATGTTATGAGAGGTTTACGAAGACCATCGTCAATGACAGCGGGTGTGGCAATGTTACAGACGAGGTTGCCTGCATGAGGGAAGCCGATCCGTATAAGTGGGTTGAACCAGGACAAAGGCAATCGCAGTGAGTATGCTCGAGTATATGATTTGAAGTCCTTCTAAAATTGCTCAGCTTACCGACTCGAGATGGTGTAATCATTCCATACACCGGGCTGCCTGTATCGGGACCACTTGCGACCCCTCGAAAGACAAGATTGGCCGTTGGCACAACACGAGATGAGGCTGCAGGTTCTATACCAGACAATCTTCCGTTGAATTTCACGCAGCAAATGGCTCTCCTGGGTACCGTATTGGACATAAATCTGGTCTTTCTAGCGAGCGATCCTTCATTCAATCCAGAACTAGGTCCTGGGTGGGCCGACATTTCGAACGAGGAAAAGTCAGGTCGGCTTTTTAATGCAACCCAGCGTATCATCACCGATGGCTCATTCACATGCCTTGCAACGGCAACCGCGTATTCCGCAGCTAGAAATAATGTCTTCGAATCTGTGTATCAGTTCAGTTTCAACAGAACGTACGTTGCACCTTCAGAAGCGACACTTGAGAAGCAAGAACTTTGTGGTAGATTTAAGCCCAAACCCGATTCTGAGGAGTACTATAAATGCCATGCTGCCGAAAACCCTGTTGTGCTTGGGAATGTGGGGTTTCTGGGCTGGCCCGATCGAGACGGGACCGATATCAGTTATTCGCGACTAATTGTTGATTATTGGAGTTCATTCGCTCGAACAGGTGAGATGAGAATCGATATGGAGTACTTAAGAGCGAGAGGCTTCCACTCTACCGAGAAACAACTCTCCGATGCTGGGTCGTGGGACACGGTGAATGCAAACCCTGGTCGAGGCCATAGAATTATGAATCTTCAATGGTCCGGGCAAGCAGTGTCGGAGTGGTCGGAGGAACAAGCAAACGCATGTAGAAAGCTCGGGTTTCCTCAAGACTATTATGAGAGTGTTGACTATCTGGCAAAGTAGTTTGTCTGATGCTAGCTTCAAATAAACAATAAAACCAGGGGCGGTCGCGTTCATTTTCTACGCAGATTTGATGACCCTAAGGTTAGGAAAAACTCAGTAAAATAAACGACGCTGAATGATCAGATATACTGTGCATCATCTTATCCCACTACTGCTATTTGAACTCTCATAATTTAAATTCTCATCATATCAAGGGCATCTTTCGTTTATGCTGTCAATACTTTAACGATTGGGGTTGCACAATCAGCGGGGTGAGGAGCAAGCGCTAGTCCCAACTTATGCTTGTGCCGAGGTAAGGAAATCAAGGTAAGCACCATAAACACTGAAAGGACATATGCAGAAAGGCCATATAAGTTCGCATCGATTCATGTGAACCTGTAAAACGTATTCATAAATATATTTACAGGTCAAACAACCATGTCTAATGCTGCTGATGGCGAGCTCGACGAGGTCAAAGTCAAGACTACCAACCACGGCATTACCACCATCTCTATCAATCGGACTCATCGACGCAATGCCGTGAACAGCGCAACTGCCAAACAGCTATACGACGCGTTCATCGCATTTGAAAACGACATCACTCAGAAAGTCTGTGTATTCCATGGCGAAGGTGGGAACTTCTGTGCTGGGTTCGACCTCCACGAGGTCTCAAGTAGAGATGGACTAGGAAGCGATACCAACGAAGCTACACCTTCCAAGAACGAACCTGTCTCCGGACGCAATATCGGGCCAATGGGGCCATCTAGACTTACTGTGAAGAAGCCTGTCATTGCGGCTGTGAGTGGGTACGCTGTTGCTGGAGGACTCGAACTGAGCTTACTCGGAGACATCCGTGTTGTCGAGGAAGATGCTGTCTTCGGCGTATTTTGTCGCCGTTGGGGCGTACCCCTGATAGATGGTGGAACAGTACGATTACAAGCAATCATCGGCCTTGGAAGAGCTTTGGACATGATACTCACGGGCCGAAGCGTGGGAGCCCAGGAAGCCCTCGGCATGGGGTTGGCAAATCGAGTCGTACCAAGAGGCAGAGCACTGGCAGAAGCTACAAGCATTGCGGAGTCCCTGCTCCAATTCCCCCAACTATGCATGAATATAGATCGCTCTAGCTGCTACTATAGCGCTTTCAATGCAACATCAATGGAAGACGCTCTCAAAAATGAGTTCCATGAAGGGTCGGCAGTGATCTCAAAAGAGAGTATCAAGGGTGCGACGCTATTCAGTAAGGGATCAGGGAGGCATGGTAGCTTTTCACTTTGAATGTCCTTGAAATCAAATTGTACATCATAAATCAGGCATTTGGGCGCATACGTGTTGATGCAAGGCACTGACTGCTCATCGAGCAGCGGTGATGAAATGCTGAATATTGAGGTTAACATGAAGGGAAAGCAAAGAAGTGGAAAGTTCAGAGAACAAGCTGGTCAGATATGAGGCTTCACAATTCTTGCAATATTGATAGATATGAGACTTCAGCAATTGAAAGCACCGGTGTCATTTGGTAAGCTATGATAAGTTACATTCATTATTGATACCGAATTCCTTTCTCCCTGCCTCCCCCCCCCACGCACTGATATGTTACAAGTTGCCTGCCAACCTCCCACAGATGTATCTCGCCCATGGTCCGATTCCAACTGCAAGGTGCAGCAAGGCTCTTTTCGTTTGTGATACGAGACACAGCGGTCATCACGTAGTAGCAGAGGTCCCCATTTTCCTTCATTAGGGACTGAATACCAGGTTGCTTGATCAGGAAATCATGATGCAACACAATCGTGTCTCTAATGATTTTGTAGAGACTACAGTTGGCATGTACATTCGACTTGAAGACATGACGAGCAGCAGTGATAAAGTGCTGACTATACCAGTGCCGAGAGCAACCTAGCTGGAACTTAATCGTAGCAAGGTCCTGAAGACCAGGTATTGCGTACAGAGCGCCACACTCATGTAGCTTGGCATGAGTGATTAGTTGTTCGGCTGAATCATGAAAGAATTGGAGGCATCTTTCACAAACAAAGCCTGAACATCCTCCATGACAGTGAAGGCCGCAGACATGATGACTGCAGTCCCTTGCATTGCATCCGGAACTGCTACAAGTATGGGGGGGCGAGAGAAACGGCTCGTAGTCGCCTTGGTACAGATACTTAATCATTGTTTGCACGATTGATTCATCAGCATCCGAAAGATCGATGCTTTTCCTGGTTTTATCCTGTAGTCGAATTAGTCCCGCAGCTAGACACGAGAAAAAGATAAAATAAAACGAAAGTCGAAAACGACATACCTTGCATTTCTTCGAGAAGAATTCCGATTGAGGGCACACAATCATCTTGTGAACGTCGAAAGTCTCTGATTTGCAGACGATCTTCAGGTCGGAGTACTCTCCAGAGGATAAAGACCTGAAATCGTCAGATACTATTTATTTATTCACACATGGAAGACAGACCTTTCCAAATTGAACATAATCCTCTGGCGTGATCTCTGAACGAGCGAGTAGCCGCGGTCGAGCTCAGGATCTGTTGCCATGACGATCGAATGATTGACTCGATAGGGTAATCAATGAATTCGCAGATGAACTATTCGTGTAATAGGATTGAAAGTAGAGAAAATTGGTTGCGGGATGCTTTGACATGTTCACAGCCATGGAAATGGTGTACCTATATGGGTCAGAATGGGAAAGGAAGCTCGGAGACAAGATGCAACAAAGCGTCGCCCAAGGACCATGATAGGTCAGTGGATTCGCAGAAAAAGTGAATATAGTGCTACAACTATCTACCACTAACGTGACGTGGACGGAGGCAACGGAGTGATTCTCAATGAAAGGGTGAAAGGCATTCTTTTTGGACATTGTTGCCCATAGTGACACACGTGGACAATAACTTTTGCTTCTACTTGACGATGGATTCGTATCTCGGCATGATTCACTATTTCCATCCCTGTTTGACTTTCTCCTTCAAGAGCCCATATGTCAAGGAAGTGAAATCGTTCATCAACGCATCCATTTCGTCCTTGGCAAGAAGCTCCATATGTTCCGCAATGGTTTTGCAGACAGTGCTCCTGAGTCCTTTGTCGCTTTCGATGGTTGTAGAGAAGGCATGGTGAGCTGCAATTGGGAATGTGGCGTCGTTCCAATCTGTAGTGCAAAGGTCAATCCTAAGCCTATGAAAATAAGTGAATCTTGACTAACACTTCTGGCAAGCAACCTTGAACTTTTTCGCTGCGAGCTTTTTCAACCCGTCAACAGCAAAGTAATCCCCTATCTCATACATTTTGGAGTGTGTCAACAGCTGAGTTGAGTCGCCAGCTACATCTTCAGTAGTCAGGCATTTTTGGCACTGAAAGTTTCGGCAGTCATAATTGCAGTCACTGCCACAGGAGTGGTGCGCGCAAACTTGACGATAAGATGAATGGTACTTGCAATCGCCTGTGCAGGAGTGCAGTGTGGTTTGCTGTTTCCCGAAAATGACAGCTTCAAGCAATTCTGGGAAGTATTCTTCTTCATAGAGGTACTGCAAAAGTAATTCGACAATTTCGGTCTCCTGGTCAGGTAACTCAATCACGCCTTCTTTCGAAGCCTATTAAAGTGAGAAAAACAACCCAACTCGCAGTTTATAATGTACCTCTGAGGGAAATTTTAGAGCCTTGTCGAGAAATGTTGACCTGGTACACACAATGACCTTGTGAACATCATAAGTCTTCCCGTTGCACATGATTTGGAGGTCTGAGTATGCCCCGCTTGTCCAGGCTCTGTAAACTCATTAGAGCAAATCGTATTAAAGGAGGTTCAACATAGGCCAATATACTCCGACAAGGACTTCAACAATCTCTGGCGAGATTCATCTGGACGTGTAGTTTGGGTAAGCTTCGTGAACGTGAGTTTCTCGGAATTCGAAGACATTTTTCTCAGCGATTTCTTCTTCTTCGCCATAGTCTGATTCAGAATCAAGAGTGGGACGGTGTTTATTCTCTATTTGTATGTGATGCAAGACAAATGCTATATCGTAGGCAACAGCATATTCAGTTTTTGTTCGGAATGTAGATCACATCTATCCTGTACAGGTATGCGAAAATTTGCGACCGGATAGGCCAGTATGCCTTCGTTGACTGAACACTGCAGGTCGTGTAACGTATTTTCTCCAACTCCTTTCGCATAATCCACCTCCCTGTCGTCCCGATTCCAACACATTCACCCATGATAGCTATATACGAATTCGATCAGTGGACAGTACTTCTAGGACTGTAGCGCTTCACGATCCTGGCAACAACACATCCGCGACGGAGTCCACTATAAGCCAAACGAATACATCAAATGTTGGTCTTCCCGTCGCATGAAGCTAAGATGGATGTATGTACATGTTGAGGCTTACACTAGTGTCTTGGCGTGAACGAGCACAGACCAACATAATCGACTTGAGTCTGCCCAGATGCTCGATGACTGTGACACTTTGTCCACTCGAATCCATCGAGACCCCAACTCCTAGTACTCCCAAAGTTCTCCCTGAATATAGTGATCATTTTTGGAAAAAGAGATGGAAACTCGAAAGTCAAAGATGTGAGAACGTCTAGGCAGAAATATAGGTTTCTAGCATCATCTTCTGCGTCATTGAAAGAACACCCTGCAACCATATATATTTATGATTGAAGGCATACCTGAACATTCTTATATTTCCAAGAGAAATGGATCAGACCGAATCATCGAATATGGCTTCATCTAGTCAAAACAATGTCGGGCCAGAACCCCCGATACAAAAGAGCTTTTCATGTGTACTCTGCTCCCAACGCAAGGTCAAATGCGATAAGGCTCCGGGTGGGTGCTCGAACTGCACCAAATCTCGCGTAAGCTGCGTATACAAAACACCCGCCCCGCCCCGGCGGCGCAAAAAGGGTTTGCGAGAATTGGACACTCACACAAGGCTCCGGATATACGAAGATGCACTCCGTAAGCTCGGGGTCGATCCCGTCAAACTGGAGAATGACGAGCTTGCTAAAGTGAAAGCTCGGAAATGGCCCCCTGCGAGCGACTACACTACCAACTATATCGATGTACCACCGCCTCCGAATTCCAACAAGGACACCACCGAGAGCGCTGCAGACGAGAAGGGTGTTTTATTATCAGGTGATGGGAAGTCTAGGTACCTCGAGAATGGATTGTGGACGACTCTTCAAGATGAGTTTCGAAATAACCAGGACCTTCTTGATTCTTCAGAAGAAGAGGAAAATGGAGAGTACTCGGTTGCAACCTCACCAGAATCGTTCACGCCGGACACTGGAAGTATATTATTTAGTACTGGCCGCGCAACCCCACAATTACGATCACTTCATCCGGAGCCATTGCAGATCTTCAAGTTATGGCAAATCTATCTGCAAAATGTCAATCCACTCGTCAAGGTGTTCCATGCGCCAACTGTGCAGAAGATTATTCTCGAAGCAAGCGAGGACCTGGACGATTTTCCGAAGAACGTGGAGGCTTTGATGTTTGCCATCTATTGTATTTCTGTTGGATCACTTTCTGAGAAAGAGTGCGAATCTACGCTAGGTACAAAGAAACCAATTCTTCTCCAACGATACCGAGCCGGTGTACAGCATGCCTTGGTTAACGCGAGTTTCCTGAAAACCACCGATCTTATTGTTTTGGAAGCCCTTACGCTATTTCTTGTAAGATTTCAATCATACTGAGTTATCTCTACTGACATCGTACTAGCTTTCCCTGCAAGACTGCGACGCGCGAGTGATGTGGATTTTGACCGGCATAGCAAGCAGAATCGGCCAACGAATTGGGTTGCATCGCGATGGCGGATCTCTAGGACTGTCACCATTCGACGCAGAAATGCGAAGAAGACTGTGGTGGCAGCTCATCATGCTCGAAGGCTTCGCAGAGAAACTCGCCGGCTCAGGAGGCCACGTCTTCACCGGCGACACGAGATGCCCGTCCAACCTCAACGACAGCGACCTCTTCCCCGGCATGAAAGAGCTCCCCAAAGAACACCACGGCGCCACCGAAATGATGTTCTTCCTTATCCGCTGCCACCTCGGCGAACGCTTCCGGACCATGACCGCACCCAAATCCGCCTTCGACGGCGTCTGGAACCGCCTCAGCACATCCGAAACGCCCCTCCCAGAAAAGCAAACCGTAATCGACGAGCTCGAAGCCTTCTACCAAGACCGCTACATCCAATACTGCGACGAATCGGTCCCCTGGCACTACCTCTGCATCCACCTCGCGAAAAACGTGATCGCGCTCATGCGCTTCATGGCCCTCAACCCGCAACCCACCTCCTCGACCTCCCCCTCCTCCCCATCCATCACCCCCTCCCAACGAACCTCCCTCTTCGCCACCTCCCTCCAAATAACCAAATGGATGAACCTCGTCTACAAGCTCCCCGCCCTCCGCGGCTACGCCTGGCACGTCAACCTCAACTTCCAATGGAAATCCTTCATCTACCTCATCTCGGAGCTGCGCGTCCGCCCGCAGGACACCCTCGACGTCGACGAGGCGTGGGCGGAGATCCAGCTCACGTACGACAACCACCCGAGCTTCGCGAGGCATCTCGCACGGAAGGCGCTGCCGGTTGCGATTGGGGGGCTGACGCTGAGGAGTTGGGAGGTTTTTGCGCAGGCGAGGGGGTTGGGGAGGGCGGAGGAGCCGGGGTTTATTGCGTTTTTGAGGGTGCGGCATGCGGGGAGGTCTGATGGGGGTAATGGGATGGTCGAGTCTGCTCCTCAGCCAACCCGGGAAGAGATCACAGCGTCTGTGCCGGCTGGAGAAGTACAGGCTCAGCTTGACTGGACGGCAGGCTTCGCGGACACGTTGGACAGCATGGACGGGGGACAGTTTGCAGAACTGCCGCCGTTTAACCCGGATGAGATGAACTGGGATGCGTGGGATAGCTTGTTGGTTGATTTCAATCAGTCGGATGGGTCGTAAATGGATATACTGTGCTCTCCAGATTTCAGGCACGGGTTACATCACGAACTCTGTCCTATCAAACGACATCACCACTCTATATCATCACAGAAACATAACGAATTATCGACCGAGACACGCCGCCTGTCACCGGTGCTTGAGATTCCTACCTATCTACTTATCTATCTACTCCTCCATCGGAAACACGTCCGGGTATCCAATTCAATTCAAAGACTTTTTCGCTCTCAATCTTCCTCGCCTCCTACCGCTCCACTGCATGCCTGAATGCATGCATACTTATCCACCTAAATGTCCGTGCTAATGCTGAAGATGATCTAGTGCTGGGAATATATCAAATCCCGGAGAGATGAATGAATATGTACCTGAGAAGTCATTGGGTTCGTAATTACTACCCACCGCCGCCAAAATAAACAAAAAAGGAGGGAAAGAGAAAGAGAAAGAGAAGGGGGGAAGGCATGAAATCGTTCGTGATGCAGGATGACATCGATGAGGGGTGATTGATTACGCCCATTTACCCAACACGCTCATGAGGATCATGCCACATATCAGCGCAAACATAGCGACGACCGTCCTGACGAGACCCGCGTTGAGCAGCGGTCCATGAAGCCAGTCCCTCGCCAACATCTCCACGACGCCGACCCAGACGAGGATGCCGGCAGAGAAAGCGTCGAGCGTGCCGATAGCGATGAGGGTGGAGGGGTCGTTGCCGTTGAAGTGGTTGAGGACGCCGATGCCAATGGCCATACCGATTGGCGTGATGAGCGCGAAGATGGTGCCCATGATTAACTTGCGGAGGGTGCCGGCTTTGGCGGATGGGATGGCCGCGATGCAAGTGCCCAGCGCGATGCCCTCGAACATCTGGTGGAAGAGGATGACAGCGAAAAGAGTGAGGAAGAAGGAGTCACCCGCGACGACGAGGGTGAGGCCGATGAGGAGAGAGTGGAAGACAATGCCGGCTTCGAGGACGGTCACGCTGAGTTTCTCGTCGACGGGGCTGCCGTCGGTGCTGCCGTGCACGTGAGGGCCGTGGTGGTCGGAGTGCGTGAGGGCGGTAGCGGGAGCTGGGGTGACGTTGCCGCTTTTGCGCTCGGATTCGCTGGGAGTGGGAGTGGATGTGTGCGAGATAGAGTTGTCGGGTTCAGCTGGACGGGCGCGAGATTGGCGCCAGGCGAGAAAGCGTGCGCCGATGTAGTCGACGAGGAAGGACAGGAAGAGGCCGGCCATGAGAATGGCGGCAGTGGTACCTTCGTAGGACAGCTCGCCGAGACAGTCATTGGTGAACATCAAATGGGCGTGCGTGAAGAGCTTGGAGATGGTTAGAGCGATGATAGATGGGATGGGATGAGAAGAAGCTTACATGAATGAAGGCCGTGGAAAGGACGACACCCGTTCCGAACTGCTTCAGGATGACAAAGATGATGTTGTTCATCGACATGCGAGTGAACGTGGTCGCGATGATAGGCACGAAGACTCCTAGGGCGCTGGTGAAGAGAATCACGAAGAGAAGACCAACACGTAGGGGGATGTTGTAGTCTCGATCGACGCGTTCGCAAGTTTGCTCTGCTCCACCTACACAGTGTCTGTGGTACGTTAGAATGATGCAAATCAGCAACGTTGGAATGAATATACTTACTCGACGCCGGCGTGGAAATGGCAATGTCCCTCACCCGCATGAGGATCTTCCTCGGTGTGGTTGTGTTCGTCTTCATCTTCGGGTTCGATGAGGACTTGGACCTCCTCACCATCAGGGTCCAAGCAATATCTATAGGAGCGAATGTAAGCAAGTGGTGTCAACGATTGGGGAGAGGTGAGATGGAATGTACTACTTACACATCGGTACCATGCGCGTGGCATCCAGTGTACTGGGCCTCGAACTCTTCTGTTTTGGTAGGCCCGACGATCTGGTATTCCTCCGTACCAGCCATGCACCATCTAGTAAGGTGTGAGTAACGTCATGTCGGGTAGAGATGAGATGCATATTGGCGATTGGGATGAACTTACAGTACGGTACTATGGGGATGGCAATCTGAAACTGCTGTGATAGACGGGGTGGGAGCGCTTGTGGTCGCATGGGTAGGAGCTGGAGTAGTCGTCTGAGATGCGACGCTGGCAGCGAGCAGCAGGACGGCAGTCGAGCCGACGAATCGTCGAACGGCTGAATGCATGTCGATGGATGGATTGAATAATCGCCTACTTGTTTGATTGATTATATAGGCGGCGATACTTTGTTTCGAAGATTTGTTTCTCTACTACTGGGGAGAGTAGATGGGAGGAGAGTGAGCGATTGGAACTGAACCGACGGTGATTGGATGACTCGAGAGGGAGGCTAGCTGAAAGCGATGGTACCTATCCTGGTAGTAGGTAGCCTCGATAATAGAGCACGAACGATGCACCAAATATATAACTAGATGGATAAATGAATGATGCCTTTCCAACGATAGAAATAGCCAGCGAACGGAAGACTGACTTTGTCTTTTTCCTCTCGACGGCAGAGGATAAGCACCGTGATGAGTGAAGAGTGGGGGATGAGGAAAAGAAACAGCAGAAGTTGAGTACTATGATGGTTTTCTTAAGGTGAAAGCGGTTTAGTCCCAACTTGGCAACTCTCCACTCCGTCTTGGAAATGCCAACTTCCACCATCATCGTCAACTCCTTCCATCTCGATTGCACCATACAGAGTACATACACTTCCTCGTATATCCATCAATCCATAGTCTAACAGTATACAACTCTCTTGACCTTGTTGACAATCCCCACCCTCATCATTGGCATCGGAATACCCGAATCAGGCTTAAATCAATGGAACAATTGCCTTCCACCCTTGGCATCTTGGCCGCATGCTTCTACCAACCTCATCCTCCATTCACTATGGACGACTACTCCGGTCGAAGTACGAGAATGACACCTACCTATTACCTTACCACTGGGACTACCTCATGCTACATGACAGCTAGTATTGGCATCCCACCCACGCTCATGACTCTCCACTCATGCATAGGTACATACATTGGGTAACATATTCATCTGCCATTCGATCCACCCACCGTGATGGCCATTCGATAATATTGATCAAGCCATGTTGACCAACATGTCACCTGCCAAATACCCTTCTTTCATACCCAAGTCAGGCCTTCCTCCTACCACTACATCCAGAAACAGTCATCAGTCCCCACGAAGGAACTCTGGGCATGCAAAAACCATCGCCGCTCGCCGGACATCACGGTGCTCGAGTGGACATCTAGGCTGAGAGTTGGCCTCATATGCACGTAAGTGGCTCGCTGGGCATCCCACCGGTACAGGGTCCAGATTTGGTAGAGAGAGACTTGACCGAAAGAATGACCGAGTACTTGCTATAGCAAGAGGTTGATTTGAGGATGTATAAGAGGCCCTATAAAGCCTGCATCTTGTGACTGTCCTGCATCTCCAGCCATTCGGATCAACTGGTGTTCGCATTAATTTGAGTAATCTTATCCCTGTTCCTGCATCTTTGCATCAATCTCTGGCAGTGTTTCCGCTCAAGACCTCATAATGGCACCTATTCTCTCTCTTTTGCTCCTAGGAGCCTCCACTGTCATTGCCTCTCCGGCTCGCGTGGCCCGCCAGCAACAGTCCGTCACTGTCTCTGTCACTCAGACTGCCGAGGCTCCCGGTGCTACTCCTTGGGATCAGGGTGCCGTTCGGGAATATCCCATCCACTCCTCTTGCAACCATACCGAGCGAGCTCAGATCGCTCGAGGTCTTCAGGAGACCATCATTCTTTCGCAACATGCCAAGGACCACATCAACCGATGGGGCAACTCATCTGACATTTATGTCAAGTATTTTGGCAATGCCTCCACTGGATCAGTCACTGGCTGGTACGACAAGATTGTGAATGGCGACAAGGCCGGCATCTTGTTCCGATGTGATAACCCCGACGGCAACTGCGCACAAGAAGGTTAGCAGCTTTTTCTCCCTCTTTTACTTTGGCAGAATTAACACTGTATAGGATGGGCTGGTCACTGGCGTGGTGCCAACGCCACCTCGGAGACTGTCATCTGCCCTCTCTCCTACGAGGTCCGCAAGCCTCTCGAGGCTATGTGCGGCTTCGGCTACAATGTCGCCAACTTCAAGACCAACTTCTACTGGGGCTCTGACCTCCTCCACCGTCTCTTTCACGTCCCCAAGGTCGGCGAGGGTGCCGTCGAGCACTATGCCGGTCATTACGATGAGGTCCTCGAGCTTGCTGAGACCAACCCCGAGGAGGCCTCCAAGAACAGCGACACTCTGCAGTACTTCGCTCTTGAGGCATATGCTTTTGACATTGCCGTTCCGGGTGAGGGTTGCGCTGGCAAGTTCACTGCTACCTCCTCTGCTGCCCCTCCTCCTGCCACCAGCTCAGCTGCCGCTAGCACGGCTGCTGCCAGCGCTACTGTCGCACCACCTGCTTCTGCAACCTCTGAGGCTGCTCCGGTAAGTTGACTAGTCGTGGTCAATATCGATGGTGGATTCTGATATGACAATAGGAGAAGACCTGCGAGCCTCACGATGACCACTGGCACTGCCCCCCTGGCGTAAGTACAACCCTAACTATACCTTCTCATTTACCTATAGGCACCTGAAATCATACCGCGACAACCTGCTAATTTCCTCTCCAGGTGCCTGAGCCTACCGCCCCACCAGCATAATTCATCCCTCTTGGACATGCTTGCGACCACGGGAAGAGAAACAAAAGTCGATCGAAAAGAAAGCATGTATTAGTGCTTAATCACCAAGAACAGTTGAGATAGAAGAAAATGAACGAAAACCAACACTACGTTGGAATGGCCCCGTCCACGATAATAGTTATATACCTACTCATAGACCTCGCGCTCATTAATGAATAATTCTACGACCTCTTATGAGGTCGACCTAACCCCAAAACAACCCACTTTCCCAGATTGTGTTTCACTAACCCAAGACTCTATTTCAAGTATCGCGAACCACTTATAGTGTTGACTACTCCGCACTTATCAGTGTTCTCGAAGTTCCAATGTTCGCCGCCCAGCCATCGCACAACGTCAAGTAGATTAACCCACAATATCCGGAGCCGCATCTTACTTTCCCACCATGTCGTGCAACAACAAACATACGACCTCTGTGATTCGTCTTCACGGTCCCGACCCCACATCCAAGACCAAGTCTGGGTATTGTATATATGTCGAGATTGCGCCCGCCCGCCGCGACCCTGTGGGATTCCCCAACAAACCCAAATGTGGGACCTTTGCTATGTATCGCTATCAGCAGGCAATGGCGATTTGTGGTGCACTAGCACATCTGCTTGCCCAGGTTTCTTGCGACGCACTGGGCGTTGTGTGGGCGCCAGGACGAACGGACATTCTGATATTGATGGTGCATGAATTGATTGAGTGAATACGTACATATACGTACATACGCAACATACACATCCACAATTGCGATCTCGTCCCTATCGCCCCTCATTCTCTAAACTTCCTCTCCCCTGGCATACCCTCGAATCGACCAAAACATCATCCAAACAGACCACGATGCACTGGTCATCCCTCACTGCTGCTCTGGCACTCGCCGAGACAGCGAGCGCTATGCTTCGATTCTCGTGCTCGGAGCTGGTCGTCGATAGGATTGATCCGTGAGTTCAACCTTCATCCATAATCGCTTCGACTTCTGTGACGTCGAGGAACTGACGAATGCATTGTATCGTAGTCTCGTGAATCCTGGCCAAGCGCCTTCACCACATTTACATCAGCTTGTCGGCGGGGTACGTATGGCGGCCGCGGGAATTCGATTCGCCTATGGTGAATACTGACGACTGAGTCGTGTAGAACGCATTGAATACCACAATGGATCCATCGCTCGATCTCCCGACGCAGGCGACTTGCACGACGTGCACATTCACTGAAGGTACACACGCCCTCTCCTCGATCAATCCTGTAATTGAAACCACATATTGATCCAGAAATGTGATGTGCAGATTTCAGCAACTACTGGACCGCAGTCATGTACTTCAAAGCCCGCAACGGCACATTCAAACGCGTTCCCACGTTCGCGAACCAGTACCTCGAACCCGCGAATGGCGGCATCACGGTGTACTACATCCCGCCCTACGACAACAAGAGCAAAGTCACCGCATTCAAGAAGGTTCGTCTCTCCCATCCCAGTCCCCAATTCAATTCCACGCTCTTTCAACCGAAGAACACCCAAACTGATAGAAGAGTATGAGGTGAACAGGGCTTCCGCATGATCGTCGGCGACCCAATCCGCCGCAAAGACGAAGGCGACGGCGACGCGCGATCCCTCAGCTTCCGCTGCTGGGACAAGAACTTCGGCGGCGAGGCTGGCGCCCCCGGAGCCGGACGCGACACGAAGCACTTCCCCGCGAAGCCGTGTCCCGGCGGCATACGCGCGAATCATTTCTTCCCTACGTACGTTCCCTCCCCCTCCCGTCCCTCTACTCCTTCCCCTTTTCCACAAGATAGTGATTGAAGTGATTCAGATGCTGGGACGGCGTCAACCTCGACTCACCCGACCACAAATCGCACGTCGCGTACCCGTCCTCGGCCTTCGAGTCCGGCGGCGCGTGCCCTGCATCCCACCCGGTGAAGATACCGCAAATACTGTACGAAGTAGCTTGGGACACGACTGCGTTCAACGACCCCAACGACTGGCCGGAGGACGGCTCGCAGCCGTTCGTGTTCAGCTCGGGCGACGGGACTGGGTTTGGTACGCATGGTGTATGTACCCCTTTATCTCCTCTTATGCCCTTGCTCTTTCTGTTTTTGATTGTGTTGGGTTACGTTTTGGAATGGGAATGCTAATGAGTTTGGGTGTGTTATAGGATTATGTGTTTGGGTGGCAGGGCGATGCGCTGCAAAGGGCGATGGACGCTTTTTGCAATGTCAATTGCCCGACGCTCAAGACGCAGACGACGCAGGCGGGGAATCGATGCGTGTTGAAGCCGAAGGTCGAGGAGGATATCGATGGGTGGTTGACAGAGTTGCCTGGTGGGCCGAGTGTGACGTACTCTTAGGTTTTAGAATCGGAGATAGGTGCTGGGGTTGATAGAGTCGTGGCAGATATTGGGTGAGTTGTTCGATGTTGGTCAGAGAGAGTCAAATACCTATAGATATTGAATTGATGGTATTTTAAACTCAAAGTAACAGCTCAACGGGAAGGAAAATTCACTTTTCAGAAAGTACTGCTTTTTATGATTAGATACTTCTTTCAATCCAAAGAGAGAACAAGGAGATACGAAGCTTGACAATCTATCACAGTTACCCCCCTGCATCTTACCATCAATGATACTGCTTGCATCTCCCTGGTTGCACGTGATCTCCGAAAACCCTCATCTACTCCACTATACCACAGGGTATTTGGTGATTACTATTGTATTGGCCGGAACCCATTGATGTTTCAGTTTAGTGAAGCGTTGCCGTAATTGTGTAGACGGCTTGTTGCAACAAAGGAAATCCCCGAACGCATGCAATGTCGTCCCTTACATGCACCCGACAGTCAGTTATCGGAACCCCTCCATCCGCACATAAAACACACCCCCCAACAACATATCTACCACAACGCCCTACAAAACCCTCAATGTAGTCACTCACGCTCCATAATCAAACCAAACTACCGCCTCCTCCAGCACCTAATCGAAAATGGTCGCCCTAATCCCCAACGACGTCTTCCAATTCTCCACGCACTCCGCCCTCACCGACCTCACCTCCGGCAAACCCCTCCCCCAGGACCTCTCCTCCCACGGCGACTTCGGCCTCTGCGCCTTCTCCGCCTCGCGCCCGCTCCTCCTCATCGCCGGGGCCCCCTTCATCGTCGACGAGGCCTGCAACCTACATCCCGTGGCCCCCGCCGACGAACGCCTCGCGTTTGCCATGGTGAGTGTCTTCCGTCCGGACTCCAGCTTGATGTTCCCGAATGGAAAACTCACGAGGAAGACGCTCGGGACGGCGTTCGATGAAGCAAGCAGAAATTCAATCTGCCCGTTCTCATTCCAGGCTTCTTTCACGAGCGTGAAACTTTCCTCCAACGCCACGGGGTCGGAGGATGGGGTTGTAGCGAGGGAATTGAAGGACGTGGAGGGCTTTGTGTTTGGCTACGCGGTGCCGGAGTGGATGAGGGGGATCTGTGGGCCGAGGGTGTTTTGTTGGTTCGTTGCTTCGGGGGGGAGCGGGGATGATGGGAGGCCTGGGGGGAGGGCGGGTGGGTGGGTTGTAGATTTTGAGGGGACGGGGGAGGTGGAGGTGAGGTATGCGAGGTGCGGGAGGTTTCATTTGGGGTTTCCTGGGGGGGAGGCGTGGGAGGGCGTGGAGTTGAAGTGATGGGTGGATAGTGTTGTTGGGGTTTGGGGAGTTTGGGGTTGGTGTTGACCGTATGTTATTGCTAGGGAATTTGGAACATGTGTTTGTGTTGGAATGGATGAACTTGTGGGTGGATCTAGAAATATGTGTACACTACGCTTCGAAGGAATCTATCTACATGTAACCGTTCTAGCTAAGTGTGTGTGCCGGAACGTTAGAGAAAATGATAGAATTACTGACACTGATAGATAAGAACACAAGCAGAGCAGGTCCCAAGGTTTGGTCATCACGGCCATCTCCTAGTAGCCTCCATGCAGTAGATACCATTTCCGCCGATCTATTACATTGTCACTGAGAAAGATCCCTCGCTAGCTGCAAACTTGGAAGTACCAATGGTCGGCCACATACACCGCTCTGAAGCAACTCGGAGCCGGTTGGGCATCGAGTTGACTGAAAGAGGTATCATTGAGGGATGATTAAATAAATGCGCCTGTAATAAGTCTAAGATGGGTATCATTATTGTGGGGTACCTCAGTTCTTTCTGAATCTATTGCGATATCTTGAAGCCGGCAAAGGTTAGAGTAGATAGAATGTATTCAGAAGCGGAAGCGATATTTGGGTATCAATGGTAAACTAAGAAGAGAAATAATAATGGGTATCAAGAGTAAACTAAGAAGAAAAATAATAATTTGGTATCCAGAGTGAATTGAGAAGCGGCCTGAATGAACGAATAATAAGGCACTGTAGTATGTTGAGGATATTGCAGGTCCACTAGATAAACCTAGTAGTGACAGCAACGTTCTGGTCGAATCTATCCTTGAACACCGTCCGGATGTACTGAACAAGTTCGTAGAAAGGACGAGTAGGGTCATCCTCGCCAACATGGTAAGCAACGATATCGCTCTCGATGCATTCGAGATGCACCGCTTCAAGACTCCTACACCGGAAAAGGTCTTGTAGTCCATAGCGGTTGATGAGCTCACTCAGGTGCAGCACTCGGAGCTGCTTAGACATCTCTAGGTATCCGTCGTCCTCCATCAAGAGACGATCACGCTCAGTGTACTTGGAGGCAGTCAAACCAGCCGTATGAAAGGTGATTGCCATTTCCTTGAGATTTGGGAGCGTTGTGGCGAACGCTAGCATCGGATTCTCCTTTCTATTGTGTAGTATTCCGGAGAACCAGAAGAAGCCTGGGAAGGAAATCTTGAATACGGATTTGCGGGATTTCACAGCACCGAGCGTGTCGAGGATGATTATAAGATAGTGCATGTCAGCCAGCGTTTCCATCTTCAAAACCACGGTCTCTAGGTAGGGCAGAACCCGTGACTGCATGACCGCTGTATCGAGATGGTTTTCAATGTGGGAAAGGAATCCAGGGATCATGGGACTGGTGGCGGGGTTGTTGCGCTCCTCCGAGATGGAGATGATTGTTGTCGGTTGGTAGGTTGCTACTGCAAGTTCTATTCACGTCAGAGAGACGATAAATGTGAAGGGAGAAGTGGAGTAGTGGAACGAAGGAAAACACGTTGCTTTTCCAAAACGCACCAGAAGAGTATCGAGGTTTAGATACAGTCGTACCAATATTTTCACTGGAACCGTTGATGACTCCAGTACGTGTTGGGGGCTCCACACTTCTTCCTACACCGCACGCGTGGATACGCCAGTTGGGAGAGTTGATGCCGGTTGAGTTTGTTGCACCTTGGTAACCGCTAATACTAGGCATCGAAAATCGCCGCAAGTGAGACATTTTGCGATGGGTAACAGTTTGGAGTGGGTTTCTTGAAGAGGTATCAAGGAGTGAAAAGAGTTGAGAGAGTGATTGGAGGTGGTAGGTATAGTGAAGAGAGAGCTTTGCCAATCAATCTTATAGCGATGGACTGTTTAGGTAAGCGAGGAAAGAAGTGAATACAAGGCACGTGCTAGACTGCTTTACTACGCATGAGGAGATGGGGCGTTTGGAATTTTGGGGTTTCCTATTGTCAATCTGGCTTGAAGTGGAAGGCCCAGCAAACGAAGAGAGCGAGAAATGTTTGACTCAATTGACTTTCCGCTAATCATATACATCTTGTCAATTTCTGAAGTGAAGTGTATACAGCCTACTTGGCAAACAATCATGAAATCGAACCACTTCCCCTCAAACAGTGATTCTTTATTCGTCATAATAACTTGGACGGTTCATCCTTATAGCAACCTCAACTTGACCTGAGAAAGATACTTAGAGCACCACTCCACATAACAAGAACTAAAAAGTTAGTAATAGACGAAGCTTTTTGGTCAATAGAGTAATCGTTCTTCTTCCTTTCGGTCATTTATCGTTATCCTTGTCGTTCCGTCACAACGGAAAAACCATGATGCTATTGCTCGAAAACTGTGGTCAATTACATCACTTCTTCAATGCAGGTTCTGGACACAACAACTTCTTACGAAGCACATTGAGACTTCCTTGAGAAGAAGCCATGTAAGGTATACGAATGGCCTTTCAGCCCGATTTGTCTGCTGTAACACGAAGGAAAACGATAATCTCAACTCTAGAGAGTTTTTACCAGTGAGAAGTCCTTCAAGTGCATTTCGCGAAAGATGGCATATTACAGGTATTCTCCTGCCGTCGATGATGGTCACTATTGACGGAACTCGCCTTCCCTAGCGCTGGCTCGTCCCGTACTTGTAGTCGTATTTGTGGGGTCAGATGGTGATCTTTTCTCTTCAGCGTTCATGACGGCTGCCAAGCTGCCGTGCATTCAAGGCTCTGCATATGCAATCTTCATTTAACCGATCATTCGACACGGAGAGACTCCCGCAATTTTCTAATCCAGAAGTCGAAGTCTTTGCGAAGAGACAATAGCCACGCGCGAGTTGAATGTCTGGTTTGCGTACGTCGTCAATTGCGTGGCATCAGGCAGAAGCAATGTCTACCAATCCAGTGGAGGTTCGTTCAAGCCTCGTTGTGTGACTATTCGCTAAAATATGAAGTAATACACGTCGTGGGATTATCCGAGAGTAGTGTAGTCCACTGTAGCGGTTCGTCAGGATCATACTGCATGTATTTACCTAATAAGGAACTTTCGATGTGGAGAGAGAGCATAGAATGAATGTGAGGTTGGTGGAAACAGCCCAATCTGATTGGCTGGTGCCGCACTGACATAAGCGCAACGACATCAGCCTCAAACCCGGACTTGACGATCTGGATCTAATTAAGGACGGAGTCGTAATCGATGTTCCCTGACTCCCTGTCGCGCTTCATTCACCCCTCCTGAACCCTGGCTGAGACACACACTACTGTACACTGCCCTATCCCGATTACATGCCCGGTTGTCCAAGCTTTGGCGACTCGACACGCAAAAGATGCCAGTGAAGAAGGGTGCGCCTCTTCTTGCATCAGCCATGTTGTTCTTTGACACCTCACCCACCATTTGTTTCGCAGAGCGAACACTTCGATGGCTTACTAGCACTTAATACTATACCTTTCCTTTGTTCGTTCAGCTTCCTTTTCTCACCGCGCCGCTCGCTCTCCACGACTTGACACAATTCCCGTCATGACTCTACTTACACAATCATCGCCGTTGCAGGACTCTTTCGGCCCAGAGGATCTACCATTATTGTCGCCAGTAACCTCAGATCGCATCTCGGACGTCCCCGAACGCCGGAACGAAAAGAAACCTTGGGTCACGCTTGTGGTCCTCATCTTTTTCCTCGTCGTGATCATAGACATTGGCGCATTCCTTGCCGAAGCACCCAAAACTCGCGTTTACGAAGCGAATCTCTGCATACGCCATTACCTCGAACACGATCCCTCCAAGATCAACCCCGATGGAACCGTAGATGAAGCTCTGTGCAAGGAAGATGATATACAACGGAAGATGGCAATGATATTTGGATGGCAAGAGATGTTCGACGCTATCCCGGCGATTCTTCTTGCGGTGCCGTACGGCGCGCTATCAGACAAATGGGGGAGGAAATGGGTATTTGCAGCATCCCTATGCGGACTCCAGCTCAACTCTGCCTGGATTCTCCTCATCTGTTACTTCCGAAGCCTACCTTTACAATTGACATGGTTCTCGTCTGCATTCTACTTGCTGGGAGGTGGCCCAATCGTCGCAACTGCAGTGGGTGGCACTATGCTATCGGACATTGTTCCAGCAGAGAAGAGAACTTCGATATACCTGTATGTCACGGCTAGTGTATACCTGGCAGAGCTTATCGCGCCCATCATGGCTTCAAAGCTGATGGAGCACGGCGACTGGCTTCCGCTGCTACTTGCGCTCGCCATTCAGCTGGTGGGCATTCTCATTGCGTTCTTGTTCCCGGAGACCCTGCACCTCCGTGATCTGCCCGAACCAAAGGATAGGATATCCCCCGCCGATGAAGAAATCGAGCTCACTTCTTCGAGGAAGGGGTTCGTTAGGATGCAGTTGCAGCATCTGAAGGATGCTGCTGTGTTCTTTGGACGTGACGGTATGACCGCCATGATCATCTTCACGTTCTTGGCCAGCAGGCTTGGTCGTCAATGTGTTTCACTACTGCTTCGGTACGCCTCGAAGAGGTATCATTGGGAAATTAAAAAGGCAAACTACTTGTTGTCGTTCCGCGCTGCCACCAATCTCGTCGCCATGACGATCTTCATTCCTTTGGTAAATTGCTTCCTACTCAAGTATCTCCGCTTGGTGGCGCACCATTCGGATCTCTGGATAGCACGTGGAAGCATTGTCCTCACAACAGTTTCACTAGTAATCATGGGGATAGCGGCGCACCCTGCTCTCTTGATCTTGGGGCTGTTGGTCTTCAACCTAGGTACCGGATATTCAGCTGCTATGCGTAGCATTGCAATCCATTCTGTGGGTGGTCAGGCGAGCCCGGAAGTTGGAAAACTCTTCGCCGTCATCGCGGTGGTGGAAAGTTTGGGAGCCATGCTAGGCGGCCCTCTACTGGCGGTCATCTTTGACTGGGGGATCAAGATGGGCGAACCCCTGATCGGTGCGCCATACATCTTCGGCGCTCTGGTCTTCGCCGTGGTGACAGTTCTGACATTCATGATTCCGATTAGGAATGATGAGCAACTCTATACGCGCGTTATGGATGCAGAAAATGAAGACGAAGAGAATGGGCAACACGGTCGCGCCCATCAAGACTGAACATCAGGCATACTGGCAATTCCAAGCACTAGCGAATTGTTGTAGGAAGACTTGCGCCGGTGGCATTCATGCATGCGTGGAAGCGACCCCAGAGACGCTCTACTGTGGTATGTGTATCCCATGAGGATCGTCCTACAGGTGGCTTTCCCATCGTTAGCCTTACACGACTCGCAAATCTACGTCCTCGATTTCTGTCGTAGTGATCAGCCTCACTTGTGAAATCAAGGAAGATTCCTGGCATCCAGAACGCTCCAGAATCAGCCTGATTTTCTATATCTCCCGTCAATACCTTGCCTTGCTAGGAGCTTGTCTACTAGCCGATGGGGTCGTGGCAGATATTCTCTGCCTCATCTTAGACACAAAGTTGCTGTCCCATGCACGCTTGTTAGATATTGCGACAACGGCCTCGTGCGCTTGCCTAGGTTGCCATTGTTGAAACTATGACAGCCGATACTGGAAAAAAATTAAAATGTTGTATACTGTTGAGATTCTATATGTGTAATTGCGTGCCGGGCCAATTCTGTCGAAGCCAACGCCAACGATAGTGTTAATCGTTAGGACTAAATTCTTGTTTCGATTTCGAGGATGTCTAATATTGAAGATTCTATTTCTTGTCGCGGGCTCCTTGCTACCTTCTCTCACTCTATCATCCCGAAGGTACGCTGGGGCTGTTGTCACCTCAGCGGGCAAGTACCCAGAAACGTTGTTTCTCAACTCTGTCATGGCAATCCCCTGTCTTGTTGACTTCATCATATTTTCATGCCGACATCCCATTGATCTCAATCCAATTCCGTCCCCAGTCATATTCAAACCTGTTGAGCTCCATCAAGAAGCAAGCAATACGATTCAGAACAACTTGTCGTCACATCCGGTCTCATCCAAACGGTTACATGCTCTCCCGGGCATCGAGCGATGCTGGCACTCGAGTTCGCCGCTCGAAATCCACATCGACTATCCACACCGTTCAGCCAGCCGCACGCGAACATACTGATCCAGATCATGCTCAGCAACATGCTCTAGCCGCAGCGACGACAGCGTTTGCCCGGGCACATGCTACCGAAATGGCAGACCGGCAATCTTGCGCCTCTGACCTCAATCGCGCCAAAAGCAACGCAAGCCGCAAGTCTCAGGGAAGTCATTTCCCCCCACGAGGATCCAGTTTCCGCTCGAGTCAACCTCTGAAGGCCACGTCCACGTCTGGTGCTTCTCGGAGATCACGTACGTCTACAATGGTTACTGAAAAGTTTCCGTCATTCCATCCCACTACAGCTCAGGGCATTCATGCGACCCCACATTCATTAGCTGGAGGTGGCGAAAATGTTCGACCCTTATCCCAGCAGAACCCACGAAGACCAAGCGCTTCCTCCTCAGCTGCTTCACATCAAATCCGCAAAGCGCGTTCCATGTATTACGCGAGTAGTGTTCAGACGGGATCACCACTTGCACGACCGCCAGCCAAGTATTTGTTGACACCCCCGCCTGTCGTCAGCCCTGTACCGAATGCCTCATTACCATCATTCAGGAGCGCAAATGCTGCATTCTACCGTCCCAGGAGCTCGGCTGTGTCCTCCCTAGACTCTCCACGCTTGCCAGTCACCATAGAACCCGGTGAAACAATCGACAAAGCAAGGGATAGATACCTGCAAACATTCCAACAGCGGCAGGTAAAACAAAAGCCTTCTTTGTTCCTGGCTCCTTTTAGAAAGCGACAAGGCAAGGCTAGAAATGCCACTGCACCTATTGAACCCGTCAGCTTTATAAAAGGAAGGCAGATAACACCGCATCCGGGCGATCTTGATTGCTCATTGGCAGAGTTCAAGCCCTTGAAAGAGAAGCGATCCATTTCTGATTCCCTTCGACATAAGTTCAAAAAGGTCTTTCGACGGTCCTCCCGAGGGTCCACGTCCGTCCCCACTCAACAGGCAGATGCAAGTCGCGAATATTTTGGCAGAAGTCTAACCCGCACTGAGCCACATATGAATATAGATACCGGAGTACCGAGTCCAGACGATGACCTTCTTCGCCGTATCCAAACACGATCGCCCTCGCTGGAGCATGGTCGGCCTGCATTTCTCAGACCGAATTCACGCAATAGCAACCGCAGCCTTCAATCCGACACAGATATCAGCAATTCCACAATGTCCAGAGTCACCAGCTGGAGCAACTCTTCCTTTGCTGGGACAATCACACAGCGTCAACTCAAGCGATTGACAGTGATACATGAAGCCAAGGATAGTATTGGTAGTGAAGCAGGACACGTGGTAATCGAGCGCTCTCCTTGGCACAAGCCCACACTGGCTCCCGATTTGGCTGCGTTTCGCGACCCAATGCGCATCGAGTGCGACAGTGAAGAGTCATTTACAACTGTTGATCCCAAGCGCGTCTTTTCAGCCCTCAAGAAGGAGATGGAGTCCCCCCAAATTGTACCGGTGGATGTGTCGGACCCTTATGTCGTTCACGAGGGTAAGCCTGACATCTTCTCCTCGAACAGCTCGGAAGTGTCCCAACCGAAACCTGGGAATTATGGTCACAGCATGACTGCCAACATAACACGATCCAACCTTAACAAGTGCGATGAGGTACATCACCAGCTACCCTCTCATCGGCCAGAGAGCTCAACTATTGAAAGTAAAACCGTTTCTTTGAAAGCAACATCAACGAAGTCAGGCTCTATCAGGTCGATAGGCAGAGCAATAAGATCCACTATCCGCACCGTGAGTCCAACAGATAGACGATCGTCTGTGATTCCGGACCGCACGACCAGCATTCGAGGAGCGGTTCGGATTCCCAAACCTTCAAACTCGAGTTCCTCCAGCCCATCTGAAACAGATACTCTGGGTCCCGTGAACAAAGAAAGGATCGACTCCAGCCTCATCAACTTCAAAACACGCCCGAACAGACAGCGCAAACGTGGATCGTCCCCTTCGCGAGGGGAAACGCCTGTAAAAGGTCATTCTGAAGGCCATACACAGGGACACCAAGTGCAGTTGCGCAAGGTCACCGATTCATCTAACATTACGCAGTCAGCCGGTTCTATTGGCAAGAAGTTTAGCTTCGCTAACATTGCTCGCCGCGCTCTGCCCCGGAAGTTCAGCACGGAAACTGGGACCGAAGGTTCGAGAGATAATGAAAGCGATCCAAGCAGCGTTGAGGAATCATGCCTAAGTGTGGACCCTACGATTTCATTAGTATCTCCAGCACCCCGAATGATCTTTTCGCCGCTTTCACCTAGTGTGTACTCCCGCAATACGGATGGGGCCAGCATCACCCTTCACAACGACAGTGTCGTGGGGCTGGCTCAAGAAGACGACGAAGATGCGGGGTCAGCAATAATTATGACGAGCACCGCTGTAAAGAGCTATGTCATTGGAACGCCTTCGCGTCGCCAACCTTCCGCTTCGGCACGGTCGAGCAAAGACTGGAAAGCTTGGTTATCGCACGAAGTGTCTGAATTGGACGGTTCCACCCAAGAGGATATCGCAATACACGACAAATATTCCACCCCAACAGGGCACCGTAGGGAGCTCACGCAGATCTCGGATACAACACCGTCAGACTATGTATCGGAGCCGGCTTTACGCGGAGACAACATCAAGCCCTTAAAGCAAGATGTAGTTAAAGCATCAAATGGAAAAGTCTCGAGGGATTCAGTCAGTTCTCGAGACATAGGCTCTCATCCTATATCCACGATGACTTCGGACAATCTCGTCTCCGTATTACCCCGAAGACATCGTCCTCTTAGCAGGGAACCTAGCAAGGAGCGCCCACCATCGTCCATGAGCGTTCGATCGTCAATATCCCGTCCAAGATCACGCTTGCAATCATCGGAACGCATGATTGAGCGTTTCCCCTACATTGAAACAGGTCGACGTTCCAGCATGAGCGGCAGTCAGTCATCTCTGAATGCGCCATCAGTGGATGCAGGAAAGGTGTCGTCTTCACGACACACGACACACATCCCGCCGCATTCCAAGTTCTCTGAGCCACTGTCGCGGCGTGACTTCGGAGGTGATGCATCTTCACCATTGGGAAAAGATGCTTATAACTGCGACGACAAGGAAAACACGTTTGCAGTCGCTGACTCCAAGTTAGCTTCTGTACCAAGGTCACTACGGCCATTAAGTTCTGCAGCACTTAATCGTCCTCATTCAAGTCTTTCTCAGTATACTACTTCCTTGGGTAGCCGGACTATGGATGGTGGTCTCAATGATCACACTTCAGCATCCTCTATCCGATCGAGATCTCGCATGCAATTACAGCCTGCAGCTCAAAGAAAGTTTACTACTCGACCAAAGAGTTCTTTTGATCTCCGAAACACCGATGCAGCCCTTGGTGGCTCTGGACGTACTCCTCCAGATAGTGATCGCCCAAAAATCCGACGGCTGTACCACGCTCGGTCGAACTTTGAACGCCGCTCAATGGCAGATCCAATGCGCAATGAACCTATCTCTAAGGTATTGCCTGGCCAGATGGCATCTGAGGAAGCTCGGTCGTCTCCTTCGAGAGCTTCACGAATCGCGACGCCAAGCCTAGCAGGAAGAACAAATTCTCATCTTGCAAAAGACGTCAAAGAAAATACCATCTTTGATGTTGCCGCAGGCACAAACAACAAAGAAAATGATGTAGGTTTGAGGAGTCGAAGTGCAACCCCCGGCCAGCGCATGGCAGATAGATTCCTGGAAGAGCGATCTCTGCGAAGCGGCGCGGCTAGCCCCGTTCATATGCACCAGATTGGAGAGACTGGACACCGGGAATTTACACCTGCTTTCTTATAACAGGTCATCAATTTGTCAAGCGAATGGGACTATGGGACTTAGAGAACTTCTGCATACTTTTACTTGAACTTGAATTAGGGACGTGGAAATCGATATTTTTGGGTATCAAGCAGTAGCAGAGACTTGCTGCACGGAAGGATGAAAATCCATATCTTAGGATAGGACTGTCGTTGGTATATGCTTCTAGGAACATTATTAAGAGAATTTTTATGCACTGGCTGTACTGTATTTGGTGTGCCTCGTCCCTACAGCGAGATCGCCGAAGAGGCACGGATTACCGGCATGGTAGTATGTGTTCTGGTGAACAACTCCTCAAACTAAGCATTTCCCAGCTCACGCAATAGTTTAACGACTTCTTTTGGGAATAGTCGATAGAAGCCTTATATGTGTTCTAGAAAAGAGGACAGAGATATGGCACTTAGCATGCAAGCAACATACACTGCGCTCGGTGCTGGTTTACAACATCGTACAGCTCCCTTGCCCCGACAACGCCTAATAGTGGGGAAATTTTTAACATGATTCTCTTCGTCATGATCGTTCACTACGGAGCATACAGTGCTTCGTACACTCCATACAATATTGACAATAAACTAATTACTCCGTGTTACCAGTACGATTAACGGATGCCTAGTTTCTCATAGACGGGATCTAGCTCCTTCAGGCAGACAGGCGATTGTGATACGAGGAAATTGTGACTCTAGCTGCAAGTAATACAACGTTCAAACCTGTTATTTTCGATTGCGCCCTGGCTAGGCCTTCTGGCCTCGCTTACTGGTCTACACAACTTTCCAGCCATATGGATATGGTTTGCTTCTTTTGCATCTTGGTGTCCACATTGTTCCTGAGACATCCCTACATACGCATCAGTCTCAGCTATCGCGAAAAGAAGGATTCCCGCATTCCGTAAGGATTCTCAGTAAGATGACATCTCTATGATTATCTTTAACTTTGCCCATTATCCCATTCATTCGATCAGGTGGTGCGATTGGTATCGCACCCTTGTATATCTCGGCAGGGATCCGGCTTGGTGAGATGATTGTCCAATGGCGATCCTTGCAGCTGGATTCCTCTGGGTGCCTCATCCCTTGGCATATCGTTCCTGTAAGGCATAAGAACATTTGCAGCTGCACTCAGATGCGCACGCGATAATGCAAGTCATTCGTTTCCGAGCATTGGAAAAACAAAGCTCATCATGTCGGCTTTCGTGACGACTACGTTTGCGCCAGATCCGGCGTGTATCGCGACCGACCATATCTGGTTGAGATCGCAGGACTGCTACTCTCTACCGTTCGGCGATTCGCCGACGCGAGAGGCGTGTACTTATTTCCAGCATGGCCACCAGCAAGCAAGGGAAACAAACGGGGACTTCATCTCGGATTCTTGCCTCCCGTATTGGGGAGACCGCGCAACTGTCTATACGGATTGTCCTTCGGGATACAACGCAGTAGTGGAGACAAGCACAAGAAATTCATTTCATACCGTATTCGAGAAGCAGTGCTGTCCATCGTGAGTAGATAGTGTGTGGTTTTCCATTTTCCTTCCTGACATAGTCCAAGGGCCTTTGAGTATTCATACAATGTTTTCGGCACTTTCACGACTGAGACGGATGGCGTGCAGCAAACATGGTCGCTCTACGACGTCCCAAAGTGCGTATCCACGCGCATAGAAGAGGTGCACACAGAAGTCATCACCGTGACATTGGGCGAGCACAACAACAACGAGCCCACCGCGACGACTACCACGGAGATCAAAGACGGAAACCTCGTCTTCGCGGAGGCCGTCGGCGTCATTGGGCCAACCGTCTATGGCGGCGGATACTCAGAATGCTGGGACCGATGTCCATATTCGTACGAGCCAACTCCAACTTTTGAGGAGAAATTCGAGACTGCTCCTGCTGTGACGCAGTTCTCCGCCCCGTCGCATTGTCTTGATCCGGAGAATAAGTGGATCGTGACAACTAGCTGCTATATCACCGATGCCCAGTATACGCCAGATTGGCTGACGTGCTCCGTGACGCATTTCGGAGCACCGAATTGGGACAATGATGAATGCTATCAGAATCGAGTGTTGTATGACAGCCCTTCTGTTGTCGTGGAGGGCACGACTTCATGGTACAGCGGATGCCCATCGGGATATACCATCGCGAGCTCGACCATCCGCCCTTTCAGCGATGAGTATCGCCACCCAATTGGCTACTTCGACGTCACGACTCACCTTGGCTTGTGCTGTCCTACGTAAGCAATGCTTCCAAATCCTTCTCAAGGTCAGGACTAATCTCAAACTGCAGCGCCTACAAATTCCAAGAAGGCGAAGTCAAGCAAACCGAAACTGTCCACGATGGCGCGACCTACGGACTATTCGTGTACGCACCGCCACGCTGCTACGCAACTTCGATCGAGCCGCTCTCCGGCAAAGAAGTCGTCCTCAGCCAGTGGTCGAACACACAGGCCTGGGACAAGCGCGACGAGGACGGCGGTCCCACGACCGTCACGTGGAACTTCGAGCACGACACTATGTACGCCATGGCGGAGCAGTTCAGCTACGAAGTGTTCAAGGGCACGCATACGTGCTATTCGCCCTCGTACACCTTGTGCTCGAGCTGGCTTTCGTATTACTATCCCGATGGCGTGGGTGGGGAGACGCCTGACGGGTGGACGAGTCCTGTGGCGACGATTACGTCGGCGGAAGAAGAGAGTGGTGGGTTTTCTAGCCATGATAGCTCTTCGTCTCCGTTTCCGTTAGAGACTGGTGAAGGGACGTTGACTGACAATATGCCAGGATCAGGAAGCAGAAGTGCGGGAGGAGGTAGTCAGACGGGTGGTGCCGGTGGTAGCAGTAACGGTGGCAGCGGTGCAAGTCTTGGAAGTGCACAGGGGCCTCAAGAAACCGGCAATCCGCCCAGCGCTGCGGGAAGAGCATATGGAGCTGGTTCGATAGGTTTGACAATTCTGATGACTGCTTTGGCGATGGCCAATGCCATATGGTAGTGGTTTGATGATTTCCCTCATGTTTTTTCTTCTTCTGCTAATGCTTTGGCCGGGAATACCACAATGTCTGTAATGAGTATCAATAAGTAACGTCCATAATGGTTATCGAAATGTATCATGTTACCCTGCATACACAAGCCTTGGTACTCGTATTCGACTAGAATCCGAACCGTAAGAACGACTAGTTCCTTTTCCCAAGTACTTCCCAAGACGCACTTTACGTATCTTCATACCATGTTCACCACTCGCCAAGTCCGACATCCAACAATTGTAAATCTTGTTACACCTGAATGAGATGAAATCGTGCCCACTTGAGTTCAGTGACGTTTCCAGGCCAAGGCACCAAGTGGCGGCTTATGTAATTTTAATTTAAGTGCTTACGGCCAGCTGCGGCCAATCTTTGCAATACATAATCCATTCCATTCTCCTCATTTACATTGGAAATTTTACAAACCAAGCATTGACAAGCAATCTATTAAGCAATTCTCAAAAAAAATGGGCAGCACACCAAACTCAGCCGACGTCCAGGTCGAGCCAATCACAGACGCAAAAGACCTCTCCCAGGCCTTCTATGTCTCAAGCGAGGCCTTTGGCCGACAGATCAACGACGCAATATGGGTGTCCCTCAATCCTGACTGGAAGACTCCCAAGGGCCAAGAGTACGGCACCTCCCGACTCGTAAGAGCTTGGAACAAAATCAACAAGGACCGCGAGGGCAACCCGAACACGGTGTACCTCAAGGCTACTCTACCTGTCACCAGCGAGGACGGCCAAACGGAACGACGAATCGTCGGATTCGCGATCTGGAACCAGCTCTCTGTCGTGCCTGGTTACGGTGAGGTGCCGTCGCCCGAGCTTGGTGACGCGGTAGATATTCTGGATCCCACTGAAGCGAGGTTTGCGAGTCAAATGTTCCGCTCGCTATGGAAGCGGAGGATCGAGTATGTAAATGAGAAGGCAACGTCAGACCCGCCTGCGATCTTCACGTTGGGCCTTTGTACTGTCGACCCGGCGTTCCAAAAGAGGGGTATCGCGAGCAAGTTGGTACAGTGGGGGCTCGATGAGGCGAAGAGACGACATGGTGGGCTTGAATGCACGACAGAGGCTTCGAGGATGGGGAGGTCGGTTTACCAGAGGCTGGGATTCAAGGCGGAAGGGGATGAGGATATTGTCTTTGAGGTTGATGAGGAGTTCAAGTCGAGGGATAAGCCGCCGAATCTCTTCTTGCGTACTGGCATCGCCTAATAGAATGGGGAACATCTGTTAGCGATCATGCGTATGCAAGGAGCCGAGTGTATGGCTTTGATGGATAGGATGGCTTTAACATATCATTATGTTTTGCATAGCCGGCGATAGTCGATATCTAGCATATCTAGCGATTGCATGCAAGAAATCAAACGAAGTTTCATCATGAAGATCACAGTCTGCACACAATACTTTCCGCGCTCTTTCATGTCACATTTCTTATAAGTCACGGGGTCAAAACAGATTTCGTGGTTGTCGGGATTTTTGTGCGTTTGTTGCATAGTGGTTGTTCACCGGTAACCATGGCAAGCCGCGCGTTTGCAATTTCCGAAGTATATGGCATCGCGCCCAATATGCCCCTTCAATAAAATTGAATGTTTTTCCGAACGAGCATCATGCTAGCCAGAATATAGTGACTTTATCCAAAATACAAACAACCCATCTGCGTCAGATGCTGCTTCCTTTGCGTTCGACCTAACAATCGCAAAACAACATCAAGTAATGAACTCGCACTGCTACATTGGCCTACTCTGGTCATAGGGGCTGTTCCAATTATTTAGAATAAGCTTCGTCATCATTATCTCTAACTGGCGATATAATACCCTCATGACCTCCCAGTAGCGTCTCAGACGTAAACGACGCACTCTGAGTTGGTATTGTACACTCCCTGATGATCATATTTGTTACGCATGATACTTTCAAGTCCCCACAATTCAATTTCATAACCAAACGCGTTACTCAAACGGATTCTGCTTTGCATCGCGGGAGCCGTCCATGTGATGTCGCTCTTAATGACCTCAGTCCAAGGTCCAAAGGTATAAAGGGGGATCTCGCAGACTCATTTTGCCTTACTTCTCACCTCACTCGCATCTCAAAATTGCAGACGCATGCAAATTTATGTGCTTCTTTTGCCGCTGTCACCTAACTTGTCCTTGAACTTTTCAAAAACAGTCAACACATTCAATGTCGATGTGTTTCGGCAACGCCTGAAGCTCCCGAAATGAGTTGGAAGATATGTCTGTTCTCAAGAACGACATTCCAGAAAGACAGTTGATGTCTTAGCTCCGCGCCGGAAAGTATGCCGCTGCGAAAGCCAAAGTCGAAAAACGCCCGAATCCCGATCGTATGTTCTGTCTCTTTCGACCAGCCGATAGAAACGCCTTCGCATGGGGCGACCGTCTTCCCTTTGTTCAATGTTCGATTCTCTCGACTAAAAAGTTCTTACTCCGAAGGCACACCCTACGGAAGAAAGTTTTACGAATGAAAAATTCTCACTTCGGGAGCCACGTCAACTGCATCACCAGGCGAATTGATACCTGGATATTAGGATTCTCGAAGTCTCATAGAAGATACTTTGGGTTCCGCAAAACGAATCTAGCACTCATGTTACACATCATGAGTGATGCTCGGAGGCCTTTTAACTTCCAGTAAACGAATTGAATATACACTCTCTTATGTTTCGTTACTCTTTCTGTCAACATTCGATGTTCGAAAAGAGGGATGGTTGCAACCACATGGGAGCGCGTCTCTGTTCTTTCCTTTCATGAGCAGAATACTTCATTAAGACTATTCGTGATTGCGAAGGACATTTGTATCAAAGGCTATTTAGTTATAGCCTCAAATCTTGAAGAATCTCGCACGACGATCGCGACACTCTCAACTGTCATAGTGACCAACTATGGATTTCGTTCTCTGCGTTGTTCATTAGCTACCTTAAAAATAAACATACCAATACTCTGCATTCAGACGTGGTCTTCATCACATTAGTGATAGAGCCAGCAGAAACGATTTCAAGCTGTACGATGTTCTTCATCAAAATGAACACAAATTTGGCGCTATTGAGTCTCAAAAGTTTCATAAACAATTACGACCAGAAGAGTCGTATATTCCCAATGACCAGCTAGCACTCACTTTCGAACATAGACTGACCATGGAGTTTGGACAAACTTATTCTCATCATTACAACTCAGAAAGCATATGCTTCGACGTCAGTATGATCGACCCAATGTTCTAAGGCTAAGGCCGGACTACTCATGCTTTCTGTCACGGCGACCATCGAAACTCTTCTCCCCAGGCGTCTGGGTTGAGATACCCATGCGGAATGTCTCATGATTTCGAAAACCTGTGCCGTTGAATCAAAAAGCAGCGCATCAATCCTCCGAATGGCGAGCCGGACGACGCTGCCATCCTTTCCCTACTGAGATTATTGGTTACACACGCGATGAAATCGCCTGTCTAAGACTTGAGTCGTATTCCATACCCTGATTTTCCTCGACTCAAACTATATGTTGGCTCTTCTATGAGGGTCTTGCCTCTGATTACAAATGAAAGAACGCCAATATGAGGTGCAGCTTCTGCTTGCTAGGCTTGCTTATGCTCTTGACTTTCTAGTACGCCTTTGCGGTCATTATCAAGAACAAAACAGCACACTCTATCACGAAGATAACGCGCCCAAGACATACCTTGATGGTACCACTGTTCCCATTCTTCTGCTCTACATATTTGATCGAGCGCTGGGTGGAGAAGCAGCGCATGCCCGGGGGATCCTTGGCAAAGGCAACGTTCATATCGAGTGGACGGACTTCTGTGCGCGAGACCATCGGAGCGAGGGAACATATGGCGAACGAGAAACTGGAAACAAGGAACAAGGAACAAAGAATGTGTGAGACTCAGAATACTGGAAGATCAGCTATGAGGGCAGTGCTTTTCATGAAGAAAGTGCACCAGTAAATGGACTGAATAGGGACCCATGGTTTCCCGAGCTGTGTGTTTCGCAAAGGGGCGCTCCGACATACTGAGTACGACAATATCGTTCCAAGAAGAACGAAACCACAAGATAGATCGCCATGAGCGATCTTTTCTTCCAAAAATGGTCTGCAATTCCCACATGGGAAATCTCTGTTTCGAACCGTCATGATAAAGCATACACAACAATGGGATTATGATTCCAGCATTCAAGACAAGAAATTATCGTGCTGTGGCATCAATAGAAGCGATACACTCGATAACATGAGGGAAATCCCTCGAATCGACCACAATTATCTAACTACACGGATGATTATTCTAGTCGGAGACTGGAGTAAAAATATTAGAGCGTCAAACTCTCGACTCAAGATCTATCTCGGATGTTTCGAGAGAAATTCTTGTCTTCTCACAGCAAAATGATTAATGCTGCAATCGGAGTCTCTATGAGAAAACGACATACAAAGCCCAGCTTATTAGGTTCATTTCTGATCTCAAACAATCTTGCTTCAAGATATATGGAATTTGGGTGCCTTGGAGCACCACGGACCTAGCCCGCACATATCGAGACCCTTGCTCTACACAGTTGTGAAAACTACAGTAGACGACAAATTACATGCTCGATTTGTTGATTCAGCATTTCTAGCTTTCAGTACCAGCACAAACTGCCACCAACTCAACATGCTATCACGCTTTTCAAACAAGCTAGATATCATATCCATGGAAGAACTTACAGTGGAACAACGAATGTGTCAAGAAGGGGTCTCTAAGGATTAGAATAAACTCCACATACGTACTCCATGTCTCCGGCGGCTATTATATGGCCTGAAGCGGCGAAGAGAACATGCCCTGAAGTTGAATTATCAACATCGAGACAAACCTCGAACGAAATTACATGTCTGCTTGACAGAATAATGAACAAACCGTGCGAATGTTCCATCGCTTCCAAGGAAAATCAGTCCTGTGGAGACTTGAGGCCTCTACATGGACGTTTATACACTTGGGAACTTCTCAACGGGCGTACTGTGAGCCCTTTCACACGTACTGAGTCTCATTGTAGTCTTTGAAAACTGGAATTGGGACCCCATGTGCATGACAAAGAATGAGAGAAAGATAAGATGCAGAAAACATGACAACTTCCGTTCCCGAGGATGAGCATGAGATCAAAAATTATAGGACAGAATTACCGGTCGGCCACCATGAAAGGCCTAGTCGTTCGACCTTCTGCCATCACGTCAGAACCTTGTCCTATTCAGTCCTTCAAACTTCAAATACTAATATCTTTAAACAATGACGGCGCTGCAACATGAGACACAACAACATAACAAACGTGTGAATGAAGCCATGCAGCCTGTTGACTCGCTTCCGACCTTACCCTCACTCTGTAAAGGAGAAGAATGTTGTCGACGTCGAAACAAAACAAGACGACAAGGGCGACATCTTTGACGATTCAAATATGGGAACAAACCCCAAAATGTGGAAGTGTCCAAGAAACAGAATCAGAAGAGTTTCCGAAAACAATCAACACGATGCCTCAAGCAGCTGTCACATGTCGATGTTCAAAAGTACACACATCAAAGAAATGACAAAGTCTTATGTTTTCCTGGACGATGAATGTACAGACCCCGGGGCTAAAAATCGGCGATGAATTCTAACATTAAGCATGACTGAACTCACCAACAGGCGGCCGCTGCGAATCAGACAGTCAAATCTCCAATGCGATGGGTGCGGTCCATCGAAACCTGCATTATACTACCAGACATGAACAGCAGATTCAATCGAAACAACTTTCCACCGTAATTGAACTGAATGAGATTTGCTCCCTTGACATGTGTCAAACCTTCAAGAATCCTAAGGGACTGGCCACTATCCCCTACACTGGGCGTCTTGATATTAGCAAAGTTATCATTACCACTCAAGACAAAGCTCCCAACGACTCGCGCATGTTGGATGAAGCCACATATATCAAAGAAGCCCTTGACGAGAAACCGACCTGCCGTAGAGCTCCCAGAGAAATTGTCATGGATCAAATGAGCTGTGGAAATTTTCATTCGCATGTTCAAGTTGATGCGATCTACACGGATCTGTCCAAAGCATGTGCAGGCTTTGCAATGTTACAACGATCACTAACAACAAGTCCATGCTTTTCTGACCGGGGATCGAAATATTTTCAATGTGCTGCTCCACGGAAGGTTTACGATATCATGATCGATGTCGCTGGGCTCTGTTCATGTGCCAAACCACGCTGTTCTAGCGTCATGAGCAAGCCGATCAAAGAAAGAAAAGATACAATGGAGAAATGAAGAAAACATCCAGAAAGCTGCCGCTATGTGCCGTGGTTCCGAAAAGAAAACGCCAATTCATTCTATGGAAAAACAAAAGCTGACATAATGTCAAAGCACCAATCCAGGGACTACCAAAAGCTGTTAAGACAATTCAATGTTCCGGAGGGCGTGGGGTTACAATAGTACGATCTTCATCAAATGCTCGATGTCTGTCGTTAAGCCCGGACATATGGCCATTCCACCAAAATACACAAAGGTCGTTCTCCGCACGCAGACGCAAACGCTGATCTGGACGAAAATCTACACATGGCGGGAGCCACCATCCTGTTCGTCCTCCCAAAAGCAACCACAAAACTGAAAAATGGCGCATTTGAGGTTGTCATGTTGGCACTTATCATAGACATCAAATGTGACTGAAAACGGATCCGAAGGCTAGATCATTACGAGCAACGGAGAACCTATCCTATAATTATCCAACATTGAGACCGATCATGGATCGGCTTTCTTGACAACACGATTAGACACTGGAATAAGCAAATTACATGTCTCGGTAGACCTGCGGTCTTGCTACAAGAGTATGTTGGAGGACCATGGTCCAAAAGCGAACGCATGATCATGCGTTCAATGATCTCTCATATGCTATCTGCTATCAAAAGGCCAAATGATTTTTGGCTGGACCTGATTGCAAACATGACAAATTTACGTCAAACCGCCTCATGACACCCGGAAGAAAAGCTCATGTGAGAATTTTCTTTCAACGTCCACCAATGCGCGAAGCAATCGTTCGCAATCCACAGGAATGGCAGACATATATGCGACCCGCCATTCTAAAGCGTACCATCTGGATCTGCATGTTCGCTTGCCGGAATTCCCCTCTGGCTTTCTACCAAGCTGGCCACTGCTGCCTATGACTCGAGTTCCGGGCAAGCCAATCACTATTACAAAGGTAGCTACAGCATGAGCATATGGTCACTCTTTGTCACATGGCTGTTCGCAATTTAAAGGCGAACAAATCGGCAAATGATAAGAATGCATGAACTTTTTCGTATGGGAAGTGGAGCGCTTTCTGCGCGTATCATTCTGGCGAAGCTAGGAACAAGAATAGAGAAAGTGGTTGACAAGCACTATGCTGTGCGGCTCCTTAGGATCGTTCAACTAAAACATGCCAACCTATATTATAATGACCACATGGTGGTTGTCATGTGGAGTCGGAGGCTCGACCCGAGAGCTTCAAAGCGATATACATTCGGAAAATGGCGTGTCGAAGCCACAATAGGAGCTGTTCTATGTGGTTCTGTGTGCTTGAGTTGCAGAAACAAATAAAAAGCGCCTTCGTTACCAATATGTGTTGTGGGAGGGAATTCTCCATCAAACAAAAGGAGTGTTTCAAAAAAGACAATAGAGAGCTGTGATGTGGAGTGATTTGAAGACGTCGCCATTGATACTGCATGGTGTGAGCACCAGCTTCAAAGTTTGCTGAATAGGCGGAATGGTTTGGCCGGCTTGAGCTGGTGAAATAACTACATACCCCGAGGAATAGTTCCATGTGAAGAGCGGGACACAATACCCATCGATGAACTGGACACGAATCGACGAAATATGGAGTTTGAGATTCCGTCACTGTGATATGATGTGGTGAGCACCAACTCAAAGATTCCTAATAGGCACCCATGGTTCTGCATATGCTTCGGCTTGGTTCATAACATAACGGTGTTACGATCATGTGCAGAAATCAGAGATTCTGGTCAATCAGATAGAACTCGAGAAGTTTCGCATTCATGTGCGAAGTGGGAGGGACGTCCAAAAAGAAAAAAATGAAAGGGACAATGCTGTCCGCGCGGTGTTTCTCGCGTGTAGTCAAATATCGCCATCACTGCCTCCATGTAATGAGCATTGACTCAATCACAATTGAAGACCTCTTATGAGGTGTCCTGTGGTCTGGCCTTGATCATAGCACAGTAGTGACCGATCTCATTATGGGGACAAAAGCTGGAAAATCGAATGAGAAATCGTTGAAAACTCTGGGCGATGTGCGGGGTGGGAGTGAAGTCCAGAAATACTACCTGATTCAAAATCATGTCCGCGCGATGGTTCTCGAGTGGAGTTCAAAATCTTGTGTCTTTTCATCAATGGCAGTGGCACACCTTATGCATTCGCGCTGTCTCACGATCATTTTCTCCATTCCTCTTTTGCTCATGCCTGGATCGCTGGGAGCAGAAAGGGGAAGAATTCTCAGCCTGTTTCAGGAATGGTCTAAGGAAGACCCTGCCCGCTATCGAAATTGAGGAAGCTATCCATTACAATGATCTTCGTCAACTTCCCTACCGTCTATGATATCCTCTCCTTTGCCGCAAGCATACGGGATTCAACATGTCCGGTGGCAAATCACCATAATGAGTAGAGCGCGTGTTAATGCAAGACTAGGGCGGGCATACCTTGGGGAGATTGGCGGTGGATCATCTCCGCAGTTTTTCGTTCACCTGATGTTCTCCGGGTTCACAGTACAACGTCATGTCAATGATCCCGACTGGAGACTTGGTCGTTGATACTGGAATGTAGTGATGGCGGTGGTGATGGGGTGGTGGTGGCGTGGATATCTAATGGTGATGATGATCAGCATCACCACGAGATGGAGAATGACAGAGAAACATCAAGACAAGGGCAGTTGGGTCATCGAACAGATGTGCATATTTTATGTAAAAGTTTCGTTTCAATATTCGTTCTATCGATATCGCTATGTGATGCTGCAGCAATCCTTGTCCCAATTGACTCCCTTAGTATAAAAGCAACCCCAATCGATATGCCATATATCGTATCTAATGCGCGCTGAATCCCTCTCTCGCTACGGGCATGACGACTCTAGTTCTTAGCACCGTGGACGAAAAGCCTCTCGCCCTCAACAGGCTTGTACTGCTTCTCGCCAGCCTCGGCGACCTTGCCGCCAAAGACGAGCTGGGCGCGGAGCTTCCAGAGCTGGGGAATGTTCCACTCGGCCTGGGCCTTCTGGTCGATGATGGGGTTGTAGTGCTGGAGGTTGGCGCCGAAACCCTCAGCCTCGAGGGCGACCCAGAGGGCGAACTGGTGCATGGCGGATGTGTGCTCTGACCAGACGGGGAAGTGCTCGGCGTAGAGGGCGAATTGCTTCTGGAGGGCCTGGACGGGCTCGGGGTCCTCGAAGAAGAGGATCTACAGAACGAGTTGTTAGTATGGAGCATAATGAATAGGCAGTTGGTGGTGGTTGGTGGATCTACAGGCCAACGTGGGATATGCAGGGAAGCATCTCAAAGGGGGATAGCGCGGGGTAGATCGGCATGATATTTCAAGTGATGGTGGGGCCCTTGTAAAGCTTCTCTCCGAGAGCTCATGTGGGTTCCCCACCACCGCACACGAAGCCGATGATGCAATCCTCCCCATTTCGATGCGATCCAACGGAGCAATCGACAAGTCAATCGCACCAGGAAGACGGATGATAGAAGAGGAAAAGAGATACTCACAGTTCCGTAACCGGCCTTGAAGCCGTTGACACGCTCCTCAGTCTTGGCGAACTGGTCCGCGGGGACGATGGGCTTCAGAACCTCCTTGACATACTCCCAGAACTTGTCGTGCTCGTCATTGAGAAGGACAACGAGACGGGCGGACTGGGAGTTGAAAGAAGAGGGAACGTGGAGGATAGCGTCCTTGACGATGGAGACAATCTTCTCATCGGCGATGGGGGCGGTCTTGTTGAGCGCGTAGATGGTGCGGCGGTCCTTGATGGCCTGGAGGAAGGACTTTTCGGAAGCCATTGTTGCGTGAGAGGTGGAGAAGTGTTTGTGGGAAGACGAAGTAGTAGGAATGGAAGATGAGAGAGGAGTGGAAGATTGTTGCAGTTGATGGAGAGCAGGAGAGGCAGCGACGCGGGCGCTTTTGTAGTAGGCGGGTCGCAAAGCCTGTCTCCCAATTTGTAAGGTGTTTCTGAACATGGTTGCGATGGATCCTGGAAGGTGTGCGATGGTGTCAGTATCAATGGATATGGAAGTGGAAGTGAGACTAGGTTCCTGGACAACGGACGAGGTCGGCAATTGGATGGGAGGCAGAATTTGCTGCAGGAAGATGGCGAGCAAAAGGCCCGCAACAAGTCCCGTTATCAAGGATCGTGCGCTGCCAGCGGTGGCCATCGCGTCATCTGCGGTTAGATGCTAATCGTCTTAGTTAGTTGAATAGGTGAGTAGTAAGGTATGGATAGTGTAGAGAACACATCATCCTCATCAGGATCATCATCATTCTGAAAGGTCCGAGGGCGAGACGATTCTAGGTATAGCTTGATAATACGACTTTCGAACAACTACGATTATGGTTACACCCAGGTACGGGAGCAAGCTGACTGGCTGGAATTGGAGTATTGATACTCGTAATTGGCAGTATCAATGGCCTGAGCCGACGGATAAATTTCAATTAGTATGCCTAGTTGGGTGGTTAGTTGTGGTTTGTTGTTGATGTGTAATCCCTCTTCCTTCTTTCTGTATGGAAGTGATGGATGATGTTGGCCGAGGACGGCAGCCGGATCAGCAAATTGCCGGGTTCCTTGTCTGATTGTTAATCCCTTACAAATTACAAACTCCACCATCGTCCTTGCGGAATAGCACCGCCATCTCTCGTACTGTAGTAACCATCACCACAATAATGACAGCTGCCATCGACAAAATATCGCTCAAAATCTCATCATTGTTGTCAGAATTCGCAATTCGAATTGTAAAGCAGACTCATACTTCGGGCATTGTTGAAAGCCGAGGCCTACGACGAGTTGTTTCGTGTTGGAACTAACCCCATATATCACGTGATGATACCCACTCGTTTTTCTATCATCATCGCATTATTGGTGTATGTAGGTACTCACGGACGAAAGAAAGCAACGTCAACACTACTCGCACATCTTCGTCGATCACCCTCTCTCCCTTCCTCCTCAAACCCGAACACTACGCTCAATTCAACTCAACGTCGCCGCGACTCCCATGCCGGCCCCGGTCAACAGCATGATCCCCCTCCAGAAATTCAACCTCCCCCAGCTCTCCACCAACTGTCGCGTCTCCACAAGCTCAGAATTTGTAGCAGCAGCACCACCCTTCTTAACCTGGCTCACACCTTTCGCCCGCCCCGTCGCCCTAACCGTAAGCTCCTGAATGACACCGCCCATCAACCCCAACGTATACGGTCCCAGTCCCGCCATAGCTACCGTAGCGCCCACGTACAAGTTCCTCCTCACATTGCTCACCCCGTATCCGTCCACCGCAAGCCTAGGCGCGAGCGTCGACCTCCAAGCCAGCACCGCGAAGCCCACCGATGAGCCCATCGCAAGAGATATCATGGGTACAATGCCGGCCGTGTACAACTTGTGCCATTGTCTTGCGAGCGTATTCGCGTCTGTCGTTTGGAGCAGCGCCGGGATCGTGAGGATCGACGTACTGATGTTCGTGCCTGGCGTCCCCCAGAGATTGGTTAGAAATTGTGCCTGGTGATGAAGCATTGTAACGAAGGGTGTTGAAGTCTATACTGACCAGCAGCTATCGCAGAGGCAAGTATACTAACAGCCTGAACGACAGGCGTCAAGCTCTCCATCGCGAAGGTCGACAGTCCGATTTCCCACCAGTAGCTTGGCTCTATTCTATCTGTGACCCTCGCAGTCGTAAGCCGTGATGCTAGGTCGTCTGCTGCCTTTGTGATCCGCGATGTAGATGCTATCTCGGCGATCGGAGGTACAGGTACGAGAGTGCCCGAGGTCTGAAGGGCCGCAGAGCTGAATTCAACAGGCGGGGTACTCATCGTTCAGCTCTTACTTAAATACACAGGTAACAAGAAGTCTACTACTGCTTCCCCTCATGTGAACATCGAACGATAATCGAGGGGTAGAGACGCTTGTCCAGCTTTCTCAGTCTTATGTTGCTAGCTACATGTACTGTAAGCACTTCGAAAGCGCCCGGCCTATGACGTTGCCAGCTGTCTTCCACCCGGGCGATGCTATTCGATGCGTCTAGATCTCACATGTAGATGCGGCCTTTGCAGCTTTAGCGCCAGATCTAGAGATCGTCCCACTACTGGGAAAGCTTAACCACCACATTTGGTCCAATGATGAGGAGTGGAGCGTAGACATCATGCACTGCGCGAAGGATAACTAGGTACCTCTTAACGAACTTGCTTACAATCAGTGTAAAGTAGCCAAAATTCGATAAATATGTTATCCAAAAAAAGAAAATGAAAAGCACATGAAATCATATCTACCCATCATCGAAATGCAATCCTCACCACCATCACCACAATCCAATGATGCTCACCACCACCACCATCACCTCAATAACCCACTCCCACCCTCCTACCCTACCCATTCTTCTTGTCCACATCAAAAGGTTTCCAAGGCGTTCGGACATCCGAAAGTCTCACGCGAGGTCGAATCTCCAGAAAGTCGCACATGGTAAACACCATCATCATGAAATTGGCAATCCTCGAAACGGGACAGCAGGCATAGTAGGCTCCATACTTCTATTCCCGGCCATCTAGCGATGACAAAAAATTTCGAGACCGCCGGTCTCTCCCATACCGGTTTTGCGAACTTTCTTTCGATCATGGACGAAAGAGAAACACGGCACCAATCCGCCATGACACGACGAACTGTAAATAGTTGAAATACTCCCCGGCGAGAGAGGCGGAGCATACACGTGCCCCTGGTGTGTGGTTTGATTTGCATCTTATCTCCATGATGAAATCTTTTTGCTCCTGTGGATTGTTCACGAGCATGCCTTCAGGAGTGAGAGCTGTTGACAGAGAGCGAGCGAGCGAGCTACACATTGTTGACTTGTATTTGCAATGCCAGGAGCATGTAACGTAGGCTATCGATGTTTTTAACACTCCGAGTTCCGGGACGAAAGACACACATATCAATGTTTCCTCTGTGTTATCGCATTGTTTCTCTCGTGACCGTTCTACGAAAGGGATGATTTCGTGCCCTAAAGGTCATTTTTCCACTTTCTCTGCCATGCAAGGAGGTACAGAAGAGTGTTAGCACCATGATAACGCCGTTTCTCAAGTTTCGGCGCCATGATGCTTTTTTATTTCCGGCGAGGGAGGAAAACTCGCCGCATCAGACGATTCCACTCAATCTTTTAAGATTTCTTTCCTCTCCATGTGGTATTTGTCACACATGGTTTGTTGATAATTTGAGTTTCGATGGACGTCTCGTAAGGAGTAATCGGTGTCTTGATTTTAAATGCGTACAAAGGCGCATCTCCATCTCATCAGAAGTCTCGCGTGTATAGAGAGGCAGAGGAGCGCTCTCTTCCATGGACTGTCTGTCTACTCATTGAGCGCTTCCATGACCGGGCTATATTGCGCTCTCTGCTCGTCATGCAGCGGAAGCAGACGAATTTGTCTTCGTCGTCTCCCATGCGCACGTGCTGTAGTCGTTTTTTGTAAGCCCACAAGACTGCTGGTTGCATCGGGCGAGACATGGAAACTTTCCGCCATCAACAGATTTCTTGCGTTATTGACTTCTTTCCCTTAAGGTAAGAGCATAATGATGGAACACAAGTTTTCGAGTGAATAGAGAATCATGGTTGAATCTCATTAGATCACTGAGAAACGATATACAGTTTGGTTCGCACATGAGGTCTGCTCATAGTATGGCCTAGTTATCCTTTTGTATTTCATATCGAAACATACGTTGAACAGATATCGTGTTGTTGGCGCGATACAATCTGTCCGTTATTAGTCGTTTCATGGGTGCACATAAGTTCTCGGCGCATCAGTAGTTCGCGGATTCGTTGAAAGTGCTGCGACATCCAGATCGCCCAGTCTGGCTTTAGTAATACCCTATTAAAACGCAGAGGCAACGAAACATCGGTATAGAGCTGTTCGGGTCAGCCCACATGTATCCATGTTGAAGTAGCCTCAGGTGCTCCAGCCACGGCAATCCCGTAATGCTAGTTCATCCTTCATACCAGTTGCATACGTCATTTGTAGAAGGTGGTGAAGTTCCAGGAGATAGGGGTCGTGGTAAGCAGGATATGGAGGACGAGTCCACCCATGCTGTATATTGTGGAAGATGGTTTCTTGCTCCATGGCAATTGTACCCACCACTTTGATACCAGGAGGGGAGAGGAAAAGGCAGCATGTGTTATTATTGACGGACTTTTGAAGTTTTCGTTGATATCCAACATAATACCAGTATTGAGAATATTTAAGACTTGTCTTGATGGCGGTGGAAATGAAAACACCTGGGAAGGATTCTAGTTTTACACCACTCTTCTGCTCTTCATCGTAACATGGCATCGGGATTTTTGGGGTTCTTGTGTAGACTTTGACAATGGAGAATGACTGGGGTATTCTGGGCCGGCTGCTATTTCGGACGCATTCCAGCGCTCTTGATCCGTTTCGATAATGAAGCGTATACCTTACGTATGCAGGAACCCTTAGACGACTCCGAGCTCTGCTTCGCATATCGAATTGATAGTACTGTTTGGTGCCACGGCGCTCATTGCGTATTGTTGTCCATATCTTTCGCATTCGAGCTCATGCGGTTTGTTTCGAGATTGCATTCAAATGATCTTTGTACCTCCATAAATTCTTTTTTTTTTTTGCTCGCAATTTCCAAACATGAACGGTAACTTTCGATTCTTACTACTTTTCTGCTTTCGAGAGAACAGTAGTGCTCGCAACATAAGATTGGCGGAACCCTATTTGCAGAGAAGGTTACATGTAGAATAATGACTGCACCTCCTAACGTCTCGCCTGTCCCGACATCGTCGCTGATAATGCCACCCTTCAGGTGAGGGATTTCCTATGCCCGCGCTGCAACCATCTGCCACCAGCGTAGTTCTTTGCCGGGGTTCATGTACCGCATACTTCTGCACCCAATGTCCACCATGCCTGGAAAATTCATTGCTTCTTTCAGATTATTGCGTTGGAACGCAGGATCGTTCCAGATCATGTTATAATCGTCGACCAATTGCTCATGTTCTTCGAGGACTGGTATGGCCGGATTGTCTTGATCATTGTCCGTACGCTTCGTGGTCCCATCTTCCGGATCCTTTTGTATTGTTGCAGCTTCCAGTGCCTCCAAGCTTCGAAAATCTTTGGCCAAGCAGCCGTAATGCTTTGTTGCTGGATCGCTCTTTCGGTCTCGGAAGAGGCCGCCCAGAGTTCCGCTTGTGTCGTCAGAATGACCGACAGCCGCTCCGACATGAAGATTTGCACTGAAATCTTCTGCCATAGCTCATCTGAGTTAATGGTTAGTTGTCGGATGGCAATGAACCAGCTATCCAAGTAAAGACATTCCGAACATCGAGGCTGATTTCGGTGGATATCTCAGTGATGGTCGCATAGTTTGATAATATGGACCATGTGACGAACTGTGAGTGAATGTTATGCACAAAACGTATCCTTTCGAATAGGCTCAAATCTAGCTTTTCAATTTTGTTTCGATCGGCGAAGTTTATAGACTCTCACGAATGAAAGTCGTGGGTTTCATCTGGGGGCCGAACTCCTCGCAACATGGCAAGTGTCGTTTGAACATACCAGTCATAGACGTTAGCTGTTCGGATTTTTTCCTGTGACTTGCTCGGTGATTAGGAGTAAGATTACTTCGGGTGTAAGTCCATTGACAACCTTTCACAGCCAGCTCTTGGGGTTTCTAGGTGTGCGAGATTTTCAATCATGTATGTCTATGGCAAGCAACTGTTTCATTGTCTGACAGAGAGCTAGTAGTGCGGTCTTAACGATCATCAAGATTGGACATGATGTTTGACAATTATGCCGCACTCCACCTGCCACACGAAGAGGATCACGTCTTTTCATGACACTCCATGCAGTAATAAAATCAGTCTGCCTTCCTGCCGGGTCGAACTGCATGCCCAAGAACATAGCAGCTTGTCGGAAGGCTTTTCCGGCATTCACATAATCTTTAGCCGTATTTGCTTTTGAAACCTCTTCCAATTGTTCGACATTTTTCGTCCGTTTGGACGTGAAGGGACCGGTCGGGGTCATGTTTCTAGAGCCATTGCTGCACTCTTTCTGGGGATGGAGGAGAATATTGCACGCGAGAGAAGGTTGTGCTCTTCATATAAGACAGTTTTCCATACGGAAGGTTGATCACGGGTTTCGACTTTCGCCTGCTGCTGGGCAGGTGCATCAGCGAAACTTGCAGAGACAGACAGTCCAAAACGGCGCATGACATGTCCGAATGCAACATGCAATTCTTGGAAATCGAAACTTATTCATGATTGCCATGAATCTTTGCCAATCACATGGCCACGAAGTGGTGTCGTTTACATTTCTTCATGATCTTTCGATGTGGCTCAATCATCGAAGGCTTGAACATTTTGGGTTGAAGTCATACTTTTGAATATTTTCATGAAGGGCTGTAAAAAGTGCTTTCCTCATAGTGTGTTGTGATTTTGATTTCAATGATCGTTTTCGAAACTCTCGATCGAATTGGAATCATTTGTTAGGATACCATTTGAGGCTTCGTGACTAAATTTCTGAACATGAGGGCGATTGGCATGTTTCATCGGTATTGTTTTACGACCAGACTTTTCCCCATTGCTTGAGGCATCGACACCATCGATATCTTGAGTCGACTCTGCGAACATAGATCGCTCGTTTTGCGTAATCCAAGGTCGGTTTTGTGGATGGGTTTCTGGGTTGCATCTCTCGAACTTCCCCCTAGCATGAGGGAAGTCTCCCCAGGGAGAATCCGCAGGATGAACGTTCCTCCCCATGCATATTAGCATTTGTGTGTTCGATCAAGCAGCAGTCGCTTTTTCGTGGCGAAGACAAAATTGGCGCGCCATCAATGTTGGGCTCTTCAGAAAAGCATGAACATATTGTGAACAACGGGGGTTTTCTTTTTTGGAGTTTCCCTTATGAGAGATGTGGAGTGTGAAGAAACTTAAAATCCCGGGCAAGATGGGTAAATTATACCCTAGGGGAATAGTCAGTATCGTCAAGGGGAGAGTCACGACATTACCGTCGTTTGCATTTGTGACATTCAATTTCGGAACCGAAAGCTAATTGTTTGAAAAGACAAACAAACGCTGATAGTGACGTCCTAGAAGCCATCCCAAGATATGATAGTCTAATCACAAGTCTCCTCAGAACAATATTCAATCTTGCACACTTCGTCACTTAGACAGCCAAGCAAACCCCCAGCGATGACCAGCTGACTACTTCGCACTCTTTGCACTGACGCTATCCACCTTTCGCACCGCATCCATCTCCCGGATCATCTCAACACTATTCTTCTCTAGCACCTCTTCAACCCCCATCTCGATCCTACCCTGCACCTCCTTACCTTCGAACATGAAACTCAACTCCTCAAGCGTCCTGTTGTGCGTCTCTGGGAACAGGAAGTACACGGTCGAGATCTCAACAATCATCCACACGCAGTAGAAAATGTAGTATTTCCAGCCGATGCTGTCGAGTCCGATGGGGTTGATGTAGGTGTTGAAGAAGTTGGCGAGGCGGACTGTGAGTTGCTCGAATGCGATACCCTTGCTGCGTTGTTGGAAGGGGAAGATTTCGACCATGTAGGTGTAGGTCAAGGCATTCCAGCCTATATTGTAAAAGCTGTTGAAGCGGCGAATTAGCACTGTAGGCTCTGTGGGCAAATGAGGGAGGACTTACATGGAATAAATAAACATGAACACAATGACCACGACAGCCGCAGAGTCGCTTCCAGTAATTTCTCGCCTCGCGCTGGCTATCGTCCAAGCAATGTACACGAACATGACTCCGATCGTGCAGGTGAGGAAACCCTTTCTGCGAGGGAATCGGGGAGCGATCAAAGCGATCGGGAGACCGTGGATGAAGTCCCAGCATGTCTTGCTAAGAATGATCTTCTGTATCAGACGCGCGTCATGAATGCCGACTTGATTCAGGATCTTCTTGAGATAGAACGAGATGAGATTGTTGCCGCTCCACTGCGTGAAGAATCCCGTCACACCAGCGATCAAGAAACGGCGTCGCATGGCCGGGTCGCGCCACGCGTCTGCCCACATGAATCTCTTGGAATTTTCAAGCTCAACGCTGATGGTGGTCTTGATTTGTGCGTACTCGAGGCGTACAAACTCTTCGCCGTCATCACCTTCTCCGTGGTACTTGCGCAGGATTTCGTATGCTTCTTCATGCCGATCCTTGGCGATGAGCCAGCGGGGTGATTCAGGGCAGTAATACATGAAGATGATTTGCAGAGATGAGGGAAATGCCTGGAGAATTGAGGGAATTCGCCATGCCCAAGTGGAGTGAATTGTAAATGTGCCGTATGTCGTCCCCGCAGCGACGATTGAACCTAAGGCAAATTAGGAGGAAAATATATCCCATATGCAAGGCAAGCATACCGACAAACCACGAAGCGTTGAAGACACTCGTAAGTATGGGACGTTCGCGTGCATAGGCTAGCTCGCCAATCAACGAAGACGCGTTGACGATGGCAAATGGGATGCCGAAACCTAGCAACCAACGCGAAGCCATAAACATGTTGTAGTTGACAGATGCGCCCTGTAGGGCCGCTACGACTGTGTAAGAAGACTATATGTATCAGGGAAATCGTAAGTACATACCTCCACAGATCATGACCATAGACGCTGTGATGATCGTCCAGCGACGCCCAATCTTGTCTGATACGAAGGGCACAAAGGGAACGGCAAGCAATGCACCTAGGGAGTACATCGCATTGTACAATCCAAGCCTCGACCCGGTGGGATGATTAAAATCTACTTCATGTGAGGTTCGCGTCCTTAGGATTCGTTTTTCGGTACGTACACTCATCCCAGGCAGGGACAGCCTGGAGACCGTTCTACGGCATATCAACTACTGCTGATGCGTGGTCTTTGATCAGAACGTACCATCATTGACGAATCATAGCCAGAGGTCATCTCAACACCCAATGCACATGGCACAAGCGTAAGATACAGAAGTCGCAGGTTCTGCTTCCTGTACCATTTCTTCGTGTCTGCATTTGCAATGTTCGTTAGACGAGGGTCAGACAGGTGCTCTTCCTTGTGGCCGATAATGGCCATGTTGAATACGATTCTACGTGCACTTTCGAATCCAAAACTGCACCAAAGGTGTAGTCGCAGATTGAAGGCTCTATGAACTTCTTATAACCATGGTCCTCCGCTTCCCCATAATCTGGTCGCCCATCTTCTGGAAGGAACAATTACTATCCAGTGCCGAACCACATGCATGTAGGCCGGCTTGACAGCGCGTGAGCCGACGGACGATAGGCGCAATGGGTAGTATCCTCGCACACAGGATTCTCATATATTGAGCGTGTTCCAATATGATCCCGTCCAACGACACCTTTTCATTTGATTATACGCGTCCGAAAGTGGTGGACAAGTATGCCGAGCCGCGTGCGGAAGAATATGCCCGTGGCGAAACGGGTTTAGCCTGTATGTGTTTGTACTCTGCGGACAACTACTTGTCAGTTTGTAGATCGAAAAGGAAGGCAACATGCATTTTCACTGCACCTCTGTCAGAATCGGTCTTTGCATTCAGGGTTGCTGGGGAAGTGCTTCAAGCAGCGCACATAACATTCACGACTGTGGTGTTCAGAAAACGCCGAGAATTGGGAAATTTGCCTGATTGTGAGTTTCGAGATTGACTATGATTGCTGTTATTATAGCTCAGGGCATAATTTTGTTAGACCACGAGAATTTCCATGGAACCGTGACCCGGGATGTTCACAGGACGAGGGGTCGCCATATGCTGACTCTGAACTACAATGAGGGGGTGTAATGACCGATCCTTCCCTGCACAACCCACAGGGTTGCGACCAGGTATTTGCAACTAATGGTACATGCTCACGGATTCATAATGGGGACATTGTGGAGCCGTACTGGGGTTACGGGGTCAGGATTCTGACGTATCTGATGATCTTCTGTCGAAAAGTAATCGGTCTATTTGCCTCTCGTATATGCTTCGATCTAATCTATGTTCAGCGAAGTGAATGTGATCTCGCAATCAAGGCAAATGCCATTATGTAAATCGAAGAATCCTCCCGTTTTTGACTTTCCATCTCCCCAGACTTCTACCACGCGTTGAGAGCAGCAGCTCCAGCAAGGGCAAAGAGCGCAGATCCCTTAACACCTAATTGGTAGGCGGCCCCAGTCTCCGTAGTTTGCGCAGACGCGACAGTGCTTGATCCAGCGGTAGCGGAGGCCTGGCTGGCGGTAGCAGCAGGGCCAGTGGTAGGAGCAGGGCTGGCGCTTGTTTTAACGCTAGACGATGCAGCACCGGTGGTAGCACTCAGCTTATCCCATCCAGCAGTGACCTGAGCTGTTGCAGTCTGAGCATCAGTTCCAGACAAGACCGCATTTTCGCTCATGGGAGAGTTTGCGCCGGCACCTCCGATGCTCGCGTCGCAAGTCATGGACTTCTCATTCTTCTTGCCCTCGCAAGAGTATGTCATTGTAACCTGCGGCGCCTTCATGGTGCCCACGAAGGTGGCGGACGAGATAACAGTGAGCTCGAGGCCGGGTCCCCAGCCGCATTCGGTGTCGTCGTAGTCGGGTAAGGTGGTAGGGCAGGTAAGCTGGGCAACGACCGTGGGTCCGTCTACCTTGACAATAGAAGCGATGGGCTCATAGCCTTCGTAGCCACCGGGGAAGAAGTAGTCGATTGTTGCGCTTTGTGCGACCGCGACGCTTGCGATAAGGATAGCAACGGATTGACGCATGTTGATTAGGTTGATTGTAGATTATTATAATATGGTATTTCGTATTTGGCTGGTATTATTCAAAAGAGTGTCGTGCTATTAAGCAAATTAAGAACGAATGGCGTAGACGGTCGTAATGACGAGGGAGCTGAAAGAGTGTGGATAAGAGGCTTGAGGGCGTTGAGCGAGGAAGCCCAGATTTAAAGCCATCGCGTGGGCTCGTTCCCCTGGCCACATGGGAAAGTCTCTCTGGCTAACAGGTTTTTGGCGAGGATTCTAGAACGGATCGTTTCTAGTGGACCCTCCTGGATGGCATTTTCATGCGGAACAGCCAATTGAAGCAAGGGGAGTTCCCCCTGAATCATTTCTCGGAACGAAGCGATGAAATACTAACTGCATGTGGTGGACTACAAGCCGGATGTTCAAACAATTCGGAATAACGGTGTATGAACACGAGATAGCGCCCAGGCAGCGAGCGAACTATGATATGATCCTCGGCTCAGGTATCTTTTCCAGTGCTCATTAGTGTGCGGGAGTGCTATCTTAAATGACTTCGTGTATAGGAGTCCGGCCTTCATGGTGTTCTGACCCTTCACTACAACCTCTTCGTGACGCCAAAACGCTGCTGGATTTGTTTCCCCTTAGTAAGATGACGTTGCAACGCCTTCCGCCTTGGCCAATCCTACCTTGTTATCTTTATAAAATTATCGTTGCGCCTTGAAAAGGTATTGCCACATCTTTTTGAACAACTGGGCAGACTAGGAGACATAGATTTCGATTGATGAGTTGCTGTAGACTTGTGTGTCTATATCTAGGCCTCTTGTATATACAAAGGGTAAGCACGTCGAGCTAGCCCCCTGCCAGCTTCATGCATTTTCAATAGCCAGCTAAGAGTTCACAAGCTTTGCTAATGTAAAATTGTAGCCATGGAATGCTAGCAGGCCAGCCCGACCTACCTACTCTCTGAGAAAGGAATCTACAAAGTTCCTCCCGGCCACACGCCGTTCTCCTTGATGAAAGCATCTACATTATCGTTGACATGTAGCCACAGAGAGGTATGGTCAAGATTCTGGGACGAGTTCGTTAGTTCCCATTACAAAGCTGGAGAATTACAGGGCTTACCTTCGTGCGAGGGTCATTATCAACAACCGTAAATGCCTCGATAGCCACCTTGCCTACAGTCGGATTGATTCCCACCTTTTCAGCACACTTGACCGCGATACCCAGGTCTTTGAGGCTGAGGGCTGGCGCAAAAGCCCTGCGGTACCCATTGCTCGAGGGAGCGTCAGGCACAATGCCCGGAACAGGTTGTTCCAAGCCCATGACCCACGAATTCGCGGTACCATCGGTCATACATTCCCAAAGAACCTGTTTGTCAATGCCATACTTGAGGCCCAGAGCCATGCCCTGCGTGGCAGTGACATTGTTGCAGAGGGAAACATAGTTGTGGGCGATTTTGGCAACCTGGCCCATGCCGAGCCCGCCACAGAAGCGTATCTTGTCGCGTTGGCCAACCAAGGACAAGATGTTCCAGACTCGATTACCCACGACATCTGCCTCAGTAGGTTTGGCGTGGCCAACCATGAACGTAAGGGTTCCGTCATTGGCTCCCCATACTCCTCCAGAAACAGTGGCATCGACGAAGTTGCCCAAGCCTGCATTCATGATCTGATTTCCGACATCTCGGGTAAGCTCAATTTCAATGGTGCTGCAATCGATGATCAACCTGTCGGCATTCACAGGTGCTTTAAGGACACAATTGTCCCCTTCCAAGTATACCTGCTTGACATGCTGCCCAGCAGGCAAGCTGGAGAGTACGGTACCACATTTGCCAACGAGGTCGGCAGGCGAAGTAGCTACTTCAACCTTGCCATAGTCGCCAGCCTCCTTCAAAAAGCGCTGAATGGCTGTATCCAATACGTCGTAGACATGGAGGGTGACACCGGAGTCAAGCTTGCGACGCAAGTTGATCGCCATACCAAAGCCGATGACACCGAGGCCTATAGCTTTCATTAGCATTGCACAGGAATTGACGACGATCAAAGCCTATCGCACCGATAACTCCAACGTCGGACATGTTTCTTATTGTTTTAGTTGACGGGTTGATTGATTTGGTTGCAGTTTTTGGATCCTAGCTCAGGTTATTATTTCGGACAAAAAGAGTAGCAGTTAGACCCGGGCGTTTGCATTTACGTACTTATAGAAAAGCAATACGTGTGATGAAATATTGAAGAACTGCAAGCAGAGGCTTTCTATTTATTATGCGTAACGAGGGGTATGTGGATCCCAATGCTTAACCCCGCATTTAGCATGCTCTGCCCTCCACGGATTAAGCTTGATCGAGTAACTCTTTACAGCGTAAAAGATAGGAATACTTAACTTGAATTAGTATTAATGTCCTGTTAGTGAAGCCAGTAACATTTGCCCTCCTAGCTATGACTGCTGATCACCGGTTTCCTAGAAAGAATTAAAGCAGATAAAGGAATCTATTAGATGCCTGTCAAGATAGATTGGGGAGTGTACGCTGTAGCAACGGCTTCTCATAATTCTCATTCAAAGTCATTCGATCATTACAACGGTATCGCTCTTCGAAGTCTAGATAATATTCAATGTTTATTGTGCCGGTGTAGGCCAGTGCAAATCGTGCAGCTGAATGCACTGGAGAGACTGAGTCTCGGCTGGTGTTTACCTGAGAATGTATAACCTGATAAAGGTTCCGCGAGCAACAAGAACAACAACGACAGCACTTACAGAATTTACTTGTCGTGTTGACATTAAGATTCATCTATACATGGAGGTCTTCCCCACTTTCAAGGTTTTCCAAGCGGTCGTTACCCCATCGCGTACAGTCAGATTACGCCCTGCATAATGCGAAACGTACCTAAAAATATGCTGCACAGGCTTCTTTCTACACAGTACACGCGTTTTTGTGCCCCCAACCCAAACAACAATAATCGTTAGGTTTCATCACTACCCAGCAGTCTGTTTAGACCTAGTTCGATGAGCGAACTTTCTTCTTATTTAGTGTTTTGCTTCTAATTCCAGCAAAATGTTTCGGTTATCACGGTATCCTTTGCTTTGAAATGCACATGGTTGCTGCAGAAGTCGGTCCTACGGTGCCGAATTGATGGGAAGGGTACAACTTTTGAATCTCAGTTCGGAGTTTCCTCACTATTTCTAGAGGTGAGATTTATTTATGTGTTTGTCGCCAAATAGTGTTCAGAATCCACAGATACGACTTTGAAATATGAATCAACTACTTGCACATTAACTTGTCGGGCGTTCACGAACCGCTGTTCTCTCCTCTTGAAGCTGACATAGGACCTTGACTGGGCCTAATTCCACGAATTGTAATATCGCATACAACCTGTGTCCTACCAAATTCCCCTAACACCATCAAAGTTACTGCTCCTATCATGGCGACCGTTAGTGGTGCTGATTATGATGTTCATCTGGGGTTTTGGACGGTAAGCAATACCGATATGAAGAGAGACCAGCGACAACTGACAAACGACAGAACTGGTCGCATAACAGAGCTAATGGGGCGACGATTACACTCAAACGTAAAGATGGAGATCTTCTGATAAGTTTCATCGCTATATTCGTTGCGCTATCCGGAAAGAGCTTTTGGAGGATATGTTGTTTTATCACTCATCGTTGTCTCTCAACCATTACACCCCAAGACGGTCTCTACCACCAACGGCAAGCGATATTAAGAAATGCAGACACACCCGAAGATGGGGCATGGCGAATTATACAAGCTTTACTTGCTTGGAGGAAAAACGCCCGACGCCCGATACTCAGGCTTCTACCGCTGGCTTTGCTCGCTTGGACAACCTTCTCGCTCTTGCTAGTGGGAGGTATCTTCTCTTCCCGTCTGACTTCTGATAATGGCAGTGAGGTTTTACTCACTGGCAAACACTGTGGCCCAACATCCGATCTGTCCAAAGTCACTGGGGATGATGTGAAACTATACAGAAACCCGCAGATAGTCCAGCGTTCGACTGCACATTCCAACTACGCCTTGCAGTGCCACGCCAATACCACGGGAGAAGAGGACTGCCGACTTTACGTCAAACCTTGGATACAGTCGACTGTAGACCGCAATGCGAGCTGCCCGTTCGCTGAGAGCATCTGCAAGAGCCAGACCGGAAACATCAGATTAGACAGCGGCTTCATCGACAGCCATCACGACTTGGGCATCAATCGTCCACAGGATGAACGCTTCCAAATGCGCTTCGTCACTCAATGCGCCCCCATCAAGAGTGAAGGGCACAAAACGATTCTGGAACGTCCCAACGATGTCCCAGTAGCCCAATATTGGTATGGAAACATCAGTTATTTGATGAGTAAGGAGAACTATACTGGGTTTACTTTCGAAGTTTTGAACAACTATACTCATTTGGATCTCCCCTCCTACGCTGTTGCTGTGAGTGCGCGTCCTGAATACGGCCTAGGGTAAGTTACTCCGTTACGATTCACGCACGACTATTGACAAACATCAGAACTGTCCTCGGTCTCCAAGGTGGCAAAAGCTACAGAGGTATTTACAGCTTTGAACCCATACCTGAGCTTATCAGGAATGATGCAGACGTCGCGCTGTTGTTTCTCACAGCCCAAGGAATTGGGTTCTCCACACGGGTGACGGACCCGTGGTTTTCTGCATCGGAGGAGTGGTTGGTCAGTAGGACCAACAATAACGTTGGCGCTGCAAGTAAAAAGGCTCTTTATCTTACAGACGAACCCGCCAGTACACTCGGATGCGCCCAGCAGGTTCAATTTTGTAATCCCAATCGACCTGAAAATGAACGATGTGAGACACTCGAGGGAATGTCGCGCGAGCGTGAGCACTCGAAAGATCTTTGGAATGAAAAGCAGCTTGAGGCTATTGCCTGGGCAGAATCTGTCTGCCCACAGGAGTTTGTGCACACTGACAACCTCGTTGCCTCCATTGGTACATCGGTGTTATTGGCACGTACCGGCCTTGGAGGCGGAATTGCGGGCCCCATACCGGATAATCAGTGGCAACTTGAGATTGAGCATCTCATTGCGTCTTCGTTGGCCAGCTTACAAGGCACTTTTGTCGAATCAGCCAACGGGCCCAGGACTGAAGAGCTGAAACGCTTTCAAGTGTTGCCGGAAACAGCTATCGCAAAGTCGATGTGCAAAAACCAGGTCAGCATTCGCAGCGGGACTTTCTACAGTACAAGCAAGCTAATTAATTCAGAAAATTCGCTCTTCGCTATACTCTTCCTTCTCGGCCCTCCCTCTAATCATATTGCTCATCATCGGTACAAGCCTCATCGTCGTTGACATAGGCCTGGAGCCCGCGTTGAACGCGTGGCAAGAGTTCCGCGCAAAGAGCCTTACGCACCAGAGTGTTTCTCGATCCACGCACTCGCGTTTGGAGTGGCGCGCCATGAGTTTTTTGCAACTTCAGCGCATGGCACACCAAGGCATTGGTAGCGGTACTTGGTTCAAGACTACAAGTGAGAATCCGGTTACTCTACCGTACCAGGAACTGGGTATGCTGGATATCAGGGATCAGAAGATTCCGCGCCTGAGAACGATGACGGAAGAGCTATGCCGTTGGTATGAGGATGGCGATGACTCGAGTTCCAAGTAAGGAATAAGGAATTTCGAACCCAGAAAATGCAAGTGGAAAAGAAGCTTTTAGGGAGACGAGATAGTGATAGTTTTGATTGTAATATACTTGTACGATTTATTGAATCCATAGTGAACGAACCCCGACATGCGTTTATATTTCGTTTCAAAGTCGGGATGATTAGTATCGCTTTCTTCCTGCGAACTCTATTGGACTTTTAACTTCCTATCGTGAATCCCAACCACTATGATACCGAAGGCTAGTATGCCCCAATAACCTTTTGGAATCTCTCTCGAAGGTAACCGAGTCCGCTACCCTGTTCCTCTAACTAGTCAATTTTCAATAGCTTTTCGATGGCTGACATGACCCAACTCTGACAGTTCCAACCCATTTGGCTGCTTACGGGCACTTCTGCCAGGATGGAAGGCACCTCATCCCAAACATCAGCCTCGATGCGTCCAACATGAATAATCTGCTTTTCGATATCGCAGTTCGCCATGTCCACATAGCTGGTATTAAAGTTGAACTCTTGACCGGTAATACCCAGTGCTTCGAAGATGCGCTCCTCCCCGTAGTCACCCTTGGTGTAGAGGCACCAATGAGGTACGGCATGAATGCTTGCATCCAGATAGATGATAACGGATAGCTCGGCCATTATGCTTGGGACTATGCGTTTCCAATTGCGATGGGTAGGATGGAAGGCGCGTACTAATTGCGTTACGGTTTTGGCTATTTTCAAAATTTGGAGGGAACCTTACTGGTTTGTCTGAAGCCCGTGTTGGATATACTGATAGCGACAAGTGGTTGTGATGATTTTTGATGAATTGTAGTGAATATAATAGATTGTAATAGTTTTAAACAGTTATCGTAGTTTTCATGAGTTATAGTATCATTGATAGATTACTACAAACTGGATAAGTAATTATAATTCCAATGAGTAGTAGTGGATGTAACGAATTGTCATGTATTTATTACCTACTCTGTACCTCGAAAGCACCTTTGTAGTGGGGAATTATCATGTTGGTCGTTAAACCAGTCGCACTGTGAATAGGCAGCAACGCAGGGGGGAAACGGCTATGTCTTCTCAACAGCCGATTCGCACACTTCATATCGATAGGATCTAAAATTAAACTTGGTCCCGTGGCAGAAGCCCTGTGATAGCACCAGTGTACTGTCGTTGCTGTGCCGCATCGCTTAGAAACGTGTTGGCCGGCACCTCGAATTGCAGTAGCACGATTTGAACGCTTGTGTAAGATTATGAATCCGTAAAAATTCCCTTAGACTTGCAATAGTGACAAAATAGATAATAAAGTGCAATTAGAGATTACAATCGCCCTTCAAAGAAAAACATCCTTCTACATCACCAAAACCGCCACTCCCAAAACCACCACTATCCCCATCGGAATATTAAGATCAACCGCTGCCCCTAGGAAGCTAGACGGAGAAACCGTAAAGTTGCCTGTACCCGTGGGTTGGATGTGATGAGTAGCGGACGAGGTTGGACCAATGGGCTTGGGCGGCTGCGGCGTGGATGGGGGTCTGCAAACCGTGTAAACAGTGTTGGTGATCGTGACCAAGTTGCAGACATCTGTTCGTCCAGATTGGTGAGGGAGTCCCGTTTGGGAGACAGGTTTGGGGGGTACTACCGACGTAATGGGATCGGCCGCGATGCTGCTCCGACCGGAGGCTGTGGTAGATGATGCTGCTGAGCTGTATTAGTACGCATCAACTCAAAGTATGGGGGGAATGACTCACGTTGAACGGTAGACCGCTGGGGAAGCTTCGATGTTATGATGGTGACTGGAACACCTTCGGCAGCGCAAGTTTGCTCAATAGTATCGATGACCTGTTTTTCTTTGGCAGGATCATTGCAATTCAACTGTATACATGGAATAAGGGTGGAGGCTAGTTGGTCCATCTGTTTGCAGCAACCTTGGAAGTCGTCTACACTGCATTTAAGTTGTGCCACACCTTTTGCGAAACACTGGAACGCGCAGCTGGGGAGATCGAAAACTTCGCGACAAGAGGCTGTTGCCACGAGGATGAGAACAGCTAAAATGTACCTCATGCTGAAGGTATTGGCCGCGGTTAATAGCATCAAGGAAAGCCGGCGGTTAGAAAGTGAGGTTCCAATTATGGACTGTTGATCGGTAGTGAAAGGTAGGAATCTAGGTTTGGCAAAGCATATAGATAATTTTATACGCCGTTTAGTATGCAGTCATAATATATACGTGCACTCAATTTAACCTTTGTTTGCAGTCCTTAATCTAAGAAAGGTGATGACCGTGCCAAAATGTTGTACCACGTAACGACGACTCACATATTGCACAGACTCCCATGAGCCCAGTCACCGAGCCGCTGTTACTAACACCTTATAACCCAAGCAATGGTTCAAAAATCGATAGTTAGCTCTAAAAGAAGGCGCTTACACACAGTTTTTTAGCATTAGCTGGGTCAGTAGGATTCCATAGAAAAACGTTGTAGTGTCTTTGACTGAGAAATTGGGGCTAAGATAGGAAAATGGTTTGATTGATTTAGGAAAATTCTGAAGTACATGGTAAGTAATCAGTTCCACGGAAAGTCTAGATATATTGACAACACATTTTGATGTGTTACGCGCACTGTCCCAATGGGGGGTCAGAGATCCAAGTTGTGGCTAGTTTAGAAGACGAATTTGCAATGATTTATAGCCATTATTAGCCCAGTCACATTGAATGCAGACACGTTATTGCTCCAGTGAGAATCAACAGTATGCCATTAGTCACAGAGAAAGTTGGGAGCCTGGGGCAATTCTTTTAGAGGCCAGGAATTCGCCGGCAACAACACACCTGATCTTGGGTAACCCTCAAATCTCTGATTCGGAACCAACGGGCTTGCCGTTATAAACCCAATAATCGGATACCATGGCATCTAGAAATCGATTAGTTACTACCTCACGGGAAGTTAAGACTCGTCCAGAAATCATCACTGAATGTAAAGCACATGGCTTCGACCGATATTGAAGAGTTATAGAGTAGATGACGAAACCATGTGCAGCTTAGTGACGGCCTTGCATAAGATCTCGATATGGCTCTATAATGGTATGCACACTAATGGTATTGATTGTAGAATATTTCAACTCGAAATTACAATCACGTGGGGATGTTATCCAGCGTAGGTCGCACTCGGTTTAACCAAGCCAGTCTCTTCGTCAACGTTTTGGCTATCGTATTCGCTTGGACCTGATGTCCCGGTCTCTCTGCTGTACTTCGAAAATCCCGTGGTCAAATCAATGCCATCGGTCCAACGGCTTGAATCTTTGGTTTTCGTTCTCGCAACCGGGTGGATTTCGCTTCTGTTACCGAAGGTATCGCCGCTAGGTCTAACTTTCCCTTGGAGCTCGAGGTCATCCCGCACTTCACTTCGTACACTATATTCTTCCGTCTTCTTAATCTCATTCCCTCTTGGTATCCACATTGTCAAAGATTGGAGCAGACTGCGTCGACGCGAGGGTGGGTTCTCCACTTCGGAAGATATGATTGCTGAGTTTGGTCGACTTCCGCTTGAATCAGTCGCTGTGCCAAACTCGTAATAGAAATCCGCGTCGTAGGCCGACTTCAACGCCACCTTCCTGATCAGATTCGCCATGATCATTTCGATGTTCAGCTTTACGAGGTACGCTAACGGGTGGAAGCTAGCATACAACAACCCGTTGGGTATGCTCATGGCTGCGATAATCATGACGTCCATAAGGAGGGAAATAACGATCAGCTTTTCGTTCATCCGTACCAGCTTATTGTACTTCTGTAGTCCATTCCGAACCAGATTTGCCCTGACAACACGAATAAAGTAGAAGTTCAATGCGGCATCGATAATAAGGTATAGGACTTTTTCGATCCGGTCCCAAACGTTGTTGATACGCTCGTAACTGTTGCTTGTCAGCTGAAAACGACGGACGAGTATTTGAGAATATGGCTAAGTACCGTCTTGAAATTTGCAGGCGAGCCGGTACCCATATGCAGAATACGCTGATAATGATGCACGATACAATCAATGCTACGCTGTACATGATGATGAACCCCTTTCTGCGGTTCGGTAAGATGACTCGAATCCGATTGATGATGATTTGTAGCAGGAGCTGTACTTGGAAAGCCCAAAGAACAACTTGAACCCACATTAGCTTGCAGTATGGTCTTATTAGAAAGATTGGGCTCACGGAGAAAGAAGTAGAAATAAAAGCTTGGTCGGATGATTTTGAAGAGATGCAGTATGCAAAGGATAGAGATGGCCGTTGATGCAATATTCTCGAGCCATATCATCCAGATGTATGCACTCCGCCAGGGCTTTCGGATTCTTCTGGTCTGTAACACGCCGATATAAGCGGCACTGAGGGTGAAGATGGTCGATACCGCAAATATCGTGCACCCGATAATGACGGTTCGAGTTCTGATTCTCTCGACAACATAGTCGTGCGGTATGAAAGGTCCGAAGGGTTTAAAATTTGGGTCATTATCAAATTCATCGCTTAACCCCATGGTGAAAGGTATTGGCGATAGTCGTAGCGGTCATGGGGCTGACGGCGGCTCTTAATTCAGCTACATGAGACCCCGTATCATCTCCTTCTTCACCAGCCGTATGGCGGTTGATCAAAACTCTTGAACTGAGAAGTGTGATCCTGTATTCGAATTATCGTACGCGCATACCAGGGAGGTAGTCAGGTCGATTATTTCTGGACGATTGAGTGGTCTCTGGGTCATATCTATTCAGGTGGCAATCAGTGTGCCGCTGGAAATGGCATGTCTCTGACTTAAGTGTTTCCAGGATGAGTTGCGGAGCTGTCCCCGGCCCCGCATATTGGGTGAATGACGCCCCGCTCTCGTCCCGCACAGAACCTAGTGCTGATCTACCCTCAATTAGTTCTACTTCTATACGTGTACGATCCAAGTCTGCTTCGATATTGTGATGAAGCACGGCATGTGGAAAGAGCTTGCAGAAGTGAATTCCAAGGCTACGCTATCGAAATGGTGTATCGAGACATCATTCAGATGAGATTGTTTTAGTTGCATGCAGTGGAGATTTCTTACTACGCAGTGTTTCTACGAGGTACGAGTATTCTATGCGTCGCCTCAAGGTGTTAAAGGAAAATATGAATTCACTACGTCATCAGATCTAAGTGATCGCGATATCGGTAGCGCCCACTTTTCGTTCCCCAACCTCCAAGCGGCAATCTCTACATCCTGAACCCAAGCCCGGCAAATGATCCTACTATCTAGCATATCTATAGGTACCTCGCCCTCATACTCTGTACGCTGCTACGTCCATCCTGTGCCGTGCGATTGTCGCCTCGTGATGAAAGTATATGCGTCACAATTATTGCACTCGTATCTCAACGAGGGCTTACAAACAAGTACCATGGATGAAACAAAAGTAGACAAGCCCGCAGGCAAAATGCCAAACGTGCGTTTCGGAAATAAGCCAGGCAATGCCCATCAAAGTTTGCGCTTTTGCTTTCTACTGAGACTGCTTGTGAGAATATGACGTTTACTTTCCTTAGCGCATGTGCTCCATGCTTTTGTGAGTCGTATGTCTTCCTGGTCTTACAGGGCTGAAACATCCAGAGGGCTACAGCTGGTCCTTATGTCAGTAATCTGCAAGCTGCACTCACAAGCTCATGACCCAAGGAGAAATTAAATAATCATTAAATCATTCACCTTAAGTTAATTGATAGGGCAAGAAGCCGTGGTCTGGCATATTTCATGGAATAATACGAAATTCGACCAGTAAGCCGTTGACAAAATAGTCTCGATGTATCGTGAGTCGCACAGAGAGATGATTCATTGCCCACCCGTTGCGTTCTTGAAAGACCATGACTCGGAATCATCCTTCAGATTGCAACATCGATGTCAAAACCGGCAATTGTTTCCACCGCGCCCCTCCGCGAGCGGGGGAAGAAAGGTCTAGCCCGAGGTGTTCTAGGCGCTGGCGGAACGTCCCATTTTCATATCTCGTTTTCCTTCACGCGCACTGAAGTGACCTATACCAGGCGCGCATCAAATGCGCGTTGGCTACATATTCGGCGCTCGCACCTTCGGAAGTCATTGATAAAATCGCCCTGCTATTCCTACCATGGCGCCGCAGAGCTCAATCCCACCGGCCGCTAACGTGCTCGGCACGATAGGAACGATATGTTGGTGCGTCCAACTGTTTCCCCAGATTTGGCGCAACTACAGGACGAAATCGACTGAGGGTTTGCCGGCGGTAATGATGTTTCTTTGGACTATCTCGGCTGTCCCGTTCGGTGTATACGCAATTGTCCAAAAGTTCAACATCCCATTGATCATACAGCCGCAATGCTTCTGCGTGCTTTGCGGTGTCAGCTGGGGTCAATGCATGTATTACGGACGGTATGTTCTAAATTGGAATCTGTGTACAGCCTACAAATATTTATGATAAACAGGAAATGGAGAGCTTTGACGACTATTGTAGTCCTCACGGCGTTTCTAGCTGCATGTGCAGGGGTGCAGGCAGGGCTGGTCTTTGCAGTTCGACCAGCTTATGCAAGAGGACTATCATGGCCGGTTACTACAGTTGGAGTAGTCGCATTCGTCTTACTTATTTCCGCCTATCTCCCAATACCATTCGAATTGCTCAAGCGCAGAGGCAGAGTTGTTGGTATCGACTTCATCTTTCTCACCATTGATTGGTGCGGGGCCTTCTTCTCCCTCATGTCATTGGTTGCACAGAACGACTTTGATGCCTTGTTTGGGACGATGTATGCTTTGTGGTATGTTCAGTAACATTCGGTCGACATGAATCATTTCTTATGTTGACCTCTTCACAGTTGCGTAATTGAGATGAGTATGGTAACCTCGCACCTGATCTGGAGATTAAGGACTCGTGGAATAAGACGGCGCGCTCGAGAAAACGGCTTGACATTTGATGAGCATGATGAAGGGAAAGAGTGGCAAGCAAAGGGACTTGACATTGGCGAAATACTCCGTCGATGGCTTGCGTCACGTAAACGTACGACTTCGAACGATCGTGAAGAAGACCAAGACCCGTTAGCGGAGCCACGTCATGAGGAAACCGATCGAAGTGATAATAGTTTCAAGAGCACGGTGAAGAGCACGGTGGAAACAAGCTCGTCATAAGGAATTCAACGTTGTGCTAGGGTCATTTTCACGATGACATTCCAACAGTCTCGGCTCTTAAATTGACCACTTCAGCCAATGCCCTATTTTCGCCCGATCATAATACACATGTGTCAATCAAGTACATCCACGTCGGAATTGTTTGTAACCGGCATTACTACATAGATGGTTGAGATGGCGTTGCATCCCGGGAATTTTGATCGATTACACCTCGTACATGCAACCATTTTGATATGAGGATATATGATCTTGCAATCGGTACCTAATTACAAGTACCCATTTCTTCACGCAACTTCTTCACTTCAGAAGGGCCTTGCAGGCTTATATATACTAATTCAATCAGCATCTTTGGCTCTAGACTTCAAGTGTATTCCTTAATGCCGTTGATAGCACAATACTACAGAGAAACGTCCTGAAAGAGGTTCTTCGAACGTATTGAATTGATGCCACAATGTTTACTGCGACTTTAAATGCATGGGCTTTGACGACTCTACCAACGCCGCTTAAAGTGTGGTTTACTTCAGAAAATAGATCTAGGCATCGATATAAAACAGGAAGATGGATCATTGTTGTTTGTGACGAGATCTGGATAAAGATATCGAGAATTCATCGATATGCACGTGAGCGCTCCCAGGAACCAATTATGTATCGGCTAAATTCGGTTCGCCAATGGCGGGGAAGGGAATGCAGGGATTAATCTGCCCTTCATGTAGCCGACTTTCTCGGCCTCTCCGCATCCCAGCTGTAGCTCGCCCCTCGACAAAATGGACAATGACGACAGACCACGCCGTAAACGGGCCCGACAGGCATGCACAGTCTGCAATGCGAGACGCGTGAAATGCAACGTTATCGAGCGACAGCCATGCGACAATTGTATTGCTGCGAACGTTCGTTGCGAGACGCGCGAGTCTCGCCGCGGAAAGCATATTCGTCGATCGCGAGCGTCTGAGACCGCTGAACACGAACATCGACATAGATTGTTATCAGCGTCATCCGATCCGCGCGATGAGTAAGTCCCTTGTACTGTTTGGTTTATGTAGACAAGAGGCGTCATTATCAAGCGTACAGAGCACATTCTGATGTTGAGTGCTACATCGGTCATGCCTTGAACCACACTAATATCTCTCTTCAGCACTCTATCACCAACCTCACTTCGAAGGGATGACGACGAGGTGGCGGCCTCGCATGTCTTAGCTTCGTTATCGACCAATTTCAATGGACACAAGCCGCCCCCTCCTTCATCAGAGCAGGAATCGGCGCCTTCCATCACAGCGAACAATGAACAAGAGGACGACGGCGCAGTCTACTTGGGCGAGTCGAGTTCGCTCAGATATGTGCCCGCCGAAGCCACTCCTGCACAACCATCATCAAAGCGACCGAGGCTACGTCATTCTATCCCCAATGCCGCAAAGGCACAAGCGTTGATGCCGCAGTGGGAGGCCGATCGCCGAAGAGCTCGCATCAAAGCCCTACGTGATGAAGGGGCCTTCTCATTCCCACCAGCATCGGTCCAGGAAGACCTACTCAAATCCTACTTCTGCTGGTTCCATCCTCACTTCGCGATCGTCGACGAGGATGAGATCTGGAGAGGATTCGCCAGCGGATCGTTGTCTCCTCTGCTACTGCAAGCTATGCTGTTCATTGGAGTCATACACTGCGAGCCGAGAACAGTGGAACAACTTGGCTGGGGAAATCGCCACCGAGCGAAGTACATCTTCTACAGCAAAGCCAAAGACATCTACGACGCGGATTTCGAGACGAGGAAATTGACCATTATCCAAAGCCTATTCCTGCTCAGCTTCTGGAGAGCGCGTGCCCTGGAAGAAAAGGACGTTCGATTCTGGCTAGGCGCCGTCATCAATCTCGCCCACACCAAAGCCCTTCATCGGTCATCAGGCACATTCGACGCCTCAGTCGTTGGACTACGACGACGCATCTGGTGGTCCATCTACATCCGCGAACGACAAGCCGCCGCCGCCCTCGGCCTACCGAGCCGCATCCGCGAAGACGACTGCGACGTCGGGTTCCTCTCCCACCACGACTTCCAAACCGCATTCGGGCCCTCCGTCCCCGCCGCCTCGCGCGAGCGCCACGCAACCTACGCCATCGAAATGATGCAACTCGCGCGGACGCTCGGCCAAATCGTCGACGCAGGGTACCTCCCGAACCGGCACCTCAGCACCAGCGACCGCACCAACATCCGCGACTGGCTCTACAACTGGAAACAGCACCTCCCACCCAGCATCCAAATCACCGACGGGGTCCCCACGAACAACCAAGCCTCGATGCTCCACCTCGCCTACAACAACCTCCTCATCCTCCTCCACCGCTCCGCCTTCATATCCCAGCCCTCCGAGTTCCCTGACGCAGACGGCTCCATCGCCCTGCAAGCCGCAGCCCGCAACTCCCGCATCATCGAAGACATGCTCGCGGACGGCACGATGGGACACGCACAGGTGCACGTCATTACGAACCTGTTCAACACGCTCTGCATCCACGTCGCGCACCTCCGCCAGTCCAACGGCATCAACCGCACCATCGCGGAGCACCGCGCGAAGCTGTGTCTGCTGGGGCTCCAGGAGATGCAGAAGACGTGGGAATTGACGAATTGGATTCTGCAGTTGTTCTTTCAGTACCTCGATCGCTCGACGGCGAAGAGGTTGGCGGTGGAGGCGGACGACGGGGCGAGCGTCGGTGGTGGGGGGAATGCTGCGGTGTCGGTGTCTGAGCCCCCGGGCCTGGCTGCTGGGCCTGGGACGCCGGGAGACGTGGAAGCGGGGCTGCAGCGTGATGGGAAGGAGGAGGTTGGTGGGAATGGCGAGTTGGATGCGGTTATGACGCCGTGGTCGTGGACGACGGATGAAGCGAACCAGTATCTGTTCTCGCAGATCGAGAATGAGTTCTCGTTTGGCGCAGGCGGGATGCTGGAGTGGAATACGGCGGAGATGCTCGCGGACGATGGGAATCTTTTGGATGAGTTTGGTCGTGGTGGGTTGCCGACGTCGAATTGATCGGGCATGGCATCACATCACAACAAGTCAAACCAAACCTCATCCCATCGAAAATCCCAGTATGGATTAAAGTTCATTCATATCTACATCTACCCCCAAACCACCCCCCTCATCCCCACCCCCCCAAAAGAATCCCAAACCTCCACCTCCCACCTCCCATCCCCCTCCTCCCCTCCCTTCCCCTTTCCCCCATCCTTCAAAAGCACCCTATACCTCTCCCCCACATAAATCGGCCTGACAGCCCTATACTCGACCCCCCTCGGCATCCTCCCCCCTCCAACCTCATCCCCCCAAAAATTAAGCATATTAATCAAATTCAACGGGCCATGCACGACCGCCCTCCGATGCCCCTCAACGCCCCGACACCACTCGTCCGAGTAGTGTATCTTGTGCCCGTTGAACGTAAGGGCGGAGAAGCGGAACAGCGATACCTCGCTTTGCGTGAAATCCCTCGCCCATCCGCCGGTCGGGGGGGATGGTAGCGGGACTTCCTCCGGGCGAGGGGGGACGGGGACACTGCTGCTGGGATCGATTTCACGCCGGAAGACCCAGTTTCGGCGGTCGGTGAGGGCGACGGCGTCGGGGGAGTCGGAGGGGGAGTAGGTTTTCTCGACGCCGACGAGGAGCATTTCGTCGCCGGTTTTCAGGCGCTTGGGTTCCGCGGATATGAGTCGGGTCGTCTCGCGGACGGTTTGGCCGACGAGGAGGGGCGTCGAGGGGGACCAAGTTAGGTGGCCGCCGGCCCACATGCGGCGGGTGAAGGGTGCGAGGGGGTTGACGACTGTGTCGGTGCCGTCGAGGCCGAGGGAGGAGGTCGGGACCGCGGGCGTGAAGTAGACGAGGTGGTGGCCTGGGGGGATGGGCGTGCCGTTTTTTGGAGGATCAGGGGAGGAGGAAGGACGGTTGAGGGTCAGGGAGAGGAGGTGGAGTTGGTTGGCGTCGAGGAGTTGCGTGCGGGTTGAGATTGGCTTGGAGGTGCTGCCGAAGCGGGTGAGGAGCTCGGTGCAGGCTTCTGCGGCGGTGGAGAGGCGCCGGGTGGCTGCCATTGTGGAGTTTCCTCTCTTTCTTCCTTTTGGTTCCTTTTTGGGGGTCAATTGGAGAAGG